GCAGGTCGCCATAATTCTATCGATGACGAAGACTACTTGACAGCCGACCATCGCCTTCACGGGGGTGCGGGAGGTTGCAGCTCATTGTGTATCGCCAGCAGACGCCCTGCAGGGCAGTCGAGTGCTTTGTAACCTCAAGATTGGATGCACCGCTATCTTAAGCGTCGACCCGCTGAGTTCGCACAACCACCATCTACATCTACACTTCAACGGCTGTTGTACCTGGGTGCAGTGAAATGTCATGGCCGGTGCCGAAAGCACCAGGGGTCAGGCACAAAGTGCGGTGAGACGCTCGAGAACTAAGCGAAAAGTCTGCTCCATCAACCTGTAGTAGAGACGTGTCAGATGATAGTCCTGGCTTGGAAGTCAAAGGAATGCGCCTGGGTCAATCTCATCTTAGCTTCTGCAGCAAGCCCAGCAACCTGCCTCGCTCACTAATAGAGGCTGATGGCGTGCCAGCGATTGGTTCAACGTCAATATAGACTACTCTTTGCGAGGCAAGAGATGCACTGCGAAGAACTGGGTGGTCGTCGTGCGTCAGCCCCAGGCGCTCGGTGGTCGGCCGTAACGTGCGATGCCCTTGAGCACGGTGAGGCCCAGGACTGGCACGTCACCCTACCCGCGTGGGCCATCGCTGAAGCCAGCAGAAAGCTCACGGACAACGACGTTGTTGCGGTGTTGGGTGCCGGCATCGTGATGATGGTGAAGTGGGAAATTGGGGAGTGCCAGCTGCACGGCGGGAAATGCCAAGACACGCTAGAGGTTGGAGCAGTAAGGCGCGACCATAGGTGAGGGAGGAATACCCGGGAGAAGCTGCACGTCACCGAGCGCTCTTTCCCAATCCCCTGCCACGCCCATCCCTCTTTCCTCCGTGGGCCATCGATTTGTGTATCGTCTCCCATCTCAAATATGCGCAAGGGAGCCGCCGCGGACCTGTCGCGCCTCGCTATCCACACCGTTTATCGCCTGACCTGAGACCCTGGACTCGAAATGCCGTTCGCAGCGTCCATATCGTCGCTTGACAGCAGCCGCCGAGAAAAGGCGACCTTCTGCAGACAGGGGCGTCGTTGACTGGCTGTGCCCGCTTTCGGAGCATTGCGCATCTACCACAGTATCGGGTCGCAGTGTGCTTGGGGGTAGATGGAAGCCCGGATCATGGCGCTGATAGTGCTCTAACCCAAACCACGAGGCGATGCAACATCTGCGCATCACTCGCTGGCCGCCGTGGCGCCGGTATGTGGACGCTTTCCCTCGTCGACATCAGTCACGTCAAACCGCCCTCTCGAAGCCAAGTAGTATTGTCGCGCTCGTCTCTGTGACAGGTAACGGCCTCGAGCCAACCCCTCCTGTCTTCTCGTTTCCTCCTCCACTGTCCGTCTACGAGACGACCTGTCGTCTGCCAACGGTTCCCGGCCCGTGGCACTGCTAGCTACGCCTGGTCTTGGCTCCTTCGCCAACTGCCGCTGACTGGACGCCGCCCGTGATTGATAGTCCAATCTAGCATAGCCATGACCAGAGCAAACTATGATCATCTGTTCGCTTGATAGGTTATTCTGGGCGGCTGATCGAGATGAAACATCAACGACCCGCCAGTCCGGTCGCGTTGCTGCCGTGTCTAGTCGGCCCCCATTGAGAGAGTGGTGTCGTGGTCAATGTTCCTGCATCGCCGCACGGAACTGTGATGTCTTTGCTGGGCGAGCCAGTCGATGTGCGGCATGTATGTGGGTCCTGGTCCCGCGAGGTAGTAGAGCCTGCGTTCCCGTGAAAGAATGGAGTGCGAATCTCATCGACTATTCGGAACATGTAAGCCTGGGCATCAGGGCGAATTATCCCTCCCTAACATCGGAGATATATAGATTCTCCATTGGGAAAGGCTCGCTGCTGCAGCTTGCCAATACCACCGTGGTGCTAGAAAACGGCCATGGTCTGAGCAATACGGATTATTTGCATTGGGGCTGAATCTTGATCCAGCATGCTAATCATGCTTCGAGGCTATACTCACCTGGTAGGCACTTCTCCTTTGAGCCAACAAGTCCGTCATCACCCTAGTCGGCCTCTACCCTGCATTGAGTTGTAGCGCTTCCTGTCTGTCAACTGTACTTCTGCCGTCCACTTTCTGTATGCCCATCCCTGTTCGACAGCTGTCCGTATCGTTGGACTCTCCCACCTCATTCATCGCTTGCCGTTAGTCCCTTCCCTGAACCCACTATTCCCAGCAATTTTCAAGTCGTTGTTTTGAGACCATAAGCTGGTACACTAACAGCCTCATAGATCACGGGGGTGATACAGCCTGACAAGTTTGTGCAACAGTCTGAGAGCAAGAGAACAAATTTCGAGAGAGAGGGCACGGTGCATATATGCTTCGGCCCCTTCGCCATACAAATCCTTGGTATACCAAAACAAGCTCACGTCTGTTGCAACACGTTGACAGCCCTCTCGTTGTCACTTGTTGCCGTTCTTCAATCTTTCTATCCCGGCGCAGCCAGCAAAGCGTGTCTGTCGAGCGCGTCCACGGACCTGGTGTGCGTATAGATTGCTTAGTATCCGACGACTGGTCAGCATCCTCGTCGAAGCCGCCACGATCGAACATCAGTCGACGCCACATCATTTTATTTGGAAGACTGCAGCGGAACCCTGTAAGCTCCACCCCCATTGCGACATTTTCCTCGGTCGATATTGCGAGACTGACAGATCGCAGCGCAGCGACGTCAGACGCACACACACCGCCTACGTCGCAGCAAGATATCAGGTACGCAACGACAAGGTCGCTACCCATACCTGTCTGTGCGCGAGATTTGAGATTCCAGATCTGTGTAGAGTGCGGGAAGAAGCAAAGCGCAGCTGCGGGCCTCTTCGCTCTGCGTAGACGAGCCGTTATATCTCCAGGGTTTAAGGTGTTGCGCAGCCGCCGTGGGTGACATCAATGCACACTGCATCGCACCTTCTTCGACCCCAAGACTGTTAGTTTACTCACTCACCTCCATCACTGCCATGGCAAGCCCATTGACTAAGCTCTGTGATAGACCCGAGTGCTGAAGTATCAGCGCAGTAGAAACGACCGCGCGCACCACAATTTCGCATCGCTGATTATACGCATTACAGTGCCTGCTCGGAATAGCCGCACCCTCCCCAGGGCGAACATCAGCATTAACAGAGCCTAGCCCCCAGCGAAGTGCGGCGGCAGCTAATCGAGGATCCCGCCCTGTTGCCGGCTAAACCCCTCCAGATTGCTTCTCAAGCGAGCCAACAGCGGGATTAGACGAGTCGGCGGCCTTCACCACCATCTCCTTTCAGCATCCCTTTGACGCTTGGCTCGGCACCCCGAAGCCTAGCATCGCAACCGCTACGCGAAGAACTGGCTCGCCTGGTCGAACCCGCGTCTCGAGCGACGGCGCGAAGCAGCTCGGCCGCAGCGGAACTCTGTCAGCAGCAAATCCTTTCGCCACTGCCGGCGCCATCTAAGTCGACCCAGATTGTCGGAACTGCTGCGTAGAGCGGCAGAGTCAGGCGTAAGATCCAGTCTCTCGTAAGGGTTGCCGCATCTTCACAAGGCGCCGCGACAGATCTTAGCAAATAACGGTACATCACTGGTTGTTGCTACCATGAATCAAGGTAAGTCAGATCCCAAAGTATTTGCAATCCATGTCCTGCGAAATACACAAACCCTCAAACACCCAAGTCGCTCGCTCCAAGCGCTGCACGTTCAGCCATAAACTGGCGCCCTTCTCCGCATTCTTCCCAGACCAACATTCCTCCCGCATCCACTCCTATATTACACCACAACACAACTGGTGCATAGGCCTTCTCCCTTTTGTTTACTGCAGCACGCGGTGGGTCCGCATTTGTTTCTGTCCCTGTAGTGCGCTTTGCACGCTTGTTCTGCCACCCGATTGTGGTGCCGCTTGTGCAACCACGTCCCACGCGCATCTTTCGCTGCTCTCCATCGCGCATCCGTGCACGTTGTCCGTTGTTGTCACACGTCTTGTTCAACAGCACACGGGCTAGCTCAGGTTGATTGGCTGACGTGCAGGATAAGCAGTGCTGCAATCACCGCTGCCACTGGCATCGGAAAACCCTTTCTCTTCGGAGCAAGACTGCTTGGATCATATTGGTGCGCATGCACATCATAACTCCTTTGCAGGCGTACCCGATCAGCTAAGACGCGACGGGGTCTTAGCACATACTGCGACCGGTATCCACCAGGCCTCGATTACAGGCCGTTACGGTTCACATCGTCCCGACAGTGCGTAAGTAAACATTCTCATTGGTTCTTGTCTTCCCGGGCTGGCATGGTAGGCTCCGTGGTGCTGCCTAGCCTTGTGGCCCCCAGCGTGCATCCCTCGACGCCTCTCTCGCCTGGTGCAGCCCAAGCTCAGGCCTTTCCTACCCCGAAACAAACACGTAGTCAATGTCCCTCATCATACTTGTCGTCGCACACGTTCCGGATGCATGGTGCACTTGGTCTTCCCAACAGGCCGGTCTGTCACATTGATCACACGACAAGCCTAGGGGCAATGCCGCACCGCCCCTGGAACTGGCTGACGACTTATACCGTGCCACCCTACTCTTGGTTACACGTTGTTGTCGTTGGCATCACTTTGGCCGAATAGCTCTGTTTTGCGAGTTTGACTGACTTGCGTCTATAGCTACCAGTCGAGTGCGGCTCTGTCGGACTCAGGATCAGGCTCCATATCTACATCACCTAGCTCCAACGCCTCTTCGGCACTGGCCTACAATTCGTATCCTACATACTCGTCGACTGTAGCCACAAACTATCCAACTCACTATCCTGTGCCAGGTACTTATTTCAATACTACATGCGGGTACGGCAGCATGTCTTCGACTCGACGATTGTAGGTATCCTCTGTGGCGCACTCGTGCGTGTAGAACCCGAGGCAATGCATGACAGCTGACAGCTACACAATAGAAATGATGCCTCATCGTCGGCAATGTTACCTCCGACAAGATCACCAGGGCTAGGCCATTCTGTGTCACCATCCATGGGTTCGTCGGCTAGGGACAACTATACAACTGGAACGCCTGGTGTGCCTAGATACCACAACGCTCTGTCCTCTCGCACCGACCTCCCTCGATACAATCCCCAGCCCGACACTCCTAGGAGCGTACATCAAACTACTATGCCTCTGACATACAATGGTGCCTATCATGCCACTACTTATGCCACACCTACCAGCTCACCCGAAACACCACCCTTCAACGCACAAGAGACGTGGGGCAATATTACCTGTGAAGGTAACTCGGTGACACCCAGTATTGACGCCAAGATTGAAAAGGGATTCTTCTATTCTGGTGATCGTGTATGGACCTGCTACCGAAGGAACTATTTTTCGGTCAATGTGTCGTTCCAACTTTCGCCCTGGATTGCCAACGCACGGTTGTATCTCGAACAGGGGGGTAAACCGGCGGAGCAGATACAATCCATGGCCGTGTCCCTCGCCGCTGCTGTGGATGGTTCCACGGGAAAGACTATTGAGTTGATCCAACATACACCGAAGCGCGATAAGGGCCCGCAGCTGGCTATGAAGAAAGAGCTACTAGCACCAACGCCTCCAGGAAAAAGTCAGGAACATGGTGGGTATGGGCTGAGCAACTTTCATCAAACCTCGACCGTGACCGGCCCTCAACTCCCTTTACAAAGCGAAAGTGACTCGTCATCACAATTTTCCCCTACGAGCCACGCTAGCAGCAATTATCAGCATTCTTTCGAACGTATACAGTTCAAGTCAGCCACGGCAAACAATGGCAAACGCCGAGCCCAACAGCAATACTATCACCTGATCGTGGAGCTGTGGGCGAACGTGCAGGCCCTTCGAGAGTCTGAGCCCCGTTGGGTGAAGATTGCAGCTCGGCTGTCGTCTCCAGTCGTTGTCCGTGGAAGATCACCTAGTCACTACCAGAACGAGGGCCCACATAATGCCGGTACTTCAAGAGGTGCACCTGGTTCTGGTCTCAGTGGAGGCGGTCATCACGGGCTAGACTCGACTGGTCGAACATCCTATTCGGCCTGGAACAACGGTATGTCAGGTGGTAGCGCAACTGGGATGGGCGGTAGCATGTATCGTGGCAATACGTACTCTCTCGACCCAAGCCCTGCCGGCAGCCATTCGGTTAGCTCGGCGAGCTCTTTGAGTGGGGGCCCTGTTGAAGGCATTGCTAGCGAAAACCACATGGCCGAAGACGATGACACGAAGATGATGGATGCACCCCAGGATTACTCCTACTACCCCGCGTCCATCTACGAGTCGATACCACCGAAGCTCGAAAGCACTCTGCCACCACCTGATCGCAGAATCAAGGACGAGTATCCTACTGCGGGCTGGCACATTGGGGGCTGTGGTAGATTTCAAGGCATGGAGAGTAGTCGCGGATATTATCCCGACGTACAAGCCCATACGTATTGATGCACACCCAAAACGCTGCCGTCATAGCTTCCAGGAACATTGTTGACCGGTTCAGCATTGACTTGAGCTTGCTGTATACGAGGACCGACTTCAACAAGGCCGAATTTCGCACATGCAGGCGGACCTCTTTCGCTAACGACGACTACATTCGGGTGCTTTACGATAAACTTCTCGGTTCTGCGGCGGCTTTGTTATTGTTACTGTACTTGATCCCTTGCCACACCAACACTAACGATCCCCCGCATTTACACCACTTCCCGAACGAACGAACGACGTACAGACCCCCACAGCATAACAAGGCAAGGATGGTGCACGAAGTGGTGTATCACAGAGCGCATAACAAAGGCTATATCGCAGGGCTCAAGTGTGTTGGCCGGAGCGCAACGCCAACGTTGTTCTGCATCTGGAAGAGATATCCCCAACACTCGTCCTTGTGGAATCCGAGCCGACCATGCATCACCTCCCTCATTTTCAAGGCATGTGGTGAGTCGCCAGCTGCTGTTTCGCTCTACTTTCCTCCATCTTTCCATTTGTCATCACACAGCATATTTAATCCTACACTCTATAGCGGCTCATCAGCGTCATGACCCGTATGGCCTGGATGAAGCACGTTTTCTTGCATGTCGTTTTCATACCGTTTTCATTTTCTCTTTGTGGTTTTGTTCTATGATGGTCCCCTTTACGCATTACGAGACGTGCAGATGGTGTCGGACTACGGGCACACTCTACGAGACATGAATGCGAATGCACGTTGCATGGCGCATGTGGGTTAAGAAGGTGGATGATCATGCTCTTCTCTTTCATGCCGTCTCTGCCTGGTACGCCTTGGCCTATGCCCCTCAGCATCTGTCATTGCGAGCATGCAGCGACGGTACATCACGGTTGTATGAGTAATGGGTCACGACTACGGGTAGTCTTCACGGCTATGGATCGGCGGGATGGAAGGCGCACACAATGGAACTGCAATGTCGGTTAGGGAGTAGGATTTTGTTATAGTTGCGATAGCAGCTCTGCGGCACGGTCACGAGGGGGACGGGAGATGTACGACGCATGGGAAAGCTAATGGTGGCGGCCCCTTGTCTATTGTATGATTATATAGTGCCCTAAAAGCGTGTGATAGTTGTCAAATGCAGGTGGCCCTTCTCCTTTACCATCATGTGCGCCATTCTTTGTGATATTGCGCGAGTCAGAGCGCCACGGCTGGACGCGAGCTGTGCCGTATTCCTGCGTTGCGCAGGCGTTGTGCAGGCTAGTATGGTGGGTTCAGCATGGCAAAACCTTGGAGAAAGTGCCTAAAGATGAGGAGAAGTGTGAAGAAGAGCAGACGTGAGGTTCCTGTAAGCTCTTGCCGGCGGACATGTTCCCGTCTTCCCCGCGGCTCTGGCGTCACTCCCTGACTCAGGGATCTGGCCCAAAACTTTGATCCTGAAAGGTGTCACGTCATCGCTACACCCACGCGTCACCCTGAAGCATCCTGCCCCCAACGCCGCTTTCACAGGCACCTAATCTGCCAATTCTATAACATCGCGCACTTGGCGCTTTGTTCAACGCACCCCGACTCCGATGGCGTGGTACGATCAGGACAGCTGGCTCACAGCCGCTTTCTCGCCAAACCCTCTCACTATACTCATCACCTTAATCGTCGCGCTGGGCCTGCCGATACTAATTCACATCATTCTGTACAAGAAGGCAGCCGCAGCCGCCCAAATACCCACATTCCTGCTGGTTGGACCGAGCGGTAGTGGAAAGACAGCCTTTACGACACTGGTAACATGTCCCCTAGTTCAGAGCGTGTTGTAGTAACATCTGACAACCACCAGGCCGAGCGCAACGCTACGACCCAGACACACACCTCCACTACTCCCTTATCCGTCTCGGCTATCCTTCCGAGCCCACACGTCCCCGCATCTTCACATTACCGTTCACCAGGCGACCCAGCCTTCGAGCGTTCACGCAACCTCCTGCTCCTCGACACGCCCGGCCACGGCAAGCTCAGGCACTATGCCACCGCCCAACTCGCCGACCCCAAGAGCATCCGCGCTATAATCTTCGTCGTCGACGCTGCTCAGCTAGGCGATGAAGCTGGACTGAACGAGGCAGCAGAGTACCTCCACGACATCCTCCTCTCGCTGCAGAAACGCTACACCAACGCTACCACAAGCAAAGGACCAAAGGCAATTCCAGTCCTTGTTGCAGCAAACAAGATGGATCTCTTCACTGCGTTGCCCCCGAATCTTGTCAAGAGCTCACTCGAGAAGACCATTACGGAGGTTAGGAGCAACAGGGCGAAGGCGCTCCGGGATGCAGGTGCGGCGCTGAGCGGAGGTGAGGATGAGGTAGATGAGGAGAAGGAGTGGCTTGGTGAGGGTGGCGAGGGCGTGTTCACGTTTGAGCAGATGAGGGAGAGCGGGACGAGCGTGGATGTGATTGGAGGCAATGTTGTCGCGGGCAAGGAGGGCGGTGATGTGGAGAAGTGGTGGCAGTGGATTGCAGAGCAGCTTTGAGGAGACGGCATGTATTTGATAGTACTGGGAGATGAGATGGGTGGAGTATATCGATACCCAGCTTGCAATCAATATAATATAGTAGTAAGTGCCCATAACCTCACTTTCGGCAGCGGCTACAACTCATATGTGTAGATTTCGGAGCAGGTCGCAGATCTTGCAAAGTTTTGGCGGTATAGCTGCTCCTTCCTCTGAAACTGGGGTGCTCTTAGTTCTTTTGTCATCTTCGAGGCACAACGCTCCCCGAACTCCATACCGTCTGTCTTCGCATCTATCGAGGTAGGCTACAGGCACTGCCGCACGCGCTTCACACCCGATGCTCGCGAGACCCTCTCCCGAAATGATGCCAGAAAGCTGATAACCTGGCTGTCTCGTGTTCCAATCCTCTGGCCGGTTGCTTCAAGCCTGACTAACTGCAAACACTATGCTTGTTCCCGTGAGGACGTGACTACTACCTGCAGCTATGGCAGGTCACTCAGAACGAGCAGTATGTGAGTATCGCCAGGGCCTGAAGTGCACAACATGCACGGATATAGATTAGAAGTAGCAAGCGAAAGGGAGGGGACGAAATTCCATAAGTAAGATGAGAATCTGCGCGCCGTAGTTCACTAAATCCAGCACAGATTACTGGTCAGATCTTGTTTCCATCTTCTTTGATAGGCGACATGTTTACGATGGCTAAACGGCACGACCGCAAGCGAGACTTGAATCCGACGGCCTGTTACGACACTAGACATAAAGCAAGTACCAACAGTATCTCCGGTGCTCTACAAACCTTGATAGCAACGGTGAGCACAAGCGTCTTCAGCTTGGCTTCGATGTCGTCCCACATATTCCTATCGGTCCCTTACAGCAGATTGTCTCCAGCATCTTTGGTCCAGAGAGTTTCCAAGCCGATCCCGATAACTATCCACACAACATCGATCAAAGAAGAATGAAGTGACCGATCAAAGCACTCTGAAGAACATAGCGGTCATTCACGATCCTCAGGTCGACCAGAACTTAGCGGACAAAGTCAAGGTCAGCCTGGAGGCTCGCGGGAATCCAATTGTCCAACTTGCTATCGCTACTGCAGTGCAGCTGGGTAATCCTCAGGGTGGCACGAACCGTGACGATGTCATCTATGGAGTCGAAAATGGCCGTGGTGGTACAAGACAATACCCAAGCCTCAAGCCTTACTAGGTATCACTGAGAATCCAAGGTTCGCGAACGAATTACACAAGCTCGGCGAGTTGAACACAGGCGCTGTAGTCGTAAATGTATCAGGAAATCGACTCAACCAGTACTATCCGGCAAAAGAGGCTAAAGCCACAGATTCACGGACGGCGATACCACTTTCCTTTGAGCATTTGGGCAAAACTCAACTACATGGCTGAAGGAACCAATTTCGATGCTCAAGTTCTGCAAAAGATCTTCGCTGATATGTCTACTCTGATCATGGTAGTTGGCGTGCACGTCAAGCACACAAATATGAAGGTAGCCACGGAGGGATTCTGCCCTTCTATCGCTACGGTCGTCCCCAGCAATAGTACTTCAGCCACCCACTATCCCGGCACCATTAGGGCTCAGCAGCAGTTCAAACATATCACCGGCAACACTCGCCACCCCGAAGAGTCGATCACAGATCTTACAAACGTTATGCAGCTGCTTTGGCTAAGGCCTGGGCAGCGATGAACATGGAAAAGGACTCCTGTGCTTGTCCTTGGAGCCAAAAAATCAACGACAAGATGTTCTACTTGTAGGTCGTTTGTACCGCACTATTTTGTCGTAATCGGATCCTCTCCTCAACAAATCAACAGATCACTGGCATCATCTCTTGCTTTCTCTTTCTTCTCTTCTTTAGACTGGCCATTCTTCTACTCATGCCAGTCCCGGCCCATGTGAGTAGAGTCGAACCTTTTTGCTCAAACATTCTTCTTTCTTGCGCTTGGCCTTGGTCTTGCGTTCCACAATGCTTTTCCTAATAGTCCAACTCAATACACTCATTTGCAAATCTCGACTTTTCTTCGAATCGTGAACCTTGCGATAGGCAAAGATCTAGCCAGTGCAATGATACCAATGGCTATCTTTGCGCCGCAAGTACAAGTCCACTTCCCCGAGTGACCGGCCCGAAGATTACAGTCGTCTACCTTGGCAACTCCGTTCGGGACGTACACCGATGACACCATGATCCCAATCCAAACGTTCGGTAGTGATTTCAACAGCGAGCTGACTGCTGCAAACCATACAGGACGCGTATCTCACCACGCATTCTTCTTTGCCCGATCCCTTGCGCTGGAATTTTTTGAACGGCGATCATGGCTGAGACAATTGTAAGCTTACCACCCTCTTCCAGTCGCCACCTTACAGTGCAAACAGGCTTAAACCTTAAGCTGACTTCTGTCAGACATCGATGCCCACTCAGCAGGAAAGGTGGGTGATGCAATGATCGATGATTACACCCGGTATCCACAAGTGGCAGCCTTCCGCTTCTTCCGCACCCTTTCCCGTGCGGATCTCGCCTGGGGCGGAGTATCGGTGTGGAAATCCCCAGCGCCTCGAAGTGCGCGATGATAGCTTACTCATATTTTGATCCGCGGACTCGGGTTGAAGAGTGGTGAACCGCAAGCGAGTTGGTCGCAATGGTGATATACGCCAGCCTCCACGATTCACACTTGGTACTGGTACGCTCGCCTCACCCAGCTTGCACGTTTTCTGCTTTACGTTCAGGATGCCAAACATCAATTCATGCCTTTTGCTGAAATGAACCATCGCTATGCTGATACCTAGACTTTTCATCTTGGTATGCTGTAGTGTCATTTGGTGGGTTAGACGCGAGTGACTCGCTTCTGAATGCCGACGGCAAATAGATTGATGCCAAGCACATCTTACGAACACTGTGAACAACGGATAACATGACCAGCCGGCAGTTGATGGTCACTACCGGTTGCGTAACGTGTGTCTGTCACGTGAATCACGAACAGTCCTCGCGATGGTGGTTGTGGCGTGAGGATAGTGTTAGTGGAGCAGATATGGCTAGCGTTGTAAGGCTGTGCTAGTGGTGGCTCAACCGCGGCTGTAGTGGCGGGTAGGAGCGGGTCAGGATATCGAGTTTGATCTTTTGCGACAACTTTGCGGCCGTATCACGACATCTTTTTCGCCTTTGACGTGCGAGTACTCTCTTTGCTCATACCTTCCAAAACTCTAGTTATATAAACCTCCAGCGAGTAAACACCACATAAACATCCTGAGAACACGACAACCGCAATCATGTCCACCAAGACGCGCCCCGCCATCCCACCCGTGGTCATGGACAGTATGACGCAGCAAATCGGCAACACGCCCCTCGTACGCCTGAACAAGATCCCGCAGTCTCTGGGAATCAAAGCGACCGTATACGCGAAGGTCGAAGCCTTCAACGCTGGTGGTAGTGTAAAGGACCGCATCGCGCTTCGCATGATTGAAGCCGCCGAGAAGTCCGGTCGCATAAAGCCTGGTGACACTCTCATCGAGCCCACTTCCGGTAACACGGGTATCGGTCTGGCCTTGGTGGGTGCGATCAAGGGTTACAGGACCATCATCACGCTTCCCGAGAAGATGAGCCCGGAGAAGGTGGCGGTTCTCAAGGCACTGGGAGCTGAGATCATTCGTACCCCGACGAGCGCGGCATGGGATAGCCCCGAAAGCCACATTGGTGTTGCAAGGAGATTAGTCAAGGAGATTCCGAATGCGCACATTCTCGATCAGTACTCGAACCCGGATAACCCGATGGCGCACGAGTGCGGCACTGCGGAGGAGGTGTGGACACAAACAGAAGGAAAGATCACATGTCTTGTTGCTGGTGCAGGAACTGGAGGAACTATCACCGGTCTCGCGCGTGGTCTCAGGAAACACAAGCAGGATGTTAAGATCGTTGCTGCCGACCCACACGGCAGTATCCTTGCACTCCCCGCGAGCCTGAATGAAGAGCGTGTGAACGAGGGCTACAAGGTTGAGGGAATTGGATACGACTTCATCCCTGAGGTCCTGGAGCAGAAGATTGTAGACAAGTGGTACAAGACAGATGACCGAACATCGTTCCTGTATGCGCGCAGGTTGATCTCCGAGGAGGGTATCCTTGTTGGTGGTTCGTCTGGCAGTGCGATGGCTGCTATGGTTGAGGCCGCGAAGGACATGAACCTCACCGAAGACGATGTTATTGTTGTCATACTTCCCGACAGCATCAGAAGTTACCTCAGCAAGGTTTGTTCTTTGTCACTTCATCTCACTGATTCAGCATACTAACACATTGTAGTTTGTCGACGACGACTGGCTTGCGGCGAACGACCTTCTCCCTCCTACACCCCCTCTAACACCCAACACAAACGGCGCGCAGCTTCGCCGTCTCTCCACCACTAAGCAGGCCGACGCTTTCCATGGCGCTACTATTGCTTCCCTCCGACTTAAGCCTGTTACCACCGTTCCTTCGAATTCGCCGTGCAGTGAAGCTATAGAAACTATGCGCGAGAAGGGTTTCGACCAACTCCCCGTGAGCACATACTCTTCTTCCGGAAAGGCGCGTCTCGTCGGATTGGTCACTCTCGGCAACCTTCTTTCCTACATTGCCGCCGGTCGCGCTACACCAAAGTCGCCAGTCGAACAAGTCATGTTCGATTTCCGCAAACTCAACGAAGTCGTAAAGGATCTGGGCCGTCTGTCGCTGGATGGCGACAACGCGAAGAACACACAAAAGGGTGGCAAGAAAGGAAGAAGGGAATTTGTTGAGATCACCAAGGAGACCAGCTTGAGCGATCTGAACAAGTTCTTCGAGTGGAACAGCGCGGCTGTTGTTACCGAGCGCGTAGATGGCGAGCCCAGGGCTGTTGCTGTTGTTACAAAGGTGGACTTGCTTACTTGGATGGTCAGGCAGGGAAGCACCAATGGAAACTCACACTAGGTGGCATGATGATGAAGGACAGGAAAAAGAAAAACGGATAATGGATATGATACACAACGAAACTCTCTAGAAGATATGGGTCGATGGCATGGAAACGGTAGCGATGGAGTTATAGCATGGTACGAACTCGATTTAGGCAGCATTCATCTGATCGCTAGGTACTTCAAGATAGAAGAACGAGACCTCAACGTCTACATATGACAATTCTCAAAAAGCGGCAGAACCACGTTCCACAACAGTATATATTCCGAGTAATCGCTACTAACCCTGCGCGATCCCCATCATGATTTCCCTCAACCTCCCGGCCGCAGCCCCATCCATGAACTCGACGCTCCTATTGATCTTCACTTTCCCTTCACCAATCTCCTCCATTTCCAACTCCCACAGCAGATCGTTTTCCACCGTGTCCGCTTCCTTAGCTCCCTTGGCTTGCATCCAAAAACTAATTCGCAGCACGACCTTCATCGTCACCGGATCGACAATGATATTCGTAACATCGGCTTTCCAAGAATCTAGCTTAGGCAGCATAAAATTTAGATGCGAGACAAAGCCATCGAACGAATGTGTGGCTTGGAGGGGCGGGCTGATGGAGACAGCATAGTTATGGCCCCAGGAGTGTCGGAACGAAGGAGTGCAATAGGTACGTAGGGTGGCAAAGTCCATGCGTTCGGGGAGGCTGTCATCAAGGCGTTGGGCTTTGATGAAATTGAGTGCTGTTTCGCGCAAGGACCGGTACAAGGGAGAGGCGGGGTCTCCTGCTGTGCTATCGCTCATTGTGGCTATGATTATTGGGACCCTAAGAAAAGGACGGAGACTTGCGAAGCGTTACTTGAATGAATGACCTAGTATAGCTTGCTGTATTAAATGCGGAGAACTGTCAATGTCACTTATAGTAAAGGCGGATCCCCACCTGGGGTGCCACGGAAACGGGGTTTGATTATCCCCGAAGAACGGACGAGCCGTTTATTGTAGGTTTACAGTGCCATCCCAAGTCCGTGCAGCGGATGGTGGTTTAATAAAACGATTGTCTAGTCCTTCGCAAGGGGTGGCGGTTGAAGATTTTGGTACCGATACGGTTGCTCCCGTGGCTCCGCTAAATTCATCCAATCAGCTGACGACGGCGATGACGTCTCAGAACAGTTTGGAGAGGCGAACGTACGCGATCCAGCTTTTGACATATGACGCGACAATGTAATCAACTGTTATGGAAGAAGACATGATGTAGTAGCAGAGGTATCATGATTCTGGGCGACTATGCATATAAGAGGGTCTCTGCTAGGAACGTTTGCGCATTATCGAGGACGGCGATAGCGTTGAAATGGTGATGGAAAGACTAAGCATAAACAAATCGAGGTACAACATCGACATATTGAGGGTTGAGTACTTACACTTACTATTCTAACTAGACACCAGGACGCTATTACTTCGGGTAGATTCCAATGGCTGCAACTTACTTCGTGTTGGCTTAAAAGCAGCAGCGCCCTGAATTGCCAGTGCATTGTCTGAAGAAGGCTGCCCACTCGAGGTTTATAAGAGTGACCGCCCGTCTACTGCTTGTTGTGTTCGTATGATCCAGATCTGCCAGACGTGAATCGATTTACATAGCTTGTCACTTTCATCCCGGTCTATCGCTGGCCGCACATGGGGTTATGAAGTATGTGTAGTGGAGTCGACCAGGATCAAGTGGTATGATCGGCACTCCCACTGTAGACTCCGAAGGAGTGACGTACGAATGCGACCGAGGAAGTGAGAGGTGATGCGGTTCTGCAGTGCTGCGGTATATAGGGGTTCAAAATCGTCTGAGCTGATTGTATGTACGGTTTGGAGAAGATCGCGATACGAAGGTAGGCGGTCCAGTCGAATATCATGGCTATGGCTGCCAGTGAGTGCCGCAGTCGTGCGAGGGAGGGTCTTTCGGAGGTCAAGGGCACTATCGACCTCGAGACATATATTCTATGCTATTAGTAGATCTTGTTTTCGGGTCTGCTTCTGGGTATAGGACGTCTCCAGCAATGCGATTGCAGGATGTAAGGACTGGAGTGTTCTGTAGACGCCGGGAAGACCAAGCAGTGAGATCTTGCGACTTTCCATAGAGGTGCACGAGAAGATTTGATGTGAGGCGGAACTGTCGGTGACTCTGTATCCGTGCGCTGTGGTAGTGGTGCATCAGACGTATGCGTCACGTCACGAGGATCGATTCGAAAGTAACAGAGTTTATCGAGAAGCCTTCGTATTATCGTTGGTCTGTGATGGTCAGCATGCGCGGACGAGGCTTAGAGCTGGATTTAGAGATCAGTAGATTGAGACGGGCGATTCCAAGCGGGAACCAGTGTCTTAGTACGCGGAAGGTACGCCCCGGAGCGCGTCGGGTCGGACCGATATTCGGCTTTGGGACAGCGTAAATTGGGCGTGCCTTCTTCGCAGTTCGCGACGAAACACTGTACGGGCCCGCACCCTCGTACGAGACCATGTAGCTTTACCCTGATTCGATGGTACCTGGCGCGCAGTTACAAGGCCTCTCCACCGCTATTGCGCACCTGCAATACTAGATGCGACCCTAGGTTCGTATGCGACTCGAAGGTTTTGTACAGCCCGGGGTTACGGCTCCTTTCAATGAACTGACTCTTTTCCGCTCATCTCCGAGCTTCGTAATTATGCGACGCTCGGCGAATCGAAGGCTGAGGGAGATGAGCATTACCGCAGTACTATCCAATCGCGGAGCAAAGCCCTCCTTGACGTGGCGGATGCGACGTCTCAGTACCCGGTGTCTCTTTAACGCGTTCGTTGACATGCTGCTTTCCACTACTTGCATTTCTATGCCTCGGCACGGTATTGTTTGCCGTGATCGTGTCCAACGTAAGCGCGATGCTTCGTGTGGCTATGCTCTGGATCGGCATTCTAGATTCGTGGAACTCTACATTGAAATCGTGCCGATCGGTTTTCGAAGCGTCGTTGATCTCTGTGAGAGTCTATGCAGCAGCAATTGGAAGAGTGATTGGGCGGTCTAGATCAGAGATGCACTTCGTAGCCGCGCCACATCAGTGCAAAGCGTTCTGCTAGTACATACATTAGCGCTATACGTTGAATCCAATGCTCAGGTTGGTGGGAATGCAGCAAGAAGCCACTCCTGTGCGCTGTCAAGCCACATAGATGTGAAATCATGCTCCCGGGGAGTACTAAGCGGATTTATCTGCGATTCCTCACTTACAGTGTTCGTGAGACGTATGCGCCTTGTCCAGCTTGACTAAATTAGATCAATCCAACTTTCTGATCAACGAAACAATCGCTAAGAGGACCATTCTCGTCAACTCATCCTCGCGAAAATGTCATCCACGGATCGTCCAAGACCAAGCTACTTGGGAATCCTTCCAGAGTGTGACGCTTCTGCCTCCATGACAAAGATGAACAAGACCTCAACGCACTCGAGTGTTGCAGTCCCGCGCTCGTCCAAGACTCCCGGATCATTGGTGTGTGTGTGCTGCCAGCAGGAGCGACCATGCACTTAGGCCAGTCGTGCAAGCGTGGCAATATTGAGCAAGGATATGCCTGAGTCTCATGACTACCGCCACTTTAGTGTAGTCCTGATATGTGATTGTATTGTCTGGTTTCGGTCGTCGCCGCCAAAGTTATGGACACAGGTTCTGCGCGTTGGCTGGGCTGTCGGGAGAGATGTCGAAAGCGGGAAGGAGTACTCTTCGTTGTTGGATGTACTTGTACAAGTGTGTATCGTACGATTCGCCAGGCAAGTAGTTGATGTAAGGTGAAGCGCCTTGTTTGGATCGAGATATCGGATCTCCGGTGAGCGGACGACGCAGGGTACGGCGGCGCGACAAAGCAGTGGTATAATAAAGATGATGAACAAAAGGAAGAGTGCAATCGATTGATTCGAACAATCGATTAACCCTCTCTAGTTAGATGAAGAGGGAAAATCAGCGGCTTGCAGACTGAGCAGGATAGCTTCATCGGGGAGAGACGGCACTTTCGCGGCGATCTGCATCAGTGATCCTACAGGGAGTGAACGTACTAAGTAGGTCGCTAACTGCAACCACGACTTATTCAAGGGGCTCTCGTTCAAAATTCGAATAGCTGACGTGGAAGTAGTTTCCTCATCTGGCATGAATACTTTCGAAGAATTAGTCTGGGAGAAACGCCTAACTATGTGTCAGCATGAATCCTGCTGCAATCCTACGTGGGCCGACGAACCTACCGAAACTAAGCGACGCTCAGACTACACTTGCATCTCCTTTGATGCAGTTCCAGCACACACCAGAACGAAGGTTGGTCCCTTGTCGAACAGCATTCAGGCGTGAATGAACTCACCACAAAGTCTTGGACATAGCGGAGTGGATACAGTTTGCAGCCGTTGTCTTCTGTGTGCGCATGAGATTTGCAAGTGGGTGCTTTAGCGCTCGAATGACAACGGCACATAGCCTATGATTTGTCACTGCACTGAACAGCCTTTCCAAGGATCAATGCGAGCTCGAGTTCTCTTTACCATGCTCCGCGGAAGCCTCGAACACTGCTGTGGTACAACATCTCAGTAGCCGAATTGTGTGTATGCCGTCGCTATTTGTTTTCTCGTCGCAGTCCTAACGTGGGAAGGACGCTCTGGTAAGCTTTCTTACGTTATCTCGTATTGCTTTTGTCCAGCAAGAAAGCCTCTGCAATTTTACAGCCCTTCCACCCTCCACTGTGTTTCAATCAAGCTATCAACTTCGAGGCGCATGTTCACCCAATATTGCGACCAATTTCGGCGAATGCGGCCCAATAGCGTGGCAGAGTCCTCCGATCCCTGGCTCCTGTAAACCCACGTCAAAGGTGTCACAAGCATCCAACATAAATGAAATGCATATGCGACGTGTCTTGAATGATGAATGGGCGCCTCTTGGGTTGTGGAATTCTCTTGATGCAAGTACCTGGAATGGTCTGCATGGTTTCGATGCATATCATGCAATGAATCGTGAGCATGGATATGGGGTAGCGAGATGCAACGTGTTTGAGCTCTCATATGTTCATGGCGGTTGGGTTTTGGAGGAGAGGGACACGTGGATGGGCAGTGTATTCTGGATTGCTCTTCAATCCCACCGATAGAGGTACTGCCACGTCTGTTGCGCCTGATGCTCTCGGAGCGGAGTCAGCTCATATCTCGTTCACTGGAACCGAGGCAGCCTAGGCAACAGGCAGTGCGCTGCACGCAAATTCTGATCCGTACATTCCACTCAAGGAGAGTGGGGCCGCACTGGCAGCTAGTCCAGGATAAACGAACTCGCCTGCGGAAAGTATGTGCCGGGCGCCTATATATCGTTATTAGTTGTACCGGTCGGTTTATGGGCCGGCGTTATCTGATCTGCAGTCATGTCTTTGGGCATTCCGGAGTAGCAGCGAGGCCAGGACTACCAATCAAGCCGAAAGTGTTGGCGAGACTGGTCTGGGCATTCTAGACGTAATAACACCGCGTTGATGTAGATGCTTCTGATTCATTTTGCCGGTATAGCTTGATGGGCAAGGAGCTGAGTGAAGAAGTTTGTGTAATCTGAGAAGTCGTCACGATGGAGAGACGTCAATTCAGTAGGCGCGCTAGAGCTTAGTGTGCCACGATCGAGCGGTTAGAGAAGCGACGACGTTGCACTACCGTGCAAACAAAGTTTGAGGAAGAGAGCCGCCAGCCGTGTAGAAAGTTGTTCCTTTGCACACGAATAAACTACAATATAACGACACAGCCGCCACCTTTTAGGTTTCCTCCCCGACTCCGAATACCAAACCTCCATACCCGACAAATTTCCACCATAAACAAAGAGCAATTCGCAGCGGCTAACTTCACTGAGGAAGCGTAGCAAGATCACTGGTGAAACTAATCGGCGTTGACAGCCGAGTCCTGACGACTCCCAACGGCTCGATAGTGGCTTGCCGGCGGTGGTGGCTGAGTTGTATTCGTATACCCAGTAAGGGATCGCAGCGCGATCTCGGCGCAGTCTTCTTTCGCATTGGGAAGATAGGTACCATCGTACCAAAACCTTGCCTGGAAGTTGGTCCCGTTGATCGTGACCATAGTTGACCAGGCTGTTCGACCTCCTGAGTTTGGAGTTAGCCAGCCGTTCATCGGATTATATGGCGTACTAAGGATCTACTATTGACTTACCGCGGCGATCAGACAGGTCCGTGTATGTTGGTTCTTGAAGGCCTCTTACAAGACAATGGTCTGGAAAGCATGTCAGCGTGCATTGATTCGATGATTGGGATGGGAAGACAAGCCTCGAAGACGTTGCGACCACGACTCTTGGTTGGCCATGATAAGAATGTTTGTGTATGACTGTGGAAAGAGCGTGGTAACAAGAAAGATGCAGATTGCAGGGGATGAAGATCGAAGGTTGAGAAGGGTTTGAAAGTTCGATGCAATAAGCCTAGCAGTGCTTTGAGACGAGCAGCTACTTATAAACTGTACGAGCTACGCAGAGCCTCACTTAGAAGCGGGAGAAGCAGAAAGTTGTAGCAGTGAGTAAATAACACATGCAACGATCCGTCTCGTCGGTCATGCTCTTCTCGCAAGTGACATGCGCATATCCTGCTAGAAGCCGTCTGCGAGGTGAGTTTCCGTGGCCAATGACGAGTTTTCCACACCCGAGCCATTGGGTTGGAAGAACGCCTTCAAGAGCGGGCCGATGGGGCACGCAAGAACCCCAAACATAGCTTCAGAAATGCATGGCCGAACATTGCTTACAGCGAGTTGGCGACAGTCTGTCGGCAGCTGCTGATAGTATGTACGGATAGGGTGCTTGCCAAACCCCGTAATGGGGAGAGCTGCATGAAGAACACGCAATTCAAAGCCGTGGCTGCTTCGTGAGGGTGTTTTGGAACTTCAGCCCAAAAACTCGTTTGACTCCACATGGTTGCAAGACATTACGGCTAGTGTGAAGCGATGCCAGGTCACTGTGCAGTAGTGTTCACAGGGACCCTGCCTATTCTTCGTTTTGGCGGCAATGATATCATACCGAAGGGTATTGTTTGGTAAGTCACATCTCAAATATATCCAACAACATGAAAAGACATCCATAAACTGTGAAGCGGACGAGCCGTTTCAATAGTGCTGTCGACGGCACGAAACGGACAGTTGAGGTGTTTCCGCTCGCTTACTTGGCATAGAAAATGCTCAAAGTGGCAAAAAGGCAATAAGACCTATCATGGGGTAAAGGGAGACGGGTACCTGCCGTTTGTACGCTCTCGTATGATGATAACGCCACGACCCACGGATGATCAACGGATAGTTTATCGTAAAGCGAAGGTCAAACTACGTAAATTCTGGTTTCGCAAACACGAGGTCTAAAGTTGCGCTTGCTACAGCCTGACAAGACGACAATAAACCATGATTGGCTGTTTCGAGTACCAAACCTTGAACGCCATTACCATAATCCTGTCGTAAGTAACTCGTCTAATAAATGTCGACTAAGGACATGCCTAAATCTAATGCTCCGCAGAGTGTGGTGGGCTGCGCAGAATCAGTATACATCCAGCGCGATCTGCTGGTATGATAACCACCCTACTGCGTAGTGATGGAAAATTACCTCGATCTATCTCGTGGCTTCATGCGCAAAAGGTCAGTAAGTTGTACGAATAGCGTTGAGCCGATGTCGTGGTCGAGAATGCTAGGATGACGCGGAAAAGGTGCGGAGTTAAGATCAACTATCGTGGAAAACGCGCCGGTGTAGTGATGTTGCTGGAGGATCTTTGAGCCATGTGCCGCGACGGCGCATGAAGCACTGTAACCTGTCAGTACCATTCAGCCGGTAATATGCGTTCAATGAACGGGCTTGTCTCCTAACGCGTAAGCAAACATCAGTCCAGGGAAAGCTGCGGTCGAATGAACGCTGTGTAGACACGGGACTCGCACAGCTTCATTTGGAACCGGAAGCGTGCTGCAGTGTAACCACGGCAGCAACGAAGATAGAAAACTCTCACGTATGGCAAGTTGCGAACCAATTGTAAAGAGCAACATAAGCTCAGGTCATTATTCGTTCCAAAAATGTGGTATCGTAACTTCGATCCAAGTATGTATCGATCCAAGAATGATAACGTGGGGATTCGTAAACCAAAAGGGGCGATGCTATGTGCATATGCAGGACATCCACGCCGGTTGGTATCCTGTGTAACAATAAAAGGCTCAACAAATGCAGCGAACAAACAGCGCTATGCATACTGCAGACCAAACGATCATGCGCATGCCAAACACCAAGGTGTAAAAGAGAAACTGAGTACCAACAATGCAAGAACTGCAGCTACCCACAGGCGACTATCCCAACAGAAGAGTTCTGACAGGTTGGTTGTGCAAGATGCGAGAACGTGCTGCAATTTCCTGGTGCAGATGGAGTATGTCCCAACGCAGCGGATTTCCGATTGTCAAACTTGAGCCGAATGAAGAAGCTACTAAACTGATGTTGGCACACGACGTGCCGCTGACGACGTCCGTCTCTTCGACATGCTGCCATCTTGATGTTTTCGGTTGAACATCTCATCGATGAGACGTTTAGGGCCAATGTATTCTAGATTGGCCATCTTGAAGGATGGATTCCGGAGGAGTGGTATATGCATCGTTGTGCTCTGTTTAGAGTGGAAACGTCGCTTAATGCAGTCGTCCACGAGAGCCATGAGGCCTGTCGCCATAACGACACTGTTCATAAATTAGCTGGCTGTTGCCTTGGACGAGTCGCTCTATCGGTATGTACTTACTCAGAGATGTCCGAGTCGGAATGCAGGATCTTCTCATCTGTGACACGCATGTAACACGGTGGGATCCAGCCCCCACGGGCAGCCTCCTCATGTGCCTCTTCTTGCGTCAAACGTACGGGGCAGATATGCGCAAGCGGCTCCTTGTCATTATCATCGCGGACAAGGTAGTAGGAGACAGTCTCGTGTTGCTCGCGGCCTTCCTTCTTGACAATGCGTTTCCAGGAATAGTTGTCGCCCCAGTATTCAAAGGCGTACTTCTTGTACGACTTGGCCCCACGGCGCTTAACATCGAGATGTGCGTAATTTGAGAACTCGAGCTTGATTGTATTGGTGGGTATTAAGGCGCGGCCTTTGGAATAGCCAACAGATTTGGGGCGTGATTCCGAAGGCATGTCATCATCGTTGTCGTCGTCATGAACACTGCCTTGTACTGAGTCATAGCCGGAGTCGGCCCGCTTCAGACCAGCTGATGTTGAGGGGCGAGAGTCGGATTTGACCAGACTAGCGAGGGCTGTGCTTGCGCGTTGTAAGACTGGTCGCATCTCGGCAGCCGGCTTCTGATACTTGCGTGTCGAGTGGCAGACTTCGCGTCCAGACTCTCTGCAGTATCGGCGGAGGGAGAATTGACGTGTGCGAAGATCCTGCATGCGGAGGTGGAAGAGAGTATAGTTCTGTTTCCGATGTCCGCGTTCCTCAATCTGTGTATCTACTCTCAGATTCATGTTTCCGTCGATGGTCGAATCGTCGTGCCGTATTGATAAACGCTTGGATGTAGGGAAGAGCTCTCCAAAGTCGCGGGGTGTGGTAGGGATGGCATCGCAACCTAGCGGCTCGTGTCGATATGTAGGCACATCGTAGTCGGGCATATCATCGAGGTCATCGGCGAGGTCTTCTTCTGACGTCGAGGCATACGTGTCGACTGATGAGCGTGGCGGGGGCTGTGGATATCGGTCGACTTGGTGTTGAGGTACAAAGTAGTCTCGTTCCCGACCGCGTCCTTGTACGCGGGGATGGCATGTTTCGCTGTGCAGTAGAGAAGGTCTTCGGTCGCTATACTCTGTCGGCGCTGTGTCGTAGGAGCGGTCGCTGTGGTCGCTGTGACCAGAAGCGGTACTGTTGTCGCTGCGGCCAGAAGTGGTGCTATTACTCGACTGATACTGCCTCCAATGTGCGTTCGGCGCCATGATGTAACGTGACGTCTTGTGGTAGCAATGGGTAGGTTTGTAATAATGATATTAGATGGGGTATTTGCTAAACATGCAGAAACGGATAAGTGGGTGGGGATGGAATGACAATGCCATGCAACGCAAACAAGCGTATAAGTAAGAGCGTGGTAGAAGCGTGAACGTCAAGCGCACGAGTAAAGCAGGCGGCGCAGTGATCTGAGACAGCTCACGAAAGGGTGACCCAGCACAAGACGGAGACAAGGACTGATGGGGATTAATACCCGGCGCAGAAATTGAGCAGCAGTGCAGTACGAATGGAGGCGCAGCGCATGGCGTGGGAGGGTGTAAATGGGCTGCCTGGGAGCTGCGAGTGGTGTCTCGCGGGGTTCGAGACGCCGGTTGATCCCTCGCAGAGTCCTCGATCACGGCCCACGCAGATGCCTGCATAGTGCTGCATCCCTCCAAACACCCTTGGCCGCATCCAGCAAATCGCCGGCACGACTGACCACATGACTTGCTTGCATCGAGCGATTTACAGATGGCTGGGCGAATCGCTGCCACTCGCTGACCCTCCACCTGCACCACACCAAAGCCTCGCCCAACGCTCACGGCAGCCCTTACGGCGTCACCAAACAGCCGACTTCATCCACAGTACTCCGTGAAAAACCCCAGCCCATTCATCAAGTGCTCACTCAGCGGGCGCAAAGAAGAGGCAAAGCTAGCCTCTCGCGACACCGCCTGATCGGCCAGGCATCCCATGTTGAACGCGCTCACCCGATGCTGACTTTTGGTTACTTCTCGGCACCGGGCGCCTACGGGACGCTCCCTGGTGGCTGATCATCCCACGTGTGTCGCGAAGCCGACGGACTTCTAGACGGATCTTTAGACGGGCTCTCCTGGTTGTTGTCACCAGACGGTGGGAAGATTCTGCTGCCTACCCGACCGCCTCGACGTCATGCGTGCCAGCTAGTACCTAGGTCGTACGCTGCGCATATCGGAACTGCACGTCCATGCGCATTGCGATAGTTGGCCATCTATCATCGGGTCTTGCGTTGCAACGGCTCATTCACCCCTCGATTGCCAGCTTATCGTCAGGCCACGCTGGCAGGGACCAGCCTATACGCAACCCGGGAGCTAGCTCTCTCCACTGTTTCCCAGGGACCAAAATTGCCCACGGCTGATGAGCATGATCATCTTTGTGATGAGCCTGCGAGAAGGTGACTGTTGGCTGAAACAAAAGCAAGTAGGAAGGAGCTAACTGTTCATGCACGCTAACGTCTGGGGAAAAGAGCACGACAACGTGTCATCGCTACATTACTGCGTACCGATCAAACTGTTTGTCGTCGACATATCAGTGAGGGAAAATATTTCATCTTGCGTCACTCCACAGTACCTTTGCACCAACAAAAGAAAACTGCTTCACTACCGAAACTGTAGAGCCAATGAGAGCGAGTTACGTGTTGGACTCACTCACCAGCCACGACAACAACAACAGCGCAGAGCCCTATTCATCCGTGACTACCGGATGATGGATTCTGGGAAACTATCCGATAGTAGTCGAAAATAAAAGAGCTGAGCATATCGAAAAGCCACTGCCATAATGCTGTCGTCCTCCTATGCGTTCATCCCACGTCAATGGTTCTAGATGTCCTTTCTCCACTTCATCACTCCACTTATCGCTCCATTGAGGTTGGGAAACCGATTAAGGCTGCCCATCAGTTGCGTCCAAGCCTTCTAGACGTGGTCGATTTCGCCCTGAAGAGGTGCTGACTGCGGATCCTGGTAATGATGCCATCACGGAGGGCAGTGATTGCTGCATATTGACCAAACGGTTCGCAACGATTAGCCTGCGCATACCATCGGGCCTGACCACTTAGCGAACTTCCTGTTACTTGATTCGAAGGACTCATGTTCTTCCCCACACTTTGCCTCACAGGACATCTGCACGTCAGTGAGGCGTTGCCATCCCACGGCCCGTTAAGTGAGCTTTACCAGTACGCAGGGTAAGTAATTATTCTAGGCATCCATGTAGCATATGAACTGCTTGGAGGACCTTCGTGATGTTGCCTTGAAGGTCATTGAACCCCTAACCAGGTCCCCGTGAATGAGGCGGCATACCATAGCCTTCGAAGAATAGCCCCGCCTGAATCGAAGGCTGCTACTCTACGTCTTCAGTTATGCCCCTGTGCAGCACTCAGCCCCGGGCTGAACCTATTGCGACAGGCCTCAACAAGATACCGTCCCCATAGGAGTAGATGTACGTACATCGCCGATGAACTCCTGCTCCTTCGTGCTAAACCCCTCGTCATGATAAGAGAACTTGACAAAACCCAAGAGAATATGACTTGATCAAGAATCAAGACCTCCCGTCTTCTCCCTTTCTTACATTCTTTCTGTATCGCGGTGTAGCAGGAGTTTATGTAGCAAGAGCCCTTCGGTAGAAAAATGTATAAGGTCGCAACAAGGGTAGCTTGGAGGGAGACTAAGATCTCTTACCAATCACTACAGTATGACATCTTTTGTACCCTGCTTGATTGTGGATCGGCACTAATACACTCTTACATGAAACCTACTTATAGCAGATCCACAGCAACGGCTTGTATGAGAGAGTTTCATCGATACATATAACTGCATACAACGAATACAAGGTGTAGAGGAAATACACCTGTATGAAGATTGCTACACTAAGTTGTTTGAACGTGCTGTGTTGCCCTGCCTTACTATCAACACTTCGCTCCACCGCGATAAGATCTACTCATGCGATAACGTCTAACTTCGGAGTCTTCTTTAGAAACCCAAAAAGAACTGGCTTCCTATCATGGTGCATCCTATCTAGAGATGCAACATAGACATGATACAAATACCTTACGTCGACTATTTTCTTGTACTCCCGCACTAGCATCCCTTGGCGGAAGACGTTCCAAATTCTAGTAATAAGTGCATATCGAGTCCGACTTCCAGAATCGACTCAACACTGCCATGGTAACACTGCTATAGTCAGTACATGTCAATCATGGCCTTATAAGGCCAAGCGCTGAATTATGATCATGCACATACAAACATACACCAATTGCCTTCTTATGATATGTGTTCCTACTAGACGAGTAGACGATACCAACCCATCAATATGTGAAAGAGTACCGGTATAAGACGCGAAGAATACGCTTCTTGCTACAAGCAAGGACAATTAGGAATGCTGGACTTTAGTAACTTATGCTTCATGCACTTGTCTCCGGTAAGCTGGTTTACTGCTACGGCTATATTGAGATTAGCTTGCCAAGGAGGCCTGACCGCATGGGCCTGATTCTTTAAGCGTGATACTGGTCTACACTGCCCTTTGATATCGAGTTAGGACTTCGCAATTGTATAGTGTGAGAGATGTTCGGACATCACGATGGCACAGAACGACGGCAAAGCCTGGAACATATGTATAGTGCGCTTGGATCATTGTCATTTCCTAGTTATAGTACTATGACGAACCAAAGATGCTCACTTGTCTCCTCTTATCAAGCCATGTTGTCTGTCGTGAATCGTCGTCATCATGAGTCTTTCAGTACGATCGCCAATTATTCTGAGCAATGTTATGTGCTCTATAGGCTTGAAAGAAAGCACCTTGTTGCTTTTTGCTCTACAATTGGCCAGAGTTGGCAATGGAAACGGTCTTCGAGGTGGAGCCGCTGGAGGAGCCGACCTTCTCGATGGCCTGGACGACGTCAAGACCCTCGACGACCTGACCGAAAACGACGTGCTTGCCGTCCAACCAGGAGGTCTTGACGGTGCAGATGAAGAACTGGGAGCCGTTGGTACCTGGTTTCCTTATTAGTATGCAGTTCTCCGTATGTCAGCGAGTAGTATAGACGCACCAGGTCCGGCATTAGCCATGGAGAGGATACCAGGGCCAGTGTGCTTCAGGTTGAAGTTCTCGTCATCGAACTTCTCGCCGTAAATGCTCTCACCACCGGTGCCCTGCACATTGTCAGCCAAGAGTGTTCGCTAGGGAGATATTTGCGGTTTCGACGTACGTTGCCGCGGGTGAAGTCACCGCCCTGAAGCATGAACTGGGGGATGACGCGGTGGAAGTTGGAGCCCTTGTAGTGGAGGGGCTTGCCGGAGCGGCCAGTACCCTTCTCGCCGGTGCAGAGAGCGCGGAAGTTCTCGGCGGTCTGTTTGGGATAGTTAGCTACTGCCTCGTCTATTTGGAGTCTCAAGGCAAAAAGAGCGATGATGAAGACTCTGATAGCGGGGCACTTACCTTGGGGACCTGGTCGGCGAAAAGCTCCATGACAATTCTGCCTGCGGGCGAGCCGCCAATGGTGACGTCGAAGAAGACCCTGGGGTTGGACATTGTGATGGATGGAAATTTGCTGTATAAAGAAGAAGTGGTGGTGATGGAGTGTTGATGGGAAGGACGAGGGGCAGCTTTAAAAGACGAGCGAGCAATAGAGGGGCAATTGCCTAGCCACCTTTTATAGCCACCATAGCTCCTTCCGTAGAGCAATGACAGGTGCAGCACAAGTGTGGGGCATGCGGCTTGATTGGGCCTCTCACTATCGACTTGTCGAGGCTGGAGCTTGGAAAGGGCCGCGCTCGGGCCATCTTTGGAGGGGTACTCGGAGGGGAAATTGCGCCATGGACGCCCCCCATGTCAGGGCAGACGTAAAGATCGCCACTTTGTAGACCGCATTGTCAGGGAGCTTGAAAAATTCTGGATAGCCTTGCTTGAATACTTGGATACTGGTGCTGGCTGGCTTCAGCGACGGAATTCCGCGGCATGGCTTCGACATGACAGGAGACAGCTGAGAGGCACGGAACACCGTAGCGCCATCTGGTCGGCTCCTCACAGCGAATACGAACAGCCTCCTGTGTAACGTCCGACAGGAGACATAAGATAAGAGCCAGCTGCTGCCCTTACCCGTGACTGTGACATTTACTTCCTTCTCGTCATCGTTTCTTGGAGTCACAATAGCCCGCAAGCATAAAATCTGGAAAAAGTCGAATGCGACACAATGATTTCGAAATATAGCCAGCCGCGATGACGATGGGCTGACAACTATGGAAGAGAAAGATAAGAGAGAGCAAAAGATAACGCTCACAAACGCCGTGCCTTTCAGCTATGCCCTCGGATATACCCAACACAACACAGCACAACAAACAAACAAACAAAGGAAATCTACCTATGGCTGTACGAGAACGTTCATCTCGGCCGATTTCGCGAATGCGGCGCGCTCTTGTATGTCCTTCGCTTCAGCCTCCTCCCAGAGCTGGATCACTTCCTGCTTGCGAATCTCGCTCCTGGGCTGGAATGCCATCTCCCATGGATCCGGCTTGATGATAAGCAAAGAGTTGGACTTGTTCAATGGTACTTCGATTTCCTGGCCTGAAACCGGATCGACCTTACGCCTGAGGTTGAAGGCCCACATCAGCGCTCCGCAGCCTGTCACGGTCTCGTCGCGAGTGATGGACATGCCCAGGCATTGGCGCTGGCCCCAGCCGAAAGATGTCATGCCGACGATGTCAGGGTACTTGGTCAACGGCTCCTGGAAGGTAGGCCATCCAGCTTCCAACCATCGCTCGGGACGGAACTCCTCGGGCTGGGGGTACTTGACAGGGTTGCGAAGGAAAGCCCAGTCGAGAGGAAGAATGCGTGTGCCCTTGGGGATGAAATACCCTTGGAACCAGTCGTCGGCCTCGGCTTCGTGGGCAACACCTAATATCAGGTCAGTCTCAGTAGCATCCGTCGCTCATTCTGCACTTACCAGTAGGTACCGTTGGCTTCCATCGCATCGTCTCCTTGATACACGCACGGAGAATGGGTAGGTTGGGCAAATCGGCGACGGCAGGAGGCTGGTTGCCACAAACGCGGTCAATCTCCTCTTGGCACTTGACCTGCCATTCAGGGTGGTGAACCATGCTGATCAGGAAGTAGTAGATGGGTCCAGTGACAGTGAAAATACCGACAAGCGCCATCATTCCGATCACGCAAGACGCTTCGTAGTCACCTGAGATGTTTGACTTTTCCGCGGTTTCCAGATAATTCTTGGTGAAGCAAGACCTTTGCTTACCCATCTCCATACTCTTCTTGGTCTTCTGGAGGCACTGCATGAAGAAAGCTTGCTGATCATCATGGCGCTTGCGCTCCCGGAGCTTCCAGGGGTTGATCGGTTCGGGGACCCAATCCCAGAGGGGAGTCAAGACGTTAGTGATCGGACCGGCGGGAGACATCTGAGTGAGCAGACCCCATGCGCTGGGTGTAAGAGGAATGCTGAGCGATGGGTCGTCCCATGTCAACTGGCACATGACCTTGGAGCACATGTCTTCGAGAGAAAAACTGAAATCATCGGGGTTCTCCAAGAGCCTGGCCATCCATCGTTTGGCTTCGAACTCCATGATACCGTTATACCGCACATTCGTAGCACCGGTAAGGTATGAGTGAGTGAACTTTCGCTGACGAGCCCAGTATTCTACTTTTGTTAGCGACATTCGTTCCAAACATCGTCGGCGGACTTACGATTCTTTCCCATGAGAGGCAAGTACTCCATTGAGCCGTATGTGCTTTTGGCATCGAACAGCGACTTGATTTCGGGTCGGTCCGAATACAACTTTGCTTTTTTTACAAGCATGTCTTCGGCAATCTTCTCATCAGTGATGATGATGAAGTTCGCGCCCAACATCTTCGTCCGGTAGATGGGACCATACATGTCGGCCCACTCCTTGAACTTCAACCACATGAACTCGATGGGAAGATCGTGAATGCGTCCAACCCACGGTACCTGCCAGGGGCCAGGCATGTTCTGAACGTTGTACCTCTTGTCGTACTTGCCGACAGCGTCGATGACAGCGTAAACGATGAGACCGACGACCGCGACGCCGAGGGCATAAGCTGTGAATGGATGCATGATGTGCGGGAGATAGTCGAGAGATTGTGTGGAAAGTTCCAAGCCAGTTATGGTGAGTGTCGATTGACTGTTGCCAAGAGCCTTGGGCGGGGATGTAGGTTGGAAGGACCGAAATAACACAAAAAACCACAGCGTGGAGAGTGCTGGTAGATATCACACCACAGGATGGAGTAGTACTGCCTCTTCTACGGCTCCCCAGACCTTGACTTATATGCAGCCATATAGGGACTATTGGCGCGGCGAGACCGTTCACAGCAGCAGATTCATCGGCGTCTGGATGAGCACAGCCGATATGGACCTAAGGATCGCCTAGAGCGACAGACGGCAGATTCATCCAATAGCCAGGGTTGGAAACTACTAATTTCCATATCTTGCCAGGATGCTAATCTCACTAGCATCCTTGTTGATCGCAACATTTGTTCCCGTCACAGCGGAAGAGGCAGAGGTCGGTGCTGGCGGGCGCCGATTATGACATAGTGAATAGCTTGGATCTGGGCTAACATGTATCGGTGCGTCTGGAGAGCATAGAGATCGACAAGAACTAAGTTCACTTTCAGGAACTTAAGCGTATCGAAACAGTCACCCCTGGCATTGAAAGCTTCATACAGCTGACAGAGCAACATTTCTAGTGGCTAAGGTTCCAACTCCCGCCGTCTCTAAGTAAATTACCGTTATATTCGTGCTCCCAGACCCAAGTATCAACAACAGATACCAAGTCGGCAGCCGGCATATCACCGCGCCGTGAGACCCTCTTTAGTATCGACTTATGCTGCATAGTTATCAGCATGGGTGTCACAATTACTCTTCGTCCGTAATTGCTGTTACTAGTCAAACACCTCAATAATGAGTACCAGCGGCGCACCGCAGTTCTGAAACCAAGCCCCTCAGCTTTCGTTACACCAAAAAAATTACTCTCGAAGATCCCTAAAGAAATGTGCCCAACTCAGCCAGCCTTCACGCCCTGCTGTTTACTGACCCAGAGCCTTGAAGTCTAAGCGTCATTAGGAAGGATGTAGTATATTTAGCGACATTACACATCAATCAGATCTCAACCGCTGCGGTCATCAAGTACCCACGTGGATCCGTGAGATCCAGCCGTGAGATAGGCGATAGGCTGGGAGTACCGCGGAACTCATATCAGCGTATAAGCGCAACACAACAACCTTGAACTCGATCTCGTTTGGAAATGGCTTAGGGTGCCGTTGAGCGCGCTTGGCCTCCGGAGTTTGTGGGGAACCATAGCGCGGCCGCACAGACGCAGACAAGTCGGGAGTTTTGGCTAGCGCGGGGGACCATTCGTCGTCATCGAGATCGGTCCAAGACCAAACAAGCCGTGTTCCTGACAATCTGCCGCCAAGTGCAATGATCATTGTATCGTCCAATACTTGCATGCAATCGTACGAGGGTGAAGGTACAACATCGAGACATGTCGGCCATTCGGACATCCGAGGGTCTTCGGCAACCCTCACTGGTACCCCAACGGAGAATGCAAATGAAGGCAGCCTTCAAGATGTATGAAAGGCAGGCGCGGCTTGGTGAGGATTCGGTTTCGATGATACACCCACCTCCAAACCATCCTACACACTAAACCGCAATCATGCCTCACGCTCTTACTTCCCGCGACTCCACGATGGAGTCGAAGCCAGTAGGCTCATACCCTAACACTGGCATCGACGTCCTCATCGTGGGTACTGGCCTGGCTGGCCTGGTTGCTGCTCTCGAGTGCACACGTAAAGGACACAATGTTCGTGTACTGGAGAGGAATGCAGACATCAACACAGCTGGTGAGCAGCACTCTCAAACTACAGTGCCGACGCGTCGCTCATAATGTGATTTAGGTGACATGTACTTCATGGGCCTCAGTGCGACCCGTTTCTTGAAGCACTGGCCTGAACTGCTCAAGGAGTACAAGAAGATTTCCCTCCACAATGCCTGGATTGAGACATTCAAGCACTCTGGCGAGGTTGTCATTGGACCCAAGAAGGTGGCGGATCGCCTTCGCGCACAAGGGCTGGACCCTGATACCCCTCCTGGCGAGTTCCAGATGCGCCCGCTCGTCTACAAAATGTTTGTTAGCGCCGTAGAGAACCTTGGTGTTTCAGTAGAGTTCAACCGCAGGGTTGTAGACTACTTCGAGGACGAGCAGACTGGCAAGGGTGGCTGTACCACCGACGATGGCAAGCGCTACGAAGCGGATGTGGTCATTGCAGCCGATGGTGTTGGGTCAAAGAGCCAGAAGCTGGTGGGTGGACAAGTGCGCGCGAGGCCCTCTGGCAGGGCTATGTGGCGTGCTGCTTTCCCCAGGGAGGCTCTTGACAAGGACCCGGAGGTCAAAGAGTTCTTCAAGATGATGCCAGGGAACGAACCCATCGTCAGGACATGGTTGGGGTAAGTGCTTGTACCTGCACTGGTCGAAGCTCTACTAACACTCATAGCCCCTCCACATACGCGCTTACACTGTCCCGCGAGGATGTCATGGTTTGGATTATGAACCATGACGTCACCGGTACTGAGAAGGAATCCTGGAATAACACCATCGAGAAGGAAGAGGTTCTCGACGGCATGGACACTATGCCAGGTATGGAAACGATCAAGTGGGCGCCCATCTTCAAGCAGCTCGTCGAAGTTACCCCACCGAAGACTATTGTCAACTTCGAGCTTCTCTGGCGCAACCCGCAACCCAGCTGGACCTCTCCAGCTGCCCGCGTCATCCAGATTGGTGACGCTGCACACTCATACCTGCCAGCTTCTGGCAACGGTGCGACTCAGGCCATCGAGGACGCCATCTCAATAGCCTCATGTCTACAGGTTGGCGGCAAGGAGAACATTCCTCAATCCGTCCGTGTGCACATCCGTTTCCGGTGAGTTATTACCCTACATTTTCTCTCATTATACAGGCATACTAACACAACATAACAGATTCATCCGTAACTCCTGCGCTCAGAAGCTTGGTTTCTCCAATGCAGAACTCCTCCAAGATACGGACTGGGACAAGGTCAAGCTTGATCCTCGCCGTGCCGCTCCCAAGCTGCCTAAGTGGGTATGGTCTCACGACCCTGAGGCCTATGTATACGAGAACTACGAGAAGAGTGCGAAGTCGCTGAAAGAGGGCGTTGACATGAAAGATGAGGACAAGTTTGAGCCCAACTACCCCAGGGGCTACAAATACGAGCCTTGGAGCATCGAGAAGATCATGGATGACATGAGGGCGGGTAAGCCGATTGATCTTGGAGCTGGTGACTGGGAGTAAGCATGGGCATAGGGAAGCATAGCCGCAGGATGAACTGCGTGTACGGCGTTACAAACATGTGTCATGAGCACTGGATAGCGAAATATTATTTTAACCACTTCAACCACTCTGCATTTGTGCTTTACGTGTGTGCTTTCAATATCTGACAAGAGGGCTCTTCGTTGATGTCCTCAGCACGCTTTACCCTTCTAGGACAAGCTTTTCCACAACGGGAGCGGCCGTATCTTCGGCGGTCTTTTCCATCAATGACAGCGGCCGCTTCGACCGTGCAGTCCGGTGACTGACTCGCCTTCTCTCATCTCTCATCGAATACTCTTACGCTGCTGACGCCAGACACGCGCGCACCGATGTGTCCGTCGTGTTGTCGGCACGAGAACTGTGTAAGCGACGTGGTACAAAGCATCTGCAGGCCCGCCGCAAGCACGCGTTTCACGACTGAGATGCTCCGGAAAGGAAGTTTCCCGTTCCTGGCTTCCAAAGTTCAACCTAAACAAGCAGCGCAACCTTAGAATTCTGTCTCGGGACGGGCACCCAAGAATCAAACTTCTTTTTTCTTCTCTCGCATCCGGACTTAGTGGCTGGACTCGCCGGCCGCCTGCTTTACACCCGTCGCCCTGCAGTGCGCTTGAACCTCGACGGATCCCGAAGAGGTTTGGTAGAAACGGACATTGTCCTCCAACGCATCGCCATCGTATCTCCCATGTTGAATTGGAAAGTTGGCGCAGGTTACATCGCGACCTCCGAAGAACCGCCGACAGACGATCTTTCTCACATATCTACCAGGTTACAAGTATCCACCCTGCAATCGCAACACAGCCCACCAAATCCTGTCTAATTCCTTCTTCCATTGATTATCGATCCCATGTCACGGCTCTCCACCGGACTCCTGAAAGATTAGATGTCTGATGTGCAAGCGGTACTTCATTATTTGGTCTAGAGCGGGAATACACGGCGCGCAGAGAAGTCTATGACGCTGCCTAGTCGCGCTAGTGTTTACTACAGACAGGGGACTTGTTGAGCCTTGCACTATGGATGAAAGAGGGAAATGGGAGGGGTTTGAGGTGGCTTGGAAGGGTACAGGAGAGGGGTTTGTAGGAATGTGGCGGAAGGAGGAATATGGTGAGCTGTAAGGGCGAAAATTGGGGAAGATGCGAGAGCATCATGTACGACTACGAACATACATTTTCTGAGAAGACAATTTAATAAATCCTTTATTCTAGGGCAGATGTTTTTGATGCCTATTGGTTCGGAGTGGAGAGTTTATGGGCACATCTCTACGAACGCTGGCACGTTGTGGATGCGCGAACACGTGATTTGAGTGTGCCAATGATCGTTGCTGCATGCATCCACAACCATCAAGCACCGTCTGTCATGTATACATGCCAAGTACGACACCACAAGCCTTGTCTCGAGACCATGTGTTCTTCGCCATCGCCTCAGAATCGAAGATCCTCGTTCACAACTCCATGCAAACGAATCTGCAGCTCTTCCGCTTTCTTACTGTGCATAAACTCTCGTACACTCTCAACCCTCTTTCCGTCTTTGCTCAACTTTACGAACAGCACACACTCCGTCCACCATTCCGTAATTCCACCCTCAGCCAACTCTGCGCCGAGTTCATGGTCTGCATCTACATTGCCTCCCATCTTGCAGTGAGCTACTACGGTATCTGTATCTCTCGAAAAGTGCACTGCTTTGCCTCCATGTCCGTCATCTTCTGGGACTACCTGGAAATCGCTGAAGATCTCGAAAACTGTTTGTGAATGCTCGCGGAAAGATTCGATTGAGCGTGTGGGTAGGTGCAAGTCTGCAGGGAGAGATGTATGGGTGAAGTCTCGGGTTGCGTTGGTCGTCAGGGCTTGAGGGCGGAGAGTCGAGTAGCTTTCTATGAATCTGTTGAATGTTTCAATGTGTGCGGTCGAATCTTGCGCTTGCGATGGGTAGAGGTAGTATGCGAGAGGTGCAAGAGTGGCAATTGCCGCGAGGGTTCCGGTGGCAAAGCGTATCTCTGATGGAGAGAAGCCTAGGTCTGACATTGTGATGTTACTGGGATTTCCTGATGAGGTTGCAATGCCTGTCGAGCGTCCGTATCAGTGGTGTCTGCAGTTTCAACTTCCCGTTTTTCATTCGCCACTGGCACTGGTTCGCCGTTTCCTGCTAGAGCCTGGTAGCGTCTAAGTTGATCTGACGGCGCACTACAGCATCTACCCGGGTGATCATTCAAGCCGTAAATAACCCAACTATGATCTACGGACCCGTCTACTATTGCGGCTTCCAGGTGCAACACCGGTGATCAAACTTTGAACCCCTCCATGGCTTGCATCTAGTTGTGTTGAGCTCGGTCTCCGTACTGCTCCTGCATAATCACCGCAATGTCGGTGTGGTCCTCCACCGACCTGCGGCGCTGTGGAACCTTATGACGAAGCAACCATTCGTTGTGCGGGCCACAATCTCCGCAATCCAGTCGTGAGATCAGCATCCAGAAGAGTGGAGCTGTGTACTGAACAGAAGCAACGATGGTACTAAGGTGTTGCGGGGCCGGCAACCCCATCCTTTGCGCGACGCGTTGATCTGAAGCTGTGCATATTATCGAGGCTTCCTCTACTTTTCTGTAGTTATCGTTCTTCCTGCTTATTCTTGAATTTGAGGCTGAAGACAAGCTCGACCTATAGCGGTAACATAAGCCTCGCGAAGCCAAGCAATCCTTCTACCCTAACAAGCAACCCCGCCATGGCCGCCACGAAAGCTATCCTTGTAACCGGCGCTACTGGTAAGCAAGGTGGTGCCGTACTCGAACAACTCGCAAAACACCCATCGCACGCCGAATATACGCTCTTGGCTGTCACCCGTGACGCCAATTCCGGCTCTGCGAAGAAGATTGTTGAGCGTCATCCCGACGTCAAGTTGGTGCAAGGCAATCTGGACGATTGCCCTGCGCTCTTCGAATCAGCCAAAGCTACACTCAAAGAAGCCGGCAAAGAAGAGAAGATTTGGGGTGTGTACTCTGTACAAGTCTCTCTGGGCAAAAATGTCACCCACGAGAGCGAGGTTGTACAGGGCAACAACCTAATCGACGAGTCGATCAAGGAAGGCGTCACTCACTTTGTTTACTCCAGTGTCGACCGCGGCGGCAACGAACGCAGTTTCGAGAACCCAACACCCATTCCGCATTTCCAGAGCAAGTACGAGATCGAGAAGCATCTTCTCGAGAAGGCCGGCAAGAATGGCGAGAACATGGGCTGGACCATTCTCCGACCCGTTGCATTTATGGACAACCTCGTACCGGGTTTTCCAAGCAAAGTCTTCCTTGCTGCGCTCCGCGATACACTGCAGGGCAAGTCCAATCAGTGGGTGTCCGTTGAAGACATTGGCCTCTTCGGTGCTAAGGCATTCGTCAACAACAAGGAATGGAACGGACGCGCCGAGGCTCTCGCCGGCAGTGAGCTCACCATGGACGAGATGAGTGGATGCTTTGAGCGTGTTATCGGCAGTCCGGTGCCGGCAACATATGGCATGTTTGGCTCCGCGCTTATGTGGGCCGTCACTGAAGTGAACGTCATGATCAGCTGGTTCGCATCGGAAGGATATGGCTGTGATATCAACAAGTTGAAGAAGGAGGAGCCCAAGCTGTGCGATTTCGAGACCTGGCTGGCAGAGAGAAGTGGGTGGAAGGGACAGGCCATCAAGCGATAGATGATGATGCTTCCATATGCTGGCGGGGATAAGCCTCTAGCGTCGGGGTTTGAGCGTTTTGGGATCTTGACCCTTGTTTGTGTGTCTTCTGGAGTTTCCAATGAATCCATGATCTTCCCGCAATGCTTGTCTAATATTAACAACCTCACATAAAATCCCCGATGCATATGCTCATAGTTCTTTGTGGTGTTATTCACATACTTAGGGGGTTTGCTGACCGCGAATCGAACACAGTGGCGTCAAAATCTTGCCCTGGATACACATGAATTTCCTTTCCTAGCACATTTCCATCATTATGAATATGTTGGTGACACAGCAGATCCGTCTTTTGCATAGTCTCACATGTCAAATCTTGCGAGTAATGTGAGGAGCGTAATTGATCGTACGTTTGATTGATCCTATGCTAAACTCCAAAGACCTCCATTCTAGAAAGACAAGACAGTAGGGCGCACCACAGCCAAACTCCTACTTCCAAAGACGGGAAACACTCCAGCAGTCTACAAAGAAAGCAGGTTCCACAGTGCCAAACCACCAGCGATAGCCGGTGTAACCAATCTCAACTGGTTCCAGCTCGCCCACTTCGTCGCAACGCTCTGCGCCTCACCCAACTCCTTCTCATTGCTCCTCTCTGCCAATGCCTCCAACTTATCGTTTAGCGGCTGCATGTTGATAGCCGAGTGCAGGATAGTTGTCAAGTGCATGATAGCTGAAACACCGAAGAGCTTCCAGTCGCTGCGGGCGAGCATGCCCTCGCGGTAGACTGAGTAGCTAGCGTAGGCGTAACCCAAGAAGCCCAGAGTTGAGATGGGACGGAAGAATTGGTTGCCGACTGTCCAGCAGAGGGGCCATTGGCGGCCTAGGAGACGTGCGCGATCTTTGTGCTCTGGCGTGCCTGCGCGGGGGAAGTTGACGAGGAGGGCGGGGACGGTCATGTAGGACTGTGTGATGGCATTTCCTAGGATCGTGAGCAGTGAATTTGGGAACTATATGAATCTAGCCTTACCGGCGAGGATGAAGGAGAAGGTGATGCAGGTTCCTGCAACACCCTTTACGTAGATGTTGTCTGACATTTTGGGAGTTTGGTTTGGTATATGTGATGGATCAAATCTTGACGACTTTAGGAGTATGGGAAGGAGGAATGAACGCGTTCAATAACACAAGAACTTTCAGCGACGACAACCTCCAATTAACAATTCCCATCAACAAACACCGAAACTTATTTCGCGACTAGCAACTATGCATTTCCGTTCCGAGACCCCAAAAGCCCGCCTTGGGTAACTCCACCCTGCATTATGGTGTGATGGACGGCGTTCCTGGCGGCCGTAGTTCGGTTCCCCACGGCCGTCGCGTCCCACCAGGCGCACTCCCGTTTTGAGCGATCTCGATTACATCACGACAGGGGCCTGCATTTGGGAGTAACCTTTGACTTTAAGGAACGTTTGCATCGGTGTGCACCGGATGCGTCCTGCGTCCGATTGCGATAAAGTCGGTGAGTTTCCTGCCACGCGTTGGCGGAGTTTATAGCTTTTGGGACGCTGATGCTATGGCGAGAGCAGGAGATTGCTCCGGCAGCTTGAATCCCTAACCATGAGCATTGAGGTTCTCATCGCACATAGTGTAGCAGTCCAAACAGTCATGGCGAGGTTCGATTCATATTTCAAACCTCAGACATCAAGTGAGAGGCGTGCGAGAAGGATATCTCGTGAATGAAAGAAGCATACTTATATACGTGTGCTCTTTGTCAACGCTACGTCTCAGTATACAACAACACAAACGACACAAACACTACAACTATCGTAGCTTCGTATCTCAGGTTTGCATAAAATGTGCAAATCTTCCAAAGTTGCTAAATGGTTTCGATGATCATGTAACGACATTTTGTATATTTATACGAATTTGCGCACTTAGGATAAATCACGTAGACACCTTGTAATCATAGCGAGTTTGGCAACAATTTTTGATGTAATGCCATTTGCACAAATGAAGATAAAAACGCAAGAGAAAAGAGTTCTTGGAGGTAAACATATACTTCCCAGAGCCTCCGGGTCCAGAGCATGCAAGTTGATGGAGGACTACCAAGTGTGTATTGTATATAGTTACATTACATATGGGACTGCAGGTACTTGCTCATCATGATGCGATTTTTCCAAGATCGAAAGATGGTAGCGCCATCCATGATCAGGATTCAAGGGCTTTTCAGAAGGCCCAATTCACAAGCCAGGGCTGTTGGCAGCTCAAACAGTCGATCTCAATATTATGAAAACATATGAAGTTTTGCATAGTATCCCAGATACTGTGTCTAGTCCGCTCTCTGTATACCATCCGCCCAACTCGGCTCAATACCACTACAAACATCTACATAGGCATCCCACTTCCTCAACTCCCTCATCCTGTCCACCCCTCCCCATTCACTAGCATCCCAACCATTCTCCACGCCCTGCGTAGTCCAGAACATGGTCCACTGGTCACCTGGTAAGTTCCACATACCCTTGCTCCGCTCCTGATACCACTTATTCACGGGATTGCTGGTCCGACTCCTCCAGACTACGCCATCGGGAAAGCACGTTCGTGTCAAAGCAGCCCAAACAATATCTGACACGCCACCGGAGCCTTGGGATGATGTGAGGACGGCAAATTTATCCAGGTAAGGGACGTAGTAAGGCGAATCTGGAGAAGGGTGGGTAGGATGGCTGAGTCCATACAGGGATTTAGGAGTCTCCCATGTACAGATTGCGCCGCCTTCGTAGTCGCCTGCTATGATGATGCCAGCAACACGACCACGGATGCGGTCCAGGTAGTTCTTGGGATGAAGCTTTCGTCGAAAAGAGTCGTCGATGAGATTAACAAGTTTGGGGAAGTTGATACGTGGGTCATCTGCTAGCTCTATGCTCGGGTTCGTTGCAGATGGTGGCTGCCATGGCCCATGAATGCGCGGGTCTGGAATCATCGTAAGTGGTATGCCTTTCTTGAAGAAGGTGGCAGGGTTAGGTGTAGTGGATCCCAGGAAACGAGAAGTTGGTGATGTAGGTAACGATGAAGATGTCATCGGCTTGTCGGTCAACACGTTGTGTAGTAAAGGGTTCTTCGCAGGCGAAGTCCGCGCATCGTCAGGTATAGCCTTCCTTGCAGCTTCTAGCGGCGTCAGAACGAGGCCAGAGGAGGATGGAGGTAGCAGTTTCAGGCCGCGCTCGACCACTTCGAGATTCCTCAAGTGACGCATAGGAGCCGAGTTGCTAACTTGTTGTGGCTTTGTGCCCGGTAATGATGCAACTTCTTCCTCGACAAACTTTGAGAATGGGTTGCCGGTGCCAAGCGATACTGAATGGTTGATCTTGTCATCCGGAGTTGCTGACGATAGCTGCAGAAGCTCCTTCTTTATGTCGCGGTATTCAGCTTCTAGGTTGACGAATACGTGAGCGCCATCTGCTCGTTTCTCCGATGGTATGCCACCAAGCGGATCGAGGATGATGATGCGGTCCAGGATAGGCCTCTCTACAAGGTCTTCTGTTTTGTACAGTGCGCCACCAATTGAGCCATTACCGCCTGCCTGGCCAGCGAGACCGGCAAACTCGCGAACAAGGGCAAGAAGCACGTCGTCCGCCTGGACCCTGACCTTCTTCAGATTTGCATCGTACGCGAACGGGGTGATCACTGGGATGACGCCGTCGTCTATGGGTGGAAAGAGTAGGTAGCTATGCTGGACCTCTACACCTCCCCGCACCTGTACAGTACTGGGCATGCCATCGGCCTGTGGGGAGTAGCCCAAAGCGTCTTCGACCAACAGGCCTCCTGGCTCGTTGTATTCTTCCAGCGCTGCCACTAAGCGCAGTGCCTGCTCTCTGACCATGTTTCCATATTCGAGCGTGAGCTCTGTGTTGTATGCACCGGTGTCCTGGTCGCAGTCTAATACAACAGCGGTGCTGAGCCCCAGCTGTGCCATCTGACTCAACGTCAATGCGATATCCCCCAGGGTGCGGTCGTCGAGCGTCTGAGGCTGCCGAAGTTTGACGAGTGCCAGATGTATCGGCTCATGCTTCTCTTCCGCCTGATACTCCTGCTCTGGGAGCGGTTCGCGCGTAAAGACGGTAGGCTTGTACAAGTCGCCCAGATTCACGCCTGTTCGTAGGGAACCTGAATCATTGTGTATCTTTTCACTAACGAGCTCCTTGGCCTTTGCTGCGATCGCGGCTTTGCTCTTTTTGGGGGCATCGAATTGCTTCAGAAAGTTGCGCGCATCGCGTTTGCCGGGCGACTCCTTCAGCAGGCGCGTCAACTGCTGGCGTTCGGCGCGCTGGCGCTCTTTCGCTGAGCTCGACGATTTTCGAATATAGGTCGTGGACGTGGATAGATGCGCATATTGGATCTTTTCAAAGACCTTACTACTTTCATCGCGCTTGGGAAGCTGTCAACTGTCAGTACCGTCACGATTACGAATCAACGCGTAGCACGCACCTTCTTTGTAGCTTTCCCCAAGCCCCTCGCGGGGGCTTTGCTCCAGATGAACATGCTTCATGCTACCGTCCAGCCGCTGAACACATCATGGACCGAATTTTTGTGATCGGGAGCTCGGAGCAGAGGTATGACTCTGCAATTGTGTGGGGAAATGCGCCCGCATCCGCATTTTCGAGGGCCCAAACATCGATAACAGCGTGGGAACGTCATTTGCTGGTAACCGACATCGGCCCGGTTGTAGTCTTATCCCCGGGCCTACTGACGGATGACGATGATGAACACCATGACGAAGCGCTTATTCACGGTGCTCAAGGTATAAGCATTGAATTGTATAAGTTGTTGTACTTGGCATTGCTTCTTCGTTGAGAGTAGAGACACGTTCAGATACCAGAAGAAAACATGGCGCCACAACTCGCTTGGATTGGCCTCGGCAACATGGGCAGGGCAAGTATAGACCATTGTTACTCAACATGCCGCTGACTTTTATAGGGCATGTGCAAAGTATGAGGCATCCAGGATATTCATGCAAACCCATACTAAACAAACATCATAGAATTTGGTTGAGAAAGGCAACCTCGACAAGCCCCTGATCCTTTACAACCGCACCAAATCCCGCTCTGAAGATCTCGCCTCTAAACTCGGCAGCTCCAAGACAAAAGTTGTCGATACCATCAGCGATGCCGTGAAATCTTCCGATATCATCCTCATGTGTCTGGGCGACGATGCAGCCGTTAACTCTGCTGTTGATACAATGCTCGAAGCTGGTGTTAGTGGCAAAGTAATTGTAGATTGCTCTACCGTGCATCCTGATACTACAAATGCATTGGAGAAGAAAATCACAGAGAAGGGTGGTGAATTCGTGGGTATGCCTGGTAAGTTTTGTGTACCACTACGACTATACTCATACATGCCGAGTCTAACTCCGTTCCAGTATTCGGCGCGCCAGCTATGGCCGATAATGGCCAACTTGTCTGCGTGACAGCAGGTTCAAAGGCCTCGTGCGAGAAGGTAGTACCGTACACAACAGGCGTTATGGGCCGCACAAACATCGACTTCTCAGGACAGCCAGCAGGAAACGCCACACTTATGAAGGTCATCGGAAACACTTTCATCCTTAACATGGTCTCGCAGCTATCTGAGGGCCACGTCCTGGCAGAGAAATCTGGACTGGGAGTCGACAACCTCCACACTTTCATCTCAACCATGTTCCCTGGCCCCTACACAGCTTACTCGCAGCGCATGCTGGCGGGCGACTACTATCAGCGCGAGGAGCCTCTCTTCCACATTGACCTGGCTAGGAAGGATGCAAGACACGCCATGTCACTGGCGGAAAGCAGTGGCGCGAAGGATAGTATGAAGATGCTGGGGTTGGCGCAGGGCAGATTGGATGGTGTAAAGAGTGAGATCGGGGATAGAGGAGATATCCCCAGTGTGTATGGAGTCGTGAGGAAAGAGAGCGGACTGGAATTTAAGAACAAGGGATAGAGGAATAATTGTTCCGTTGCTGTTCTGGAAACACAAGATGATCTTCCCCTTGCGATCGCTGTGTTCGTGCTTAGCATGAGGTTTACACAAGCGGTATTTATCTGGCGCTAATGTGACTGCCGCCGCTACCAGCATGGTGATCGCGACCTATGTTCGACTCACTTTCCATAGTGATAACAAGTGCGTGCGCATTCTGCCCGCGGATTTTCAACGCGGCTCGAACATGATGCGACACAGGCTGATCACTGCCCAATCCAATCTCTCTCGATGCACGTCGTCGGTCTAACTCTGCCGAGGATGCATCATCTGTCAAAGCATTCTCCCAACGTCGCATCCCGCTAGTCTTTTCGGCGTTAAAATCCCCAGGTTCTACCCCAGCTTCTCCCTCCCCCACCCCTTGATGAGGTCAAGCTTCGGCTTGGCTGCAACGGCGGCTTCAATGAACCAACCTCTGAGATTGAGCCTTTTATGTCGAAACCTGGTTGCGTGCATAGTCTTGCCGCTGCCTGACGTGGGTGAGTAGTACTTGAGAGGCCTCGCGACCCTGCGACTTCTCCACGTCACAATTGCCCTAGGTTCACTGTTCATCTCACCTCAACGCACATGCTCTGGTCTTTGGTCCAGTTCACGACGCGATCAGTATTGCCAATTTACTAGTTGCTAACCGGCATTCCTATCGCATTACAAGCACAACATGGGTTTCCTTAGGAGACCTACATTGCGCAGTCGCGACGATCAGAGGACGCGCGCTGCTGAACTCACCTTGCGCGAGTCCATCTATCCACTCTGCCTCGTCACCATTCTTTTCTTCCTTTGGGTGAGCCATGACAACGCACTACAACAAGAGTAACTAAATAACCACTACACAGGGTTTCTCGTACGGCCTTATCGATACTTTGAACAAGCACTTTCAGGACGTCCTCGGCATAACGCGTGCTCGCTCTTCTGGCTTGCAGGCAGCATACTTCGGTGCATACCCGCTCGCTTCACTGGGACATGCCAACTGGCTACTGCGCCATTGGGGTTACAAAGCCACCTTCATCTGGGGGCTGTGCCTTTATGGTTTAGGCTCTCTGCTTGCTTGGCCATGTCTCGTTTACCGTTCGTTTGGGGGCTTCTGCGTGGCTATCTTCGTAATTGGTAACGGACTCGGCTCGCTTGAGACAGCAGCAAATCCTTATCTAGCCGGTAGGTACGACTCATTGAAGTGTTGACTCGAGTGCTGATGAGGGTAGTTTGTGGACCACCAAAGTATTCCGAGATCAGAATCAACATTGCGCAAGCTTTCAACGGCATTGGCACTGTGGTCGCGCCGGTCCTTGGGTCCTATGTCTTCTTCAACCACGTAGGAACCGATCAAACAGCCCTTGAGAATGTACAGTGGACGTACCTCGGCATCGCATGTTTCGTCTTTGCCCTTGCGATTCTGTACTACTTTACAGAAATTCCTGAGATTACTGGCAAGTTTCCCCTTTGACTAAACGTCATCAGGTGCTGACGTTTTGTAGATGCCGACATGGCTTTCCAAGCAGAGAGTACTCACGCTGGTACTGATGTAAAACCTTTCCGCAAACAATATCGTTTGTTCCATGCGACCTTTGCTCAATTCTGCTACACCGGGGCGCAGGTGGCGATAGCTGGAGCGTTCATCAACTACGTCGTCGAGACACGAGTTACAGCAGGCCACGAGACAGACAACTCAACAGCAGCCCGTTTTCTTGCTGGTGCACAGGGCTGTTTCACCATGGGTAGATTCGTGGGTAGTGCCCTCATGAAGTTTGTCAAACCACGATGGGTGTTTCTCGTCTTCATGACAATGTGCATCATCTTCATCATCCCGGCCATTACCGAACGAGGCAATACTGGCATGAGCATGCTGTACATTGTACTCTTTTTCGAGAGTATCATCTTCCCGACCATCGTTGCGCTTGGCATGCGTGGATTGGGCAAGTATTCCAAGCGTGGCTCAGGCTTCATTGTAGCTGGTGTTTCGGGCGGCGCTGTCGTGCCCCCACTGCTCTTCGGAGCGAGTGATACACTGGGAAAGGCAAGGCCTCTTGAGGGATACTCGCCAACTGCCATTGCGATGACTGTTCCATTGGCGTTTTTTGTCGCAGCGTGGAGTTACTCTTTCTGTGTCAACTTTGTGCCAGCTTACCGCAACGTGGCAGATAAGTTCTCGACGGCAGAGATTGGCATCAGCAATGCGCACGCAAATGACCCGGAGAGCCAGATGGAGCAGAAAGATGGTGGCGCACTTGGTAAGAACGAGTCGCCAGCACATACAGAGGCGGTGGATATCGACAGTAAGACCTAGGATGACTCTCTCATTGAGCCGGATGAGGAGGATCAGTCCAAAGTGGCTGTGAAGGGTACTGGCGAGGAGAAAGTGAGGGTCATCCTCACTAGGGTACATAGCTATCCATGAGTCTTGAAGTCATGACAGACCGAAAAGGTTGAAATGAAAGCAAGTATACTACTGTGTCTACTCCAATCCGATCGAGAAGAATACGAGCCTGATGCTGACAAGAGACGGCATCGGAAGTGAACTTAGCCGCGAATGCTTGGCATTAGGACAAAGTGAGGCGCATGCATGTTACCGCACTGTGAGGACCTGTATGTACCCCACCATTCGTTCGCAAGCCGGGCTGTATTCGTGGCGGGCTAACCTTGGTATTGATGACGACTGAGGTTTGCGTAACCAAGGCGGTGTCATGGTGGCAAATATCGTCGTGCAGAGGCAGTGAAGTTGGTCTACATACTACTCATGGTATCTCAGAGTGACGATCCCAAGTTGCGCACGTCTCACGGCGAGGCGTAGCAGTGTCGAATGTCTGCCGTAATAGCCGTCTTGCGTATGTGATGTAATTTTGGATGGTCCTTTGAGATGGTGGCCAAGGGTCCTGATCTGCAACTGCAGGGTCTCATCACCCACCCACTCACTACAGAATCCACGTAGCAAGTAGTAAGTAGCAAATGGGTGCATATGGGATTCTTCGTAGAGACTCGTATTCCGCGTATAGCTGGCACTCTAGTTCGTGAAGTCGGGGAGGGCACGGACTTCTCCACCGTCCCGTTAGTGAGGGTCGTTAGCACAGCCCACTGGAGAGCTGCAGGTGCCGAGCAGCCGTGCCTGAAGTGACGCGGGCCTCAGTACACAAGCACAATCTCACGTCGCTCTACTCACCACCAGGTCATGTCGATTGTCTTTGGCTGCGACTACTGCTTTCTCTCGCAGCCTTAAATCGCAATCACGAAGAATGCGGCGGTCATGGACAGAAAGGCGCTCTTCTTCCCGTGGTAAGCACAAACCTAGGCTACCAGCAGTTACAGTAGCTGACAGACAATAGCGGCCTCGTCTTAGCATCCGGTTACTTGAGCACTGCAACCCCCATCGACTACTCTTTCGCCTTGGACAAGCCGCTGCACACTGTCGCCATCGTGTTACTGCTGACTGGTCTCGCCGTTGTCGCAATTGAAGCCTGGTCATCGCGCAGTGCCCAGCCGCAGCCGCCGACAAGATATATCGCCATAGCGCTGAACCAGGTCCAGAGCAGACATGCTGTCGAGGAGATATGGACCGAGGCGGGCCAGCCAGGGAGACGGAGAGGATGGAGCGTAAGGGCTGTCGGCGCGCTGCTGGCCGTCCTGCTCTTCGCAATCTGCGGGCGCATAGCCATCTTCTACCGCGTCACCAAGGACGTCGAGTGCAGCGGTCCTTCTGCATTGGTGCGCAAACCTCAGTTCATTGTATGTGCCTATACTGATCAATACAGGCGTTCCTTCCTCTTGTCATCGCCCTCTACCACAGCATCCGTCACCCCAGCCAGCGACAATACCCCGCCTGGAGTGCTGACACGCGCCCACGCACACACCTCGACAGCGTCTACAGCTTCGTCTTCGACGGCTCCACCCGCTACATCATTCCTTCTTTTCTACTCTCCGTCAGTAGCTTCCTTGTCATCATCAAGTCCAGCGCATTGCGCTCGACGTACATTTGTCCCATCGCAAACTCGACAGCGACCACAATTCCTTCCCTTCAATTCTTTGCCTTCTTGCTCGACTGCATCATTGTACAGATATCATACCGTCTGATCGACGATGGCATCTCCGCGGCGGACGACTGGACCATCCACCTGCAGGATGGTACCTCGAACCACCTGCTAGTTGGCTTAACACTTACTGTACGTTGGTTACCATCCTGCATTACTGCACATCTAACTCCGAGTAGGCATCGTCTTTAGTCCTTCTTGTCGCAGGCATTGTCATCTATCCCGCCATGCCCGAGCATCGCGAGTGGATGCTCTCATTTTCGTCTGAATATCTTCTTGGTCTTTTGCGTTTATCGTTGATGATACCCTTTATGACGTTATGTTTCCTCAAATCGGTATGTCACCACTGCCTGTCGTATTACCATGTCACTGACCACGTAGGCTCGGTTGTACGGCGTCATGAGCGCATTGCTCCTAGGTGCATTTTCTTCTGCATATATTGGCGTTCTTCGAGCCCTGGGCACCGGCGTTTCCCACTCATTTCCACCAAAATCCACTGTCGGGCTTGTTCTGTGTTTGACTTTGCTCACCATTGCCCTCATCCTCCATCTCGTCACAGATACCAACATCGAAACCCGCATACGATCCAAAGTGCCGATCCGTCTGGGCAGGAACCAGTCGGCTGGCTTTATCGTACTACTGATTGCCTTCTCCATCGGTGTCGTTATATATCGTCGGCACGGCCCTGTTCTGGAACATCCCATCACTAGTTTGATCGACGTCGCGACAATCCAACACGATCGATGGGCATCACAGGCCTACCGGAGTAGATCTCTCGCCGAGGCCGTCATGCACTATCGACAACGCTACAATCGCGATCCGCCGCCAAATTTTGACAAGTGGTACCACTTCGCCATCAGCCGAAACTCCATCATAATCGACGACTACGACAACATTGAAAAAGACTTGGCACCCTTCTCGTCCTTCAATGCTGATGATCTTCGGTTGCGGACTGCCACTGTCTTGGCTACGCACGAGGGAGTGGGCGGAATTCGCATAAGAGACGGGAAGGTGGACGTGTTCAACAACGTACCTGATACGCATCGCTGGATGATGGATGGCGCGGCGGCCATGATACAGCGATTTGCCCAATCGCTTCCCGATATGGATCTCGCACTGAACCTGCATGACGAGAGCCGTGTCGCCGTACCGTACGAGCGATTACAAGATGCACTAGATAATCCGCAACCGTACCCTACGCCGGAGCCGTCTCGCCCAGGGAAGGATTTCAGCGCTGATCGTGCAAAGAAGTGGCCAGACGTTGACCGCGTACGGTCAGATCCACATTTCTTCAGCGATGCTCGCACTATAGGCTCGTATGAGACATATGGATCCGTCGCATGCCCGCCCGAATCGCGCGCACGAAGAGAACGCCATTGGCATACGAAATCGTTTTGCCACACTTGTACTCAAGTACATTCAATGGGTGCTTTCGTAGCTAATTGGAGTTTGTCATCTGAGCCCTGTCACCAGCCAGATATCGCCAATCTGCACGGCATGCATCTCAGCCCCGCTAGCCTCATGGGTACTCATGACATGGTCCCAATCTTCAGTCAGAGTCGCGCTCCTGGTTTTGTCGATATCAGATACCCATCGCCGTGGAATTACTTGGAAAAGAGCAAGTATGGGTTCGACGAAAAGTTTCCTGATCCCCGCTTTCAGGATAAAGTGGATGTTCTCTTCTGGCGCGGCACAACCACTGAAGGTGTGACCACTCATGGCACCTGGAAAGGCATGCTTCGCCAGCGACTCGTGCATCTCATGAACAACGAGACCTCTCGCCAACCCATCCTTCTCCCGAAACCCGACCACAGCGGTCACTTGGAGTACATGCTGAAGCGCACGACCGATATCAAGAGACTTCTCGAGACCAAAACCGATGTCCGCCTTGTCGGTCCGATCGCGCGCTGCGCAGGCCAAGACTGCATCGACCAGACGCGTGAGTTTGGCTTCGGCGACCCTATTGACTTCAGACAACACTGGCGTTATCGTTACCTATTCGACGCTGACGGCGCTGGCTTCTCTGGTCGTTTTATCCCCTTTCTACAGTCCAATTCTGTCGTCTTCAAAGCTGCCGTCTTTCGCGAATGGTACGAAGGCCGCCTCACCGCCTGGAAACACTTCGTCCCCGTGGACCTCCGCTTGCACGATCTTTTCTCGTCACTAGCCTACTTCGGTGGATATGGTGTCGAGGCAAGGAACAAGCGCATGATGGAGGGTCAGATCAAAGCAGCAGAGAAGATCGCACGAGATGGTAAAGTGTGGACGGAGAAGGTGTTGAGGAAAGAGGACATGGAGGTCTACATGTTCAGGTTATTGCTTGAGTGGGGAAGGCTAACAGATGATGCGAGGACGGAAGTTGGCTTCCGCATGGAGAAAGGGAAAGCGAGTGCTAGTGAGAGGGCGAGTAGTGTTGAGCGAGAGGTGGAGGAGTTATGATGTCGTATTTAGGCAAGGCGTTCAGACTACGGCGTTTTAGGTGGGATAGCATTGCATGGCGTATACTCCAGTCGGAGAACAATCATCGAGATTTCTGTCACTCGCGAGCCGCTCGTTCCTACGTTCTGATATGCTGGTAATCATCTTCGTCATCTCCTTGCTGGCCAAGTCTAGCCGTGCAGCCGGATGCATAAATCGCTATGCAGCGGTCTATATAAACTCTCTTTTCTGACTTCCCATACTTCTTCCTAACAACCACTTCTCTCTCCATTCTCCAAAGAAAAAAGCAACAGGGTAGACCATAGGCTGGAGTTTTCCCTCATAGACAGCTTCCTTTCATTTCTGTGAGTATCGGAGAGTCAGAAGTTCGCGCCTGAAGACGAAAAACTTCCATCGCCTTTGATGTGTTGTTGGAAACCCAACTCCCCAACGTAGAAAAAAGAATTGATCATCTGTTATGTTTGCGAGCTGCGGTCTCTCTTACTTCAAATGATCTGGAGCGAAAAAGAATAAAAGTGACGGTTACAATGCCATGTTTGAGCGAGAGGATATGAAAACACTCTTCAGTATTCCTTCTCTTGTTATTTGTACACGTCCTATCTAAGATACCAAGATCGAAATGGAAACATATAGTATGAATGGCCCGAGTCGGAAGCTCTTCTTAAAAAAGAAAAGAAAAGAACGGCCAATGGATTACATGTGCGCTGCTCTTCGCTCGTTGTTTCCTAAATTGCTTCAATGCATACGATGTTACTTCGGCATTGTCTTCTCTCCCCTGGTTGGAGAAAAGTAAACCTATATCAATAGTCACAGCCAGACATCGTATGGAGGTATTGGTCTCCTGAACGTGATACATTTACTAACTGGGTACTCTCAAATTCAGGCTGAAAAAAAAGTCTCTCTGGTAAATGTCCAAAGCGTCCATCAGAACGAGGCTCAATCCTCGCATCACGATCTGCTTCATCGTACTGGTCAGCAGTCTCCAGCTCCAGCTCGAAGCACCGACGCACTTCATTTGCGTTGTTAACTTCAGCAAACGGTTATTCACCCCCCTATCACACCCGCTCCAGGAGAAAGTTCGAGGGCGCTACTAGTCAAGAGCCACGACGTCACGTAAAGCGCAGTGCAAGTCTGCCAGAGCACCGGCAGGGTTGGGCCTGACTTTCTTCTCTGAGCACGGGCAGATGTTCTGCGTTATGAAGACACGTATATTATCCAGCGTGTAATGTCACAGTCCAGTTAGAGTGCTTCGACCCGATTCATAATGCGACACGAATTCAAAGGGCGCACGAGGAAGTAAAAAAACATGGCGAGCAGAGCACTTACATCAAGGTGAACGATTGTTCATGAATGCTGCGGGGATTTTAGGGCTAGATTCCATTATTGACACGTTTGGTAAATCGTTCGGCACAGGTTGTGGACTCAATCATAGCTGTGGTTTTGAGCCGAGCTTGGTTCATCATGCTAGCATGTTCTTGCAGAGATGCCCTCTCGGGTGTTGAGGATGATGTTGATAGATGATTGTAAACATTACCAGTAGTGATAACATCTCATAGGTGAAGGTTGTTGTCAGTGCCCTAGTACCTCATACTTCTCACACCTCTCTTCTGACTAGGACTGTCCATCCAGCTCTCCTTGAATTTATCCTCTCCGTCATCATCTTGATCGACGTCTCCTAGATCGATGCCAGTAACACCATCCGGATCCTCATCATCATACTCCTCCTGTCCACCAGTAGCACCATCCGGACTCCAGACGGGACTCGTAGCGATCCTCGGTCTTGACTTGAACACTCTATCATAGTCTATCTCATCACTAAACAACTGCTCCGTTGGCGTACGCTCGATGCTCTCCGACCTGGCTTGCTCCAAGTTTTCGGAAGATTTGCGAGTGCGTGGTGTGTCGAATTGGTTGACAGGGAATAGGGATGAGCGGCTGGAGCTAGATTTACGTTTTTCTTTCGTTATCGTGTCAGAGACGGAGGGGCGAGGTTTCGATTGCATGGCCTCCATAGTGAGGCGGGTGCGCTCAGCCAGGGTTTTATGTCGGTCGCCATCCTCATCTCCGGTGATGGAAGGGATCGCAGGGGGGCCCATAGACGGAAGTGGTAGTTCTGGCGATTCTGGAACAGGCTCGAAAGAGTTTGTTCGTGACATGGTCATGCGTGTACGCTCAATGAGTGAGAGAGACATGCGTGGTTGGGGTTTCTTGACTGGGGACGGGGTCGCATTACCGATAGAGTTGATAATCTGGTCAGCAAGTGCCTCCTCGGCATCGACTTCTAGTGGTTCGAAGGTTGGGATTGGCGGTTCAGAGATATGTTCTGGTGAGGCTTCAGGCAGGTCATCTGACAATAGGTCTTCTCTTTGCTCTGAGTGGTTAGCAATGGTTGTGGTATCTTCTAAGGGCGAATTTTCGACGGCCGGCTGCAAAGCTGGTGATGTAGTTTCTGGTACTGGTGTGCTTTCGTAATGGGATTCGGTCGGCAAATCGTCGCGATGGGTCGTTGTGGTACTCAACGCGGATGTGTGGCCGATCAGCGTGGCCTCTGAGTCTACGGACGGTGCTGTAGCCGACGTAATGTGTCGTGATGGCCGAGGCAGGATTGGGATCTGATCCAAAGAGTTTGGTCTTGAAGGCGACTGCAATTTGACTGGCTTAGCTGGGACCATTGGCGCTTTTCGTATCGCCTCAGTCTGAGTGGACTTCCTAGTGAGCATGGGCGGGCGGGCCGTCTTTACCGACGAGGTACTTCTATGATGTAAAATTGTAGGTCTGGTACTAGCCCGGACTGTGGCAGCGCGAGCCAGCTCACGGTCCATATCAGATAGAATATCTTGGAATTCCGCTCGCATAGCCGGTCGACTTATTTTCGCAGACTCCACTATATGCTTCGCTGATGGCAGCTGATACTGGGAGTGGTCATCGAACCGGAAGTCCTTTACTGACGCCGCTGTCTGTACGCTTCCCAATGTCTCCTTCCCGGATTCATCTCTCTGTAACTCTTCGTGGAATGCCTTCCACTTTTGTAACCTCTCTTGTTGCTCTTGGACCCTCGCCTGCAGGCTCTCAAGTAGTCCAGACTCGGGCGCGACCTCTTCCAGTTTTCTACCCTTTTCCACCATGTGCCAGACTTTATCGAAACGGCTATTTAGGAACGCATCTTCCGCCTGAACATTGTCGCCGCGCAGCATAACATCCAACCACTTCTGGTTGCCGATCCAGTTGTCCTTGAGTTGCTTCTTGACAGCGTTGGCTTCTTTCTGTGGTACCGCCGGTTTTTGCGCCCGAGGAGTGTCTTTGCACTTGCGTATGCGGCGATTAATGTCTTCGGCCTTCCTGTCCAAAAGGCCATGGAACTCCATGTACTTCCTTCTCTTCTCTTCTTTCTGTTTCAACACGTTGACCAGGGCTGCCTTATGTGCGATTGCCAGGGGAAGTAATGACCGTTGTTGTTCGCCTGAGAGCATTGGTGCCGTCGCCAGTCTTCTTGCGACCGCATCATCTCTATCACCTCTGCCTTGCGCTGCAAGAACCTTCTTGAGCACTGCGTTGGAGAATATGGCCAATATCTCGTAGAATTTCTCGCCCTTGCACTCGTCTAACATGGTCTTTCTGAGAATAGACTCTCTTCCCAGGACACCATTCTTCTTCAACTCGTTCAGACATCGGAATAGCGCAGCGCGGAGGTTCAACGATTGGAGTGGTTCGAGCGGTGGGAAGAAGGGCTGGAGTTTCTGTCGCCGGGTTAGTAACATGTTAACAGTCGTTTTTGTCCCAACATACTTGCGCTGTTTGATTAGAGTCCCATATTTCGAACAGGCGAAATAGTGCCCACTCAGTCCCGCCAATCCTTTGTCGTTGGTCTGCATTCTTTGCTGAGAAAGTTTGTACTGTGATTCCAGGCCAATCGGTTCGTAAATCCAAATCCAGTAGCCCCAGATTCGTCACGAAGATTCGTATGTCCGGCAGAGCTATGGGGTTCACTACTTGGGGTTTTGGAATTGTCTTGACCGACGTGGTACGCGAATGGCCATTTGTCGTTCCCGTGGTGGCCGTAGAGGCGGTTGAAGGCGGGCGAGACATCGTTGCGACCGCAGTGCATACATTCGTGTAGTCGTTCTTGCAGAGGTTCCTGAGGCTTGAGTTGCAGGCGTGGTGTTGCGGTGTGACGGACCCTTGCGTTGTTGGCCAAGGCGGGCGCTACCGTGTCCGTGCGCGTTTTGGCTATTGTCGAGTTTTAGCCATCTAATAACACAACGTAGGTGCATGCTTCGCAGTCTAGCATGCTTCGCGGTCTACCTGTGCCAAGACCCTTCTAAAACTACCCCTATTATGGCCTACTACAACCTACTTTAGCTTGTTGTAGTATAGAAGACCTTAGGATAGTATTAAGAGGCTACTTCTACTACATAGTCACATGTTCGCGCGTTACCGTGCATGGTCACCTTTTGCCTCCGGTCGAGTTTTGACGCACCCCACCACAACCACGACCTAACAAAACGCGTTATATGTCCACGTCTATAGACCTGATTTAAAAAGCAATTAAACGTATTAAATCGCGTGAAGAAGGCGCATCTTTTGGCTATCGCGAAGTTGCAAAAAGGTTAAAGATTAATAATCGTTGTCAGAACGCAGTCTTGCACCACTTCGCTATGCAACCAAAAGGTACGTATAATTAGTAAACTACTGATCATGGTGCAGGATAGTATATATCGTCAGCCAGGCCTGACAACCCCTAGGTGTCTCCTAGCTCAGATCGTAACACAGACACGGTATCTTAGCGCAACCAGGTGAGCTAGTGCGTTATATTATGAAAAGCTTCGAGCTACATTAATCGTAACCAAGGGCTAATCTATATATTATACTGTTCCGGATGCCAGAACTTCAAGCATTGGTCGTCGCCAACAATGGATATATTTGGACGGAATGATGGTATCATAATACGTAGAGACGAAATATAACCGCTGTTTGAAGGCTGATACTGAGCATGATAGCTCACGTCGCCGCGCTCATACACCTTGCGATCAGAACCTCATGCAACCCACCTTAACTCATTCGTACCAACCATCTTAGCATTCAGCCTGCGATAATAGAACGCAAGCCCAGCGACCGTGATAGCGCCCAATGTGCTAAGTCCCGCATTGACGCCGTGACCAAGAGTGAAGCTCGGGGCGTCGTTTGCGCAATATATCCACACACCAACAATCTGACCGGGTCCTGCAAGAGCGATATTGAGGGCCGTCGCCGATGCACCCTCTGTATCTGTGCGACTGATATCCGTGACCCACGCGCAGAGCGGCGGAAGACAGACGAAAGCACCGGTTGTTGCGATGCAGAGAAGGGCATAGCGGGCTCTGTAGTTCTCACTAGGGAGAGCGGGTATCGGAAGATGTCAATTGTTGTTAAGTGACTGTATATTTGGGTGTCATATCTTACCGACAACAGCATAAACGATGGTGCCGACGACTATGGATTCGGCGGCAACGATTCCTCGGGACTTGTAGCGGTCAGCCACGGTTACGACATATGCGATGGTATAAGGAGGTACAGTGTAAAGCTGAGTATCCAGCGATCTGTATCCTAGCCCACGAACGGCTGTTGGCGAAAATAGCGACAGGGAAGACACACCGCAGGCAACGGCTAAGTAGGCGACGTAGTGGCCGTAGAAGTGCCAGGTGAGTAGTGTGCCTTTTGCATCTTCCCAGCTGATCTTCGACTCACTAGCATTGCTGTGAATGCCCATTCTACGCACCTGAAGGACCTTTTCCTCCTCGGTCAACCAGCCCGCATGCTCTGGATAGTTCGGCAGAAAGAAGAAAACAAGAATGCCCACGCAGAAGACACCGAATGCGATGTTCAGGAAGCCGAACCACCTCTTTGGCGACAGCATCTTGAGAGCCAGATTGCTGGGCGCTTCGAAGAGGGAGTATGCGACTGGGAAGACCATGAGGGCGATGGCGAAGTCGAAGGCGCTTATGTTGTTTGTGGAGAGATTGTCGTCTCTGGTGTCAGCATTTAGGATATGTGCGATGCCGATGTTGGACCTGTCGAGGTAGCATAGCAGGTAGATGATGGCAGTGGTTGGGAGTAGTCGAGCATTGACTTTTTGCAGTATCCTGTGAAGGAATTGTGAGCTACTTTCTACTTCGAGATATATGTATAATGGAATTGTACCTCTTCGGCGTTTCGATCTCCTCGGGAGTGAAGGAGGCCGTACGTTCTTCTTCTCATTTGCCATTTTCAAGCATCTTGATGCCTTCAATGTTGGACTTCTCGATTGTCTCCGTCCTGGACACGTCGCGGGTTCTCGTGAAGCGAATGATAGGACTTTGAGAATGCTGTAAAAATCAAGATTCGTGATGAAAGGAATGGCTGGGTGTATCTGGTCATGTATCTTTAGGACCTGGTCATCGTAGACATAAATAAAGTGCTGTAATGGTCCTCTTCACCGCAGGTTTATTTTGGCACTCACCATCTCCACATGGCGATACGTTCAGACCATCTCTGCAGTACCTTTCTCATCATCATGCTCTGCTTCATCCAACCTTATCCCGGCAATGATGTCCCCACATAGGAAATTGGTCATGAAGCATAGACTACAAGCTCTAATGCCATACACGAGCCATGGAAGCTTTAGCTCTTGAAGATTCTTCGAGCCATATCGAAACCATCCTGCCGATCACGATGTTCCAGTTCATGGTCCGGTTCGGTTCCCTACTGCTTGCATAACATAGCTGACAACCGACGCTCCTCCACCACGCAAATACTTTATCGATAGTCAGTAAGTAGTGGTGGGACTCGAAACTACTGTTCGCTTTTCCTTCTTCGCTACTAATCTACGTAGAGATCATCTTCCTCTCCCCAATCACACTGTCACGCTTGAAAGGACTGGGTGACTTAAAATAGGCACGGACCCTGGCTAAACAGCTTTTGTGGCACTGCTGTAAAAGTCAGCTTTAGTAGCCGTGGCCTGAGGGCCGTTACTGACCTTGTGTTTCTTGCGCTTGGGAGATGTATGCTTATTCTGTAAGGGCGGGTATTCTATATTTCCGGGAGGATTAGTAGTACGGCACCGTTCCGTAGGTCTACAATCGATGGATAACGGTACCTCTCGCTTCTGAGTTTTCTCCGTCTCGGAAAGGGTGTTAGTAGTGGTAGGATGCAACTTCAAGAATTCGTGCTAATTGTTTCATGCCTATCCGTAGATACGCAGGAGCGTAGGCTGAAGTGATTCCGGAAATGCGCTATCTATTTCGCATGTTGTCCCTCTTTGTTATGGTCGATGCCCACCCTGCCATGCACGCACTAAATTAATATCCGCTTCTCTGCTTCGATCCTCAGAGTGGTTGAAAGGCTTCGAAATTTGTCGAACGTGCTTTTCCGTAACGGCGAATGATATTTGTCGATGTATCTTGACAGTTAGTGGAAACCCCAAGGTGCCTGAAGTCTGAAGTGCAAGTGTCTTCGCCAACTTCTCCCAGGGAACCACTGAGGACGTATACGCTTACGAGAGCGACGTGCTATCGATATTTCTCCCTAAACAACCCGATAGAGCATGCATGCAAAGGGCCGGATGAACACGAGATTAATAGGGTCGCTAAAAGCAGTTTGGCATATACGACAGACGACGACAGGTTCCGGCTCATTGATGTGGAGATTAAGTTACTCCATAAGCTCTCTTACAGGCTGCGCAGGAGCGTTAGATCGATACGCTATGACATCTCCGTGGTAAAGACATATCCGGGAAGTGCGATGTTATAGGTAATCAATTGGCACGCTACATCAACAGAAAGAACATGTCGACGATCACTCGTGGTGGAAGGAACAAGTAGAGTGGCCCAAGTGGCGGTACTTTCGTAAAGAGGTTTAGTTTTGGGATCAGGGGCCATTCCATGCTGGAAAACATAAGTAAAACCCATGTCGGCAGTAAGGGCGAACACATCTGTGCTGCGCATTATCATGAGCGACCGCCGTGGCGGGATTAGAGGACCATGGGCGGGATATAGCGCCGTGGCATACCACAGTGTGCATGATAATTACCAGCCGAAAGCAAGGGCGGGTGATCGGTGACGAGGAGAGCTGGGGTACGCGCAGGCGAAGTGATGGCTAGCACGCTGCGCTAGTTTGTCATTGCGCTGGAAAATTTTATCTGATCCTGCTAGCCGATCTGGGTGTAACTGATAATTCCATCTCCGGCTTTGCCCCGAGCTCGTGTCCTCTTTCGCTGGCAACATCAACCATTCACCGTCGCCGCTCTTTACAGTATCCACTTTATGTCTGTTCACGTGAGCTCTCGTTGACCTGCATCTAATTGTATACGCTCGCCGAGCCAGCTATGCCGGTTTCGCACTGCTCGTGCTGCGCGAACGTGCCACAGCTCCTATGTTCTCTTAAGTACGCACTGCACTTCTTATGATTCTTCACCACAGTCCTGTGTCTTGTTCATCCTTAAATTCTGCCCCAGCCGTTTATCCTGCCCTCGCCTGCGTGCATCATGCATGTCAGGAGACCCTCTAAACGCTCCATCGAGCCCTTCTTCGGTTTCATACAACTCTTCCTCTATGCTGAGCCAACATGGGTCGACAAACTATGCATCTGCTTGGGTGTCATTGCAGCTGTGGCCGCAGGTGTTTCATTTCCATTGATTGGAATTGTCATGGGTCAGCTCGTTGATGATCTCAATGATGCGACATGCGACAGTCAAGCCGCCTCAGCATCTGGCACCATGGACAGCATCAATGACAATATCCTCCTGCTTGTATATATCGCCGTGACTTTATTCTTTCTAATATATACACACATAGTTTGCTGGAACCTTGTATCCCAAAGGTTGGCTCAGCGTATCCGCGACCGTTACCTTCGCAGTCTCTTACGCCAGGATATCTCGTTCTTCGACAATCTCCAAGCTGGAGAGGTCTCCTCGCGTCTCAATGGCGACATTCAAGCTATCGAATCCGGAACCTGCGAGAAAGTCGGCGTCTTCCTCACATGCGTTTCTTTCTGTGTCACCGCATACATCATCGCCTTTATCAAGGATTACGAGCTCGCCGCCATGTTACTATCCCTTGTCCCCGCCTATCTGTTAATGGCTATCGTAGGAGGACATTATGTCCAGAAGTACACAACCACCGTATCGGGCCACTTCTCATCGGCTAGCGCCATTGCCTCTGAAGGATTGAACCATATCGGTCTTGTGCACGCTCTTGGAGCTAATACTAAGCTTGAGGGAAAGTTCAAGAGTTATCTCCGCAGTGCAAGAGACCAAGGTATCCGTAAAGCGGTTGCCGCTGCTATTCAGGGCGGGACTTTGTACTTCGTTGCTTACGCTGCAAATGCTCTCGCGTACTGGCAAGGAAGCAGGAAGGTGGCGTCTTTTATAGAGACCGGTACCGGAGGTATGACGGTCGGAGATACATGCACTGTCATTTTCATTCTCGTGGATGGTAGGTACTTCCCAAAGGCCCAAACATTCCGATTCTGACAAATGACAGGTGCAATTGTTTTGAGTCAAGTGGCTCCGCTGCTTCCCATTTTTGGGGGCGCCGTGGCTGCATTCAATCGACTACGAAAAGAAATCGACCAGGAGCCCTCCATCGATAGCACATCTTCTGCTGGCGACAAGCCCTCAGAGGTCAACGGAGCAATTGCCCTACAACATGTTTCGTTCGCATACCCTTCAAGGCCCAAACATCCGGTCCTCAAAGACATCTCACTTCAGTGTGAAGCTGGGAAGCTCACCGCGATCGTTGGTCTTTCGGGAAGTGGAAAGTCAACCATTGCTGGCCTTGTCACTCGCTTTTATGACCCCGACAGCGGATCAGTGATGCTTGATGGAACAGACATCAAGTCTCTGAATGTAAAAGGCTTGAGGGGTCTCATCGGTTTGGTGCCCCAAGAACCCTCCCTTTTGCCTCGTTCAATCCTGGAAAATATCGCGCTGGGTCTCGTGAATTCCCCAGCTCACTCGCAATTCGAACACATCTTGTTATCAGACACCCTATCTCTCCTAGTCGAGCGGGTCAAATCTGGCGAAGACCTGACAAAATGCGCCGAGAAAGCGGGACCAGAAGTCTCTCAGATTATCCAGCTTGTGCAAAACGCTACGAGCCTTGCCGATGCAGCCAACTTCATCGAACATCTTGAATTAGGGCTGGCCACTTCAGTCGGATCCGGCGGTGGCCTTATCAGCGGTGGTCAAAAGCAACGCATTGCGTTGGCTCGTGCTCTTGTGCGCGACCCTAAAATCTTGATCCTGGATGAGGCAACTGCAGCGCTAGACTCTGCTAGCGAACTCAGGATCCAAGCCGTTATCAACAAGGCTTCCCAGGGTCGAACTGTCATATCCATCGCCCACCGTCTGTCAACAATTCGAGATGCTTCCAAAATCATTGTCATGAGACAAGGTGAAATCATTGAGGAAGGCACTCACGATAACCTGATAGCTCTCGGTGGATCTTATGCAGACATGATTCGTTTGCAATCTGTCAAGCACAATGAGGATACTGGACCACAATCTCACACTACCGAACCGGACGATAATATTGCTGCCATATTAGAACAGCCTCAGGAAGTCTCTAGGAATGACGCATCCGGAGACATCGCTAAGGCCAGCAATGCTCCCGTTGAAAGTTCTGACTGCGACATCATGTCCCGCTCCATCTTGTCAACCCTCTGGCCCCTCGTGCGACCCTACCTCCTACTGCTCATGCTTGCTTTCTTCGCAGCAACCATTGTCGGCGGTACTTACACTGCGTCTGGTTTGATATTCGGTAATATCATGAGCTCCCTATCGCCTTGCAACGAGCCGGATTACATTCGCTCTCGTGGAATCTTGTTGTCTAGAATGTACTTCATGCTTGCCGTCGTTGAGTTTTTCGCCCATTTTCTGAGCTGGGGCGTGTTTGGCCTACTTTCTGAAAGACTTATGTACAAGGCCCGCGGGCTTTCTCTCCACACACTTCTTGAACAGCCTCTGCAATGGCACCAATCCAACAATCGCAGTCCCTCTCAACTACTCGAATACATCACTAAAGACGGAAATCTTCTCGCGGGATTTAGCGGTTCCATTGCTGGAACGGTGTTTGCCGTGGGCGTTAATTTCCTCACAGCCCTTATACTCTCGCATATCCTCAATTGGAGAATCGCCTTGGTGGCATTAGTCACAGTTCCGCTTCTTCTTGGTTCTGGCTTTATGCAATTGCGGTCGATTTCACGCTTCACGGAAAAACATGCCGGAGCGTTCTCCGCGTCCATAGCCATCACCGTTGACGCCGTTGAAAACGTTCGTACTGTTGCCGCCTTGTCCATCGAAGACGAGATTGTTCAAACATATCATCGTTCGCTGAAGGGTCCTCGGAAGGAGATGATTATCCAATGCTTCAAGTCGAACATTTGGCTCGCAGTTGCAAATTCGACTGGCAGCGCTATCTATGCTCTAGTATATTGGTGGGGCTCTAAACTTATCTTTGAGGGCAGAGCAACCCAGACTGAATTCTTCATTATCAATGTGGCAATGCTCGTCTCTGCGCAGCTTTGGGGTCAGTTATTTACACTAGCACCCGAAATTTCAAAAGCTAGAGGCGCCATGGGCCGTATCTGTGGACTTCTTGAACTTCCCGAGCATACTCCCTCCGGCTCTTTATCTGGGGGGTCGTCTAATGCATCGACTGGCTTAGGAGACGAGAAAAAGGATACTGAAGCGTTGTCTGGCACCATTGTATCGCAACCGTCTCACGGCTGTTCTGCAGTTGAGTTTCGTGACATCACATTCTCATATCCAGTCCGACCCAACATCCCGGTCTTGAATGGATTGTCACTTTCTATACAACCAGGACAATTTTGTGCTTTGGTAGGTCCTTCTGGAGCCGGAAAAAGTACAGTTTTTGCTCTCCTAGAGCGATTCTACTCTCCGACGTCAGGAACGATTACAATTAATGGCCTTGATATATCACGCTACCACGGTACCTCATTTCGGGACGATATAGCGTACGTACCACAAGCAAATGCTCTCTTCCAGGGAAGCATACGCTTCAACTTGTCGCTTGGTGCCCGGCCAGGCCACAATCCTACTGATGAGGAGCTATACGAGGCGTGCAAGCTCGCGAACATCCATGAGACTGTTGTGGGCTTTCCGCAAGGTTATGACACGGAATGTGGTGCCAATGGCTCGCAGTTTTCTGGAGGCCAGAGGCAGCGTCTCTCCATTGCACGCGCTCTAGTGCGTAGACCTCGCCTCTTGCTCCTTGACGAGAGTACTAGTGCCCTTGACGCTGCAAGCGAGAAGGCGCTGGAGTCAGGCCTAGAACAAGCGGTCAAAACCCAAAGAGTAACAGTTATCACCATCGCACACAGGCTTCGCACTATCGCAAAGGCTGATGTAATTTTCCTCATCGAGGAAGGCAAGGTTGTATACCAAGGAAAACATGGAGAGCTTGTCCAACGGAGCGAGAGTTATCGCGTGAATGCTCTCGATCAAATGCTGTAGTGTGTTGGTTGTACACGTCAAGCGCAGCTTTGAGGCATTTTAGCAGCTGTACTGGGAGGTTGCTACGGTAATCTGTATGAAAAAAAGATAGACGCCATCACTAGTCAATGTTGTCATGTCGACAAGAGGTTGACTTTGCTATGTCCTGGAGCCAACGGGGCAGCGCTTTGCAGCTTAAACGAGACAGACATTGTATTAAATTGAGAGTTTGAAAGGCTACGACGAAGAGCAAGAGTGTTAATCGATCGTAGGCTTTTTACTCGAGCTCGATGTGGCCAAACCTTCTTGGTGACAGTCGGAAAGGAATGCGGTGACCGATGGTCCGCAGAGCGTGTGGATTGAGCGTCGTATCTGAACAAATCTGCCGCACTACAGCTCTCCGGCAGCCCATGGTGAGACTTATCTAATGTATCTAGACCGTTGTTGGTGTCTTATACAAGGTCAAGGTACTAGCATTGGAACTGCTGTTAGATACGTTTTGTAAGCATCTAATTGAGCCCTTCTATGTTGGAACAATATTGAGGTTATGCTTTGCAAACTTTTGGACTGATCCGAGGTTTCTCAATTTCCGTTCTTATTGCTCAGAGCTTGGAAATGCTGTCTCATGATAGGCTTTCAGCTGCGGAACGAAGTCTTTTCATTCTTGTGGTCAAAAATGATGCGCCGAAGTCGCCCACTCCAGGGTGGCCCACCCTCCTTTGACAAATTCGTAGTTCAAGGATGACGGCGGACGCAAATGAGGGTAAATTGGAACAGAGCGTGCATAGAGCCCATCATTGCTGGCTAGCTACAAACCAGGCCTGATTATATGTATCTCATGATTGTCCCAACCCGCCTACACTTCACAGGGGGCAACCGATGGACATGGGCTCGTAACCCGCTCTTTGTTACAAGTAACACGAAGGATTCTCTCCTTGACGAAGGTCGCGGGTTGAAGGTCAACTACCGCCACGTCAGAAGGTAATGATCTGCGCGGGGCGCAAGGATCACGTGATTGGCATCACGCCAAGACCAACCATCAGGCGCTAGTATGTGATGGCAGCGTCTAAGTAAAGACGGCCATCAAGGACATCAGGCAAGACAAGGATTAGGTTGTGATGGCAGTGATGGCAAAAGGACATGGCAACGAGGATATAAGGATGGAAAGGTTTCATTATTACACTCGTTGTGGTCAACTCAAATAGTTCATCTCTTACACAGATTGTCAACTAGTTATTCTATCGCACATAGAATTAGATTGTCTTTACCTTTGGTTAACTTCGATAACTCTTTTCCACACGAATCGCCAGACAAACCGCACGGCTTACCGCTTTAGTCTACCTCGCCTTAGTACGGACCGAGCTTAGAGAAGTATAGCCTAACCCCGTGTAACACTCCTCTGTGAAACCCTCTTCTCGCGCCATTGTGATCTCTACATGAGTTTCGGAGCATCGGCCGAAACTTTCAAGCTTCTGTTCTACTAATGTTGCCGCCATCGGAGGATGGCTGAGAGGCACGGCAATCATCAACTTGGGAGGTGTGTCAAAGCTCAAACTCGTGTCACTTACCATGAACTAAAACACTGCTGAGCATGCACGTACTCCCACCTGCCTCATGCGACAAAAGTCCTAGAGGTGGCCTGATCATCGAATTATAAAGGTAGTTAGACAAGCGGCTTCCTGGAAGTACGTAATTGGAGCGAAAAAATATCGTGTATCTGTCCAGCCTTGTGTCTGTAGATTGTCTCCTTTCGTGGCAAGAGAAAAGCAAAAGCGGGTAAACATTTAGCATCCCTCACGCACGCTTTGTCATACCCCTAGACTACTCTGCCAAGATCTTGAGCTGGGGGTCACCCCGCGATCCGGGTGGAACACTGTGCATGAGTATCAAGTTCGTGTCCGCGCTACGAAAGACCAGTGGTTATCAGATGAAAATTTCAGCGTTGGTGTGCCACGTCATTCCGTACATCCATATGAATAGTACTGCGCCTGCGGCGCAACGTTTGTTTAAGGTTATCAGATGCGTCTAGCGGACGCCTAGTGGAAGTAGCGAGTCGTGTCATCCCACACCCATAATCCACCAGCCGAAAGACCCAACTCAGTGGAGGCGGTTGGAGTGAAGCATTACCACCTAATGGAGCGGCGATCACCTGCAGTTCGAGATTCGAGGTCGAGTCTCCCCACCACTGTCGCTTGGTGTCATAACGGGGGCTTAACGGCTGCATGTTCGAAGACGAAATCATGTGCAGACGCTTAGCACCTGGTAGATCTATAGGTACAGAAGATTCCCCTTCTCCTTACTAGTAGGTGTGCGTTTGGTTGATTCCTTCGACACAGATACAGAGGACTGTGATCAGATAGGCGTCAAGCCCATGCCTGCAAGTACGGTGCCCCCACGGGCCCTGGCTATCTTCTTTCATCTGATGCATGCACCTTGGGGGCAGAAGACAGGTTTTTTCTTTCTCCGTAGAATCTATGCCACTAACTGATTGTTTGTCATAGCTCTCACTGACGAGCATGCTCTCTCAAGGCTTGGCGCGTTACTCCGAGATATTGAACATAAAGGACAATGTGGAGAAATCTCGGCCTGTCATCCAAAAGTTGCGAGCGATCGTCGGAGAAAGAAAAGTCTGATTTGAACAAGTGGGCGCCGGGTGGGATCCAGCAGTCACTCGGTCATTCGGTCACTTGTGTTGGAGTGTAAGAGTTATCATTGAAAGCTATGGAGGACTCGGATTATATAGGCATCACCCCAGTGATACGTTGCTACCTTTACATGAGATAGCTCCTTCCAATAGTCCTCTGCTGTCGAATGTATAATTAGCGTAAGTCCATCATGTCCTTCATGCTCTTGAGGAGCGGTAGCGGCAATCCCTTTGTGCAGATGTCGGCGATGTTAGATGCAGATGGCACATGTTCTATCTCGAATTCCTTATCAAGGTATCTCTCCCTAACGAAGTGATAATGAATGGCGATATGTTTCGAGCGTGCACTAATACGTTGGTCCTTCGCTAGGATGATGGCAGCCTGGTTGTCTGTCGCAAGTATAAACTTAAAACGCAGAGAATCTCCGAATAGCTCTTCAAGTGCATGGCGAGTCCAGACAAGGTGTGCAGCGGCGTAGGAACATGCCATGTACTCAGCTTCGCAAGTAGATTTCGCAACAGATGCTTGACGCTTGGAAGACCAAGATATTGTGCTTCCATTGATCTGAAGAATATACCCATGGAAGGATTTGGCGTTGTCTGGATCTGAACCCCAGGAAGCGTCAGAGTAGATCTTGACTTCCTGGATCTCTGGCATTGGGTTTGGCTGTCTAAAGGTGAGGACGTGATCCTTGGAATATTGGATATAACGCAATGACTGTAATGCGATGCGGTGGTGTAGCTCTGAGGGATTGGAATTATATGTCCTAAGCAGAACATTGGTGTAAGCTCGGTCAGGCCTGGTGCCGATGACAAGGTAATTGCTTGACCCAGTCAGCTGTTAGTAAGTCTGGCGGCGGTTCTCATCAACTAGATCTTTATCTGGGTTGGTCGAAGAGCGAGGAAGGATTGAGTTCGGATCAAGTGGGGTTTTGCGTCCGTTGGAATTGCTCATTTCAAATCTCTAAAGAACTTTCCTAGCGTAGGAGGGTTGCGAAAGTGTGATCCGGTCATCGTACTGGTTGATCTCGATTCCGAGAAGGTAGCGGGCAATCCCCAGATCTTTGCATTTAAACTTCGTAGCGATAACGGATTTAAAGTCCTAGATGCGCTAACCATAACCCAGGAGTAGCAGATCATCAACGTACACAGCAATAACGAGTGGGTAAGGGTACAGACTTGTAAAGACACAAGGGTCGAATTTCATCTGCTGGAATCCCAATTCCTCGAGTTCCTTGCTAAGCGTATGCCACCATTCTCTACCAGATTGTTTGAGGCCGTAGAGGGTTTTACACAGCTTTAGGTATTTGCTGTTCGTTGCATATCCTAGGGGAGGGCGCATATAGATGACTTCCTTGAGCACTCCGTTCAAGTATGCGGTGTCGAAATCAATCTAGTGGATTTCCCAGTTAAGCAGTACCGCCATGTACATTAGCATTCGCAGGGTGTCGTAGCGGACAACTAGTAAGTAGGTATCAAAATAATCGTAGCCGGGTCGTTGTGAGAATCCCTAAGCAACAACTCTTGCTTTAAACTTAGTTAGATTCCCTTCCTGGTCGAGTTTGACATTGTATACCCAGCGGGAACCAACTGCTCGTTTTAGATCATCGTTCGTGTCCTTCCAAGTGCCAGCAGATTCGTGAGCGGTAAGCTCGTTGTCCATAGCTTCTTTCCATTGTGGCCAGTGTAAAGATCGCTGTGCTTCAAGGTATAACTGCGGAATGCCTAGGGCAGTAAGTCCAAAAGCACAGATGTCGGTCAGGTTGTCTAGAGGGTCTAACGGCATTGCCTGCGCATTTATAACCATATTTCCCTAAGCATTTCTCGCTTTGTCCGTCAGTTTAATTATCCGGCCGGCGCGAGTTGTAACAGGGGATGTAGGAGTGATTAAATTGACGCGGCGTCTCGTTAGGGAAGCTGATCCGGATTGCGTGCCAAGCTGTCGCCACGGTTGTCTCAGGTTCTAGTTACAGGTGAGAGAAGGACTAGATAGGGAAGAAGGCTCAGATGCTTGAGGCTGAGTTAATGAGTTCTTCGTAAGCATTAGTCGCGGTGGCTTTGTGCTCATATTGTCCTCCCTCGGAGAGTTGTCATCTTATGCTGCGGTCTAAGTGTTAAGCTCCCATAATAAAACCGGAGCTGATAATGGCGGAACCCAGGGTCTGAAGTTGGTATCTCGTGATTCCAGGATGACATGGCGGTCTAGGATATAGATGCGGTGTGCTTTGACGGATTTTCCATAACCAACGAAAATGCCCAGCTCTGTGCGGTGGCAGAGTTTAGTACCTAGTAGCCTAGTCTCAACTAGAATGTAGACGTGCATAGATTAACCAAAAGGATGAAGGTGCTTTACTAATAGCTTCTTTCCTATAAGCTTGTGATATAGGGTGTCAGACAGAGCGCTATGCGGAGCGATGTTTTTAAGAAAGACGGCAGTTGAGATAGCTTCAGGCCAGAGGAAGAGGAGCTTGTCTTCAGAGATCATAGCTCTAGCTGATGTGACAATCGTGCGGTTAAAACGCTCTGCCAGACCGTTGGATTCATGACTGTATAGCGGGGTTGAGCGATGTACGATGCCGAGATTGTCAAGCTTTGCTTTGAGATCTTTGGATATGTACTCGCCGCCGCAATCAGTCGTGAATTGTCGGATGTCAGCCTTGTGTTGTAACTTCACAAAGGCGATAAAGTCCTAAATAGCTTGAGCAGTTTCCAATTTTGTCTTAAGGAAGCGGACCCATAAGTAGCGAGTAGCCTTATTAATAAAAGTCAGGAAGTAACAGGATCCAGACATTGACTGCTGAGAGAACTTTCCAGAGAGGTCGCTGTAGATGTTCTCGAAGGGATGAATAGCATAAGCTATGCGTTCCTTAGGCTTCTAATGTGTGGATTTAGCTAATTAACATTCGTCGCAGTAGAAACCCTCTAGGCGCTTAGGTACAGATTCAAAATCCTAGTATATGCGCTCAGGGTTATTAACATGAAAATGTCCAACAGCATAGTGGAACTCCTAATATAAGGCGAATAACGATAAAGCGGATTGTAGTATGGGATCTAGGGCATTAGAATCGATGGTCTAGATCTCCATCAAGCCGTGCCGGTATATTGCCCAAAGAGAATGTTTGCCATCTAGTTTAGTGAGATACAGATTGTCTCCCTTAACTTGTATTTCGCATCCCTTGTTTTAAACATAGGGCCAGCTAAAGAGTCAAGTAGATCTAAGTTCCTTACTAAAGAGGACATTTGTCAGTTCTGAAAGTCGAGTTGAACCATCGGGGAGTACGCAGGTCAGTTGAACTGTGCCTTGTCCATCGATTAGTATTCTCTGTTGTCTAGCGACAGTTATTATTCTTCTTACTAGTTGAAGAGATACGAAGTCGTCGATGTTCCCGGACATATAACGAGATGCACCAGAATTAAATAGCCAAGTGTTCGACAGAGAGCTGCTGGTGGAGAGGGTATCAATGTGTGCACTAACCTCACGCAGTCTTTTGCCGTGTGCGTTTATCATTCCAACTGACGCCGGGAAGGCGTTGACCTCCATGTCTAAGTCATCTCCATCAGATATAGATACGACCTCAGACGCTTTGTTGCCCTTTGCCTTTTTCCTTAGTCCTGCATTCTTGCCGGTCGACTTCTTCTTGTTGTATTCCTTGTGCTCTCGCAGCCGGTTGCAATCTGTAAAGATGTGCCCAACAAACGTGTAGTTGTGTTTCCAGCACCATGTGCATTCGTTTAGAGCGTAGGTATTCGAGCGGGAAGAAGAGGAAGAGGGCTAATTCAAATTAGGCTTTAGCTGGAAGGATAAAGCGCCAGTTCTTTGTGACTGCTTATTGCCATTCTACTGCGACTTAGTCGCAGCATAGGCGGTCAAGTCAACGTCAAGGCTATGTTTTTCAGCAAGGTCGAGGAGCTTTAGTTCGATAGCGGTGAAGGAAGTGAGTTCTCGCGTGCTAAGATTGTCGACAATGTGATCCATGGTGTCCGGGAGGGTAATCAGAAAGAATGAACCCTTAACATCGTCAGAAGTAAAGATAGGCAGCATAGATTGAGCGACCTTGTGTAAGGAACCTGCGCATCGCTTTGACATCCTTGTCCATAATGAGTGGAAGGTGTCGATGTGATTGCGAAGGTCGTCGCCGTCGCAGTAGCGCAGGTTAGTGAGGAGGCGGAAGAGTTAGATCGATGTGTTACCAGTGTCTCGATCGAATCGTCCAGCCAGGAACTTCCAGGCTTCCGTTGCGGTATCACAGGAAGCCACGTTAAGGGTGAGATCTAAGTGGACAGAAGTCAGGATCATGACAAGGGCTTTGTCATTCTGTGAGTCCCATACTTCACCTTCTGCATTAGTAGCGGGTCTAGACTTCTTTCCGTTGACGATGCTAAGGAGTGAGGCATACCTGAACGCTATTGTCCAGCTGTTGCGCCATTCTGTGTAGTTCTCGCCGCGTGAGGCGAGCTTAGGCAGTGACGACGGGTCAAGCTTGAAGTTGAATGTGGTAGCCATGTCTGGCAGGTATGTGTCGGTCGCTTTGGTAGATTGCGGCGCGTAAAGAAGTTGCGGTAAGGTAATTGCAGGGTAAGATTAAAAAGACTGTGGTGTAGGGTAGGGTGGAAGTTGGATGTACCGTGGTGCGATAACGTGTTTCAGTTCATCCACTCACAGCTTCTCAACCACGATAACGACTAGGACAGCTCACAATGTATGGCTATGCAATGATGCAACTGTAAGGTATGAAGGGCGATGTTGTTAGGAGCGCCGGGCTCATAACCTGTTAGAGTGTAAGAGTTATCATTGAAAGCTATGGAGGACTCGGATTATATAGGCATCACACCAGTGATACGTTGCTACCTTTACATGAGATAGCTCCTTCCAATAACTTGGTCGCTCCGTCTCTCCGCCACAAAGGCATCGTTTCTGCCAATATATATGGGCAAATTTGCTGTCTCAGAAGAATACGTTCGGATAGATCGTTGCTTCATCTCTCTTATCTAACGCTTCTGCCTATCATATTCTACACAAGCACCCCTCTGAGCCATGACTTTCACCGATGCTCCTGGCGTTGCAGCTATCGATCCAGTCACGCGGGCCAAATACATCGAAGAACGCAACAAGCGGCTGCGATCTGAAGGTGCAGCACAATTCATAAAGGTTTCCGAGACCGCTCGATTTTCTCATTTGGCAAATGACCCATGGGTCGATCATGAGCGTCTCAATGCCCTTCCGTCCCCGTTGCCGTCCGGGGCGTCTGTCAAATTCCTTATCCTTGGAGCTGGCTACGGTGGCTTGTTGCTGGCTGTACGCTTGATTCAAGCAGGATTCTCTGCCGACAATATTCGCCTCGTAGACCATGCCGGCGGATTCGGTGGTACGTGGTACTGGAATCGTTATCCCGGGCTCATGTGTGACATCGAAAGCTACGTTTATATGCCATTGCTGGAGGAGACGGGCTACATGCCGCGACAGAAATACTCTCATGGGTCGGAGTTAAGAGAACAGGCAGAAAGGATTGCGGAGAAGTGGCATCTGCAAGACAAGTGTCTATTCCGCGCAAAGATTCAGAGTGCGGCTTGGAGCGACGCTGAGAAAAGATGGACAGTCCGTATGACAGAGAACAGGGGACCCATGGGAAAGGAAAATGCTAGGGATGTCGTCGCGAAGGCACAGTACCTTTTGTCAGCCTCGGGGGCGTTGAACGATCCGCACATGCCGAACGTGCCAGGACTGAACGATTTCAACAACAAGCTTTTCCACGCAGCACGATGGGACTACAACGTCACTGGAGGCGCACCTAATAACTGGACGCTCGACAAGTTGAAGAACAAGCGGGTTGGCATCATCGGAACAGGAGCGACCGCCGTTCAGGTTGTACCGCAGCTGGCTAAGTGGGCAAAGGAGCTCTACGTTTTCCAACGTACTCCCTCGAATGTTGACGTCCGCGGTCAAAAGGATACGGATCCGCTCGAATGGGAAAATATGACTGCCAAGAAGGGATGGCAGAAGGAACGGTCAGAGAATTTGATCTCATACCAGATGAACACACCCAATGGAGACAATCTAGTAAATGACTCTTGGACACGCATGCCAGCTTATGCTGCAGCCTTCGGCTCGCCAGGTATCGTCGCCCTGGACAAGATGCCTGAACATGTGTCGCGCATGCATGAGTGGGATGTGGAACGTTCGGAGAGGGTTCGTGCGCGCGTAGACGAGGTTGTCAAGGACAAGGTCACAGCTGAGAAACTCAAAGCCTGGTACCCTGTCTGGTGCAAGACTCCCACATTCCACGACGACTACTTACCCGCTTTCAACCAGCCCAACGTTCAGCTTATCGATACCAACGGTAAAGGAATCGACAGACTTACTGGGAATGCCGTCGTGAGTGGTGGCACCGAGTACCCCGTGGATGTGCTGGTACTGGGCACGGGCTTCGCTTCGCCTGTGGCCGGGAGTGGCAGTCCAGCCTACCGAGCCGGCATGAAGATCTTCGGACGCAACCACTTGTCTATTGATGATAAGTGGACTCAGAAAGGTGCTTCGACACTTCATGGCGTCGCAACGCACGATTTCCCCAACCTGTTCTTCCTTGGAGCTTCGCAAGGTGGACTCACGGTGAACATCCGATATGTTCTTGACACGCAAGCTTCGCATATTGCCAACATCTTGTCCAAGGCAGAACGAGAAGAGGGTAACGGCGTTGGTGACAAAACCACACTTGAGGTAACAACAGAAGCCGAAGAAGCTTGGTCAGCTGAGATCTTGGTAAGGGCCGGGTGGTACGTCGGTGTACTTGGATGCACTCCCGGCTTTCTCAACAACGAGGGCGAGAATGATAAGCGGACCGAGACTGCAGATCAGATCAAGGCTGCTCGAGGTGCTCCCTGGGGCGAAGGTATGCTAAGTTACTGTAAACAGCTAAAGGACTACACAGAACAAGGTTGTCTGAGGGGACTAGAAGTTACTATATAGTTCTACTTCCGTTTAGTAACTAGACGATTAAGTACTGGCAATAGAGACGGTGACTGCTAGTGGACCAACCGCTTAGCGTGGCTGCCCCCACCCGGCTTCCCATTGGCAGATGCTCCGAAGCCATTTATTTGCTTCAATAGAGCATATATATTTGTAGCAAGCCAAGCGCTGTGGGGAAACTTGTTACTAATAACGCCGTGCGATGACCTTTGTATCAGCTCAGCTAGGATGCTACAAACAATACAACATACACTCTCCTAATTCTCTGTACACAATACCCGCACCTAGGGCATATGTAGTGATCATCATATGTATGATCTTTTCGTGTGATGCCGAGGTCTAAGGTCCTGTATTGTACTACACGGATAAGAGGGGATATCTGATTAGCTACATTCATCTGGTTAGGGTCACTCAGGGGTCTATATACCCCACTTCCATCTCATCTCCTTCACACCCGTATGGCAGCCTCCTCCTCCTCCTCCTCCTCCTCCTCCTCCTCCTCCTCCTCCGTGTAGCTCATCATATGCTCCTTCTGCGTCCCTAGGGCATATTGTTGTAGGATAATTTTGTAGTATGCGGAGGCATGTCTAATAGGAAGAGAATAGGCTAGAAAAGCTGTATTTTACTTCCCACCTTGTATAGTTATACACTTTAGCTAACTACAGTCTCCTCTTCTGCACACGAGTCGTTCTTCTTACCCCTAACTCACCCAAGCTCCTATTGGCTAGCCAAGTTATCATATGTCCTTGTTAGATCAAAATGCTGAAAATGAGCTCAGGAGAAGTTTTTGATTGCGATGATGGATTATGTCTTGATTCATTCCTCTTTTTCGTTGGTTTGTTCTCTCTCCTTTTTGAACATAAACCTGATACATCGGTGATACCTAGGTGATACATAGGTGATACCGTCCATGATGCAGTATCGCTTACTTCATCTGACAGTCCTACAACTTTGTAGGACGATCGCTACACATGCCCCTACTCGTACGACAACTGGTGAGAAATTGTGTAGCGTAGGTCTATAGAGTACTCTGCTAAGTTGCCTTATGATAACTACTTTTGTGTGGCTCTACAGCCTTAATTTTGTGCAGCCCGTTTTGGTGATGCGCGTGCATTGACCGACGACGTGCATTGTGTGCACGGAAACGGTATAGAGTCGCAGCCTATCGACATCGACAAAAGCCAACAGCCAGCTCAGCGTCTCTCACCGAGTAAAGCCCCGGCGATCACCGCGTCCCAGGCCACCGAGACGTCCACCTTCTAGTCGCAGTTGCGCAAGAGCCAGCCTGAAGCCGCTATCGTAGCGCCATCCGAGGGCAGCAGTGCCGCGACGGCTGCTACAACTGAGGACGACGAGGATGGCAATGAGGATAGCGACAAACGTCTTGATGAGCGCTTTGCCGACAAATTTGACGGCATAGATTGGTCGCATTTGCCGCTATATTCCAAGCCTGTAGCCAGCCAGATGTCAAGACGCAGCCCTGCACCACTACGCCATGCAACCAAAAAGGTACATATGATCAGTGAACTACTAATCACGGTGCAGGATAGTATATATCATCAGTCAGGCCTGACAGTTGCGCCCACCCGGCTTCTTATTAGCTGACGACAACGCGTAATTAACTTCAAAAGTCATCCATTAGTCTAGCATGCTCGCGCTGTCAGAAAAAGCCATTTCTACGTCGAAAGAAGATTTTATTATGAGCCTAAGCCATGCTATAAAAGATGGTTATATGGTTAGCATACGAGACGCGCGGCCAAGCGGTTACACGCGATTCCGATGCGACAGAGGACGCAAGCCCAAGAAACAATATGCAGAGGGTACCGACGTTAAACATCGCAGCACTCTAACATGTCAACAAGGTGCCCCTTCATGGTGAGCGCTAGCAATGTTGACGGAGATTGGTGTTTGAAAGTGGTCAATCCGAATCACAATCACGCCGGAAGCACAAACATAGCAGCGCATCTAATGGCTCGAAGAATGCAGGACTCTGAGGCTGCCGTCCTCAATACAGGCATTGCTTTGGGCCACCTTGCTCGTTTGATTATGGCTTCATTGCGTCGGTCACACTCTGAGAATTTGACGGTTCGAAAGGAGGTGTAATGCTCGCCACAAACTGCGCATGGAGCAGCTCGCTGGTCGTAGTCCTATTCAATTTCAGAAGGACGAATTGACTGAAAAGGTTTGGTCTTTTACATTCTTCCAGAGCGCTGAATGCCATGTTGAACGTCTCTTTTTCGCGCATCCGACTGGCCTTTCATTGGCACGCCAATATTGTGAGGGCTTTTCCCTCGATAACACATACATAACGAATATGTATGGTATGCCATTGTTCCACGTTGTCGGCACTACATTCACCAATACTAGCTTTTCAGCGGCCTTTTGTCTCCTGCAAACTGAAGATTCACTCAACTACGCCTGGGCTCTCGAAAGATTCCTCCGCGACGCCCAATTGAATGTACCGACCTTGGTGACTGACCGAGATCTCGCACTGCATCTAGCGATTCAGCACACCACCCCACGGTCACCACACCTACTGTGTATCTGGCACCTCAATAAGAACGTGCTAACGCATGCGAAGAAACACTACAAAGGTCAGCCGGAGGAAGAACGGCAGAAATCCTACGGCGCCTGGAATGATGTGATAAGGAGCGAATCAATCGCCACGCTTAAGACCCGGAATGATTAGCTACATGAGAAATCTGCTGGAAAGAAAGTCCTACTAAATCACTTGGACGACACATGGCTACTCTACAAGGAGTGCTTCGTTGCGGAATGGGCTCAGCAACATATCCATTTCAGCCACACGAGCACGTCACGAGGTGAAGAAGCTCATAATTTCGTAAAGGCATACATTGCATCATCATCAGTGTAAAATCTCACATTCGCATTCAGGCGCATTTCCATGGCACTGGACGACAAGCTCCGGCAGACTGAACTGGAATGTGTCAAGGACTCAGTTCTGACATTGCATGCAGCTGAAGGGCGATTATATGCCAATGTTCTCAGCCGCATCTCGAGACATGCGCTACGTCTCGTCATCAAGCAGCATGAAAAAGCAAGAAATCATGGAAATGACGATCCTCATGCCTTTGACGGCATGTTTCATATCATAATGGGTTTACTGTGCGACCGAATGATTACGCATCGTCTAAAGAAGCCTAACGCAAAGCTTTTCTTAACTGATTTCTATAGTCATTGACATCTGCGCCAGGAAGAAGGGTGGACCAGTGCACCATGCCTACTTGACCCGCTGAAGGCGACGGACTACTACAATAATGCCTGGGCTATCGAAAACAAGAAGTCAATGCAGCGTGTACCCTCCCAATTTGAATGATTTGATCAGCAGCTGCAAGCCAAAAAGCCACGCCAGAAAGCTCCAAGCCGCTGCTCACTATGTCAGTCACTCCAGTATAACGCTCGAAAATGCCCTCGGCGCAGCACAGTGGTACCATCGCCTGCATAACCTGTATTCAGTAGGAATTAATAAGGGGAAAGTATAGAGATTCCCCGCCTGTAACCCTTGCAGAATTGCCCTTTATCCTTGGGTCGTCCGCTAAACAAACAAATTCTAGCGGGATGTATTGGGAGTTGAAGGTCAGACGTACATCCGCCCTGTACTAGTGTGTACGCTGGTAAATGGGTTGGGGTTGAGTTTGCTTATGTCAGACTGGTACCCAACCCCTCCTCTACCTATCTATTGAGTATTACAGATAGGTAGGGGCTAATGTTAGATTAGGTATACCTAGGTGCAAGGGGCTACGCTTAGGGAGCTATCGCACAGGTAGTTTCAGGCAATAGTACTTGCTTCACACTACAGAAGATAGTAAGAGATAGCTCCTATATTACTACACTAGCTATTAGTAAAAAGTAGTAATAATTCCCGCAGTCTTTATCGCAGGTTCAGCGCAGCTTAGAAGCATGAGTGTTAACGCTAACACAAACGATAAAAGAGGCTTAGCGCGATCATGTTTATTGCGCGCACGGACACGGTATCGATAATGCCGTCTGCGCCTTCTGTTCCTGGTTTGACTTTGGTCATTTGTCCCACTATCCTTCACTTAGCAAACAGTCACCGTTGATACGTCAATCGCGGTCACAATCGTGCCTCTATAAATACACCACATCCTCTCAGCCTTTACTTGCAATATCAAGCGATCATGACAGTCGACGAAGCAACCCAGGTCAACGGCGTGCCCGATCCCAACGCCGGCGTACTAGACGCAAACAAAGTGCAGGAGAAGGATTGGTCTATCGAGAGTGGTATGTCATGAACAAGCAATAGCTTGCCCGTATGCGACACCTCTCTTAATACTTATTTCATCCTCGTACTACATGACTAACGCTCTCTATAGTCCTCGCAAATATCACACCCCGTTATGCCGAACACACCGACTCACCCGTCCCCTTCTTCCACCTCTTGGAGCGCCTAAAGACTACCAAACGTGCGGGATGGCAGCGCTTCCACATCGGAGACGGCGAGTCCATATCCGATCACATGTATCGCATGAGCATCCTCACTATGATGGCCCCCGCCTCCCTGGGCTCGAAACTCGATATTGCCAGATGCTGTCGTATGGCCGTCATTCACGACATGGCCGAGGCGCTTGTCGGTGATATCACGCCCGTGGATGGAGTGTCCAAGGAGGAAAAGAGCAGGAGAGAAGCCGCGACCATGGACTACATTTGCACCACTCTGTTGGGCAAGTTCAACGGCGGACTCAATGGCCAGGACATTAGAGCGATATGGCAGGAATACGAAGACAGCAAGACACCCGAATCACTCTTCGTACACGACATCGACAAGATCGAGCTACTGGTACAAATGGTCGAATACGAGCGCAAGTCCAACTGCGAGCGGGATTTAGGAGAGTTCCAGTGGGTCGCAAACGTCATCAAGAGCGAGGAAGTCAAAGTGTGGGCACAACAGATCTTCCGTGAACGGGAACAGATGTGGAAAGACGCTGGCAAGACACCAAAGCCCCTCGAGGCATACAAGAAGTCCTAGGATATGATGGAGCCTGGGCTCGGACATACTCATTTTAGTCTCCGAGGCCTCATTCACTGGCGCATTTCACGAAGCACAACGAATTGGTAGACGGCTTTTGCATCCTTAGACTTTGCATATCTCAGCATGTATATTCAGTTTTTATGCAAATGTAATAGGTTCATTAATCATTGAGTCATGTGTATCATCCAAGTACCCTTATGCCCCGCAGAACGAACACATCACACGTTCAAGAATTGGACAGACTTATCAATCTCCTCTTCTTCACCTCCCTAGTAGGCGTTCCCGCAAGTCCCGGCGTCCCGACGACCCCCATATCCCCAGCATAATAGTCATCCTTGCTGTGTCCACTACTTCCACTCATACTCTTTCCAGCAGCTTTTACTCCCACACTACCATACTCCCCCTTCCTAATCTTATTACCGGACCTACGTCCATGCCAGTAGCACAAGCCGGCACTGGGCCCCTTGTACTTTTGATGTAGAGGGCACAAAGGACTATTGGGAAGATGTTCGGGGACAAGCCATTCGAACTTGCGGCGTTCTTCTTCTTCTTGGTGGGCAAGGGCTGTGAGGACGCGTTCATCAGGTGCATCGGAAAAGTGTGACTGGTGGACGCGGTACCAACCATCATGGCCGAGCATTGGAGACGCTGCTGCTAATGAAGGGCTAGCTGGTGGTTTGACGCTGAGGTAGCCTGCGTTGTTGCCTTGAATGTTGTTCATGGTCGCTGTAAGTCTAGGTGTGCCATTCGGTTCAAAGTCGACAGGTGTGTAGACGATATCGCTGCGTGGACCTTCGGGACCTTCGTCTTTTTCCTCGTCTTCATAGTTGTCGATGTCGCTTGATAGACTCATGAGCAGAGCATCAGAGTCCCAGTAGCCTCCAGGACTGGGCTTGTGTTTCGTACGAATGTTCATGCCGCCGCCGCCTTGGACATCGAAGAAGAAATCTGCCAACTTGCCTTTGACTTCACCATTAGCATCGAACATGGGTGGCGTGGGTACACGCTGAACGCCAGGTGGAATGAAAGTAGGCGGGACATGAATATGTGCAAGGGACGTTGGTGGAGGTACATGTTTGCCGCGAGTAGGACGAAACGGAGATGAGGCTGGTTGTTTGGTTGCTTCTGCACCGGTCTGGTCCGAGATCCGATTTGAGCGTCTGAATGGGTTGATAGAGAAGCGGCGGCTCATAGGTTCCGTTGGTCCAGGAGAAGAAGGAGGAGCATCTTCACTGGAAGTTTTACCCCGCCACGTCCAGCGTCGTGAGCGGGTTGCCTTGGATTCACAAGCTATCTTCTGCAGCTCTACTTTCGTCTGGGCTTGTTGCTCTTTGAACGCCTTCTCTTCTGCAGGTGTCCAGTTGCCGTCCGGTGTCTGAGCTAGCATTGAATCACTTGCACTCGTACCACTTTTGTCACTCCTGCCGCTTCTCGCTCTCTTGGACTTTGGACGGCTGATATAGCACCGATCTCTTACCTTCGGCAGCGGTCGTTCGAACTTTGGGATTTGTGAAGAGAAGATTATATCCGTGTCGGGTAGAAGGCCTATGCCACCATGGTTGCCGTTTCTTAGCGCCGAGGTGTTGTCGCCGATGTAGTTCTTTTCAGGAATCGGCGCAGACTTAGTCATCATGGCTGGCTCCCACTTTGGTTGCTCGTTCCGAACCCATGGTGTTTTCGGACTTCTCGCGCGTGGGGCGCCGAGACTGCCCGTTATATCCATGGGTGAACGGCCGCGAGCGGGTAGGTCTGGCGTCTCAGTTGGCATTGAGAGATCAAGTTTGACCTTTCTGCGGTCTCGGAGTCCGCCTTTTGGGATCGAGTGTGGGCTCGATGGTATAGTTGCAGCATCTACTGGAGTTGACGGAGCTCTTACTGGTGTCAATGGCTCCTCAACAACGACGGATGGTTTTGACGCCTTCTCATATGATTCTTTCGACTTGACGAGTGGAGGCGGTGCAAATGATAGCACACGATCTTTCTTGTGCAGTTTCATGGAAGCTCCATCTCCAGAGTCTCGTCGCTGCTGGTCTTCCTTGCTCTCTTGAGGATGCAGCATTCTCAAGCTGGGTACATGCTGTACCATGCCCTTGGCAAAAGCCGTTATAGAGGATCTTCTATTATCGCGGATGTAGGAATCACTAGTTTCCGTAGACGCAGCGATGGAAACAGTCTGATGGCTAGTTCCAGAAGCGCGTGACTCCATACTGTCCATGTGTCGAAGCTGGGTGTTCTGGAGATGGTCTGCATCGTCGATGGTCGTTCTGCGAACGATCTCCTCGAGTGGTGGAGGTGAGCTTGGCCGTTCTTGCTCTATCGGCATCGGGTTGCGACTATGCCTCCTCTCATCTTCAAGGTTCGGTTGTTGGCTCCAGCTAAACCCCTCCCGCCTATTGACTTGTCTTGGAGTGAGCCCTTCGTCTTTCGCTGCACTCTCTCTGCCAGTAATCTGGTCGGCATGCTCTTGGAGCGAAGTGTAATGTCTAGTGAGAGAAGTAGGCGAGCTCTGGCCCAAGAAGCCACTGAGATTGTGTGTAGAGGATGCGGATAGCCCTGATACTTCCGAAGCGTCGATGGACGGATGCACTGAGGTATCGGTTGCATGGGCCCTGGTCAATGGTGCTGATAGCATGTGCGGGCCGGCGATGAAAGCCGCTAGTACAAATGTACCGCGTGCGTGCCCAGTTGATCAAACATTCAGCTGTGGATATAGTCGGAAGTGATTCGTCGATAAGGTCAATAGGTGTTTCGTAAGTGAGTGCGCAGAAAGAATAGATGGCGCGCGATTGTAGGAAGTACGGTGCTGTTCAGGTCTGAGATGAAGAGGAAGCCTGTACCTTCAGTCTCCGCATCGGGAAGGAGATATGGAGGACAAGACATCTTAACGAGAAAGCGGCCAGTCACGCCGGGGATGCGCATACCCAACTTCCCAACTAGGACATTAGTGTCATAAACAAGATTCCGCCAACGCCATCCTATGCAAGCCTATACAGATATCATCCCAACCCGCAATCCAAGCCATGCGCACCGGGTATCCAAAGCATGCCTCATAACGCATAACACAAACATCAGTACTTATCCAGAGCTGCCCGAAGTGGCTTGCACCACACTAGTACCGTCAACAAACCGTGTGCGGAATATACGGTTTGCGTTTTGGAACATGCCGTCCTTCAAACTGACGACGATGAATTGCGATCCCTTAAAGCGGGTCTTGAACAGACGACCGATGTTTTGTGTATGGGACAGGTCCAGCGCGGCATCGACTTCGTCCAGAATGTACATGGGCGCAGGCTTGAACTGGAGGAGAGCCATGATAAGAGATAGTGCAATAAGTGACCTAAGAGACGTTAGCGCGTGTTTTTCGGGGGTGTGCGGGTGAGTGCATACCTTTGGCCACCACTCAGCTCTGTCAGTGACTGTTTCCACACCTTGCCCAGCATGACTTTGACTTCCAGACCGTCAGATATCGTCTTGCCCTCAGGAGGGTCCAGTTTCGCAAAACTGCCCGGTAGCAGCTCGTTGAAGATTTGGCCGAAATCGCGATTGACAATCGTCCACGTCTTGTGAAGCGCCTCCTTCTTATACTCGTCAAGCTTGACGATAGTCTCCTCGATCTTCGATTTATCGCGGATGACTGTTTGCATATTCCTCTTGAGGCTTGCTTCTTTCTTCTCAACATTGTCGATCATAGCCATGACCTTCGGGTTGATTTTGTTCTTCTTCTGCTGGAAGTGTTCTTCCAACGACTTCCGCCTAATCTTTGCGTCGTTCATGTTCACGCCCTTGAAGTCATAAACTGTTCCGGCGCGCCCGAAAAGCTCCGAGTCATTCGCGATAAATTCATACTCCTTTTCGAGCGCTTTGACATGGCCAGCTGCACCTTCCTGTTCTTTGTGAAACCTCTCGATCTCGTGGCCGAGCTTTTGTTTCTCTAGACCACCTTCAGTGATGGATGAGTTCTTCGACTTGATAGCGTCTTCGAGCGAGCGGAGCTCTTCATCGAAACCGGTCAATTTCGCTTGCTCATCTCTCAAATGGGCTGCAGCTAAGTCGTGCGCGTCCTAGCAAAGTTAACACTAGTAAAAACATCGTTCTGGTAAACTTTACCTGTACACGAGATTGTTCAGCCAGCAGCTCATCCACTTCTGCTTGTTGAGACTGCAGGTTGGTTTGGACCTCTTCCAGCTGCTCTTGTGCTGCCGCAAGATCGCTACCGCATTGCTCAGATTCCACCATAGCTTCGCGCATCTCGGTTTGCAGGGGCTTGATGGAGGCGTTGTTCTTGTTCAGAGCCTTCTTAAGTTTGTCAAGCGATGACTGTAGTTCGGCAAGTTTGCTGTCCTTGTTATTGCTGAACTCGCTCATGTCGCGCTCAATGCGTTTCACATCCTTGCTGGCCTCCTCTTGTCGAATCTTTGCCGCCTTGATGTCTTCCTTGAGCTGAGCAATGGTCTGCTTCATTTCTTCCACAGCTTGGATGATCTAATACACAATTAGCAATATTCTTATGTCTCAAACGTCAGCTTCCGCATACCGATGACGAAGAATTGCTGCCAATCTGCTCTTCTGTGAGCTTGATCTCGTGCCTCTTGAGATCAAGCTCCTGCTTCGATTTACGTGCCGCGTCCAATTTCTTCTTCTCCTTAGCCATGGTCTCCTGCAACGACCGGAGTTGGGCCTCTTGTGAACTGAGCTCTGTCGTGATCTCGTTAAGCTTCTGAAGAGTAATGAGCACTCCGCTAGACTGGGGTGCGCTACCACCAGACAAGACACCAGCAGGGTCATAAGTATCTCCTTGTAGAGTGACACTCTTCATGCGCACTGCAGGATCGAAAGTCACGCGCTTAGCGGTCTCGGCGTCCTCACAAACGAGCGTCGATCCGAAAACGTACTCCATGGCGGCGTTGACCTCGTGCTCATATCCGATCAACGATAAAGCAAGATCGACTTTGCCTGGGGCTATCCTCTGGGCTGCTCCAATCTTCTCCGCTGATGCTTTGAAGGCCGCAATCTTGTTGAGCGGGATGATTGTCACTCGCTTCTTCAGCCTGCCGTTCTCAAGAAGTTGCTTGCCGGTGGCAGCCGAGTCGACGACGACGTTGTACAACCGACCACCAGCGCAGATCTCCAGAGCGGTACCTGCCCTAGTGTGCTCTTTTTCAAGTGTGAAGAGCTGAGCGACAAGACCCTTCACACGAGACCGATCGAAGTTTGGGGAGGGGTCGTTGTAGCTGAAGTCAATGTTTGCAACTTGTCGCCTCATACCGTCTGCTTGCTGTCGAAGTTCCCGTATGCGCGCTTGGAGATGCGATTCTTGCTGGTACATGTCCGCCTCTTGACCTTCGTTGTAGCCTAGCTTCGCTAGGTCCGCTTCTAGCTTCTTGGCTTGAGATTTCAATACCTCGAGATCTTTGAGGAGTCCAGAATTTTGTTCTTTTGCCTTCTTCGCCTTCGGCTCGTCCTCCTTGATCTGCTTCTCAAGATGCGATATCCTAAGCTTGCTCTGCTCCTGTTCAGTTGCGGCTGCGCTGGCGCGATTCCTGGCGTCTTGCAGTTGGCCTTGGTAACCGCCTTCCTGGCCTTCCTTAGATGCCACACCGGTTTGTAGGGTTTGTAGAAGCTCTTCTTTCTTCTCTACCTCCTCTGTTTGCTTGGCCAACTCGGCATGAGCCGTCTGGTACTTCTCCTGCAACTTCTCGTGCGTCTGCTTCTTCTCATGCAGTAGCCTTTCCAGCTCCTTGACACTCTTCTCAATGCCTTCCTTCCTGTCTACCTCCTCGGCCATGCTTGTCCTCTTCAGGTCCAGAACCGTCGTCAGGCGGACTATCTCATGCGAGTTCGTCTTCACCTCTTCTTCCAGTGCTTGGAACTTACCGCCTTTGCGCAGTTCCTTCTCCCGTGTTTCCTTTGTTTGTTTGATGTCCTCTTGAAGGTTCTCAATCTCCTTCTTCATGCGCACCGAAGATTCGTCGAGATCCTTCGCCCTTTGCTTCTTTGCTTCGAGGTCCTCGGCAGACTGTTGTAATCGCTCGTTGTATCGTATGTAGTCGTACGCAACGACCAGTTTTGTGAGGCGTTCGAGCTCACTCTGCGTTTGCTGGAAGTCCAAGAATGCGCGCTTCTCCATTCGCAGCTTCTCGAGCTTCGGGTCGATCTCGTCTCGTAGCAGCTCTGTAATCTCTTGCACCTTCATCTCCTTCTTTGCCATAGTTTTATAGGCCTTGTCTCGCCTGTCCTCGAACATGCGTGTTCCAGCAGCCTCCTCCAGCATAGCCAGAATCTCCTTGGCCTTCATATTCAGCACCTGCATGACTTTTCCCTGTGCGATCATGAAGTTGGGGTTGTTGATGTTGAGCTGCACAGACTGAAACAGGTTCTGTATGCTTTGTTGCTGCGCGCGGTGTCCATTGATGAGGTATTTGCTCGCGCCGCCGAGTACGATCTGCCTAGTCACCGATATCTGCGCATGTTCCTCGAAGCCAACGGGGCTCTTGGATTTATCGCGGTTGTCGAAAACGATAGTAACGCTCGCTTTAGTAACGCCTGCTTGGCCACGTTTGTAGATGAGATCCTGCAGTGTTGTAAGCCCTCCCGCCTCGTGTAGTCCTTCTCGTCCACACCCACCTGTAAGTTCTGCGCCCGCACCACGCTCAAATTGTTGATTCCTAGTACGAAACATATCGAATCGAGAATATTCGACTTCCCGGATCCGTTGAGTCCTGTGATTGAGTTGAAGCTCTCGTCCCTGGCCAGTCGTCAGTCGTTCATCTCTTCACAAGAGAAACGTAAACAAGCCTTACCAGCCAGAGATGACTGTTCGGACAGCGTATGACTTGTAGCCCTAGAGACGTGTTAGAAAGCGCCAACCGCATTGTCCGGTCGGACTTACATCGATTACAAGTTCTATAATCCTCATGGTGGCTGCATGTGCTGTCGTGCTGAATTACGCTGCCGTTAATGTTTGTTGTTCCGTCTCACCTGGGCAAGGGTCCGCGGGTAGCGCCCCCACCATAACGCGCTAGGCCTTCACGTGGCAGCGCGATCACGCGTACATCGTCACTCTCGACCTTTGCTACTTCATAGCGAATGACAAATTTCACAAGAACAAGTCTTTATTGGTCGTAGACGTCATCGATTACCACTACGTACTAGAAGAGATGTGAAAGTATTTACTGTGTATCAAACGCTATCGTCGCTCATCAACGCAAACCCCAGAATCACCGAGCTTGCCCTAGGCAATGCTTCGGCTCGACTTCCACGGGCTCGCTTGCTTCCGTGCATGCGGTCTTTGAACAACTCTTCTTTCTACCTATTCCTTTTGCAACATATTCTTTTGACTCGAAGCTCCCCACAGCTTTCAACCCATATTCGGATTCGTCCTTCACAGGCGGCAGCGGAGCAGTCCTCGGTGCACCTCCTATCCCCTCCATGGTGATCTCATCATCTGGATTGTTCGATAGTCCGAAATGGAAGTTTCCGAATACCTTGGTATTATGTCGGTTCGTATCCGCGGTGCGATCTTCGTAGTATGAGGTGTTTCGGTTCGTACCGTACTGCGGGAACAAGTACCGGAAGAGGCACTTGGTCGCCGGAGCACATGCCGTCATTATGTGCACAGCAGGTTCGGCAATGCTGATACCAATACCAATATCCCATGTACGGTCTTTGTTCGTAGGGGCGAAGCGGTAGTAATACACAATAAACCTGCCCACAGAGACACCTGTCGCGATCCATCCCAAGCTCATTACAATGACAACCAGGATCTTTGTGCGCCGGTGCATTTGAAGACCCCATACCATGACAGAAGGGATGGGGATGATGATGAGGTCCATGAAAATCGACAGGGCACAAGACACCAGTACGAACGTACGTGAGTCGATACAAGTACCGCCTGGCACGACATTCCCGTTGGCATCGACGCTGTCCATTGCAGGCCTAGACCAAGCATATGCTCTAGGTGTGCACTGTACGACGTTGACTATTGTCGATCCGATAGAGTAGAGGACGTTAAGCCAGAAAGTAATGTGCAATGGATATCGTATGCGACGCCGACAGTCCTTCATACGGAAGAGAAACATAATGATGGAAGCTCGAATCAATCCCATGACTGGAAGCACACATATTATGTTAGCAGAGTTCTGATACCTCTTCAATAGCCGAGAAATACGTACGCGGATGGTACAGCATTTGTACAGAGAAGTTCCATCTCAATGCCACGAGTTGCTCCGCAACAGACTTCTTAGGCAGATCATATATATGATAGCCAGTGCCGCTCAGTATGATGTACATCCATGTTCCTACGGTATCTGCTATGAGGAGCACAAAGGCGGCCAGAATCAAATAGTCGTCCCAGCAAAAATTGCGTCCAAGATAACGCGACCATACTCTAAGGAAGACTGTGAAAGAGGCCACGACTGTGAAAGTACACACAATGGCTAGGACCTCGCATTGTCGGCTTTCAACCATGGTACTGCTGAAGTTTGTAGTCGCAGTCGTGCGACCTTGGAGCGCTCGGTCCGTGATTGCGCAACAGGCGTTGAAGCCTACGGCGTAGTGTCCAGTGTCGGCCTGTTCGGTGGATCGTGAACCGGGTGTACGAGATGGATAATGAAGATCGTGGGTCCACGACGGCAGATCGCACCGAGAAGCGAACGTGGAGTAGTGACGCAAACAGTGAGGATCTGAAGGGTGACTGATAATGTAGGCAGTATTGGCCCACTCAGGAAAAAGTCGAATGTACCCGCAACGCGTCCGGACCCTCTCAAGTTTTTCGCTATGTGCCTAGTATATGTCACGCCTCCAGTGCTCCGCCCGGGAAGTCGCACGCACAGTCCCTTAATACCAGATGTTTTGGTGGCAACGAAGGATGCTGTCATTTACGACTGACGACTGCACGGCGACGTGAAAAGCTGCATCGGACCAGCCGCTGCTCTAGACTCTTGAAGTCTCAAGGATGAAAACCTGTCAGGCACGGAAGACGTCGTTCCAAAGCAAGGCGGTTCATTATGCAGGCCACAACCGCGGCAACAATAGTCCAGTTCCGCTCGTATCTTCCCTCTCGCTTGACCAGAACAAGGACTAGCCTGTCTCATGAAGTCCAAAGAGGTTCCTGAAGGTCCGAATTTGGGCTGACATGTCCAGGTCAACCCTCGTCACGGGCCTCAATCTCCGGGCGGCCTGGACGACGCCATGAACGATGAGGCCACTAGGCATTATAATTGCGACTCGGGCGAGTCAATGTTGTGAGGGCGTTTGCGATTAGGGGAAGTAAGTATGCCGATCTTCAGGACATGATGTTGGATGCTTGTCGGGTGGCTGACGGAGGGCGATCCCGCGCTGGGAATTTATTGCCCGAGCCGTGGAAGGCGTGTCAGCACACGTGTTTTCCCGAAAAACAAACTCATTTGCAACATGAGCTAACACCGCAGTGAATGCATTCTAATGCCGTTGCTGAGGACGCGGTTCAAAGGAGAACTATGAGCTGCAGTTTTGCGCGTCAGTAAGGTACGCCTAGCTCCTTCCCCATTTGGACGCGACCATGACTCTCAAACTTCGCACTACCGGCATCTTGACCGGCACCAACAAGCACACCCTGGACGACAAGCCTTTACGACTCGAGTAACGATGTGCCGGAGACTAGTCCCAACGACATGTCTGAGTGCACGTGAGTGTAGTTGATACTCTTTTCACAACCTTACGCGTACAGAGTTTGCATTAGGGATTGTTGATCGTTCATTGTGATAGGTCCAACATAGGAGAGTGTGCAGGTGAGATAAACTGCGTTACGCAGCATCTGCATACAGGAACCTCGTGAAGTTCCTGGATAGGTCGCAATAATCGCAACCAAATCAATACCTTGTCATAGACCCTGGCTTTCTCAGCTGTCAACACAGTTTTTAGAGAAGATCAGCGGTCACACTGAGGGCAAAGAGCATTAGCCTACATCCTGCCAAGCACGGGATATTGGGCGTTGCCTCCTATATCGAGTCAGTCAGTAAGATGACCAGTATGACTATCCTTTTGTTTCTCGTCTCAGTGCGCAACGGTCCGTAACCCGCCAGCAGCCGCAAGCCCCAGGCGAAAGGTACAGTGAGAAACGGCCGTCCATGACGCATAAAGAAACTTTCTGACGGACATATAGATCTGCAGCCGTTCAACGGGAGACGATCAATCGCCAAAGACCGGTAAACTCGGCCATACTCTGAGTCGTTGGGGTCTACCTGACGAACTCGCAAAAATGGCTTCCATCGCTTTATGGCTCGCGGTTTTGGCTGCTGCTTCAACCACAGCATCCCCAGTCCTATCAGCCAAGGCCGAAAGCAACACTCTAAACGTAGATGTGGATCTCCAAGACATCACTTCAGCAGTCAGATCCCTCTTCCTCCCCGGCTCTCTCAATGCTACAACGCCGACAAACTCTTCGAGATGCAAAGTCTACCCTGATGACCCCGAATGGCCTTCCGATGAAGCTTGGTCCCAACTCAGCAAACTCACTGGTGACCGTGTCATCAATGCACCTACTCCTCTGGCGGCAGTGTGCTACCCTGGCGAAGACTACAACGCTGCAAAATGCTCAGAGTACACTGTGGCAGCATGGCAAAAGTCATATATTCATATGATCGATCCCATAGAGATAATGTCTCCAGTCGCACAGGGCATGACCTGCACGCCTCCAGTTCTCTTCGACTCCCATGGCTGCACTCGTGGAGGCTTCCCCATGTACGTTGTCAACGCCACTGAGCCGAAGCACGTTCAACTTGCGGTTAGCAATGTCCCTGTACAAACAGTATGTGGAAGATATACTGATCTCGTACCCTAGGTGAACTTTGCTAGAAACACCGGTGTCAGACTCGTCATCAAGAACACTGGCCATGACTTCCTAGGCAAGAGTGGTGGCAAGGATGCTCTTAGCATCTGGACACACAACATGAAGAATATCGAGTATATCGAGGAGTATGCTGATGAGAAGCTCAACTGGACGGGCCCAGCGTTCAAGAGCGGTGTCGGTGTGCAGGCCTTCGAGATTTACAAGGCTGCAGCTGAGAAGGGCAGGGTCGTCGTTGGTGGTGAAGGTGAGACAGTCGGAGTCATGGGAGGATACATTCAAGGAGGTGGCCACTCTCCATTGACCGGGCTGTACGGTACCGGTGCTGACAGTGTCCTCTCTATGGAGGTCGTCACAGCCGACGGCGAGTACGTTGTCGCAAACAGCACCTCGCGCACCGATTTGTTCTGGGCCCTGCGCGGCGGTGGTGGCAGCACCTTTGGAGTCGTCACCTCTGTAACTGTCAAGGCTCACCCCGATCTCGAGGTCACAGCCTCGCGCTTTGGCTTCAATTCTGCTCAAACCGGAAATGAGACGTTCTGGGCTGCCATCCGCGCTTATGTCGACTTATGGATCGACAACGCAGACGCGGGTACATACACATACTGGACCCTGATCCCATCTAACGGCACCTTCGCATTCGCCTTTTCGCCCTTCTTCGCGCCTGGCAAGAATGTAGAGGAAGCAACCGCACTCCTGCAGCCCTGGTTCAACAAGCTCAACGACTTGGGCGTCAAGTTCGACCCTAACATCACTCATTACGACAACTACTACGATGCCTGGAGAAACTCTTTCCCTCTCGAAGCCGTCCAGAAGCCGAACGTAGCGACCGCGTCACGTCTGTTCCCTCGCGCGAACTTCGAAACGGCCGAGAAGCGTCAGGAGGTATACGAGCGCATCCGCGCATCGAGCGAGAAGAACCGCGTGCAAGTCCACTTCAACATGCAGGCCAAGGACCCTTACAACACCGAAAACGCCGTAAATACACATTGGCGTCCACTGGTCTCTTTCAGCATGCAATCTGTGCGTTGGCCCATCAACAGCACCGCCGAGGAGATTTTGAAGATCCGCAAGGACTTCCAAGCAGGCGACATGCAGTCCTGGAGAGACATCAGCCCTGGCGCTGGGTCCTACCTTGCTGAGGCTGACCGTCTCGAGCCGGACTTTGGTAATGCGTTCTTCGGTGACAACTACCCTAGGTTGTTGGAGCTGAAGAAGAAGCTTGACCCACAAGATGTGTTCTTTGCGACTACCGGTGTGGGTAGCGAGAGATGGCGAGTCGAGAGTGTAGATGGGCTACCTAATGAGAACGGCAAGCTATGTCGTGTGTAATCGCGTTGTGTATATACATTCTTCTTTCTGTTGAACATTTTTTGCTTCCTTCAAGTCTATCGCTCTTGTTATTATAATCAGTAGACCACGACAATACCCGAGTTACCTATTGAGTTTCTATCAAACACTGTTATCCCAACTTCCAAGAGCGAACAACATTGTGATAATATCTGCATAGCCCTTTTCTGGCAAAGCACCAGATGGCTACTCGAGAATCGTGCAATCGTACAATCATCAGTTCGAATTCACACGTCTCTTCGAGCACCACTCAACGCAGGTCGACCCTCTATCGTATCCAAGACCGGACCAACAAAGTCCCTCTTCCCTCCGATGAACCACCACACAGCACTCAGTACCAAGACGCCTCCTAGCACGACCGGCGCGTAATTCATATTCTGGGCCGTAACAGGTTGGTATGGCGGGAAAAGAAGAAATATGGATACATAGACCGTATAAATGATAGAAGCAAGGTTGATGCCAATACCAAGCCTCCCGAGCCTAAAAGGGCCGTATGGTAGTGATCCTGGACAAGCTATTCGCCGATAAAAGATGAGCACTATCGGCATCAGATACGAGATGTACAAGGCGACGGTGCCCAACGAAACGATGGCGTTGAAGGCGGTAGTAGAACCGATATTCAGCAGGCCAATTAATACAAGGAAGGTACTGGTAGCCGCTATCGCTGGGAGAGGGACGTGATGCTTCTCGTTGACCTTGGAAAGTGTCTTCGACCACGGTAGTCCGGCGTCTTGAGCAAAAGACCATAGCATTCGAGATGCGGTCAGGACAAGAGGTACTGTTGCCAGAGCTGCCATGACTATGAGCGAGCAGGTCATGGCCGACGCTGCTGCCTTGTTGCGACTTATCTGATAGAAGATCTCTATGATGGGGTATCCAGTTGCTGTTTCCATCGCTTCAGTGATGTCGCCCATGCAGAATAGGATGGTAAGCAGCCATCCGAATCCTATTGCGCCGTTGATGATGATGGAGGCTAGCATAGCTCGTGGGACGTTACGCTCGGGGTCTTTTATTTCTTCAGTGAGATGGGTCGCGCTGTCGTATCCTGGTAATATCTTAGCTCATATAAACGATGGCAAGATACGTGGAACTGACCAGCAAGCACGTACGTGCTACTCAACAGGCCTATGCTAAAGGCTACACCATCGCTGCTCCAGCCCGACTCGTTGATATATGTAGTGAAGACGAATTCAGCGGTATTTTTGGTGGGCGATACAACGCAAATAACAACGACCAATACGAGCCAGAGTACTACATGAAGGGTGAATGTCGCGTGCAACACCTAAACGTAGGTATACCGAGTCAGCATTTGTCCCACATGTAGCTCGTATATAGAGGTTACGTACCCAGGGCAAGCTTTTAATAGCAAATACATTAACAAGCGTTGCAAGTCCAATAAATGCCCAGTAAAGCATAGTCCCGTGCCACCTTTGATACGAATAATCCGGATAGTTGAGTACAATAATACCTTGGAGCATCGTTGCGCCGAGGAACGGGGCACTCGCAGTGAAGGTTTGCCAGGCAAATACGGATATCCATCCAGCGGCGTATCCCCAAGCTGCTCGAAACTTCTTGGGAGCAAGCTGGACGACGAAGTAGTATTGGCCTCCAGCTGAAGGGTACCTGGCAAAGAAAAGGCGGATTAGAGGGTTGTTCTACCGACGGAAGCGTTGTTCTACTCACATAGATGCTAATTCAGACAAAGACAAGGCCGTGGCTAAGGTGCCCAGAATAGCCACTGTCGTATCTGCATCAGAAGACGGACCAAGGTATAATGGTTGTAAGACGAACATATGTATCCAAAGACCAGTGATACCGGGCCCCCGGATATGAGGCCGGTGGCCATCGTAGCCCCAAGTGCCTCCCATGTAGCAATCAAAGAAGTAGCCGTTGAGATGAGTGACAGGACATTGAAGTTTTGCTGCCAGTTGGTAAGTAAGAGATAGTCTACTGTAGTTCAGTGACTTACTTCGAGATTCTGGTTCGGGGCGTGTGTTTGCTCATGCTTCCCGGACATGGTCAGTTGCATGGCCAGAGCCGACGTTTCATTCTCTTTGCTATCGACATTCTTCTGTGTGCTCATGGTTTTTCTCTCTTGTACAACCCAGTGCGCGATGCGTCTAGTAGGAAGAGTATACTGTTAACGCCGCATATCTGTCATTACTACTATTGACCATGTGCGGAACCAGTCCGAACAGTCTGGACAGGTGAACCAGACGTAACCATATCGGGGAAGCATTGACATGCATATCAAGATATGCTTATCTTTGCTCCGTATGTTTTCATTAGCGGAGAAGCTCCAGGCTACATTTCTGTCGTAATCCTCCGACGCTTTACCTATTTCTTAGAGCAAGGATACTCGCGTGTTTCACTTCGTCCAATTATCAAAGCAGTTTATGACAGCGGAAGAAGCCGATTTTGCGGGGTACGGCAGAGGGTTGGTGTTCTGCAGTGGTCTATCAACGCCACTCGTGGCTGTAACGGAATCGTGCCGTCTTTTCGTAGCCGATGGAGAGGTGAAAGTATATTCAAGCTCCTTCGTAGACTACAGCATTCCTCGCGCATACCTTGAGACGAGTAGAGATCGACAAGCCGATGAGCCGTGGTTTGTGACCGGTCACGAGCCATGGAGTTCGACCTTTGCTGTCGGCTATTGCTGTTTGGTGCTGGAAGCAATGTTCATCCATCATAGGATTATCTTCGTATGGCACTCTGGAAGTGTGGAGAGCGGAAATGCTTTGAAGCGCCTTATCTTCGCAGGAGGTATTGCGCGTCGGCGGACAGATTCCGCGATAACACTAGCGCGTAGGTCCGCCTGCAGTTTCCCCATCCATGCGTGAGGAGTAATCGTACTTCGGCCGTAAACTTAGCGTAGATCATCCCATGGTCCCTTCCTCCCTGCGATGGACAGTGCGGTGGTATAGTAAATCTTTCATGGCCATCGAGCGACGTCTTCCGTTTCTCTACTCCAACACCAGCATGTTACTAGAAGCGCGTCACTAGCCTATAATCATCAGGCCCATCTTTGCGAAAGAGCTCGTATTTTCCAAGTCGGGTCTCAACTTAGAGTGTTCATTAGAGGCATTCGATACATCCTACTATTGTAGCAACGAACTATAAGATTTCGAATACCGTCTCTTCTACCACCACTCCGTACCCTCGAACACACCCAACCCCTCCTCCCCAAGCATCTGCGCGAAATACCAATCTTCAACAACCACCGTCGCAACATCTGTAAGCTCCTTTGTGTGCCGCTTGCACAAACAACCACCTCGAACTTTCACGTCCGGCTTCCATCGAACTGTACTACGGCAGTCGCGGACGGCGCAGGATTTCTGGAGACTGCAGCAGGAGCTGAAGGAGGAGGAGATGGAGGAGGAGATGGAGGAGAGAGAAGGTCGTGGGAGTCTCGCCATGTTTCTGTTATGAGAGGCAGAAGCAAAAAAGATTGTGCTGAGTAGGGTACGGACGTTGAGGTGGATGGGAATAATTCAGGGTATGCATAGAATCTCATATGGTTAGGCGATAGCTCAGCTGGACAGACACTGGGGTTCTTTCTTTTTCGAGTGATACCGCATTCGCTAACAGTGCGCTGGCCTACGATGCCACGTCGATACTGACGATGCAATGCAACAAGCCCTCAACCTTCCGCAAACGAGTGTGGACTGCCCGTATCAATATATCCGTCAGCCTTAAACACGCATGATCTCAGGCTTTTCGCCTTTGCCTCACTCAGCCCAGCAATAGGATTAGCATCTGCCTGGACTATTTCCCACGGTTCAACATCTATGTCTATGACGACCAGTCTCTACCTCCTATGAAGTCTTCGCTTCCAAGCGTCCATGTGTCTGAAAGACGCCAAATTATATCAATTGTAACGCTTACATCATCGCGCTTCTACTGCGAGATGCCCAACTCCTTGTAGAAAGCTTCGGTTTGGGGTTTGCGACCAAGGAACTCTTCAAGAATGTCCATTTCCTCCTTAGAACCGCCACGCTCTAGAACCGTGTGTCGGTAGCGGCGACCTTCGGTGGGGTTCATGGGGTCCTCTTTGAAGACAGTGTAGAACATGTCTGTGGAGTAGACTTGAGAGGAGAGGTAACCGTAGTAGCTGTGGTGGTTAGCCTGTGATGTTTGAGAAAGTGATTGAACGTGGCTTACCCAGCGTCATAACCACCGATCAAGTGGCCAAACGTGGCCTGTCCGTTACCCCAATGCCAGTCACCCTTCTTGTCACCTTCCAATGACTCAGGGCCCTTAAGCTGACTGATCTCGTGCCTCAGAGAGTTGTATTTCTCGGTGATGTCCATCTTTTCAAGCTCCTCGTGGCTAGCAGGCTCGTGAACGGCCATGTCGAAAGTTCCAAAATGCAACTGTCTCAAGTTGAACAGAGCATCGTTGACATGCTTAGTAGAGATCAACTTGGCGACTAGCGATTGAGGAATCTGCTCCGAGGGCTTCTTCTCGGCGCCCGACGACTCTAGATACGCCTTCTCGTAGTCGGAAGAGATGTAAGAGTAGTGGTGAGACAGAGAGCGGAGTTGCGATGGTGTCCAACACCAGTTTTCCAGCATTTGAGATGGCGCCTCAACAAAGTCACGGACAGTGTTGGTGCCGTGGAAGCGAGAGTAAGTTGTCCTTGACACCAGATCGTGGATACCGTGACCGAGCTCGTGGAACAGAGTGACGACTTCATCGTGCTTCAGTAGTGAAGGCTTCTTCTTTGTCGGCTTGGAGAAGTTGCATACTAGCGCCGTTGCAGGGTATCGTCGCTTGCCGTTCTCGTCTATGTAGCCAGGTTGAAGATTGAAGTTGGCGGCGTGCCCGTACTTGCCATCTCGGGGGAAGAGATCAAGGTAGAGGTAGCCGACAAAGCCCTCGCCCTCGCCCTTGTCGTCCCAAACGCTGAAGACCTGCACTTCCTCATGCCAGACAATGTCGGAACCCTTGCCGCCATCTGCAAGTGCAGCCCTGTCTTCCTCGCCAACAATCTCAACAAAGACCAGACCGAAGAGCTCCTCGAAGATCTTCAACATGCCCTGGATAGTCGTCTGGAGAGGGAAATATTCGGCAATGACTTGGTGGTCGAGCTGGAAATCCTTCTCGAGCATCAGACGGTCATAGTACCTATTGTCCCAGAGGTAATAGTCTTTGGCCAACGGGCCTGTAATTCCATTCTCTTTGACGTCTTGCTCCTTCAGTTCCATCAACTTCTTGATCTCCTTCTTGCCACCTGGTGCGAGCCTATTACGTAGGTCACCGAGGAAGTCGTCGACCGTCTTGGTGGTCTTGGCCATCTTGTCTTCTATCCGGAACTGCGCATGATTGTCGTATCCGAGAAGGCGAGCGGCCTCGTCGCGGAGTAGAATGGCCTCCCTGAACAGTGGTACGTTGTCATTGCACTTGTTCTCGTTCTCGACGAAGACCTTCCTCCGTGTCTCGGGGTTTGTGGCGTACTTGAGCGTTGGGAAAAGGTCGGGGTACTTGAAGGTCAGGAACAGCTTGCCCTCGAATTCGCCCTCGCCCTTCTTCAGTCCTGAAATGACATCTTCCGGTACGCCGTGCAACTCCTCTGGTGTGAACCACAGCCCTCCGCTCTCCTCGTTGAGGTTCTTCTGGAAGGCAATGCTGATCTGACTCAGACGCTGCTTGATCTCCTTGAACCTATCCCTCTTGGGTCCCGCGGGAAGGTTCAGACCATTTCGAATGAATGACTTGTGGTCCTTCTCTAGCAGCCGCTGGGACTCTGGGTCCAGCTTCTCGCCCTTCTTCAGTACCGCGTCGATGAGGTTGAAGACGTCCTCACGCATGGACGACTCAATGCCGAAGTCGTCAAGCATCTGCTCCACCTCGCTGGATGCATCGCGTAGTTCCTTGCTCGTTGATACGGCATTGTAGAAGCCGAGGATGTGCGATTCGATGGCCATCTTGTTGTCATCGCGGGCAATTTGAAGGAGGGTATTTTGGAAGTTCGCATTCTCGGGCTTCACGTCGCGGACGATGGCATCTTGGACGCTGCGTGACCTGTCGATCTGGGAAGCGTCAGCATCTGGTCGAGACACCCCTCCTGCGGGGCCGACAGCAGCGGCTGCAAACAGAAGGTAGGAAACCCGGGGATCCCACATACCAGTCTCTTTGCGTCATCGACTAAGCTTTGCTTCGTAGCCGTGAACTTTGGCGGCAACTGGGGCGGGGTCTTGTATTGCGAAGGCGCCATGGTGGAGTTAGTGAGCGGCCTAAACGGTTGCGTGTAGAGCGGATTCCGTAGTGGCGAGGGTTTGACGTATTGTAAGATGGATGGTACGCGTCCGCCGAGTCGAATTGAAGCCAGGATGGCGGATGTCGCAATGAAGAGAGCGACTGCGGCGAGGAAGAGCTTGGTGATGCGTGAGGAAGCCACGGTGCAGGTGATTAGCCAACAGCTTGCTACTTAAGCCGAGATGTGGGGAAGGGGCGATTGGCGGTGTGCTGCGATAAACAAGCGCCTTGTAGCTGGGAGCACGACGATGATGCGATCGAGTATAAACGTCTACGTGACCTCTCAACCGCTCTCCAGACACCTGCAGCCGCATGCGATCGACATCCATGGATAGGTCCGCCCGAGGTTAACTGAAAACGGCAAGGTGCCATCGTTAGACCCATGTCATGCTGCAGCCGTTGTGCAACGTCCTACGTTAGACACCCGTGGACTCCGCACTCGGTCGTGACAAACCTCACGTTGCAGCTGCTGGGTTCCCCAAACCAAAACTTGAGGCTTGCGCATCTTACGGTGTACAGCACGCGTCCCTTGCCTCAGGGAAATAGACTATTGACGAATAGCACTAGGGTTGTGATGAATATAGCAACAACGCAGTAGGCGAATTACTGCGGCAAATCACTTGGGCTCGTCTATGAGATTAAAACTCAGCAGGATCATATTATCATTATCGTTACAAGTACAAGTTCCCTCTTCTGAGCTTCTCAAACCGTCATGTGTGGGTGGTGTGTAGGCTCTAGCAGTGTCTCGCCTCTGCTACCTGAGCTGAGGCTTTCCGGTATTGTGATAAAGGGACCCCAGCTGGAACCCCTATTACGGACCGTCTCTGCATGTATTGTAATGAAGCAGTTAGAATTCTCCGCGGCTCTCTTCTCATCCGGGAGCGGCCATTCGCCCATATCGAGCGCTTTATGCTGGCTGAAGGCATCGATCTGGAGAGGTATCGATGGAGGTTTGCTGACCTTTCTTGGCGTTACACTTCGCTCGTCCTTTTGCTTACTACGGAATAAGAGACGGAGAAAGGGTATAGATGAGGAGATGATGCCACTGTTGGTCTCAACCTGACCCCACAAGAGCATGTCGTTCCCAAAGCGTGCAGAGTTGTAGGGTGACTCGGCCCATAGCATCATAACCCACATGCGTACGGAAGATGCGGTTATAGCCATGATGCCGACCGAGAAAATGCCGATGAGCGCTAGACGTTTGGTCATGGGTATGCGAAGACTGAGCAGTGTCGGAAGAGGAAGCATCAGGATGATTACGTCGCTTATCAGATTGGAGGCCGACGAAAACACCCACAGCTTGATAGGATCGAAGCATTTGACAGGCTTGCGCTTGGTGTTTGGATCGCGATCGAACTGTGCGAAGTAGTTGGCTGTGGACCAGGCGTCGGAAGGGTTTTCGCATTGGAAGGTAGACGCTATGCTCGCAGCGAACGTGTACATGCAGACGAACGCGATCGTAGCGTATACAAGCCGACGGAATGTTTTATTCGCGGCGATGGCGCGGTAGAAAAAGAGGATACTAAGCTTTACGAAGCCAAGGCCAATGGTGTAGGTCAAGCGGTATACCCACCATGATATGAGATTCCCGCGTACTTGCATCTCGATCTCGGGTCGCTTCTCCTGGTTTCCATATTAGGCAGTGTTACCCAGCAGGCGCCGAATTTTACTCACTGGATTGTACAGGTAGCTTGGACGGGAATGGCTGCTCGTCTCATCTTGATAGAAGTTGACGACGAAATTGCCCCATGTAACCACCTGAACCTCGTAAGCTTTATAGTAGAGGACAAAGGATTTACACTTACAAGAGCGACGAACATGAGATGATCGCTCGCACTGACTGATCCCATGAGGAAGTATCGGCAATAGTATCTGTTTGGTTGGTCAGTCTCTGCCCATACTGCTTCAGTGACAGTTAGTCTTACCGCAACGCTACAATGATTGTCGACGTTGTAGTCAGTATCGCCCCGACAATCACCACCACATATCCCGGTCGGAAGTACATGTTGTATGACTGGGCGTAAGACGCAAGAATGAGGGTCGGCCGTATCTAGGGCCGATTGAACAGTTCAAGTATACAGCTATGCGCCCGGACAACAATAGAAGAAAACGAATCTATGAACAAACATGAACACGAACACGAACAGAATGAGTCGGGCCTGAGCGTTCGGTTATGAGGACGGATACCAACCTGAGGATTCCCCGGATTCTGCACACGCGGGAGGGAGTGTTCCATAGCGCGTGTCGTGCTCCTGACGCGTGCACATAACCAATTCCCATCCCAGTTGTGGCGATCATGCAGGATAGGCGACCGCATGGCTCGACGTGGAGTGAACCATAGTACAAGTTCACAATGCGTGATTGGTTTATGGGATCAGGAAAGTTCACAGCTAGTGAAAGATGCTAGGTTTAGAAACCGTTGTATAACATCGTGCAGCCATATGATCGGCCCGTGGCCTTAAAGAACCCGCAATGCCATGGAATGAAGGAACAAAAACGGGCTTCTTTGCGGTCTCGGCGTATGTGGTAGGATCTGGATGTGGACGCTATGTCCCTACTAGGTGGCGAAAGTAATGCACGCTAAGTCCAAAACAGGTACTAACTGTGAAGGGATAGAAGGCACAGCCGCCTGGATAGATCCGAGTAGCAGAAGGCTTGCATGAAGTGATGGCGCTCGGCAGCAGAACATCCATCAGACCCACTTTTACCTAGGGCTGACATTGTGACGTGAGTGTCAGAGGACCCTGAGGCTGAAACACGGATTGCATGCGTCGCTCAACACCGGCGACCTGAGGCGATAGCTGAACGACGATATCGCATTCGGTGTCCTGCTCCGCAAGCCAAGAATTGAGATGCTCACGACGATGTGCTGATCAGGGGAGACCCAGTAGGATCGTCCATGTTGAACTGCCCTAGGGGATTGTCGATCAGACAACGACCCATGAGCAAAGGTAATTGATCGAACAGCAGATGGGAAACAAGAAATTGATGGTGAAATCTGTAGCTTCCGTAGTCAACTTTGGTAAAGATGAGAAGTAACGATGCGGGAAGGAGAAATTTTGCGTTAACTGACGCGATAGGAATGACCTATCACCAAACAGAGAACCACGCAAATTACTAGTCTTAGTATATGGATGAGCTGATCATGCAGCCTACATCGTTGTGATACATGTCGGGAGTAATACACTATGATCACAGCTTGACGGTCGTCAGCACTGTCGCAGCGACCGCGTTCAATCGTCTGCGCAGTGACGTCAACAGATCGCTGTACCCAAAACGCTACCTGTAAAGGCTGCTTACACCGATGCGCGCATTGTTGAGATTGGAGGCCGCCTCCGCCAACAAGTCGTTGGCGTTGGCAGAGACGAAAGGGGATGTAGGGCAGGCCAAGAGTTCAGACACATCGTGAGCGAGAATGACTCACTATCACGCCCTCTCATTGGACGACAAATAGACTTTAAGTGGGGGCCGACTTCACTCGGAACCACACTTTCAATCAGACTAATGCAGCCATGAAGCCTCAGGCTCAAGTTTGGCGAAAAGGGCGCAAGGAGTTCCCGTGAGGGGGTGGCCGGATAGATTCACGAAGCTAGTACTATCTGGCACACGATGTTGATGTTGCTATGGGAAATGGCTATCAGCATTGCTCACATTGACTCATTGTGAGATTGACGAATGCGTTCGACGAGCTCAACATGGGTATGTATGCACTCTTGCTCACGATGAGCAAAAGTGATTGTCCTGGGAAGCACAGGCAAAGATGAGTACAAAACAAAGAAGATGTAATGTAGAGTCCGTAGCTTTGTAGAACAGATAGTATATTTCATCGCGACCCGATTAGCTGTGAGTATACATCCCAATATGCCAATATCCTCTGTGATTATAACCTATTTTGCCGATCTGAGTATCGCCCTGAACAGGCGTACCATGAATCGACCCATTGTCCGACATCGACTGAAAGGAGGCCTCCTTGAGTGTTAGGAAAGAAAGAAAAGACAAGGCTATCACATGCTAACAGACCGATAGAGGACTACTTTTGAGAACGTAGAAGAGCACGAAGCGTCTCGACTTCCCCTTCTAATCTGGCGTTGCGGACTTTGAGGTCGTCTCGTTCGGCTTTAACTTCCTTGAGCTCGGATTCGAGAGTAGTCATTTGATCGACACGCTTCTGGCGGTAGCGACGAGCAGCGAGGGTATTTGCCTTCCGCTTCTCAACTCGGGAAGAGGGTTCTGGAGCCAGAGGGCTGTTCTTTGTGGATGACAATCTAGATGACGAGGATTGCTCAGGAGGCGACGAACTCTGGTCCTTGTGGCTTGTGGAGGAAGAACCAGAATGAGAGGAATCTGCATAGATTAGATACTGATGAGTTGGAAGAGAGTATGTCTATTACCTCTTATCATGGGCGCAGATGTATTCATATTGTTCATATTGGCCATGCCGGATGGCATGGTGAGCATGTTCATGTTGCCTTCCGCAGTTGAAAGTGAAGCCGGTTCGCCAGGAAGCAGCTGCGTGCCATTGCCAAGATAATGTGAGTCAGAATTAGGAAAGAGGTCCCAGTCCGGAGTGGTATGAAAAGAAGGGTCTGGTGCAAGCAAACCACCTGTCAAGGTGGCCGAGGAAGAAGTGGTAGTAGGAAGAAGTGAAATGGTATCGAGCAGAGCACCGCTGCTGTCGGCGGTGGAATAAGAAAATGCGAAATCCCAATTAATTGACTGACTTCCAGGGTGGTTTGGCGACAACACGGAGTTGCTGTGGTTGCCAGAAAATGTTGAAGAGTTGGCTTGGAGCGTATCGCATGGTGACGTTTGATTGCTGCATTCTGGGATGTTAAAGGGCGGGTCCTGATACCCGCTGGTGAAATCGAAGAATTCGTCAAGTGAAATTGGAGACTATCTGAGGGCGCCCAACACGGGGTGAAGAGCGCGAAGTTTGGTGAGGAGAGGAAGGCCAGCCGCGGGGCGGCTTCACTTTATACGAGAGGAGGGCGGTGGGTTTCCATGGCTGAGGGCTGATGGCATGCGCTAGCGGCCTACCCCGGTCGCAGTTTCCTGCAACTTTGAATGTTGGTCGGCTGCGCCCTCGAGCATCGGCAAGCACAGCCCACACCGACGACATGGCTACGATACCCTCCTCACGACTGCTCCGGCCCAATCTAGCATTGGTGCAACAGGACACAATCCTCTCTTTCCTCGTCCCATCGGTCCAATGCGCGCGCTTCTCCACATCACCCGCCCGATGGAAGAGAGACAACAACAAGAACAGAGGAAACTCTGCAGTCAGAGCCACCGGTCTGCGTCCTAGACAGACATTGTCAGTCAGGGAGAAAGATTTTTCGAAGCAGCAATTGCCGACACCCGTCAAGATTGAGCAGGAAGTGACGGGCACACCAGACCATGGCCTTTGGGATTTCTTCAAGGACCAGAGGCTTTTACAAACACCTGTGGAAGAGCAGAGGCATGGTAGGCTGCAATCGCACAAATGAGGGGGTGATAGTGGCTGACGAAAACACAGGAAGATCGTGGACTGTTGGCGAACTACGCAGTCGAGACTGGGAGTCGCTACACCAGCTGTGGTGGGTATGTGTGAAGGAGCGGAATCGTCTTGCGACCGAGAAACTCGAGCGCAAGCGTCTAGATGCGGGCTACGGCGATTATGAGAATCAGGAGCGAGACAAGACTGTGCAGGAGACGATGAAGGCAATTCTGGACACACTAGCTGAGCGACACCTGGCATACCAGGAAGCCTATGTACTGGCACAACGCGATCCGGACATTGACCTGACAAGAACAGACGGCCCACAGTACACTCAACCAACATATGTACGTCCAGCTTTCTAGGAGTATTGATTGCATGCTTACCCACTACCTAGGACCCGTTAGAAGCAGATGAGGCGCCGTACACTGCTGAGGCCGAGGCACCCGTCGAAGAGCCCTCGAAAGACAAAATACTTTCAGAACCAGAAGTACAACCGAAGGTGAAGGTGAATCACGCATGATGAGGTCCGTATGTGCATGTAGCATACGTCGTTGGGCAACGAATGGGCAACACATACCTGTTCAATCTTCTACAGAAGAGTGGTCTGGCCGAATTGTGACTTTACGCATTGTACATCATATCGTGGCTGGGATGGCGAACAGGGAGAACCTGTGGCACAACAAGGCTGCTACATCGACCGAGGCAGCCAGGCTAGCTTTTGTAGCATATCGCGTGTATCATAGCCAGTCATGAAATCAGTGAATTGCACTAGTCCAGCATATGTCAAACGTAGGGAGTTATGAAAGTAATGTCAGCATAAACAGGTCGACCAGATTGGCGAGGCGCTTCCCAAAGAGCTACAACCCCACATCCATCACACCGCCCTAAGAACGCTCGACCACGCGCCTTCTTAGCGGACAACCTCCACCGCAATCTTCAACTTTCTTATTCTGCAACCGACAGTTAACAGCCATGGACGAGATTGCACCCGAATACGACGTCGTGGTCCTGGGAACAGGTGGGTTACCGTTACCCCACCTACGTAACGTGCGGAAGCTAACTATCCCCAGGTCTCACCGAATGTGTACTTTCAGGGTAACACAAGGACTCGAGGAGAATGTCTGAGCAAGTACTGACATGCTTGCAGTGTCCTTAGTGTCAAGGGCAAGAAAGTGCTCCACATCGACCGCAACGACCATTATGGCGGGTATGTTATCTCGATAGGTACTCTCGGGGGCGACAGCTAACAGGATGCAGTGAGGCGGCATCGCTGAACATCGAAGCGGTAAGTCTACGATGTCTCTGACAGATATACATATACTAACCTGATGGCTAGCTGTTCAAGAGATACGGCCAGACTGAGGGTGAGCCATGGAAGAAGTACGGCCGCGTCAACGACTGGAACATCGACCTCGTCCCCAAGCTCCTCATGTCCAACGGTGAACTCACCAACATCCTCGTTTCCACCGACGTAACCAAATACCTCGAGTTCAAGCAGATCGCCGGCAGCTATGTACAACAGGGCAACGGCGCCAAGGCAACTGTCGCAAAGGTTCCTTCAGATGCCGGCGAGGCACTGCGATCGCCTCTCATGGGTCTCTTTGAGAAGCGCAGGGCGAGGAACTTCTTGGAGTGGGTTGGTGCATACAAGGAGGATGACCCAGCATCTCACAAGGGCAAGCATGCTCCAGTAGAAAGGATTGAGGAATGACAGCTGACATTCGACACAGGCATCGACATCCAGAGCTGCACCATGAAGGATGTTTACGACAAGTTTGGCCTCGAGGCTACCACACGCGATTTCATCGGTCACTCCATGGCCTTGTACCCTACCGACGACTACATCACGCAGAAGGGACAGGCGAATGAGGCTATTCAGCGTATCAGGCTCTACGTCAATTCCATGGCACGGTACGGAAAATCGCCATACATCTACCCACTCTACGGTCTCGGAGAGCTGCCCCAGGGTTTCGCTCGTCTCTCCGCCATCTACGGTGGTACCTACATGCTGAACACCGATGTCGACGAATTCCTTTACGACGGTGGCAAGGTTGTCGGTATCAAGGCCACCATGAAGGAGAAGGATGACGCTGGCGAGGGCATGAAGTTCGAGACCAAGGCAGGAAAGATTCTCGCCGACCCCTCATACTTCCCCGGCAAGGCGCGCATTACTGGACACTTGCTCAAGGCTATTTGCATTCTCAACCACCCAATTCCCAACACAGCCGACGCCGATTCTCTGCAACTGATCATTCCTCAGTCCCAGGTTGGACGCAAGCACGGTAGGCATGCATGTGTGTCACCATGGGAATTCTGCTAACAAATTTTACCAGACATCTACATCGCTGTCGTCTCGTCTGCACACAACGTCTGCCCCAAGGGTTACTACATCGCCATCGTCTCCACCATTGCTGAGGGCGACAGCAACCACCACCTTGAGCTCCAGCCCGGTCTTGACCGCCTCGGAAAGATCGAGGAGAAGTTCATGGGCCCAGCCATCCCACTCTACGAGCCACTCGAGAGCGGTGCCAATGACAACATCTTCCTGTCAAAGAGCTACGACGCCACTAGCCATTTCGAGACAACGACTGGTAAGCTTTGGGCTTTTAAAGTAGAATGGAGAACAAAATGTTAACACCTAACAGATGACATCAAGGACATTTACCAGCGGGCTGAGGGCCACGAGCTGGTTGTCGAGGGCCTGAGAGAGGGCGCGAACTTCAATGTTGAAGAGTAGATGGAATTGCGACCCGCTGAATGATGCAAGTTGCAATGGTCTTTTAGGTACATCGTTTGATAATCGTTCAAGATTTGGCTTCTATAACAATGGCATGCATCCCCAACAAGTGTGAAGGCGTGATGTGAAGCTGCGGAGCTCGAGCTCGGTATTTCCTATTTGGGCGATGACATTGGCACCTAACAACTTGACCACCACGCGCTTTTGACTAGTCTGCACATTCAGCTGAGATGGACAGTAGCTTGTAATCAGTACTGAATACCTACGTAGTGTGATTAGCTGTGATGTTGTACTTCTCCTTATGACGATTCAAACTCTTGGCAGGGATGTCTCCATGGCTCTGCAAACCATCTGAGTACTGCAACGCGTCCACAAAACGTGTCCTCGAGGCGCATTGCTCTTCTCACACTCCTTTACAATGGCGCAATTCGGTCGCTATAGATTCTTGCTGATAGCGGTGGTGTTCCACCTGCTGTACATCTGGAGTTGTTTCTCAACGTACTTTACAAGTCCTATCGTTCATGGCATGCGCGAGCACCGCGTGGAGACGCAGGAAGCTCCCGCTAAACGCTTGGTGCTCTTTGTTGGTGAGTCGCGTCAGATATGCCCGATACTACGTACTAACGGAGTATTACAGGTGACGGTCTCCGTGCAGACAAAGCATTTCAATCGTTTCCCAATCCCGACCCCAATCCTCCGACCCCTCTCGCAGACAATGCAACCACCCCACGTCCTCTCGCCCCATTCCTTCGCTCTCGCGTCCTCGAGCATGGCACTTTCGGCGTTTCCCATACACGGGTGCCTACTGAATCGCGCCCTGGACATGTTGCACTTATCGCAGGCTTATACGAGGACGTCTCAGCAGTCACGACCGGATGGAAGCTGAACCCAGTCAACTTCGACAGCGTCTTCAATCGCAGTCGGCATACATGGAGCTGGGGCAGCCCCGATATCCTCCCCATGTTTGAGACGGGTGCGGTCCCTGGAAGAGTTGATGCATACTGTTATGGCGCGGAAGAAGAGGATTCCTCCAAAGACGCTTGGGTATTGGATGAATGGGTGTTTGAGCGCGTCAAGAAGCTGTTTGCGGACGCCAAGACAAATGCTACACTGAACGCTGAGTTGAGGCAGGAAAAGAACGTCTTCTTCCTCCATTTGCTTGGGTTGGATACTACGGGTCACGCGCATCGACCGTACTCGTGGCAGTACTTGCACAACATCCAGATTGTGGATCGTGGAGTACAGGAGATTACGCAGTTAATCGAAGAGTTCTACAATGATGACAAAACGTCCTTTGTCTTCACAGCGGACCACGGCATGAGCGACTGGGGAAGCCATGGAGACGGACACCCTGACAATACACGCACGCCCTTGATCGCATGGGGTGCTGGCGTTGCGCCCCCTTCGAAGAACACATCAGGCGTTGCTAAAGGCCATACAGAGTTCTCGTCCGACTGGCACTTGGACGAGATCGAGCGACATGATGTTGACCAGGCTGACGTGGCGGCATTGATGGCCTACCTAGTGGGTCTTGACTTCCCTACCAATTCAGTCGGAGTCTTGCCGCTTTCCTACCTTGACAAGGACCCCAAGGCCAAGGCAGAAGCTCTTCTTGTTAATGCCAAGGAGATACTGGAAATGTACCACGTCAAAGAAGATATCAAGAAGGAAACGCAGCTGCGGTACAAGCCTTTCTCTGGCTTGGGTGACGAGGCGCATTCTGTCGAACATCGTGTCGCCGATATACAGGCATTGATCAACAAGGGCAACGCAGATGAAGCCATTCGTAAGACGTACGAGCTCATTGACCTTGGTCTCGAAGGGCTGCGGTACTTGCAAACGTACGACTGGCTCTTCCTCCGGACGTTGGTAACTGCTGGTTATGTTGGCTGGATCGCGTTCGCCATCGCTACAGTCATCGATCTGCATGTGCTCACCGAACATGTGCCAGCACAAAGAACGGCGGCAAGTATGGTCGTGTTCTCGTCCGTGCTTATTGCACTCTATGGGATTTTCTTCAAACAGGAGTCACCGATTATTTACTATGCATATGCATTCTTCCCAGTCTTGTTTTGGGAGGAAGTCTATGCTCAGAGACTCTCGCTCGTCAAAGGCAGCAAGATTCTGTTCGGTCATCTTAACTCTGGCGCCGATGTTGCGAAGCTAGTATTTGCGACTCTTGGATTTTTCGGTCTTCTCGAGGCTTTGGTAAGTCGATTCTGGACAACAAGACGCGATCGTACTGACACAAAGACAGGTGCAAAGCTATTTTGTCAGGGAGATTTACACAGTATGCTACCTGCTTGCGACACTCTGGCCAGTGGTCTATGGCCAAGACTTTGTTAAGAAGAACATTGCGACTGTTGCCACTTGGGCGTTGTCTTGCATAGCCATGAGCGCTTTCACGTTGTTACCAGCCAACAAGGCAGAGGATATTCGTCTGATGTAAGCGCGCCTGGTATTAACATGGACGCAGAACTAACGATGTGTAGCCTGCTTGGAGGTGTATTAATGTTTGTCATTGGCGCACTTTACCTCGTCTTCGAAAAGAAGATTCTTGAAGACGGCAAATCTGAAGCTGAACTCGCCAAGCACGAGCTTAACCACTCATCTCGCATTATACTGGGCATTCAGCTCGGTCTCGTAGCGCTTTCCATGATCGTCACGAAGAGCAGCGTCAGCTACTTACAGGCGCGCCAGGGCATTCCGTTTGGTGTTTTGACAGTGGGTCGGGCAACACTTTTAGCCTCGCTGGTCGTACCACAACTACACGGGTTTTACCCTAACGCCCACTACGTCCACCGCCTCGTAGTCATCTTCCTGCAGTTCGCCCCGACCTTCATCATCCTCTCAATCTCGTACGAGGGTCTTTTCTACTTTGCCTTTTGTATGTGTCTGTTCAGCTGGATGCGCCTTGAGCACCAGGTGTACCTGCATAGCACGACCAATGCCTCAACTACAGCCATTACATCAGATCCGGCCAAGCCTACCATGGACGCTGCATCGGATCGCCTTGGCTCACTCCAAAGGGGAGAGTACAGGTCCTTGACGCTGGCCGACGCGCGCATAGCTCTCTTCTTCATCTTCTTCATTCAGTCTGCCTTCTTCAGCGCCTCAAACATTGCCTCGGTGTCGTCGTTCTCCCTCGACGCCGTCTATCGCCTGATCCCCATCTTCGACCCCTTCTCGCAGGGTGCACTTCTCATCATCAAGCTTATGGCACCATTTGCGGCTCTCTCGACAAACTTTGGTCTCCTCAATCGCCGCCTGGGCGTGGCACCATCAGCACTGTTCATGGTGGTAATGGCGGTCAGCGATGTTATGACACTAAGCTTTTTCTACATGGTCAAAGACGAGGGGAGTTGGCTGGAAATCGGAACGACAATTAGTCACTTTGTTATTGCAAGTTTGTTGGGGGTGTTTGTCAGTGGGCTGGAGATCTACAGTGAATGGACTATCAGGGGCGTCGAGTTTGGTGGTAGCAAGAAAGTGCAGGGTAACGGAACGGTCAACGGAAAGGCTAATGGAAAAGCAGAGTAGTTTTTGTGTAGTGGTAGTATGCGCCTAGACTTGGTTTCATATGCGAGCATGTAATGTTTCTACTGCATTGGGCTAGCAATAGGGGTGAGAGAGCAGAAATACGGTTCACTACGGCTACCGTAGATTTGTTTCGATGCGCGCTGTACCGAATTCACAGCAGGCGAACGTTGAGAAGATGCTAGGTATATCCATGCTTCTTCAGAGACGGGCTAGGTTGCTGGGCAACAGTGCGCTGTGCAAGTGGCCGGGTATTGAATAGTGGTGATGATCCTCCTGGATGCGACGGCATTCCCGCGTGGGGAAAGGTCATGTCGCTTGAAGCAACACCACCGTGCTTTGTCTCTTATCGGCTCCTGCATGGCGTGAGGACGGACGACAGGCTTAAGCGGACGAGTGATGTTTGCTGCGAGGCTGGGGCGAGGGCGGCTGGGAAGGCGCGGCTCCACAAACTAGCGGGGGGCTTCTTGGGACGCAGCAGCACAGCACATGCACTGCTGTAATGGTCCTACCCAACAACTTGACAATTCAAAGCACCAGCCCAACAACACCGGCTCGGCGCATTCTTACACCCGCTACGCTTGACCGCGCATTGTTTACGGCTATTCTCCCACGAGCAAGATATATAGTGAGTCTTGTGGAGCACGTCGTGTTTGTGTGTAACGCGGTCATCGATTGTCGTGTTATCGTGTCTTGGAACAAGGGGGGCCCAACCACCGCCGCCAACAGCTCCGCGTCGTTCAACCTCGCACTTTTTCTGCGAATCGAAAGGCTAAATCGCAGACGCCCAACCAGTCTTTTATTTACGAGTCGAGGCGCAATCTCGCTTCCTCCGCCTTAGCCAGCTTATAACCACGACGGCCTTCACCCTTCGCTGCAGACTCTTTCTTTTCGCATAATGTTCTTCAAACGGTAAGTCGGGACTGTAGCCACTGCATCTTGTGACTTGCACTAACTTTGCATAGTCGGTCCAGGGCCAATTCTTACATAGACAACAGTGAGAACCCGCGCTCGCAATCATTCGACGATTACACCACCGATAAGCGCCCTGAGTCGAGCCGGAAGGAGTCCCACCAGAGCCAGCCCTTCTCGCCCGCCGAAGAGCCTGAAATGTATCCCCGCCAGCAGCAACCCCAGGAGCCAACGTACGCGCAGAGTGCTCCTTCCACCCACACCAACATGCCCATCCGCTCCCAGCAAGTCCCGCCTACGAGCGGCAGCACCCCAATGGGCCTCGGTATGCCTGACCTCATTACCGCTGCCTTCAATCAGGCCGTGCAGCCCTACACCGAGAAGATTGAGCAGCTCGAGAGCCAGCTTGCCGACCTGCAGAACTGGGTCGACCAGCTAGAGCAACAGCGCGCCGAAGTACACAACTGGATCGACAAGCGCGGACTGCGACCAGGTAAGGCTGCATTCCCTACTGCACTACTTGAGACTCTAGACTGACTCCTCTAGATGTCCCTGCTTCAATCGCCAAGATCATGGACACCACCACCGCCGACGCTGCGCCCACACTCAACGCCCAGCTCGACCGCAAGATCACAATCGTCAACTTCGACCTACACCGCCTGCAAGACGATCTCAACGACTCCATCTCATCCTCGCATTTTGCCTCGGCTATGCTCAAGTTCCTGCCCGACATCCAGCGCCTGACGCTCCTTCCGTCCGGCCCGCGCTACGCCTTCGACCTCATCCTGAAGCTCGGCGGCAACCTCAACTCACATGGCGGCATCGACAGCGCCGATGCAGGCGACATTGCCGCACGCCGCGACTTCTACAACAGACTCGACGAGACCATGGTTGATGTCGTGCAGCGCCGCTTCGGCGAGGGTGAGGGCTGGGATGTCAAGCGCGAGATCAAGCGCATTGAGAAGACCGCCAGCTACCTCAAGACCTACGGCGTCGAGCCATACTTCCCCTCAACGCTGGAGATGATGAAACGCGAGATGGAGTTCCAACCGCATAACAACGGTGTGCCTAACGGCCAAGGAACTCCACCGCGGTACCATTAGATCTCTTGAGCGTGTGAGCTGGACGTGTGCTGACACTTGTCTTCAGCCCGATTGTGTCTCCGAGACCCCATCACCCTGTGGTGGAGAAATTGAGAGCGACGTGGGCAGACGTGGTAGAAGATCGCCGGCGCGTTCACGAGTTACGTACAAGGCCTATAACTCCGTCACGGCTTCCTTTACCATCGACCAGGCCGCCGCCAACCGCGTCGTCCACGAGACCTGCCCCTCCAAGGCCTGTTCCAGTTCCTGTGGAGTATGCCAAGCTTGATGTTTCGTCCAGTGATGCTGCCTTAGCTGTTCCTGAATATGCGCCAGAGGCTTGAACTCGGCGATAACAGCTGATTCCTCATTCCGTTGTTTCGATCCACCATAGCGGCTACACATCTCTCACTGGTCTCCACAATACGGCACTCGTTCTTCAACACAGCACATTGTCCACTCCCACGCCACCAGATCCGCACTATTCTTGTTTTCATCTTCCCTGCGCTTTCGCCAGGAACATAGGGGCGCGACTTACGAACGCTCATAACGACCACAGCGACTTGTACTTAATACTGGGAAACGAATTTCTTTGCTTTGCATGAGGAGGGAAAGGATATGAGGGGATTGGGGTGTGTTTGTTCTCTGCATCATACCCGAGCATATTTTGGTAATGAAAGGCGGCGTTCTTGCTTGAGTAGTCTATATGTAATCCGCGGTGGGGGTGTAGCCGCCGCTTTCCAGGATATCTGGAAGAGCAATTGATTATATGATTCAAATTTTGTGTAGTGGAGAGTGAAGTGTGCTGACAATTGTAGTTGCTCTGATCGTTACACATGACTTTGCGGGTGTAGAGAAACAGGTCAAGCGACATGTGTGGAAGTGGTTTGCTGAACAGAATGTTGTGGTACCCTGGATGGTCATAGGTCTGTAAGAGAAGAAGCGTCTTGATGCTTTGGGACTGAAGAAATACCACTTCCCAACTCTAGTTGTGCCGGTGATGAACATGACAACAACATCCAATTCTCAATCAGTAGTAAGGCCAAGAACACCAAAGGCCGAGCAAAAAAAAAAACTGCTCCAGCAAAAGCGAGAGGTGACCAGCATGTAGAGGAACAAGCCATGCTCACACAGAGCAAAGAGCATCCACAACGCGCTGCAAGTAACTTTGCCACGCATGAGCACAATGAACGATGGCCGGATCATGGGGAGGAAGAAGGAGAGGATGAGGATCCAGCGAGTTACAGTAAGACGTTGTTTAGTAGGAGCTAACGCGGTCTAAGAATAAAAGAAATATCGTAATGTTCGGTCGGTAGTGCTAGTTGCTTCGTTCGACTGGTACTCTGGATTCCGCATGTGCTTATCCGCTGCATCTTTGATCTAAATATGTACATCGTAGACCTAAGCTTGCATTGGACTTCTGTAAATGACGTAAGGATCCTCTGGGTGACGGCTCCCTAACCCGTTACAGCCAACCCCACTTTCATTCAGGTACGCTCGCAACCTCGATCTTCCCAACTTACATCGGACGACAACTGCTACCACTGCAACGAATCTTGTGTCGACATCAAAAATGAATAGCTGCATCGTCAAGCCAAGGAGATGGATCTTGGCGTTCGATCAAGACCACGCGCTTTGAAGCGAGCTGACTGGGCGGGCTGCATGCACCAATCAGATGGTTATGCGCAATTGCGATACGACGCTGCGCGCTGTGGTGCTGCGCACTCAGGCGTCCTCAAACTGGGAATGATGACTAGGCATCCTTTTCGGTCAGAGTGTGTCTGCATACTGTGTTTTCTCTTCATCCTTCGTTTAACTATTCCCGTCGACTACAGTTAATTCTGCCGGTAAAGTGGTCGCCTTGAACGCCCTCGATAACAATACACGCATCATGAAGTCTCGTGACTCCAAAGACATTGACTATGTGACTGATTGTAGAAATCTACAGGCCGTTATGTCAGGTATGTTAGTCTAATCACAAGTCAACCCTTTGTACTAAAGTCTGGGAATAGATGGTCTTCGACCAGCAGACGACGCGGCATTTTTGCAGCCAGGAAAACTCATTGCCATGCGAGATCTGGAATATCCGGCCTTGGAAAATGAGGAAGAGTCCCTGATAGACCCTCAAATCAACTCGAAACCGGAACCGGAGCCCATATATCAAAACAGCACTTCCCTACATTGGTCCGGGTTTCCGTCCTCCCATGTCCCCGAGAATTCGGTGCAGTCTCTAAGCAGATGCCCAAGTCTCATGAGTACCGGCACACTGAGTAGTCGCAACTCTTCGACCAGGTCCAACAGGTCGCTGGGGTCTTCAGTGTGGCGACTTGACAGGTACATCAACGAAGAAACATACGGCGCCTCAGCCATAGCGAACAGCGAACACGGCGCCACACAAAACACACCTTTCACTGCACAAGTGGTAGGCTTGTGTCCATGGAAGCATTGTGAGCGCCACCTCAGAGGATTTACGAAAGCTGGCGACCTAGAGCGACACTTGCTTGTTCATTGCGAAAGAATACTAATTTGTGATTTCTGCGAATCATATAAACATGGCCATGTGGCATTTAGGGAAGGATCTGATCGGGTGTTGAAATTCCTGACACATTTAGTCGAGATCCATGACGCCAGCGACACAGGAGGTCCGAAAGAACCGCCCACACATCCCGTTCACAAGGCTCGCGGACGCTGGTTCAGAAATGGTCCCAGAGCAAAATGCCCCGTCTGCAAAGAACGTCATACTCCTGGATCTATGTACAAGCATCTACCGAGCTGCGTTGGCGACGAAGTCAAGAGGATAGTGGAATTGAGCGGCCGGATACACCGAGTGCCGAACGATCCACCGAGAGATCGTGATCTGTCTATTAACGCTACGGAAGATCAAAACATTTTCGTATCCCAAATCGAAGGCCAACTCTACGGAAAGAGGTCGCCGATGTTTGGGACACAGGACGAATCTTGTGGACAGTCGAAGCCCATATATCCAGGATGCGGAGACATTGCGGAATTGACAGCGTCCTCGAGTCGTCTCTCGCTTGTGTCGTCTAGAGCAACTACATCATCCGAAGAAGAGACTGACTGTTCGGAAGATGTGGAGTCTAGAGAGAGCTCCCCAAACATTTCACAAGTCCCGCTTAGAATGGCACCTGCGAAGCGGCGACTAGTGGATGCCATCATGCAGGAGTTTCAACATGTCTTCAGCGCGAGCCTTCGAAGCCACACTACTAACGGAAGTGATTCGAACTCAAACGGCAGTACAGCAGGAAGTTCTACTGCCACACCCACCTATTCAGACACATCATCCATTCCCAGAAAGCGAGGCTTGAGTGGAGGTGGCTCTACTCCTCCAGATGATGGTGACGATTCGCACAAACGGCGCAGACCGGACTCTGTATCTAAGGGCAAACAACCTATCTCAGATCTGCGCTTTGCATGCCCTTACTACAAGCGCAATCCGGGTAGACATCAAACCTTCACATCCTGCAGGGATCCAGGCTTCACTACCGTCGCGAGATTGAAGTAAGTTCCGCAGGGTTTACCACCATGCATTAGGGACTAAAATTACCAGGGAGCATCTGTATCGACGCCACTTATTACCGCCACAATGTCACCGCTGCTGCACGACCTTCGCCGATGATATTGCACTTCGAGAACATCAACGCGACCCAAGTGGCTGCGACCTGCGTGAGCAGATACCGCTAGAGGGGTTCGACAAAGAACAGGAGAAGAGAATGAAAAGCAAGAAAGGCAGTCAAATGCACCACACCGAAGTGGACAAGTGGAAAGCCGTATACCGTATTCTGTTTCCAGACGACCTCGATGCAGACATGCCAAGTCCTTGTAAGTTACTACCTCCATCGAGTTGCAAATGCACAGTTGCTCATTTATGAAGATATTGAATACCAACGCAATACTACGAGCGCAGCCGAGCCATCCAACAGCAGCCGTTTCCAAGAATTCTCGCGTCTCGAACTTCCACGTCTCGTACGCCGTACATTGGAGAGCATAGTAGAACATGAAGCTCAGCCACTGGAGGACAAGTTGAAGGAACGGCTAGTGGACATTGTTAAGCAATGTCAGACACAGCTCGAGACGATGTTCCAAACAGCCGCTGGTCCAAGCGATATGAGCGCCGAAGCCACTATGAGTTTAAAAGCACTACCGTCTACTTCTATCATTGAGCGTCCGATTGATACGCATCCGCCCACCATGTTCGGCGACTTTGTGTCAACAGATTTACACACAACATCAGAAGCTATTCCATCTCACCTGCACCCTAATGAAGCGCCTCAACAGGGCGGAGCACTCTCTGAAACAGTCGAACCAATATCCGATTTTTCAGACTCGGGCTACGATTCCATCAGCCTAGCTGCTTCATCCGCCTTTGGCGTCCATAATGAGTTGACACAGGAATACTTCGATCTAAATCAGTATCTCGATCTCAGCGATTACCCACACTTTCCTGAAGCTGTAACGGATACCGCGGTGCAGGAAGCACAGACCCACGCAAATGACAACCATTCTACGTGGTCTTTCGTCGATTCGATCACTGATACGAACAATGCGAACTTGTACGAGCTAGACTGTGCGCACGATTTAGATCACGGCTGGTGATACTTTTCCGCGACGAATGCTTCGATCTGACACGAATCTCCGTACTTGACCACAACGCGCCTTCTGTTCGACGGTGTTCCATCTCCCAAAACCGCAATCTTTTCCTTGCTGCACGACCAACAGCTCGCCTCACATCCCCGTTCTCGGAAACGCAACGTCTTGGCTCAGACCACTCTCATCATCGCCATTCCCGATACGTAGACTAGGCCTGGCTATTCATCGAACACATGCTAGCCTGTGTTGATATAGACTCCATGGGTCAAGCGGAGGTACTGACACGCGGCAACTTGCACAAACAAGGCTCTGAGTTAGGGTAATGTTTGGACCAAAAAAAGGTCCAACGCCTAGAATAATCCCAGATTGATGAATACCGAAAGGAATAGAACCCGAAGGCATACAAGATCTTGAAGGCAGCCGCAGCGATAAAGATGGGAGATGAAGCCAGTACAAACGCAAGCTTACGATGAGACCTCGTTGGAATAATCTGCTGAGGCGCAGATACTGTTGTCTGAGGATCCGAGGACATGTGGTCCCTAGTTAATCACTGATCAACGGGGCATCCGCTATCTGTGTTCCCAGCATGTCCACGAAAGCGCAAACCCCGGCATCTGTTAGGGAAACAAGGAAGCGGAATGGTTATGGAGCATGAGCCAAGGCAGGGCGAGACGGTATATATTTGTTTTGCTACCAAGGCACTAGGTCATCACGGACTATGTTATATGGAGTGTTGCCTGACAATGCCAAGGTGAAGGAGGAGGTGAAGAAGGGGGTGAAGATGGCGCTGGAGTTCGCAAAATGCTTCAGAGATTGCTAGGATGACAATCAGCGTTGCTATGGTAGTATCCTGCGTATGAATGCCGCCTTTGTATTGCTCGCTGCAGCCATGAAGGCGAGTCATATACTCAAGATTGGTCTTCCATTGGTCAATTAGGAGGCGGGGTGGGAGCGCGCATTCATACGCGTTTGACTATCTCCACGTGCTCTTCGAGCAAACGGACGTCGTTAAGCTCCACTCATCTTCTTCCCTCCATCTGGTCCTACCGGACCTTCTCCCCACAACTCAAATCCGCCGTCACTCACACATGCCAGATTCCGCGAATACCTCCAGGCTTAGAGATCATCAGAAATCAAGATACCTGTAAACCGTCGGTATGCGTCAAATCAGATGAGCAATTAGGAGCCAAAACTGCAAAGACAAGGCACCAGGCTAACAATTTCCTTTCATTCCAATTCATACAGTATGTGATAAGACAAAATGGTATCAAACTCCAATCCAATCCTCCCCAGATGAAAAGCCGAAAACCCCCTTTGGGAAAAAAGAAGGAACCCAAACAAATTTGCCCTAATATACAAATGTAACGGCACCATGAATAATTAGCCTGTATTATGGTCGCCCGACGTGCCATCCCCGGTAAACCCGCCATTTCCAAAGCTGCCGTCACCGAAATAAAGCATGTCATGTGGTAGATACTCCAAATCCCAAGGCATCATATCGGCGCCTAGAAGGGACATATCGACGTCCTGTGTATCGATGACCATGTCACCAAATGTGTTGTCCGATGGTGTGTTGAAAGTTCCGAAAGTGGGCGAGAATTCTGTTTGGGGTGTAGGTTGTAGTTGGTTATGTTGTTGTGAAGATGAACGCGTGTAGGATGTTGGGTTTTGTAATGGTGTTCTGATAGCCGATGGTGAACCGCCTGAAAACGGAGAGTGTAGGTTCAGGAGGAGGTCGGCGTCTGACACCAATACCGGGTCTGGGGTGGGGATGTGGTTGAAGGCTGGGTTTGGTGGCGGTGGTGGCATGGACGCTGAGCTGAATTGCGAGAAAGCGGATGGTGACGGTAGAGATTGGTGGCGTGGCTCGAACTTGATCGGAGGATCTGATATGAGAGACGCGATGGAAGGTTGTGTGCTTGCTGGTGGTGCTTTGGGAGGTGGTGGCTTCGTGCTCCGGCCTTCGCCATTCTCGGACGTGTACATGACTGCAACATTTGTCGATGGCGAATTCATGGTACCAGTAAGCGACCACCCGATGGCTATGGGGGGTCAGTAGATGTATCTAATCGTTGTAGATGGGGAATATACCTTGACTGGGATGTACCATAGGCGAGCCGGGCATGTTTGGCGTCCTCGCGCCCTTCCGTATTGCAGCTGCCATCTTTGCGACGTCTGCATCAGAGTTTTGTGCTGTCAAGTAAGTTCCCCAGCTGAGCTTCCTTCTCCAGCCGGGACTAGTGAATGACGGCTCAGGTCGAGGAGCTTCTAATGCACTTTCCATCTCCTCGGTTGTGTACAGCAAGGGGTCACCAACGCCTTTCGCCTTTTGGTCTAAGACAGTCATTATGTACTTGACTCCGGCCCAGTAGGTTTCCAAAGCCTTCAGAGCACGGTAACATCGCTGGTAATTCTGGTTGGCAGCAGAGGCAAGCAACGTATGCTTAGCGGCGGTTTGCTTTTGCTCCAGATCTTTGACGGAGCTATTGGCCGAGTTCAGACGGTCGAGAGAATGGTGAGTAGTGATCTTTTGCCCATTCTCGCCATTTCGACCAGGGCTAGCAGGACGAGACTGAGGCTGCGATGATGCTGAATGAAGTGCGGTTTCTTTGAGGAAGGCACATGCGGCAATATATATCGGTTGACTAGAGCTTGATTAGCGTGTAACTTCATTATCGAAGACGTGGCATGGTCATACCTGGTAAACGGATTGCCAATTCCAGTCTTTACATCGATAAGCTCGGTAAAGGCCAAAATGTCAGCGACGGTCTTCGCAGAAGACATGGACAGTTCTCTGCTGTTGGTCGATAAGGATTGCGGAGTTCCTTCGAACGTCCTGAGCAGCGTTGGCTGATGTAGAAGGACGATCAGGGTGTGAAACCAGCAATGCAGCAAAAGAAAGTTCGTCCCTTGATTAATCTTAACATATTGCTGGAAGTTGACTGCGTTGAAGTGAAGTTTTGGCGATAGATTCTGGTAGATACCTGTCAGACGATCTTCCCATGCTCCGAGTTGCTTCTGCAGATCAGCAGTGATGTCGTCGGCACTTCTTATGCGGTTGAGGAGATCAGTCACACGACCGTAAAGGTGGATGATACGAATCAGCGCAGGATATGGCAACGGCCATCCAGAAGAGTCGACCTCGTCTAGGGAGGGGAATGAGATCTCGATATCGCGATCGCGGAGGGTGACCGGTCGTCCCGTCCCAGAAGATATGACGCGATCGAGGAAGAATATAGACCAAAACGTATCCAACCTCTCGCGTTCAGCAGCTCTTTGCTCTTGCTCCTCAGCGCTAGTTCCGTGGCTCTCTTGAACTGTGGGTTGCTCCGCGTGCCGCCCCCCATCTGGGTCACTTTTAATGGAATTTGGAGTCGGGCCCTTGCGTCCTTCGTACTTCAATCCGCCCACAGACTGCATGCCCAAATCCTGCGCCATCCGAATGGCTATACCCAGATACATCCAAAGTCCGCTGTCACGACTTGCGCCAAATTCGTCGTATGCAAGAAGCAGTGCCGCTTGCACTACTGCCACACTAGGACACGGGAAAGCATCCGGGATAGCTGATTTTGCTCGCTGGGCAAACGCTTGACCGTGCTCTGAAGGCGGAATCTTTGGAGTTTCCGTCCCGTCCTCCTTCTGCGGGTCGCCCTTGCCTGTCAGCATAGGATGTGTCGAGAATCGGGCCGCTAATGCACAGACAGCGTCCACGAGTATGGCGTCTACCTGCTTCTCTTCCAAGTCACGCATGAAGCGTTCTCTTTGTAGGAATGGGAAAGAGCAGCCAAGGTGTACGAAGAACAGTTTACAGAGATGGGTAATGAGTGGACTAGGCGACATTGACGAGGCATCGTATATGGGTATCTCAGCTGGCGTTCGGGCTTCTGGCGCTGGTGGTGAGCCTACGGACGGCTGTGCAGGTGAGGATTCGATTGCGTGTTCTAGACGAGTCAGCTACATGATACGGAATTACAGCAGAGCAGCAAGAGAGTATGCGCAGCTTTTCGCTCAAGCGTAGCCGCAATGGCCTGGTGCTTCACTACTAAGGCACATATGCTCTTCGATAACCGCATCACGAGCTTTGAGTCCGTCACGCGCAGGATATACGTACGATCTGATGTAGTCTGAGCACTACCGTGTTGCTTCCCTCGCACTTTGACGACCATCTGTCGCAGTCCAGGCACTATAGCTGTGGGCCCGAAGTACCTGAAGTATGGCATTCTGTTCCGCGTACTCAGGCTTAGACCCCCACTACTCGTGGTTGACTCAACCTTGGGTGAGGCCTGAAGACTTGATTCGGAGGTTTGCGACATGGTATGCGGCAGGTGCGGTCGTGTGAGCTGAGGATCGATGGGCGGCTCATGTTTTCGGGAAGATACGCTGTTCGACACGGTACTCTCTCTTCTCATTGCCTTTTTGCTATCCTTTGGTGTTTCGCCGGAACCATTGTCGTCGCCGTAGCCGGCGCATTCGTGCTTGTTCTGAATACAGGTTCCGCATACAGGCCGCTCCCCTGCTCTACCGTCAGCAAACCCTAATCAACGCATTCAAGACGTCATACCAGAACATCGCGTCTTCTTCTTCCTGCATGTCAAGCACGCGGAATTAATGCGACGCCTCTTCGCATAGGGACCATCATGGTTCGTCACAAAACGAATAGGCTTGGGCTGAGGCACGGCAGCGTTCGCAGAGGCCGTCTGAGGGGCTCCTTGATTCATTAAAAGCAGAGTGAGGTCTCAGAGGCAAACGGAAATGGCCGCATCCAAGGCCTCTTTTGATGATGCAGGGAAGGTAATTTTGAGTGGGGTAACAACAGCTGCCAGATGCGCGTCAAGGGTCGATCATGAGCCAGACCAGACAGTGGAGAACATGCAAAGAGACGAGAAGCTGTGGAGAAGCCAGCGCATATTCAGAGAGGCCGGCACGAGGAGATCGGCAAGCGCTACGACGTGACTTTGATACCCGACGGAAGTGTGTTGACGCGGGAGTGGTCTGGGTTGCGGAGCGGAGAACCCCAGATTTAGACGGTCGGTCGACGCTACAGCGACCATGTCCGAGCGCGTCTATGGAAAAAGTCGCCGCGGCGGGTCCCACTCGGCCTGCGAACAGCGTCCAAGCCATCTGCACCTTCTTCCAGCATCACCATGGAGTCAATCCGTCCAGCACTTGCCAGCATACGGCTATCAGCACCGCAAAGAGCCTACAGGCCTCTCTACCAATGTTTACACACATCAGCCACACGAGGAGCCACGCCGCTGCCTCATCCATCTGGTGGGATAATGCCACCCGGCCAAGATAGCCAGTAATTAACGTCTGACAGTACCCGGGCCACCGCCTGAGACGCCTCAGCCACAAGCATCAGATGCATCCGAACGGGTTGCGAGGAAGAGGAAGCAGGCGGACATGATGAAGCAGGCGCGGGAGATGCGCGACGTCTATGCCCCCACCAACAAGCCTAAAAACATGCTGGCAAAGCGCTTCTGGAAAGACGTGACTGTCAAGGAAGGCGAGGGTGGTCTCCAAGTCTTCCTCGACCACCGACCCGTCCGCATGCCCAACAAGCAGATCCTCACCGTCCCCGCATCGAAGCCTCAGCTAGCGACCGCCATTGCCCTCGAGTGGGATCTCCTTATGAGCGCACAGCAGGCCCTCAAGAACGACTACATTCCAATGACCTCGCTCGCCGCACGTGCAATCGACATCGAGGCGGCCGATAAAGAAGGGAGGGAGAACATCAGGAACGACATCCTGAGCTATCTGATGCGCGTGCTCGCTACGGATACACTACTCTGCTGGGCACCCGCACATGTTATGAACGAGACTCTCCAGAACGGAAAGACACTGCGCCAGCTTCAAGAAGAAGTAGCTACAGGCATCATCGCCTACCTCCAGACACACGTTTGGCCTGGTGTAGAGATCAAGCCTACGCTCGATCCCGAGACCATCATTCCCGTCGAGCAGCCAGAGATGACACAGCAAGTGATTCGCGGTTGGTGCGCAGGTCTTCCGGCATACGAGCTTGCTGGCCTTGAACGCGCAGTGCTGGCGTCCAAGAGTCTGCTAGTCAGCGTGCGGCTGATCCACGAATGGGGCGAAGCATTTGCGCAATCGCGAAAGGTGACTGACGCGCCGCGCTTCGGTATCCAAGAAGCCGCAGAGGCATCGAGCTTGGAGGTTACGTGGCAAACAAAGCAGTGGGGCGAGGTAGAGGACACACACGATGTCCAGAAGGAGGATTTACGGAGGCAGCTTGGAAGTGTTATCATCCTTGTGGGTGGAGACTCAGCGTAAGCATATCAAGATGCATGTATACAAATGTACATTATGTGAATACTACAGATAATGTGTCAGCCATATGAGTGTTTGAGCGCAACCTTGTACAGACAGCATGATTCAGTCGACTTAAAGGATCACTACAAGCAGAAACAAGTTCACCAAATACTTGTATCTGCTAGTTTGGTCCACCATGACATGTGCCCGAGCAGTTTCAGGCGGGTGGACGATCTTGGGACAGCAGTAGGCCCAGTCTAGCGGAGCAATAGTCGTGATTCGCTGGAGGAGCGGCCTGGATTGCGCGCCCCTGACGAAGGCCCCGAAAGCTGCTGAAAGCCCCGCCGCGACAGTGATGAAATCCTACAAAGTCGCGGCGGCCGCACACAAGCTGTTTACGATATTTTGACCTGGTGCTAACAGCGATCCAACCGAACCCCTCGTCTGTACATCTTCCACAGGCCCGCATATCCTTGGCTTGCCGGCCAATCACACAACCATGGAAGGGTATGTGCGCCCGCTCCAAGCTTATGCTGCCGTCATGGCGGGGGACATGTGGAGGACAAGGCAGTCGGTTGTGATATACCCCAGAATCACGTCTAACCAGCACATCGCAGGCACAAGCGCTCCAAGTCGGCCAGCGTCAAGAATCTCCTATCGCGTGTCACATCCAAGACCGACGTGCCCACCACCTCAGACGGCAGCGACACTAGCCCCCCCAGTACCGCCATTTCCTCCAACTCGCAGCCCTCGCAATCCATAACCTCGCCCTCGGGACACAGTCGCAGTCTGTCCAAGAAGCAGAATCCACATCTCTCCACCAGCATGTCGAGTGCGGGCGCCGGGCAAGATAGCCTGAGTCCCTCGGCCGCCAGCTTCTCGCAATCGCCAAGCTCGCCCACGGCCAAGTCGACGTCGATAGAGCAGTCGGTGAAGCTGTTCAGGGTATTCGAGTCGCTGAGAAATGGAGACACAGCAGCCATATCGAGAGCCATAAGGGATCAGTCGGGGCCGACAGAGGGCGAAGACAGCAGGTCATCGCTGCAACTACCCAGCGCACGTACAGAAGGCACCTCTATCCTGCACCTGGCCATACAATGCGCCGAGGTGCCTGTCATCGAGTTTGTGCTATCAAACGCGACGGCGACACCAGACTCGCCCATCGACATCAATGGCCGCGACCGCGATGGCAATACCCCCCTTCACCTCGCAGCCACCCTGGGCAGAACTCCAGTAGTCCGAATGCTGCTGGATCAGCCCGGTATCAACGACTCGGTAACCAACTACAACGGCCAGACGCCATTGGATCTCGCTCGCACACCAGACATCTTCCAGCAGCTGCAGCTCTCGCGGTCCATCTTCATCGACACCAACGTAAAGAAGATACAACAGATGGTAACTACTGGTGACATGGACTCACTAGAGAAGATATTGCAAGACGCCAGGATAAAGAGCACACTCGATGTCAACGGTGGAGAACTGGCGACTGATCCGGTCGTGGTAGATGCGGGTGGTACGCTTCTGCACGAAGCAGCTAAGAAGAAGGATGTCAAGCTGGCGCAGCTGCTATTGCTCAACGGAGCCGACCCCTTCCGCCGAGACCGCAAAGGCAAGCTTCCCCAAGACTACACCAAAGACGACCGCACGCGTGCCATTTTGAAGAGATCACCCGCCGCGGCAGCAGCGCAGAGGGGCATTCAGGAGAAGACAATCCTCGCTGGTGGACCTCCAGGACAAACTGCGACAGAGAGCGGCATGGGTGCGAAGGAGTCGCGCGAGATGAAGGGCTACCTCAAGAAATGGACAAACTACACAACGGGATACAAGTTGCGATGGTTCGTGCTCGAGGACGGCGTGCTCAGTTACTACAAGCACCAAGACGATACCGGCTCTGCATGTCGCGGTGCCATCAACATGCGGATAGCGAAGCTGTACATGGATCCGCAAGATAAGCAGCGGTTTGAAATCCAGGGAAAGTCGTCAGTGAAGTATCATCTCAAAGCAAACCACCAGGTTGAGGCTAAGCGATGGTACTGGGCTCTGAACAACGCGATTCAGTGGGCCAAGGACGAAGCGCGAGAAGAAGAGAAGCGTGCCACCCAGGACCAGGAGATGCTGAAGCAAGCCAAGATCGAGCAGATCAAGGGCGAGGGCGACACATCTAGTGTCGGCAGCTCCAAGTTGGCGGCAAGCTCGCGAAATATGGCTGCCTCGTCCACTCTCGGCGTCCCTCTCCCCAGTCTCGACAACACATCCTCTCGAACGGCGGTCAGTGTTACGGAAGACCCTGGAAGCGTCTACGAGCCTAGCATGAATGGTCATGGCCTGGACAGAATGACCAGTCATATGGGAACCGCTACCGTAGCTGGCGACGATGAAGACGACGACGACTATGGCGATGATACGAGCAGCCATGAGATGAAGCCCCAGAGTAAAGACGCTTTTAACATCACAGCGCAATCCGCCAAGTTACAACTTGATCTATTGACATCTGTTTCTGCTGCCCTGCAAGCGGAGAAGACTCGCTCACCCGACCTTAGGATCTCTGATCCCATGATGCTCCAAGCATTCGCGTCTTATGAATCTGCTATCGGGAACCTGAAAGGGCTGATCGGCGACCTACTCCGGATATCTAGGGATCGTGATGCATACTGGCAATACCGCTTAGATCGCGAGGCCAATGTTAGACGTATGTGGGAAGAAAGTATGGCCAAGGTCGCAAGAGAGCAGGAAGAACTTGAGAATAGGATAGGCGAGTCTGAAGAGAAGCGGCGAAAGCAGAAGAAGGCTCTGCGGGAAGCATTGGAGGACTACGAGACGACTGGTCCCCGGTCGGATGCCAAGGATGAGGAAGACGACTTCGCTGACGCACCAGAAGATACCCAGCAACAGAAGGAGATGACGTCGGGTGTGGGACTTCCAGCTAAGAACCAGAAAGTGAGGAGGAAGGCTACATTTGCCGATATCGCCGCCGACATATCAGACTCGGAGTCAGAAGATGATGAGGAGTTCTTCGATGCTGTTGGTGCTGGAGAGGTCGAGGTTGTGGAAATGCCTGCGGCTGCCCCCAAGGAGACTGCGCAAGTAGACATTCCAGCTTCGTCTGACGATCCGTTTGAGAAGAAGCAGATGGAGATCGCCACGGCTTGGGCAGGCTACGAAGACGGCCCACGTAAGAGGCTCGCCATGGACGCCGATGACAGACCTAAGATCTCGCTTTGGGTATGTTCAATTCCGTAAACTATATTCTAGACGCTAACACCTTTCAGGGCATTCTCAAGTCTATGATTGGCAAGGACATGACCAAGATGACATTGCCTGTGTCATTCAACGAGCCTACTTCACTGCTTCAACGTGTTGCCGAAGACATGGAATATACTGACCTCCTCGACACCGCTGCCGAACGCGACGACTCTACAGAGCGTATACTTTATGTGGGCGCCTTTGCTGCGTCAGAGTATGCTTCGACCATTGGGCGTGTCGCAAAACCATTCAATCCTCTCCTTGCTGAAACCTACGAGTATGCCAGGCCAGACAAGGGCTACCGTTTCTTCATCGAGCAGGTTAGCCATCACCCACCGATCGGTGCCGCATACGCGGAATCCAAAAAGTGGGATTACTATGTAAGTACCAGGGACCTGCGTTACCAGTACATCTTTTAATGATATTCAGGGTGAATCTGCAGTCAAGTCAAAATTCTACGGCAAATCCTTTGACATCAACCCGCTCGGAACTTGGTTCCTTCGTCTTCGACCTACCGTCAACGGCGGAAAGGAGGAACTCTACACCTGGAAGAAGGTTACATCCTCCGTCATTGGTATTATAACCGGTAACCCCGTTGTCGACAACTACGGTACTATGGAGATCACGAACTGGACGACGGGCGAGAAGTGTCTTATTGAGTTCAAGCCCCGTGGCTGGAAAGCTTCGTCAGCTTATCAAGTCGTTGGAAAAGTGTTTGATGCACAGAACCGGGTCCGCTGGAGTATTGGCGGCCGATGGAACGATAAGATCTACGCGCGCTTCACACCAGGCTTCGAGGATGTGGACGTTGAGAAGAGTGGAAAGAGTTCAAAGCATGACGATAACAAGGCTTTCCTTGTCTGGCAAGCACACGAGCGCCCAACAGGCATACCATTCAACCTCACTCCTTTCGTCGTGACTCTCAACGACATTCCCGACAAACTCCGTCCTGTAGTCGCCCCAACAGACACACGTCTCCGTCCCGATCAACGCGCCATGGAAGACGGCGAGTACGACTTCGCGGCCACGGAGAAGAACAGGGTAGAAGAGAAGCAGCGAGCAACTCGCAGGCAGCGAGAAGCTGAAGGCAAAGAATTCGTACCCAGGTGGTTCAGCAAGGGCAAGTGTGAGACCACTGGCGAAGAATACTGGGTCTTCAACCATGAGTACTGGAAAGTGAGAGACCGTGTCGCAAAGGGAGAGATCACATGGGGAGAAGCAGGCACGGAAGACATTTTCTAGGGTACAGGTTGATGATTCAAAGAGCCCGCTAGCAGAATAGTCACAAGCGATTAATATACATGATTATATGTCTTCTTCAGTAAAGATTCACTTCACGAGAGGTTCATCGTTTGGATCATCCTTCCATGTTTAGACTCGTTTCCGAGCTGATCCATTGCATAAGCAAGATTACAGTGTTGCACCAACAGTCTGTACATCCCTTTCATACATCCAGCTCAACATAAAGCCTAAGTTCCTTCTCCTGCATAACCCTATACAAGCTCCCCTTCTCCTCCTCCCCAAACACATCCCCAGCATCTGTAAACGCAAACATGACAAACTCCTTACACCATGGCAAATTCCTCAACCCAGCATAAAAAGTCTCCTTGACCCGTTGTTCCGCTTCCTCAATCCTCATCTCCCATTTGCTCTTTTTACCGTCCCGACGTGGTTTCTTGTTTGCGTGTCGTTGCTGTTGCTGTTGGCGCGTTCGTTCAGTACGTAGGCACTGTATTTCAAACCCCACGTAAGCTTTCCAGAGCGCGGGACAGCGACACCCTGCCGTCGAGTCTGTAGCGCGTTTATACAATGCACGTACAGAGTGGCTCGTCGAGCCTGCCATCTCGCCTTTTAGCGTCTCGTAATGTATAGCAAAGGCCCAGCCAGCTATACTCCGTTCGTCGGGCTGCAGGAAGCTTTGGTCCAGAACCCTTCTGACGCGATCGTCAATGGCAAAACGAACTTCGTTTGCAGCGTACAAAGAGAGTAAGATGGTGTTTGCGGGGAAGACGTCGATAAGTGGTTCGAGGCTGGTACGTATCAAAGCTGGTTTGACGATGGGCGCGTGGATGGCGTGGTGTGTGAGAAAGGCGGAGAGGGATTGGGCGCGCAGTTCTTCAAAAGGGGAGGTGTGGAGGTGGCGGTGGGATCCGAAATAGTCTGACAGGTGGGCGTAAGGGTAGAGGGCGGGACTGAGACCGTTGGTGAGGTAGTTGAGGAGGGAATTGAGGGAGGTGCATATTATTGCTGTTGGGTAGTCGTGGTTTAGTAGTGCGTGTTCTGTGATTTGACTGAGTGTTCGGTGTGCGGGTTCGGCCCAAGGACATGAGTTTCTGAACTCTTCGGATGGAAGGTTGCCCTTTGGTGAGACGAGCCGCCACAGTGCCTCTTCGTGTTCTCCTCGTCGGAGCGCTTCCCATACCCAGTTGTTGAAGAGCTCCAAACTCCACGGCGTTGAGAGCACGTTGTCTCCCTGTTGCATGGATAGTGCCATACTAAACACTTGATCTGCTTTGGCCGAGTTGCCCAGACGCGACTCAACCAGTCCGTAAGCGTTGTACAAACGCAAACTTGACGGCCGTGCTTTGAGCAATCGCTTCGCTGTCTTGAATGCTTCTGACGGGAAATGTTTCGATTCGAAAGCTAGTAGGTACTCTCCTATGATATCCTCGCTCACAGGATCCGAAGCTAGGAGCTTAAGTAGACGCCTGATGAAGTCTGCATCGAGTCGGATTCCATCAAGTGAGAAGCTTTGCTCGAACAAGAGTTCAGTAGTCATCTGAAAGCTCTTAGCAGAATAGTTCGAGAAGCGCTTGATGGATTTTATGAACTCCATGGAGTCGTCAATATCCGACGAAGTAGAGTGCCAATGGCGCTGCAAGAATGGATCAGACCACCAGGTTCGTTGTTGTGGGATACGGTGTGGTAGCGGTGGTAAACCACAGAAGCACAAGAAAGCCTCGATGATCAGTGTTGCTGGTGTTTCGGGTGTAACAAAAGTTAGATACGGCTCAACATCAGAGAAGAAGATCGTATGGAATGCGTCATCTTCCGCTACATCGTCTGATGTACGACCAGGATATCGTAACACCGACGTAGCCTCCACTTCGCGCTTTCGGAAATCTTCAAAGACAGCGTCTGCTGCTTCTCTATCTCGCAACGATGGAGGTCCTCGGGGTGGTGCGTCGTCCGTACTGCTATGTTTCCAGCCCTTTGCTTCAGGCTCACCAATTCGGGGTACTTCACTTTCCCAAAATTCCTCGAATGCCTTTAGATCGGAGCCTGTTTCTGCTCGCAGTAAGTGATGTTCGAACAAGGCTTGCCAAACTGCGAGGCCGACCTCCTGGTATCCTGCATCGTGGGCCATGGACGTCAAACGCAGCAATAGATGCAAGCTCTGTTCCGGCGATATACCGGTCTTGGTCGCACGCAGAGACTCTACACCTTTGAAGAAGATAGCCCGACATTCTTCGTATTTGAAACTTGTGAATCGTGACTGCACAAAGTCGAGATACAGCATCCACAAATCCATACTTTGCGGGTGTTTCGCAAGTACGTCCTTCCATTTTCTGGCCAACTTGGCGCCATCCCAGGCCCTCTCTGCTTCTTTCAACAGCCCCTGGTAGAGCTTCAACTGGCTTTTTTCATCTGGGCCGATCCTCTTCAAAGCCTCTTCATAGGTGGAGATGCGAATATCGGCCAGATGTGCTTTGTCGGATACAGTCAACTGAGTAGACGGCCGCTCGAGCTTTAGCATGGCTTCTTGGTGTTTGACCAGTGCCAACCAGCCCTGGACGTCTTCAGGGGTTTCTTTTGTATGTCGCGCAAGCTGGGAGTTTTCGCGAATCACTTCGGTGTCAACCACAACTTCAGGGTCGGACTCATATTGTGTATCTGGGTCCACCGGCTCGTTTGATTTGGGCCCATCAATGCCTCGGTAGTCTGCCTCTGCTTCTACTTCCTCGTCTTCATTTTCGCTGTCGTCGCGTTTCCGTTTGATATTTGTTGAAAACAGAACAAAATCTTGGTCGAGATTCCTATCATCTTGTCCAGTCTTTACCAGCCGCAGAGCGCGCCCACTCGATTTGTTTGCACGCTTGTCTGTTAGCAGTCGCTCCTGCCGTCTACGAGTCGCTGGCGTAACAACAATCTTTCTGTCCGTAGATTCTGCTCTGTCAATTTTCTGATTTTTGGGGAGTCCCAGGATGAAGCCATGACCAAATCGACGGTAAGGTGGGATGTCATAACGGTTCATCGTTCCATATCGCAAAACGTCGGGATCGCCTCTTCGGTCGCTGAAGTAGGGCCTGTTTTTGTTTGACTCTTGCTCACGGGTACTTTTATCTGGCGAAGGAGATGTCCTCCTACTTGAAGCCTTCTCTTTCGATGATCTTCCAACTTTCTCACGTTGTTGACCTTCCTTGGACGGCTCTGGAGCTGCCTTGGGCTTTGGCCGGAAGCTCGCAAACTTCGGAACATTCGACGCCATGATGTAGGACAGAACTCAAGCGATCTCCCTTTTACAGATGAGGCTTCAGGCTAGTATCATGTTGCGGTTGCTATTGCCTGCAACATTAGCAGATTTGATGCGCTTGATTATGAGCCGAAAGCGAAACTGCAACTACAGGTGCCTAGAACAGCCTCTAAACAGGGTCCCACGAGTGTGTGTCTCTGACACGAATGCGAGGAGAGGTGTGATTAGACAGAAGACAGTTGGAGGGATAGAAGGCGCGTCGCACGTGTCTCGGGGGTCCGGCAGCATGTCTGGCTCGAGCGGCCCGCCGTAAAAACCCATTAGCGTGAAATCTTGGCTTCCCGAAATTTTGTATGCGCATCACCGTCTCCAAGCTTCTCAACCATCCGCCACGACAAAATCCACGCTGTATCGCTGCGTCTGATGGCTCATCGCATTACCCGAAATACACCGTAAAGCCTGTTACGATAGCGAAAACTCACCAAAATGGCGACGGCGCTTCAGAAACAGCTCGCGTCCATCGCGGCTTCGAGCACCCACCAGCTCGATCTGCGCGCGCAGAAGTCGGCGCATGGCAAATCGCTACTATTCGATTCCAAAATCGCCGCATCACAATCCTTCGAGACTGTCTATCTAATCTGCTATGACGGCTACAAGGATCTTTGCGCATTGGATCCGAGGTTTTTGCGCTTCTCTAAGAATCTGTTCAGCGAGCAGAGCAAGGCGGAAGATCGCACTCAGATGACCAAGGATGAAAACACCAAATTGAACACAGTACTCGAAGCATTCATCACGCTGGTTGGACCAAGGCTACTGTTGAAGCCGGCTGAAAAGGCCCTCGAGTGGCTGGTGAGAAGATTCCGGTGAGTCGACACACTTGAAGGCCTCCATTGGCTTCTCAGACGATCGAGGCTAACAAGAAGCCAGCATCCACGAGTACAACACTGAAACTCTTGTATTCACTTACCTACCCTACCACAACACACCACAGTTCCTTGCGCTGCTCTCCATCTTGCCCGCACAACCAACGCACGCCATCCGCTTCCTCTTTCCCTACATTCAGGCGCCAACAAACGTACCTCAGCGGACAATCGCGTACACAGCCATCAATACCTCACAGTTCTTCAACGCCTATCAATCATATGTGGCCAAGGTTGTGGAAGCGGGCCACCAGGCCTCGCATATGCTGTCCTTCTGGTCGGGAATCACGGTCGAAGCTATATACGGTATAGTGAGCAACGCAAGCTCTGGCAGGAAGGATCTCCAGGATCAAGGAACCGAGAAATTGGTGCTGGAATTGCTCCCGGTTCTCAACAGCTGTATGCGGGCCAAGCACGGAGCTGACACGGTTCTGGCCTGCTACGCCATAGTCATCATGATGGTGAACCAGGCGAAGGTTGGAGACAAGGTCCTGGATGGGCTGATGGAGGCTGTCGTCGTAGCATACGATGAAACTTCTCTTCAGTCATGCCTCGCATGTCTGGCCATTATTGCTGTGGAGCGCTCAACAGCGCAAATCCCAGCCAAAGTATCAAGAAAAGTACTCAAGGTCCCTCAGCTCGTGCAGAAGTTGACGGCGCTATCACAGCAATGTCAGGTCGATCGACTTGTGCTGGGCTGTGCTCTTGGTGCGCTCAGCGATAGCTCCCACGAGAACCACGAACTTTTCAGCGAATTGATCGCATCTGGCCTACTCACCACGTCATACATCCAGATGGTATTATCGGCATTGGTCCAACTCCTTCGTGATAGTGCGCCGGGTTCTGAAGAGCACGGAGAACTACTTCAGCTCGCTACTAAGATGGCCGAATCGAAAGAGCTACAAAGCATACTGCAGGGAGTCGCGAAACAGAACAATGTCGATTTGGAGTCGTTGGGACTTACTGTTGGCCAAACATTTGATATCGCAGATATTCCGGATGAGGACTCAGACGAAGAGATGTTAGATGCAGACGAGGATACAACCGAAAAGCCTCTCGTACAGTTGCCGGAGATCACCACCAAGAGCTTTTTCGATGCCAAGTCAGGAAACGATTTTGCACAAGCCGCCGATGTTTTCGAGCAGGCTGTAGTCACGAAGCAGACTCGGCAGTTCCTCGTTTCAGAAGCATTACAGCAAGAGTCCGCACTCAAGCAACCAATCTACCTCTCATTCCTCGCTCGCGTCTGGAGTAGCATCCGACCGGTCGCCGTCCGTGTTGCCGCCCTTCGTGCAGCCGCATCATCGTTCGAAAAACTTGAGGCTGCACACGTCCTGCAGAACATCTTGCCATACCTTATTCACGCTCTTGCTGACCCATCCCCACTCATTCGACGTTCAGCAGCTGCCTGCGTCGGATCCTTGGCACGAAAGGCCTCCGCGAAGTCGAAGGCGCAAACCTGGGGAAAGTCCGATCTCTATGGGAAAGAATCGAAGAGCATTTCAGAGCTTAAGCCTGAGGATGTGCTTGTGTTCGTTTCGTCAATGCTGCAGCCGATCCTGGAAGAATGCGTCATGGACTCAAAGTTCATTATTCCTGCGCTTCGCGATGTCCTGGAAGGGACACAATTAAAGAATCACGCCAAAAACACTTTCAAGATGCAAACGAGAACTTCAATCCTAGGGTTCTTCGCAAGCCACGCCAGCCTTACGCCAGTATTGGGAGTCCGACTTAGTCTTCTACCGATCGCAAACATACGCGGCAAAGTCTCCGATAACGTTCGCAACAATACCGTGATTCCTTTACTGACCGAATGGTCTAGTCTCCCAACTGCCACCGTGACTGCTAACTGCAACATCGAAGGCTTTTCGCTTGATGAGGTGGAGCGCGCTCACATTACTGCGACGATGCCTAGGGAGGCGAAGAGCGCTCAGCTGCTACAGGACATAATCTCCGGAACACTTAACAAGGACCGCGAAATTCTAGTCAGTGCTGCCTTTGAGCGTATCCATACCTCATGGTCGTCATTCAGGTCTGAAGCCAGACACGCGCTGGCTCAGTGTATGCTCGGCTTATCTACTAGTGAAAGTAACAACTCTTTCGACAAGCTTTGCAGAGAGCAGTCCGTCGAGATACTACGCAACGTCGATCTCGATTCCGCCATTCTGGTTAGTTTCTTGGAAAGCATTCCATCACCTACAGCGATGCCTGGAGGACCACCTGCCGCGAAGAGGAGACGAACAAGCCGAAGTGAGATGGCTCGTGTAGAGCTTTCATCTCAAGATGATGTTCAGCGACTGCTCCGAAAGCTCACATTGGTCCTTGAGTTGGTTGAAGGATCCAACCCCGGACAGCACCCACCGCTGTTCAAGCACCTCTTTGGTATTTTCGCGGAGCTACAACCACTCAAGCAACAGTCTGGATCTGAGCTAGTGTATCTTCAAAGCATCATTTTGGGCTCACTTAGCCCTATTGTGAACACTTTGAAGGAACAGGCAGACACCGCCGACTACCAATCGGCAGTACGAGCGGATCTACTCATCGACTGCATTCGACACTCCAGCAGCCCTCAAGTTCAGAACAGCGCTCTACTCCTCATTTCCAACCTCGCATCATGGGTACCTGATCTCATCCTTCACAACCTCATGCCTATCTTCACCTTCATAGGATCTACTCTGCTTCGCCAACATGACGACTATTCTGCCCAGGTCGTCGATAAGACCATCTCCCGCGTCGTACCCCAACTGGCTGCCTCTCTCCGCTCGAAGCACAGGGACTTTATCGCTGGCGTGTCCGATCTGTTGCTCAGTTTCACTGCTGCCTTTGAACATATTCCTCTACACAGGAGGATGAAGCTGTTCACCGAGCTCGCCCGTACGCTAGGCCCCGAAGACTCGCTTCCAGCTATTGTGGCGTTACTTGCCGATCGCTATCATAGCAAAGAACAGCGAAGATTCTGCGCCGACTTGCTGCTTCACTTTGAACCTGTACACACTCTCGTCACCTTCAAGGGTTACCTCGACCTACTCACTGATGCAGTGGGGCCGAAGCCCCAGGTTTCAGAGACACTGTTCGGCCTTAAGGAGAAGATCAAAGACAACAAGTTCGATCTATCAATCCAGAGCATGCTGTCGTGTTTGACAGATCTTGCGCTCGATGACAAGGTAAAGGCACACGTTACTAGAGCGTACAGAAAGAAGGATGATCCGGAACGGCCGCGCAAGATCTTTGCAAGCATTGTCGAAACCACTATCCAGTTATCAAAGAAACTGGCAGCAAACCCCAAGACTTACGCGGGTTGCAGCCGTGTCCTCGCCAGCTGCCTGGACCTCTTACCATCGACCGATCTCATCAAATCGGCACAGCTACTGCTCTCGAGCACAGACTCTCATGTGCAAGTAGCTGCCGTGAAGGCGGTCGAGCTGCGCGCTGGCACCGCCAAGCAGAACGATCGCAAATCTGTGGAGGCCCTGATCGCTTTCTTGCCCAGTGTCCAGGACCTTCTGGAACAATCATCTGAGATAGATGTCAAGATGGTGTCTGTTAGCTGCATTGACCGCATCATCGAGCGCTTCGGAAAGAAGGACGTATCTGCTGTTGTATCAGTGGCACAAATCATCTCCGGATCACAGTCACTATCTAGCAGCGACGATCGCCTCCGCATTCTCTCTCTTCTCTGCCTCACGTCTGTTGTTGATGTTCTCGAGGATGAAGCCATCTCGCTTCTTCCTACCGTTTTGCCAACAGCGTTCGAGTACCTGTCGCACGCTATCGAAGAAGAGAAGACCGGTCTGCACAACGCTGTGTTCACCATCCTTTCAAACATCGTTGAACGGTTGGGATACATGTTCTCGCGCGACTACCTGGAGACTGCCCTTCGTCTGTGCCAGCGCTCCGCTGCTGCCGACCTGGAACAGACTTGCGACGAAAGCCGCAGCAGTTTCTTTCAGAGCATCGCTGAGCATCTTGGAGCCCAGGAGGTCTTCGCTGCTATTAAGTCCACATGGCCGAATGCCGCTTCCCAAGGATTCGATGCCTCGCTTGAGCAGCTTGAGCTTCTGCGCGCGACTGTCAACACTCAGACTAAAGCTAAGCTTGTCAAAGCGAGCCCGCCGCTCTTCAGCCTACTTCTGCAGACTTTCCGCCTACGTGAGACTGTCCAGTCTGCCACCGTTGAGGTTGACGATGAGGAGATTGAACAGCTGGAAACCACTCTTACTGATTCAGTTATCGCTATGGTATTGAAGCTTAGCGACGCTACGTTCCGCCCCTTCTTCGTGCAGCTCGTAGACCAGGAAGGCCCCATGTCTGCCAAGCCTCAACGGGCCATCACCTTCTACAGGTTCCTCGCCGCCTTCTTCGACAAGTTCAAGGTACCTAACAATCTATCTTATGACAATGAACTATCACTAACATACATGCAGTCTCTTGTAACAAGCTACTCAAGCTATATCATCGAACATGCCGCGAAGATGCTTACTGAACTTGCGAAGGATGACTCAGAGGTTACCACACGCAGTGCTGTTCTTGCCGCCCTTCAAAAGACATTCCAACATGACCAAGACGGTTTCTGGCAAGCGCCATCCCACTTCGGAACCATTATGCCACCTCTGTTGTCCCTGCTCAACCTTCCATCCGCATCGACGTCTACTCCAGAAAACAATACGAACAATGTCATCCCCACCATCACCGAACTCGCCGTCGCATCTGCATCCTCCATGGAGAACCATCGGGAGATGAACAGCATACTTCTGAAGAACATGAGGAGCGATGATAGGAACACCCGACTCGCAACAGTACTGTGTGAGCAAAGCTTGACAAGGAGACTAGGAGAGGAATGGCTGGGCTTGCTTCCTGAGATGCTGCCTTTTATTAGTGAGCTCATGGAAGATGACGATGAGATCGTAGAAAGGGAGTGCCAGAGGTGGAAGAATGGTATGGAGGAGATTCTGGGAGAGAGCTTAGAGGGTATGCTGCAGTAGTGTATCAACTATCATGTTTGATGTAGATAAGGAGTTTTTATGCAACTTTAATGTATGCAGCTGTCTGCAAGTCAGTATATATTCGACGTCTTCCTTGTAGTGTGCTGTCTTGAGATGCCCGTCCGTCCAGCAGTGAAAGCTGTTAGTCATGGCTAAGACATCTGACGCGCAGACTACTCACTTATGCTTCCTACTTGCCAACCGCCTGACTTCAAGCTTTGCCTCTCTTTCCAACCCGTCAAACTCATGGTGCCGTCTACATAGCAGTTGCCTCCGTGCTAGATCGCATATCGTACTTGCAAAGCACAAGAACATCTCGCGCTATAGCGGACTAGCTTCCGGGATGATATACCACAGCATATTGAAGAAGACGGAACCACAGCGAAGGCGAACATAGATCAGCCACTTGGTGTCTCGATGTTGGAAGCAAACTGCCCTCAACAACTTTGTTCCTCGCACAAGAGTTTTGCTCTATGGTTTGGTTGCGATTGCATGCTTGCTGATTGCGAAGACGTAGGCACTTGGATTTACCGGAAGAGATGTACAAACCTGGAAAGTGTTGATTACCAAGTTTGCAAAATTCGTTTGCGACGAGGCATATAGGAGCGAGCTCCCCTCAGAATGGATACTTGTAGTATGATATCGCCTTTCCTTCTTCGCAAGTACGTTTTTCTTGCTGATGCCTTTCTAGAGCCGCACCTGCTAATGTGTCGCCAACAAGGTCTCTTGCGATACATTCCATGTATTTTGACTTCTGCAGCTATACATATTTTCGCCTACGTTCTCCTTTTCTATGTATATCTCAAGGGCTCGACAGTATCGCACTCTCTTCCTCCATCCATGTCATCTCCGCTGCTGTGTCATCCTCTTATCCCACTCCTCGCTACAGATTCTCATGGTATATTTGACTGATTATTCGCCATCGGCATGGAACGCTTTCACTGAAGTCGCTCGCCCCAAAACTCACTCTATCAATAGGAATCATGAGGTCAGTGCGGCTTGCGTGCAGTATTCGCTGGAGCCTGACCACTGCTCTCCTACTACTCTTCTACTGCTGCATATAAACCCCCACAACATTTCCTTCCACGCTCCTTTACATTTGAGGCTACCACAGTCACGCTTCTGCACAATCTACTTGCGTGGTTCTTGACATCGAACAGACTCCTCGGCCTTATACCACTTTGTGTCAGATTCAGCGCCCCGTTACGTCCTTTATCACTAATGACTGAGTCCTCCAGCAAGAAAAGCAAAGCTCACGCATCGGAGCAAACCTCCGAAGATGATCCTAGAATCGCACAGCACAGCAAGTTGGCTTCAAACCAACCTATCGAGAGCCGCACTCCTCTTGCAGACCAAACGGAGACCCAGAAGAAACTCGCAAAGCGCCAGAAGACTACCCATGCTAAGAGCAATGCAACTCCAGGGTCTAAGCCTAATGCACCTTCTGGTGTAAACAGCCCTGCCAATGCTCCAGCTGTAGGTGAAACGTATTTGGCGATAGAGGATGCGCCTGCACAAAACCCGATAGCGTCGCAGGAAGAGCCGCGAGCTCAAACGGCCAAAGCAAAGAACGCTAGTCAGGAGATTGGAAATGATGACGATGCGGACGTGGATGCTGAAGAGCGCCGACTGCGCGCTTCGAATAGTATGCCTTTCTATCCTTCTTATGAAAAAAATCCAACTAACCTTCGCAGTCTTTAATCCAACGCCTCATCCGCCCATTGCACCATGGCATCACAATTTTGCAGCGCCGACGCCACCGTATGAAAATCAACAGGCATGTCCGATAGACTGGTCAAAAGTCGAGATTAAGCACCCAAACGTTGAGTATAAGAGATTATGCCGACAAGCCTATGAGTTGCGCCGGCCATGGGACAAGCAGCCAGTTGCCTGGGAGAAGGTCGCTGAAAATATCGGACTCCTTTCGGCGGAGGACGGAAAAAAACGTACCGTTAGTCAAGAGGGAGGACGAAAACGTTTCATGGCAGCTAACAAAGCGATCTTCAAGCTCACAGGCGTTTACTTCCCCGAAAGCTCGCTTGGGCTTAAAGATTATGATGTACCCCTGCACAACGAGTTGAACCCGATTCTCAAAGGATTAGGCCAAGCACGTGCCGCTAAGAAGAGGATAGTGGCCTGCAATCCACTAGAATATGGCGGCGAGGCTGTTCAACTTGTAGTCTTTCCACCTGGGCGCAAAGGCGGCATCAATCGCTTCATCACAAAAGAGGTCATGGACCGATTGTCAGTCCAGGAACAGCACTTCTTCCGGTACTCTCTGGACAGCTTCGATCGGTGGTACACTTCTGTCTTCCGAGGGCTTCGTCACACTCTTCCGAGGCGCTTGTACTGCCTAGAGCCTTGGAACGGGGACAGCTACATGCACCTCGATAACGGTACACCATCTATCACGATGAGTGGTCTCTTCGAAACATATAGGCTCTCCCAAGAGGTGGGTACTACAGGGGTCAGCGACATGATTCTCGACGAGATTATCCAGTCCTTTAGGCGAGAGAATGAGCTCGCCAACAGACACGAAGAAGACCGAGTCACCATGCAAGACTGCGACAAAACTGTACGCACCCTGAGCTTTGATGTCGACGATATCAACCTCCTTTGGGAGCATACCGAGCAGGATGACCCCATTCGGAAGTTGGTGCTAGAGATCCTTTACCGTTGGAAGGATACCGTAGAGGACACCATCGAGGAACAAAGACGTATGCTCGATGCTAATTTTACGAAAGAATGGAAAGCGTGCATCAATGGTCCAGGCTTCAAGCAGTGTAACGTTCTCGAGAAGTTCTTTCATGAAGGTAGAAAGTTCAGGCCGATGGACCCAAAGGAAATCGTTGCACCCGGAAGAGCCAGGTATGAGAACCTTGGTCAAGAAAATGGAAGTCTCCAAGATTTCTGCGCCAAGTACCACAACCACGTTGGCTACGGATCTGAGTGCTTCCGCTCCAGACCGGAGTCACCGAGACTCATCCCCGAAAACTTCAATGACTCCAAGATAGTCAAAGTGCTTTTTAAAGACGTGGAATACAAAATCGAAGATCGCGCTAGCCACGACGCTTTCACTTTCGACTTTGAGCGCATGGTGATTGAAAAGCCGGATTGGGATTGGCCCCGTGTTCGCTCCGTAGATGCCTATGTTAAAGGGCCATTGAATCTCAGGTCTGGAAAGAGGTCATATTACCTGAACCCAGCCTACTACGAGATCGATACCTTGGACGAAAACGGTCGATATCCGTCTCATCCAGGGTACCAACTCACTGATTGGACACCACCCGATCTTGACTTCGAACACTTTAACGTATATGAGGAGCCATGGGAAAAGGTTATGAAGCGCGACATTCCCATGAGCGCGACGAATCACCGTGAGGAAAAGATTCGTATCGGTGAGGATGATGAAGGCGAGCCGATCTACCAGATCACAGCCATCTTCTTCGAGATCGAAGATCCGAACTGGTGCCCACCCAATGACTGGGAGCCTTATATACACAGCAGTAGTCTTTCGCCGCAGGAAGTCAGGGACTATAGAAGGTGGCTGTGGGTTAAGGAGGGTGGAGAAATCCCGCGGATTGAGGTTGAGCGGTTTCGTCCTTTCAAGGACGGTACTCCAGCCTGGACAGATCCGTTTGTTGATCTCAAGAAAAAGGTAAGCGTCTTGGATATTCTTCGCTGAGGTTGCGGTTGCCTTTTGGGTAGAACCAATCTCTTACACAACATGTCTTATCCAATACTGACGGCTTTCTCTCTATCGGTCATTTATTGCAATTTTAATCTACTCGGACAAAACGTACAGCTTCCTTTACTACAAGAAGTTCAGCTTCCACTATCCGCAATCGCAGACCTTAATGCTAGCCTATTCTTCGACATCCTTTGATGCTATCATGCGTCGGTCACATGATTGGTCAGACCCCTTGTCGCTCAATTTGTGAATGCACTTTACACCACTCACCTAGATGGAGCGACATCCCAACAACCACTGCAAAGGAATCCTAGGAGGACGATCGTCTATAGAGAAATGCTTGGAGACGGCACTTGTATGCCCCACATCGCCAGGCATACTCGGCCATATGTAGACATACATCTTGCGTAAACAACACTGCTCGCATTCGTTTTTCCTAGAAGAAACCTACGACCTCGTCATTACACTATGAAATACCTAAAACTCACAGCTTTTGCGCTCGCAAGCGCAGCAAACGCTCAGAATGTCAGCCGGGGCGCAGCGATGATGCGCTTCGCATGCTCGCAACTCACAGTCGAGCGATTAGATCCTTTGGTTAACCCTGGAGTCGTGGGGAGTCCACACACGCACCAGATCGTCGGGGGAAACAGTTTCCAACCGGAGATGAAGCCATTGGAATATGATATGGTCGAGAAGAGTACCTGTACTACGTGCACATTCAGCGAAGACTTCAGGTATGCGGCAAAAGCGTTTGATGACGATGTGAAGCATACAAGTCTAGCGAAGTAAGGGCTGACAGAGTGTAGCAACTATTGGACTGCAGCGTTATATTTCCGCGCACAGAACGGAACTTATAAACGCGTTCAACAGTTTCCGAACGGTGGACTGAACCAGAGAGGTGGTATGACCGTGTACTACATACCTCCATATGATGGTGTCAGCAACGTGACCGCCTTCAAACCTGTTCGTCTGCCCTTGTTATTGATATAAAGAGCCAGAAACCCTCGTCTGATCTATACCGCGTCACTAACATGGCAACAGGGCTTTCGCATGCTCGCCGGCAACCCTCTACTTCGCAACACCACGGGCGAATCCCGCGGCATTTGCCACCGTTGCATCTACAAAGACGCGAAACCCTTTGGCGGCGCTCCCTGCACAGAAGAAGATACGACCTTCCTCCCCAATCGTATGTGTGAAGGTGGTATCCGCACTCAAGTCACCTTTCCCACTTGCTGGGACGGCGTGAACCTCGATAGCCCAGACCACCAGAGCCACGTTGCATATGCAGAAATCCCGTATGAGCCTTACGTTGCGCCCTTGGCAACACATCCGTATACGCCCGAGCAGCAGAGGGGTAAGTGTCCGGTAGGATACCCAGTTATGCTGCCGCAGGTCATGTATGAGGTCATGTTCGATACAAAGCCGTTCAACCAGAAAGAGCTATGGGGCGAGGAAGGCACACAACCTTTGGTGTTCAGTATGGGTGACGCGTAAGTTTTTCCTTTCCCACTGGAACGCTAGGAAGGTCCTTGTCATGCTGACGCTGGGCTGTAGGACTGGTCATGGTAACCACGGTGATTATATGTTCGGTTGGAAGGGCGATGCGTTGCAGAGGGCGCTTAATGCACGGTGCAGTAACGATCACTGTACCGAGTTGGAGAGACAGAGCGATGAAGATGCGATGAGTTGTAGTATTCCGCAGACGGTGGTAGAGGATGTTGATGGCTATGATTGTAAGCGTTCTTCTGGACATGAAAGGTATCGCGCTAATCGATTGGACAGGGCTAGAAAGCCTACCCGGCGGGGTACAGGTCAACGACGGCATGTAGAGGGGACTATAGCACCCAGTCACATGGTATACGGGACAGTCGAAATTTCGATCACTGTGTAAAGTGTTCTGTGGAACAGAGAGAGAGTGCTGTGCCCATTTGTCTAGACGGCACCCCATTTTTTGATGGATATAATGTCGTTCGAGAACATCAATTCAACATCCGTAGTATTTCGACTACCTGCAGGATCGATCTATTTACAAGACGACCTTGTTAGGTGCCTCCTGCTCCTCTGGCTCATCGAAGATGTTAATGCTCCACCTGGGCTTATTGGCCGTGTATGGAACATTGTACCTTCTCCTGCCCTGGTGTTCATCTGAGAACTTGGCGATAGCCTTGATGTCCTCATCGTCCAGCTCGATCTCCTTGAAGTTCTCGGCAATACGTGAAGCGGTAACTGACTTGGGGATGACGGAGTGACCCCCAACTTGCGACCATGCGAGAATGACCTGCGCAGGTGTTGCGCCCTTCTTCTCAGCGATTGCTTTGATTTCGGGGCGGTGAATGAGGAGTGGGATGTCGAAGAAGTTGTTGCCGAAGGCCGAGTAGGCGGTGATGTGGATGTTCTTCTCCTTGGCGTAGGCGACGAGCTCCTTGCTAGGGAGGATGGGGTGACGCTCGATCTGGTTGACGGCAGGGACGAGGCCGGTCTTTTCAACCAAAGCCTTCAGGTTTTGGTATGTGAAGTTGGAGACACCAACGGAGCGAACTTTGCTCTTCGGCAGCTTGTTCATGGCCTTCCATGTCTCGCTGTTAGGAACAGAGTTGTCAATGTTGACCTCATTGGGGTCAGATGTCATGGGGAAAAGATCCGAGTGAGGGTTCTTTCCCGGTCCGAAGTTGACGGGCCAGTGGATGAGATACAAATCGAGGTACTCAAGCTCAAGCTCGGCAAGAGTATCATCGAGGGCTTCCTCGACCTTGGCAGGATCGTGCTGGGTGTTCCACAGCTTTCCAGTGATGAAGATGTCCTCACGCTTTAGACCTGGAACATCCTTGTAAGCACGCTTGATGCCTTGCGCAACTTCTTTTTGGTTCTCGTAGCTGTCATTGGCGGAATATCTCGTCAGCTAGCGTTCTCGATGGATGATAGTGGGGTATGGTCATAGCTCCCCCAAGCTTCCGTCTCCACTGAGGGGCATCCTATTTGAACTTCCAACAACAAACACGGAAGAATATCTTGCTTCTGGGCGGATGCGAAGAGACCGTGGCGGAAAGGGTGAAGAAAGTATCGTGTATGGAGGAGGAGCCTATCGACTTACATCTTTGCGAGGTCCTACGTTAATCCAAGTTAGCAATTGAATACAATTCCATGTGGTGAAGCCAGCGGTTCCAGAGTCTTCAGGTCCATGACTTACCAAATGACGGTATCCGATCTTCAACGCCTCGTAGACGCCATTGCCAACCTCACCAGGAGCGGCTTGCCAGGTACCGTATCCCAACTGACTATAGTAACATCAGCACACCAAAACTGCACGAGGACAGATTGTGGTAGCGTACGGGATCTTGTGACCAGAGTTGAGGGTAACGGTCTTGCCTGAAGACATTCTGAAAGATACGTGATATTTGAATACTGGGAATGTAAAACGTGGGATGGGCGATCTGGCCAACGAAGGCAGAGTGGCCCTTCTTAAGTATCGCATCTTGAATGCTCTCGGCCATCGTGTCGGCCGGGAGCCATTATGTATGTCTTGCAGAAATTACTTCAGGACGTGGGATGTCAGACGTTTACAGCAAGGTACAGCACCGTGTTGGGTGGGCTGGCGGGATAATTGCAAGCTCTCGCGATGACGAGACACCCCGCTATCGAGTTTCGGGAGAGCTTTACCCTGCATCTGCGCTCTGGTGGGGCTGAATGCTCGGTTGTAAAGCCCCCGAGACTTGAGTGGGCTAACGAGATGCTCCGCGTCCCAATATCCGGGATTTCAGAAGCAGAAGTGATACCTCATTTTCAGGTTGCTCTCGAATGACTTGCGTTCCTTCGCCGTTCAGTCCAACGTCGAGATCTATTTGAGACTTCCTAAGGATCTTTTCTATAGACTCTTCAGTCCAGAGTGGAAATGCGATGATGTTATCGCCCCTTGAACTGAGCGATTGATGCATGAGACACAATTGCTCCGAAGCATGCATCTTTCCGATCACCTCGATAACTGTCTGGTCCATTGGAATCCGAAAGTGTTCCCGTGATGATTTGTCGTTGAGGGGAGGATAATTCGAAAACACCAGCACTAGCGAACAGGTGCTGTAATTGTACCTAGCATTCTGCAACAGAGTAGTCCGTAATCGCCAGGTGTGATGTCTAATATTAGAATGTATGACTAGGCGATCAGAAACGACTAGGTTGTCGCACTTATCTATGGCCCTCATGATATATCTGTTCCAGAATACTGCGTTCGTCCTGTCAGTGATAATCTTCTGCTCCACAAAGAATTCCCGAAAAAGCACCCAAAGTCTCCTCGCCTGTTCTCGAGCTGGTGAAGGTGGCATGCTTCCTTTAGGTAGTTTGTCATTCTTCCTCAAGGCTTGAATGATGTGTTGAATTTGTTCTATGCTAATGACCAAATCGTCCTCGACCGTGAAACAGTCGTGTGTGCCTGTGCTTTCAGGGCGAATACCATGCAGAGAAATGGCTAGGTACACAGAGCTAGCACACAATCGTTCGTGATAGGTCCAGGCCCGCCAGAACCACGTGTCCTGCACGAGGTGTTCAAGTGTGCCCACAATACACTCAATTACTGCCAGTCCCGCCGTACGTAAGTCGTGGAGGTTGGATGCCAGACTTGCGAGCATCGGTTGATTCGAGATGAGTATACACAAGGGTGCTAGAGCACACTGGCTTTCTGCATACACTCTATCCATACATTGTAGATGTTTCTCGATGTCTAAAGGATCTGTTTGATCAACGCATAATTGGTCGAGCCACAAGTGATGTATACCTGCATGTGCGGCGAAGCGTAAAATGCGGTATATGACGTGATTCAGCTCTGAAGCTACCTGAACAGGCGCTGCATTCGGTCGAAGAACAACGTATTGTGGAATATCACCAGCGATTGATCCAAAACGTTTCCAGGTATAAGAGACAGTGAGGTATGGCCCAGGAATCGGGATGAGGGGTGAAAGTTGAAGATAGACAGTGTCTGGTCGTTGTTGGTGGTTCGGTAGATGCTCGGCTGCCAGCGAGAGGAAGCGAAGCGACAGAGGCTGGTCGGGCTGCTTGCAATACAAAACTAGTTCTTGAATCTCTCTTATGCTGGCAAGCATAGCCTCGGAGCTACCGTGGATCTCTTTGAATGTGAGATGAGTATCTTTCTGCATGATGAGGACTGAATTAGAAAAAGTTCCGCAAGTTGAAGCAATGCTAATGGAAGAGCAATTGCCACAGCGTGAAAAGTAAAAGGTGGTCTTGTATGAGTTGGTGGGGTAAGCAGCTCCGCTGTAGGCAAGGCAGTTTCATCGTCAGGTTCTGCTTGCATGGTGGTGGCGCAGGCACGCGAACAAGACCTAGCGGCTGCGATTGCTCGCATTCATGTTACGAACGTCGTAGTTCTGTTATCGCAAAACTACATAGAAGGCATCTTTCTCGCATCGTTCACTGAGACTCAATGTACTTAGATGCCATTCGCGTAGTTCGATGTAGGCTACCTTGAGTGGTAGAGTGATGATATCCAGTAGGCCTATCCTACGAACATAAACTAAAGATATGGGCTTCTTCGTATGCGCAACTGACGTGCGCGACGTCGATGTGATGTTTTTTCAATAGATTTGTTGTACCATCTCATGCAAGGAGAATCCTGAACAGATGTACCTTTGTCTGCCATTACTTTGCAGCCTACAACGGTATATACTAGAAGAATACTACGTGTTTAATGTTTATGTAGACTTCTGGCTAGCATATTTATACAGATAACACATATATCAGTACATTGTAGGCTGCAAAGTAATAGAAGACGAAGGTACACCTGTTTAGGTTTTATCTTGTATGGGGTGGTACGGTAATTGATGAAGGTCATTGTGGAAAGAGAGCCGGTGGTAAACTCGACCGGCGACTAGGGCGGCACCCCGCAGCGCGTCTTGAGCTCGACTGGACGGCCATCCCACCTTTCTCCACTTGACACGCCCTATGAAGGCGATAAGTAGGTCCATGTCTCTGATAGCGCTCATCTGAAATATATCAATCGCGCATTTGAGGAGCGCCCAAATCCATCTTTGATCAGTTGCAACTTACACGACCTACTTATCTACAGCTAGGTTCTATCGCATTCCATATCCACCATGGCACCCTCGGCTACCCAGGTCGAACCAACGCCCATCGTGCAATCTAAACTGGTTGTTCCGCGATCCAAAGACGATGCGAAGAAGGAATTGACGCCATTACAAGCCATATCGCAGGGCGTTTGCCTCCCCGGTATCCCACTCTTCTCCTCGTATGACAAGCATCGCGCATGGATACTATCACACATGGCGGGTAAGTGCAATACGCGGGTGATTCGAGTTGGTTGAGTTGACGTATTCCAGGCGCTTTCCGCGTCTTCGCAAGGAACAACCTGACCGAGGGCATGTCGGGCCATATAAGTGTACGCGATCCAGAGCAACCACATACTTTCTGGACCAACCCGCTCGGAAAGCATTTCGGTCTCCTCAAAGCATCAGATATGGTCCTTGTTGACTATGATGGCAAAGTAGTAGGAGGAAATCAGAGCAGGCCTGCAAACGCAGCAGGTTTCCTCATACACTCGGCAATACACAAGGCGAGGCCTGACGTCAACGCGGCGTGCCATTGCCATGGGAAGGCAGGCAAAGCGTGGAGTGCCTTTGCCAAGCCTTTGGAAATGTTGAATCAAGACGTATGCTACTTCTACGGTGATGCGCAAGCTGTCTACAAAGACTTTGGCGGTGTTGTCTTTAGTGAAGAAGAGGGCAAGAGACTGGCAGCCGCATTGGGACCAAAGGGCAAAGGCATGGTTCTAAGAAACCACGGCTTGCTGGTGTGTACCGCCGCTGCCCCTTTTGATATTCAGTTGAAGCTGACTCGCCGCAGACTGTAGGAGGTACCGTCGACGAAGCCGCATTCCTGTATACCCTCATGGAACGTTCTTGCGATGTACAACTTAAGATCGAGGCAGCAGCAGCCAATGGCGTCCCGAAAGTATACGTCGACGATGACGCAGCTGCATACACGTTCAAGATGGCGAGCGACGCTGAGAGCCTGTACTGGGAGTTCCAGCCAGATCTGGAATACGAGTACGAATTGAGCAATGGCGCTTTCAAGCATCCTGACTGCGACCAGGTAGTATGGCCGGGTTACTGATCGCCAAGATTAGATGCGGCCCTTATAAACATGTATACGAAGAAGTTCGTACCCCATCACTTGTACCTCTAATGCGAAAGCGACCACTCAAAGATTGCACTATAACTTTTTTCACAAGGTACCAGCGGAAGTTACGCCGAAGACCTGAGCGAAAGTCTTGGACTCAGATCAGAGAAGACAGGCTTCCCCGTACACGGAATGGACATGCAGCGGACGTCCAAGATCCCGCTATCCGGAGAGTCGGGTCAACTCGTATTATGTTGCCTTGTCGTGTCTTTTTGGTGTAACTGCTTCCTGCTCTGTCCACTTTTCTCTTTCTTGAAAGGGGTCGAACTGCCAGTCGTTTGCTAAAGTCTAATGCTGTCAGTTCCCTTCACCCACGATTCGTTATTCTGTGTTCGGCAGTTTGTAGCGCTAGTTGGGCACCGGTGTCGCTACGGGGATACCGATTATTGTTCTTCCGCATCATCTGCCTTCTCCCTCTGTGGACAGCATCATACTGTCATACATCAAGTGACTGCTCTGGACTGCGCGTCACGTCTCACGTCTCGTCGGGTACTGTGTCCAGGCGACTAAGTATCTTGGCCACTCTGCACGCTACACATACCAAGACTGTCGCAGAAACAATCGATGACAGACCCAAGAGCTGTCGTCGGCCCGCATCGGTTTCAGCGACTGTTTCCGGTTTGACGGCGGAGATTTCTACAAACTGAGCAATACGTCGTTCTAGCGAGTGTTTCCTTGATTAACATACGCCTTTGCACAGTAGCGGCGGCACATGCCTGGGAGCTGCACGGCAGGATCGATCTGCGTGCGAGCTAACGATGTGCACAGCGTAATTCGACGGGTCTAGGTCCGTAACCGTTTTAGACATTCCGCTCCGCCGTGCAGAGATATTTGGACTCCCCAAGACAATCCTGAGTTGTATTCCATTTTCAGGGTACAAACTTACCTACTCGTCGCATACGCTTGTGCCGCGCGTCAAGGACTGTTAAGCAGTGATAAGTCTGCGCTTTGATGTTCCCGCGACGGACCGACTCTATCATCCTTGCTGCGTGTCATCATCTAAGCAACTCAGCCTCTCCCGGTCATTCTTGACCGCTGTGCTTATTACAGTACACAGTAGTCACGATATCTCCACGCTAAGTCTCCGCATTGTTGAATCTCCAGTGTCAATGCGTTGGTAAAAGCCACGCGACCGTTTCCCGCCAAGATAACCGGATTAACTGGATAAGGCAACGGAGCGATCTCGCCCCTGCGCTACCGCTCTCGGCAACCAAGCGTTTCTTGTAGATACAGGGTTCATGCTTAGCATCTGGGCTTGTTCCGAAGGTAGGCCGGAATGTTTGGTTCCCTTCATACAAGCTCGTGCCGCCTCCCAAGGAATCCAAGTGAATTTCCCAATGGTACTTGCTGCGCAGTCGGAGGGGGCTGCGCAATGGTAGTAGAAAGATAGGGTACTTGGCGGTGGTAGACCTTCCATGGCGCACGAAAAGACGTGAATACCGTGCGCTTGGCGACTCTGGAGGAAACGGCAGAGCTCTGTGCTTGAAGGGTTAGGGTAGTTCCGTGACTTGTGAAGGCGAAAGCTCATTTTGTGGCTTAACTATATTATATATAAGATGTCCTCACAGGACAATAAGGTTTGATTTCACAGCAACCAATCCAGTCATCTGACCTATTCTTCCCACTCCCACATCATTCAAAGTCCAGCACCGTTACCATGCTGTTCCAATCTATCTTCCTCGCCGCCGCCACTCTGGCGCCCGCAGCACTCAGCTGCCCCCAACACACAAATGCCAAACGCCATGTACACCTCACCACAAGACAACAAGTCAGTCCAGGCAATGTGACCCAGAACGACTGGGCCTATGAAGCGTCTTTCAACTGGGGAAGGATCCACCCCGACTACCACCTCTGCCAAACCGGAACTCAGCAATCTCCCATTGCGTTATCGCTTGGTAATGGTCTCGCCCTAAACCACGTGCCTACTTTCAAGTACAACGGCAGCATCGCTGGTAACTTCTACAACTGGGGTTACGGCCCCGCCTTCACCGTTGCACACGATGAGAACGCAGCAGAGGAAGACATTGACTGGACGACCCATCCAAACTTCACCTACGACAACAAGACCGTCTACCTCAAGGGCTGGCACATTCACGCCCCAGCCGATCACTCTGTAGGTGGTGACCGTAGCAAAGCCGAGCTCCATCTCGTCCATGTCGACGCCTCCGGCCACGAAGCTGCCGTCTTGGCCATTCGTCTCGACCCCGGTAACAACAACGCGACTTTCTTCGAGCAACTGCCTCCCATGATCGGTTACACAGAGATGGGTACTGAGCAGCCTACCACCTTGGACTTCACATCTCTGCTCCAGAGCGTTCTATACTTCAACGAGTTCTGGACGTACCAGGGTAGCTTGACCAGCCCTCCTTGCTCTGAGGGTATTCGCTGGTTTGTTGCCAGGCAGATCGTCTTCACTGGTGTTGATCAGATGAGGGCTATTCTTGGTGCCAGCACTTACTCTGCGAGGGCGGAGCAGGAGGTCTGGCAACACAGGATCAACGAGTAGAATGGCTGGAGCAGTTGTTTCACACGCATGTCAAGGAGCGGGGCCTTGGTGGTTGGTGAAATCGCATTGTCTTTGCATCGCGGTTCATGAGAAAGCGAGGCGTTGGTGGTAGGGATGTAGTCGGTCTACATTTCCTTTTTCTTTATGCACTCTCTCTAGAGATCTTCTTGTACACAAATACCTCTTATCATTTTCGAATGAATCAAACAGTTTATCTTTCTGACCACATCCTACCACGCGCAATGACCAGCATCAACTCTTAAATCCTAGAGACCACACCTTAGCTTCAAGTTCTCTATACCTGCAATAGTAAGGAAGATTGACTTACGGCACCAGTAACATAGCTGCTCCCCTCACTCAACAAAAAGAGCACAGGCGCCCGAAACTCCTCGGGCACACTAATCCTCCCTAACATGTTCTGCCTAGCCCACTCTTCCGTGAGCCCCCTCTTCCGCGCCTCCGCACTCAGCGGCGTATCGATATGACCGGGACTAATGGTGTTGACACGAATCGGCGGGTAAATTTTCCGCGGCTCTTGGCTCGGATTCGGATTGGTCTCTGTAACTGTACTGCCTGGAAAAGTATTCTGCGGATGTCCCCATTCCGCGGCGAGCGAACGGGCGAGTTGGTGCACGGCCGCTTTCGAGGCGTTGTAAGCGGCGGTGTTGATTCCGTGGTTCGATATGTGACCTGAGATTGAGGCGAAGAGAACGATGCTTCCTGGTAGATTGGTCGCGTGGACTTCATGTGCTACGGCGCGGGTGATGAGGAAGGTGCCGGAGATGTTGATGTCAAGGATCTTGCGGAACGTTGTGATGGGGTAATCACATGCATCGCTTTCTCCAGAGATGGCGGCGCAGGATACGAGGCCACGGATCGGATGGCGGAGATTGCTGCGGATGGCGGTGAAGGCTGATGTGATGCTGGCCTCATCTTGAACATCTAGCTGTTGGAAGGTTGCGGAAGTGCTATTGGATTTAGCACACTCTTGGATTAAGCCTACAGAGTGTTATAACAAGATTGATGGTCATGTTGTTGCTGGCGTACTCCAGGTTTCAGGATTGGGGTTCGAGACATCGACGAAGACGACATCTCCACCACTCTCCAGAATTGTTCTACCAACGACGGTGCCTACTGCACCAGCACCACCAGAAACTACAAGACGACGTGAGCTTCAGAACACATGTTGGTCGGTGAGCCAAACTTATAATAGTCCGTCCATGTAGCTTGAAAAGATCCGTCGTCGCAATGTGAGTAGGTGCAGGATGCGTCATGATTGGAGATAGTGATTACAACTTCACGAAGTCGCAACTACTATCACATTACAATGCAGTCCAGGTGTATACAATAGCTGATGGTTGGAAGCGGGGTCATGACGTATGATGGTTCCAGGTGCCTGAAATTGCGAAACACTACAGCTGCCAACACCACATAATCTTACGCGTTGCCAAACAACTCCAACAATCCCTCCGTCACATGTGTACCCAGACCATCCAAATTTCCCATACCCAACAGCTCAAGAACGCTGATGTCGAATCCGAAAGCCTGCCTCCACCAACTGCGCATCTCAACGCCCACAAGCGAGTCCATACCGAGCTGCGTCAATGATACTGATGTGTCAAGATCGTCTTCTGATCTCAGCAGAAACGAGAAAAGCTTCTTGCCAATCTCTCTAGCAAGGAATTTGGACGAATCTTCCCTCCTCAGAACGTCCAGATCTGATTTGGCGCTGGTAAGGAACGATTTGAGGCCATCGCTGCCCGCGGTCCCCGCAATGTCGACACCAGACGTACTGACATTATTGTGATAAACAGCGATCCTCCTGTCTTTCCTCCAGAACGCTCGGCTCTCTTTGGTGTTGAGAGGTACGTTGGTAGACAAACCAAGCCCAATGGTGTTCCTATCGACGTACCCGGCGTGGCTTGACTGCGATACCACCTGTCGCGACGATCGTGCAATCAGTATGGCAGACGTCAAGGCTTCCATCAGCTCTGGTTCAGTGATACCGTGAGCGCTGACTGCCCTCATCCTTTCAAGGAGGGCTTCGTCCTGGGATACATGTCCAACATCCTGAACAGCACCGATGTCGAGGGCAGAGCACGCGAGACCCAGTCCACTTCTGTACTGAACAAAAGTATCCAGGAACGTGTTGGCGCCGGCATAGTTTGCCTGGCCAGCCTGGCCAGTAACCCCTGACATCGACGAAAACAGAACGAAGAAATCCAAGTCAACTCCCGCCTCATTAGTCACATGATGCAGGTTCCAGGTTCCTTGAACCTTTGGGGCCACAGCCTGGCTCCAGTCTTCAAAACTCATCCGAACGAAATTCTCATCGCGTAGAACCATCGAGGCCTGAATGATGCCTTTCAAATTTGGCGCGTGCGAGACGGCACGGGACACGGCCTCTTTGCTTACGACACTACCCTTGATGATGGTGACCTTGCAGCCCATACTTTGAAGTTCTTGGATGGTATGAGGATCCTCAGGCCCTGATCCTGCACTTCGAGACAGGAACACCAGATGGCGAGCGCCCTGAGCCACAAGATGCCTCGCCACAGCTCTTCCTAGACCTCTCAAGCCACCAACTAGGAGGAATGACGATGACGCATCCAGGTGTAGCTTTTGGGCTGGACTAGCAACATTGTTCGCAGGGACTTTAATGCTGCCATCCGCCTCGCGCATGGAGAAGACGATCTTGCCAATGTGCGTGCCCTGTTGCAAGTGTCGGAAGCCTTGCTGGATTGAAGATGCCTCAAAGACTTTCTTGGGTGTGAGCGGGGTGATGTGGCCCATGCGAAGGTGCTGCACAATTGCCTGGAGCAATTCTTTGACAAGAGATTGTCTCCGTGCCATTTCCGCGTCCAAGTAGAAGCAGCAATAACTTCGGCTGGCAAGAAAGACATCCATATCAAGCTTTCCGCCGCCGAGGAAGTCACGCTTTCCAATCTCCACGAGCTTGCCAAACTCAGCCACGCAACGCCAGGTGGCATGCAAAAGCTCCCCCGACAGAGAGTTCAGAGCTAGATCTACCCCGCGGCCATTGGTCGCCTTCATCAGATCCGGAAAGAAGCCGGCATCGCGAGAGCTGAAGATATGGCTACGCGGCAGTCCGAACGTTTCATTCAGATACCGGGCCTTATCCTCGTTCTCGACTGTGGCGTAGATGTGGGCGCCGGCCATAGTTGCTAATTGTATCGCAGCCAGACCCACTCCACCAGCTGCGCTGTGGATGAGGATCGACTGCCCTTTGCGCAAGTCACCCAGACCGAATAGCGAGCGTAGGGCAGTAGCAAAGACTGCAGGCATTGTTGCCGCATCCTCGAATGATAGGTCCTGTGGGATTTTCTCGCAAAGTTGCTCTGGGGTAACAACTCGCGTCGCAAATGATCCATCTGCTAGAAACATGACTCTGTCTCCAAGTTGGATATTCTTCACACCAGGACCTATGCGGCTAACGATACCGCTGCCCTCGAGGCCTAGACCGGCTTCTGGGTAAGGAACTACTCCCAAACCACCGAGAACGTCCTTGAAGTTCAGCCCGGCAGCGTGAACCTGGATCTCAACGTCATCACCTTCCAAAACACTCCCTTGAGACTCTGCGCCACGCTCCCAATGCAAAGTTGTTAGACGGCCCGGCTTTGTCATTGTGAGAGCCACGTTTTCATGATCGCTGTGGCTGTGGGAATACTCTGACCGCTCACTCTTCAACGACACTGGATAGACTCTGCCGACATGAACCACCTGGTCGACAATGGCATATTCGTAATCGGGCTTCAGATCCAGTGCGTCGCCTTCTTCTGATTCGTCAGCGACCCTGGGCCTCATTTGAAACCGGTCAAACACGTCGACAACGCGTGAAACAGAGACCGCCAAGTTGTCCACTTCGCACGTAGCTAGGTCTAGTAGAGACTCAGTGCGTATTGTGCGGGCTGTACCAATGGTCTGAGCAAAGCGTGGGTCCTTGCAGGCCATTTGAGACACGGGGGTCACCCATAGCATGCCATTGCCAGATGCGCTGAGGCTACTCACAAGACGCTGGAAAATGGCAAGGCAGGGTTTCTCAATTCCATCAAAGAAGGGCTTGCTGGCATCTAGGAGCGAAATAATATCGTTGCCCGGTGGAGACAAGAACGAGTCATCGTCCAGTTGACGGCGACTAACAACGTAGCCTCTATCCTCCAGCTGGGTGACCACAACATCAGCCATAGGCTCGTCTTGGTCCGCAATCAGTGTGACAGGCTTCCCAGTCTTCTTGGAGCGTGGCTTTGATCTTGCTACCATAATGGCATTGAGCTGATGGGGTTCGTCGGCGTCTCGAATCACGGCTTCGAGGCCATCAAAACCAGCCTCAGTTAACTCGCGCTCCCAGCGCTCTGGCGTCACGTAGGGCTGCTCCGCCCTGCCATCTGGCGCTCCGTACCACCATCCGGCCAATGTTCCGAAGATGTAATTTGGCCATTTGGAGGGGCTATCGAGCTCGTGTAGAAGTAACCTGCCGTCGCGGTGATCGAGAAACTTGTGCACATGACGTAGCGTCTCTTGCAGACTCTTCGTGGCGTGAAGCACGTTGGTCGCTATGATAAGGTCGTACTTTTCGTCGTCAGCAAAGGCCTGCTCAGCGGGGTCTTTGCTGATGTCGAGAACGCGGTAGTCGATGTTTTTGTAGCCGCGGAAGCGTTCCTTCGCTGCTGGAAAGAAACCCGCCGAGATGTCAGTGAAGGTGTACTTGGAGTACAAAGGCTGTCCCACTGGAAGAACCAGGTGAGTCAATACGCTGGCTGTCGACGCTCCAGTTCCTGCACCGATCTCGAGGACGCGAAGGTTCGGCTTGCTATGTGCGAGGTGGCGGATGAAGTCAGATCGATCGCAGGCATCGGTCGCAACGTAAGTCTTGGTCAGCGTACCGTCCGCTAGGAGCACCTCGAGGGGATCGGTGTTGCCTGAACAGATGTTGTTGATGTTTTGCCGCACCTTCCCGATAGCAGCCGCGCAGTCCTCCACCGGAGTTCCCTTCATTTGACGCTCTAGAGCGCTGATCTCTTCAAGTAATGGCGAATCTTCGAGCGCCATCATATTCGCATCATCTTCCTGCGATACTTGAGATTCGATCCAAGCCATGTACTTGTGAAGGTGGCTGGGGAGTGTTCCTAGGTGTACGTTGCTGTCCCTGAGCCTCTGTATACATCGCTGGGAGTAGACGAAGCACAGTCGAACCATCCTGTCAAGCAAGGGTGTGTAGAGATGCCGGGGTACCTCTGGCTTGATGAGGCTGTGGACATCGAGAAAGTCGATATGGGGGGCCCACGTCAGACGGCTTGTAATCAGCTCCTCGCCCAGCGACCTGAGCGCTTCTCCCTCATTGTTCTCTTCCTCCGTCGCTCCAGTATGGGCTGCTGTCGCTTCCTCGAGCGGAGACAGCCTTGCGCCTTGCATATCCAAGACTACCTTGCCGTCGGCGACGCATTGCACTCTACTGACCACCTCGCCGCTGCCCTTAATGAAAATGGCTGAGGCTGCAGCAATCATTTCTGCATCGGAATCAACGCGGTGGACCACAATTCTGTCGATCTTGGTCGGCACTCTTCGGTAGTGCCTTGCCTCGATGTGACCGCGAGTAGCAGCTAAAGGTCCAGACTGTATGCAGCCATCCACCACGGCAGGATGCAAGTGGTAATGGGCCTCGTCGCCGCAACGATTGTTGACTAGCGTGGCAGTGGACACACCGTCTAGAGTTCCTGTTCTGATGCTAGACAAGCGTTGGAACCTGGGTCCGTATTCGATCCCAGCTCGACTCAGCACGCTGTAGTACTTGCGCCCATCTACTCTACGCGGCAGCTGTGCCAATTCAGGGAAATCTTTAGGCTCAAGATTCTCTTCATAAGTAGCCTCGCCACTGCAGTGCTTGGTCCAAATGTAGCCGTTGTGCGATGCGATTGTCCAATGCCATCATTGGCTGTCAAGCGAGTCTGTAAGACGCACGGGACGAAAGGTCGTGACCAACTCTGCCGGTTTGTCTTCGCTTAAGACAAGGGCAGAGTTGAGCACCATGTTGCGGATCGTGAAGCTGTTTTCGCTTTGGCTATTCTCGTGCTGCTGTGTGGCTATTTGTCGGATTCCCTCTCCAACCATGGACACGTAACCTGCGCAGGGGAAGATAATATTACCCTCGATGCAGTGATCGCGTAGCCATGAGGTGTCTTCTAGAAGGAGCATATTTCGAAAGCTGGGCTCCAATGTTGTGCTCTCGAGTTGGCGGATACCGAGCAAAGGATGTGCTGGGAACTTGCGGTATCGCCACTCGTGCGATATCCTTGATTCACGCCAGTAATTAGCGCTATGATCCCATGGATAGTGTGGAAGTCCGGCGAGCGAAGTCGTGGCGGTGGTGAGTCGAGTGAAGTCGATAGCCATATTAAGCTCGAACAGCGTCCCAACCGCAGTCAAGAAAGCTACGACGCAATCTTCGCCGCGGCTCATGGCACCGAAGTATGGTACTGCTGAAGTGGGAGCATTGATGGAAGCTGCGAGAGTCTGCCGCACTGGCCCAGCAAGAGCCGGATGAGGCCCAATTTCCAGGAATGCGATGTTGGGAATACTCCTAAGAATACCTTCCACGGCACCCTTAAAGAGGACGGGGGACTCCAAATTCTTCTGCCAGTAGTCTCCGCCCAATTTTTCTATACTCATGGGTTCCCCTGTGCCACTGACACTGGAGAAGAAGACGGCATTTCGCTCAGAATCAGACGAAGCCATTGCTAATCGGCTCTTCGCACCGATCAGATCGGGCAAATACTCGCGGAGTGTGCGAGTGTAAAAATCTCCGACTTCAGCCATGTGATATGAATGGTAGGCTTTGTCGACCTTGAGTAGTCTTGCCGTGATGTTGGGGTTCTCTTTCTGGACACGCTCCAGGGCTATACTCACCTCATCGGCATCCCCCGAGATGGTGACGCTTCGAGGAGAGTTTTCGCATGCGATGACGACTTTGGGCGATGATATGTACTTGATAACGTCTTCTCTACCAAGACTGATGGCCGCCATGGCACCCGGACGATTCTGCTCTTTCGCTGCGAGACCTCGCTGCCAGGCTATGATTATAGCCTCTTTAGCCGTGAGCGCCCCGGCTGCGTATCCCGCAGCGATCTCGCCACTGCTATGGCCAACGACTGCTTTAGGCTTGATTCCAATGGACGCGAAGAGATCTACTAGGGCAATCTGTACTGCGGTGCAAAGCGGCTGTGAGAGCTCGGCTGTCTGGACGCCTGACTTCCTGGCCGGCTTCAGGAGCTCTTCCTCGATTGTCCATTGTGGCGCACTCGAGACTTCTCCCAAGTACTTATCGAGAGATCTGATGGTGTCACGGAAGACGAGGTCCTCGCGAAGCAGTAGCTCACGGCCCATCCGTGGCCACTGAGCGCCTGGTCCAGTGAAAACCATGACAAGTCTCGGTGGCGCGTTACCAAATTTCATGCCCTGTGATGCAGTATCAGGAAATCTCTCCAAGCTAGCGACCATGTGTGATCGATGGGGAAGATGTTCCCTTCTGTTGGCGAGTGTGTATGCGAGTTCTTCAAGTCTCTCTGGATTCTTGTTGATCCACGTACGAAGGTCACCCACCACCTTTTGGAGCGATGATGAAGAGCTGGCCGAGAAGACCAGGAGATGTGACTTGTTGTTTGTTGAGAAAGGCAATGCCTCATTGTCCTGAGTGACTGATGAGGATGGTAAGTTGAAGCTCCGGGCCGAGTCTAGGATGGCATGTACATTCGATCCCCCAATTCCAAAGGAATTGACACTGACCCGCTCAAGACGATCGACAGGCCAGGGTGTCGCCTCCAGAGGAACTTCTAGTTTGCGCTCCTTGAAAGGGATCTTGACGTTGCCACTAGTAAACTTAATATTGGGCGGTATGACGCGGTTCTCCAACGACAGCACGGCCTTGATCAAAGACGTAAGGCCAGAGGCGCCCTCAGAATGACCAAGGTTGGGTTTGACGGATCCGATATAGACTCCTGCGTCCCCAAACACCCTTGCGACAGCGTTAGTCTCAATCGGATCACCGACTGGAGTGCCTGTCCCGTGGCACTCGACAAAAGCGGTCTTGGAAAAATCAGAGATACCAACATCGCGATATGCCTTCCGCATCAGAGCTTCCTGACTCTCAGTACTTGGCTGAGCGATGCCTTGAGTTCTTCCGTCGCTGTTGGATACGACAGACCTGAGTATAGCTCGGACCGGGTTTCCATCACGGATGGCTGCCTTTAGAGGCTTGATAAGTATAGCCGTAATAGATTCGCCCCTCGCGTATCCATTCGCGTCGGCTGAAAACGTCTTACAATGCCCGTCGGGAGATAGCACACCCTTCTCTGTCATGAAGGCTGTCATTCCTGGGGCCATGATGAGGTTGGCACCACCGATGACAGCTGCTTCGCAGAGCCCAGTTCGGATGGCTTGGCAAGCTTCATTCAAGCCGATAAGGGCTGCAGAACATGCAGTACGAACGGTCATGCTGTTCAAGAATCACCAATTCAGTATTTATACCAGACTAGGAAGCAGGCAAAGGTATGCTGGGACCTGGAGATGTACGTACCATGGTCCTTTGAGGTCCATCTCGTAGGAGATGCGGCTAGACAGCATGAAATCGCTGTAACCGTCGACTCTGTTCACGCCGCTTTGTTGGTGGTCTCTGTTCTGCATCTCCAACCAATCCTCACCATAACTTCCCATGTAGCATCCGATACTTCGACCCTGTAAATTTTGTCAGTATTAGTAAGTCTCATCTTATTTCACTGCCTCACCTTGAAATTGTTCTCTCCGGCATCATCAAAGGCTTCCCTGACTACTTCGAGCATTCTCCGTTGTTGTGGGTCCGAGAACTCAAGCTCAGCACGGCTGAGTGAGAAGCGGGAGGCATCCAAGCTGCCCAGCTTGACGCTGTCGTCCAAGAAGTAGCCGTACTGGGTGGCTATGGTTCCAGGTTTCCCTGAATCGGAGTGATACGCGGAGATGTTGTATCGAGACTCGGGCACACGGCTTCTTGCATCACCCTTTGCCAGGAGAAACTCCCAGAGATCTTGAGGACTCTCGAGACCGCCAGGGAGACGAAGTGCCATGCCACAGATGGCGATTGGTGTAAGGTTATCATGTGTTTGGCTAGCCGCTAGTGGCGATGCGGCTATGGGGTCTGACGATGATGACACTCCGTTGGAGTGGCCGTTGGTCCCGTTGCAGTGCAAACTACCATTGGGTCCACCATTGACATTGCCGTTGGCACTGCCGTTGACGCTGCCGTTAACAATGCCGTTGACACCGCCATTGATTCGTGGAGATTCGCTGTCTTGACCGACTTCAGAGAAAGCCATAGTTGATATGTCTTGTGCAGTCGAGACTTCCAAATTTGAGAATCGAAGTTGTATAATGTATCAGATCTAGTTTGATAAACTTCATGGTAGTGAGAAAGGCCTCCTTATATGCAGTTGGCTGACTTCATCATCTCTTCAGGTAGTTCCTGATCACTGTGGCTGCGAGGGGTGAAGTTCACCCTTCCCAGCACAACCCGGATTGGAACACACCTAGGCACTCAGTGCCCACGCCAGATGACTGCACGTATCGCCCATATGCGCAAATTGGCTATGTTGTCTCTAGAATCACGCCTCCTTTTCACGCACAACATGTACACTCTACCCAATCCGAAGATAACGTACGCATACACCGCGCTTGGGGTTTCACTTCTTGTGGTGAAAAGTCAAGATAGGATCAATTTTGATTGAGGTCCAACACCGTCTCCACAAGTTCTCGAGCTTCAACATCGAATCAACCACAGCAACAGGACGCCTTGAAGTTGAACTCTAACAGCAGCTTCCTATTGATATTAGCCGACGGTGATGCCGGTTCGATGAGTCTGCATAAGCCATGTTGTTTGTATGAAGATGAACTGATGCTCACGCTATTCCACCTCTCTTGGCATAATGTACGTAGCTTACGCTCTGCTCGTATCGATCTTGGCAGATCCTAATGCCAATATAACTCTCTCGGCATAACCCACGTCCCACGTAACGACTGGGATGTTGCTTCCTTATGCACGTAGCTTTTGTTGGTACTCTGATGCTGATGCCAATGCGACTTGGCGTATCTACATAATGCATGTAACGCGTAATGACATCGACTGATGTTAACCTGAATTGCTGATGAGGGTAACCTCCCATCCAATCAGTGGACTGAGGTGTGGACCCATAATACGTTATTAACGCAACTCTAAGAAGTAGAGGCAGTAAGTAGGACACACTCTTTGCACTCGGAGTCCGAAAGATGACAACCTATATTCCAAGGTACCTTGGCGAGACCCAGACCCGGAACAATCACTCTCCTCCAACAGCAGTAAATGCATTGGAAGCGATATCCAGCTGGAACAGGGTCCTTTGACATGAACCACGGAGACTATCGTGCCGCGTAATAATAACCTTTATGCAAGGAGAGGAAAGAGGGCGTAGGCGCAAAGAATGCTAGTTTATGAGATGACCCAATGCAACTCATTGTTTGCTTTGACTTCCAGGCATTTCCTTCTCCATTTCAGTCACTGCTCAGCTGTTATTCCTCAGCAAGACATAGTAGCTCACTCTACTCCACTTTCGTCTTCCCAGAACATATCTCAGTCCTCCACTTCAACATACCCTTTGTTCTCCTCCCTTCTTCAATCGCCGATTAGATTCGCGAGCTCTGAGATGGCGCCACCTTTGGGATCCGGTTCGTTCGTCGAAGAGTGGGCCAAAGCGCAGAAGCTTCGAGGCCCCAGCATGAAGAATGGCCCTGTCTTTTACAAAAACCTCGAAGAAGAGCTCGATGCGAACAGGGGACAACAGGCTTGTGCAATGTTTCATGTAGCGGAAACCCCTGTTGACTTTTCCTCGTGCGATGTCGTTTCTCTCGGCTCTTCTGGTGCCGTCAAGGAAAGGTTCATGGAAGAGCTTGCTGCAAACCCAGACTTTCAGCTGGGATCTCATGGGACTCGTCCTCTAAACGGCAACTCCAAGTACCTGGAAATGGTGGAACGTGAAATTGCCGAATTTCACGGGGTAGAGTCGGCTTTGTTCGTCAACTCCGGTGCCCTTGCCAACGATGCCATCTTCTCAGCTGTGGCACGCCCTGGAGATGCTATCGTCTTTGACGAGCTTGTTCATGCAAGCACTCACTACGGCATGAAGAACAGCCTTGCTCTATGTCAGAAGTCCTTTCGACATAACAATATTGACGACTTCATCAACACTGTAGTAGCAGTCCGGGACTCTCAGCCTCAGATCCGGAGTGGAAAGAGATCTGTCATCATCGCTGTAGAATCGTTCTACAGCATGGATGGGGACATTTGCCCGCTCAAAGAGCTGGTACAGGCGGCCAAGGAGATCTTCCCTAACGGTAATGCCCAATTTGTCGTTGATGAAGCTCACAGCACGGGCAACATTGGACCGCTCGGTCGGGGTCTAGTCAACATGCTGGGTTTGGAAAGCGAGATTGCAGTTCGAAACCATACCTTTGGGAAGTCGCTATGCGGCTCTGGTGGTGAGTCAGGCATTCGCCTTTCTTTTGCTTCGGCCGCGTACATGAACAAAGGCGCTAACACTACAGTTCTAGCCGCCATTTTCTCAAACAACACCGTTCGGGCGATGCTCATCAATCATGCGCGGCCCATCCTGTTCTCCACTGCTCCCCCGTTTCTGGTGGTTGCTTCGACTCGAGCTGCATATGAACTACTCAAGGCGGGCAAGACGCAGAAGGCCCAGGACAGAATCCAGCATCTGGTGAAACTTTTCATTGAAGAGATCACCGACAACGACGTCTGGGAAAAGGCCAACGACGCCGGGTACCTTCGAATCCCCCTGTGTGAAGAGGAAGATTGGTACTCAGCTTCGGTCGTGAGTCAAATTTGCCCGGTTATGACAAAGCCGAAGCACAACCTCTATCTCGCTTTTCATCTACAGCTAGAAGGATTCCAAGTGTACCCTATCAGCTTCCCTGTCGTCGCCAAGGGTACTGACCGGATTCGCCTCGTATTTCATGCACATAACACGGACGGGGAGGTGCAGAGGCTCGCTGCGTCAATCTGCAACTGGGCCAAGGAGACGATGGAAGCTGAGGCCTACAACCGACGCGTAAAACCAGGCGGCCAGCTCCAAGTATGCGCGGCGGCGCGTCATGCGCGTAGCCTGGTGGCGAAAGAGGAGATGAATTCATCAGAATAATACATAGTGGCTGAACCAACGGGGTGTTGTAACGAGCTAGAGCCCGGATGCTATAGTGATCCTCGGTGGAACCTTCGGAGCCTCCTCGGCATTCTAGAAGCTTCAAGATGCTACGCGTACGATAAGCTAAACGTATATAGATATCGCAGCACCATAGATAGGTTTTCTTCTTTATCGAATACAATCCTGTTACCAGGCATCGGCATACTTTGCGCAGCCCCTTACAGGTGTTTGCCTAACGGAGAGACGGTTACACGACTGAACTTATGCTGTGCTGTATGAAGCTTGAGCGATTCTTTCTGATGTTCAAATGTTAGTGCGAGGTGTAAACAAAGCTAGTTCTGAATAGGTATAGACCGGGTTACCTAAACGCATCGTCGTTCGCATGGTGCAGGAGAGACTATCCGTCGATGCAAGAAGCTCTAAACCGCGATAATGTCCCCACAAGACGTGATGTCTAGAACAAGGCCAAATAGCCGGGGCTTTCAGCGGGCGCGTTTGCGAGGGACGGCCCGGGGAGGCGTTTGTGCAGCTCCATGAAGCTTCCAAGCCTAGGCAGGTAAGCCGGCATAGATTAAGGGCGCCCTTGGCCAAAAGTCATTGGTGAAATGATTGCATGGCGCTTCAGGTTCTATGCATCGGGTAACACCTGCAGGATCCAACAAGACAAAGGGATATACTCGTTGTTCGTCCGTCAGTCAGTCATTGCCAAGCCAACAGCTGAACCCGTCGTTCGTCCGGCGGTCAGTCACTGCCAGCCCAATTCTAGGGGAAATAAACACATCACTTTCTCTATACAGGGTCCATATCGCTTTGCCCGTTTATATCAGTACTCGAGAACTATCCAACCCATAAATCAGCATTTCAAACACTTGATGCAGGCGGCAACGGTATATGCACACTTCCACTGACATTGCCTATCATTCATTCACGATGAATCGAGATATTGAAAAGGTTGCACATGAGCGCAACTCCCAGCATGCAACGTTGCCTCATTCGCCCCCATCACCTTCGAGGCCAGTGTCGTACACGGCGCAAGTATCTCACGAGAGGACCAGTGATGCTTTCACCCCTCAACTTGGCAGCAACCGCGACCCTAAGTCCCCAACTTTTGACGCTCGTGCTTGGGCCAAGGACTTTACCAGACTTAAGGATTTGGACCCCAACTCTGCTCCTCCGTGAGCCCTTGGTGTTGCTTTCAAGAATCTAAATGTGTTTGGTTGGAGTACGGGAGCCCAATTCCAGGAATCGACTGGCAATATCTTGCTGGCTATTGCAGAACGTCTGGCTCGTTTGGTCGGTAGGAGCAGCCGTCACGGCAGGCGCGTCGATATCTTACGCGACTTTGAGGGCGTAATTGAGAAGGGGGAAATGCTCCTAGTCCTAGGGCCACCAGGCTCTGGCTGCTCAACATTTCTGAAGACTCTGTCATCTCAGACTGCAGATGTGGAGATTGGTTCCGACACGTACATCAACTACCGAGGAATCAACACCGAATTGATCCGCACCACTTTCCGGGCCGATATCCTCTACAATGCCGAGCTCGACAACCATCTCGCTCATCTCAGCGTTGGGGAGACCCTCGAATTTGCCAGTCGGGCTCACTCCGTTAGACATATTCCAGAAGGTTGTTCTCGCCGGCAATTCGACCTTATGAACCGGGATGCGATGATGTCAATCTTCGGTTTGACTCATGCTGTCGATACTCGCGTTGGGGACGATGTAATCCGAGGAGTGAGTGGCGGCGAGCGCAAGAGAGTCAGTATCGCTGAGGCTGCTCTCACTGGCGCCAAGCTTCAGTGCTGGGATAATTCGACAAGAGGTCTTGACAGTGCCAACGCTGTTGCGTTTTGCCAACATCTCCGTGTACAGGCAGATCTCCTTGATGTTGCCTCTGCTGTTACTATATATCAGACCCCTCAGGCTGCATACGATCTCTTCGATAAGGTGACTGTCATCTATAAGGGCAGACAAATATTCTTCGGTAAACGTAGCGAAGCCAAGGCGTACTTCGAAGGCCTGGGTTTTTATTGTCCAGATCGACAAACGGTTCCCGACTTCCTGACGTCCATGACGAGCCCCCACGAGCGGCTTGTAAAGCCTGGATTTGAGCACTCCGTACCCCGCACACCGATTGACTTTGTGCATAGATGGTCGGAAAGCAGGCAGCGACTGAATTTGATTCGCGAGGTCGCGGCTTATGAGAAGAACCACCCATCGCAGGAAAGGCTAGCAGAATACCAGCAATCTCGCCGGCTTGAACAAGCAAGACTCCAACGTACCGGCTCACCATACACCATCTCATACACCCAGCAAGTCAATCTCACATTCTGGCGAGCTTGGCGTAGGTTGCTGGCAGACCCTGGCTTTACCATCGCATCCCTCCTCTTCAATCTTATCATGGCGCTCATCCTTGGAAGCATGTTCTACAACCTGAAAGAGGACACGACAAGCTTCTACTACCGGGGCGGAATCATATTCTTCTCGCTCATGTTCAATGCGTTTGCCAGCCAACTAGAAGTTCTCACCATTTATGCTGAGCGACCTGTGGTCGAGAAGCAGAATCGCTATGCGCTTTACCATCAGTCGACCCAAGCCATCGCCAGCTATTTGTGCGACCTTCCGTACAAGATTGCCAACATGTTGGTCTTCAACATACTTGTCTACTTTATGTCTCATCTTAGGAGAGAGGCTGGTGCCTTCTTTTTTTTCTGCCTTGTCACCTTCCTTGCCACCCTCGTGCAGTCAGCTATCTTTCGCACCTTGGCCAGTATCACACGGACATCAGATCAAGCTATGATACCGAGTGCTGTTCTAGGACTTGGACTCATGATCTATACAGGGTTTACTATGCCAACTGCTTACATGCCGGGCTGGTCGAGGTGGATGGCATATATAAATCCCCTAGCCTATTCATTTGAGGCTTTGATGGCCAACGAATTCCACAACAGGATGTTTGAGTGTGCTTTCATGGTGCCTCAAGGACCGGGATACGAGGATTTACCACCGACGTCACAGATTTGCTCAGTTGTTGGCGCGGAACCTGGTTCTTCTCTTGTCGACGGGGATCGATATATCAACTTAGCATTCGCATACACAGACACCAACAGATGGCGAAACGTCGGGGTACTCTGCGCCTTCATGGTCTTCTTCTTTGCTACATACCTTTTTGCGGCTGAGTATGCTAAGCCGCCAAGGACGAGAGGTGAGGTCTTGATCTTTAGAAGAGGAAAGATGCCCTCAACCATATCATCAGGCGAAATGTCGCTCAGAACCCAAGACCCAGAGGCACAAACACAAGAAGATGGAGGTCAGCCCATCATCGCTGAGAAGAGAGAACCGAGTGCTGAAGATGGTGCTCATACTTCTGATCGCCTCTCAGCCGGGACGTCGGTCTTTCACTGGGAAGATCTCTGTTATGATATCAAGGTTAAAGGTGGCACAGAGCGGCGAATACTCGATAATATCGACGGCTGGGTAAAACCTGGGTTAGCTACAGTGCTCATGGCAAGTTATCTCTAAACATGCACCGATGAATACAAGCATATAGCTAACGAGAATGAACTCTATTAGGGTGTATCGGGGGCTGGCAAGACGACTCTCCTTGATGTGCTCGCATCCTGTGTGCCGATTGGAGTTATCAGTGGCGACGTCCTAGTCAACGGAGTTCCGATAGACGCGACATTCCAACACCAAGTAGGTTATGTCCAGCAGCAAGACCTACATCTCAGCACCATGACGGTCCGAGAAGCTCTGGAATTTAGCGCTCTCCTTCGTCAGCCTACCCACTTTTCGCGGAAGGACAAGCTTCAGTACGTTGACTATGTGATTGATACGTTGGAGATGCAGGAGTTTGCCGAGGCCGTGATTGGTGTACCAGGGGAAGGGCTCAATGTTGAGCAGCGAAAGCGCCTAACTATTGGGGTTGAACTTGCTGCGCGGCCACAGTTATTGGTCTTCTTCGATGAGCCAACTTCGGGGCTGGATTCACAAACCTCGTGGGCCATCTCACTCCTTATCAAGAAGCTTGCCAACACCGGTCAGGCTGTCCTCTGCACTGTACATCAACCGTCGGCCATCCTTTTCAATCAGTTCGATCGGTTGCTTCTTATAGCTCCTGGAGGAAAAACGGTTTACTTTGGTGGTGAGTACCTTTCATACCCCTATCCCGTTTTATGCTCTTCTCTAACCTTTGTGGTTTCGTTCATATCGTTCATTCCACTTGCTCTTCGCTGCTGACGAAATCACTATATCTTGACAGATCTGGGTCCAGACTCATCGACTCTCATCAACTATTTTGAACGCAATGGCGCACCGAAGATCGACATCGATGCTAATCCCGCCGAATGGATGCTGGAGGCGATCAAGACACCACAAGATGGTTCAGAAGGCATAGAATGGCACCAAACCTGGCGAGAATCTCCAGAATATAGGAGTGTCAAGGAAGAGCTCATGCGTCTCCGAGGGCTGGCCTCGATTCAAATTCCCGCGGACTCGAAGTTTGACCAAAAGTCCCCAGAGTTCGTCTCTTCGTTCTACATACAATTTCGAGAGGTCATGATCCGCTCCGCCAAACACTTTTGGAGGTCTCCTGTGTACCTTTGGTCCAAAACAATTTTGGTTGCACTGTCGGTAAGATCATGTTAAGACCCCCACATTGCGCCATATGCTTACCTTCTTGACAGTCGCTCTATCTAGGCTTCAGTTACAGTGCCAACAACTCCATCCAAGGACTTCAAAATCAACTTTGGGCAATCTTCATGTTTCTCGTGCTCTTCATCAACATCAACGAGCAAATCATGCCCACATTCGTCGTCCAGCGCAATCTTTTCGAAGCTCGCGAGCGCCCATCTAAGATATACAGATGGAACGTGTTTGTCCTCTCCAATATCATCATTGAGCTCTTCTGGAACTCCCTCATGGCGGTCATCATGTACTTTTGTTGGTACTATCCAGTCGGCTTTGTTCAGAACACTGTCCCGGAAGACCAGACAATTCGCAGCTTCCTCGTATTCCTGTTCCTCTGGGCCTATCTCCTCCTCACAAGTACATTTGCTCATCTCGCCATCACCTGGATTGACCTTCCTGAGGTTGCAGGTGTCTTGACAAGTCTTTTGTGGATGCTTTGTATCTTGTTCTGCGGCATCGGCGTCCCTCCAATTGACCTCCCAGCCTTCTGGATGTTCATGTATCGCGCATCTCCAGCAACATATCTCGTGGGCGGACTTATGTCAACCGCTGTTGCTAATACAGATGTGGTTTGCGCAGATTACGAACTTGTCCATCTCTCACCACCCGCTGGGAGTAACATCACATGCGGCGAGTTCCTTGGTCCCTTCGTCGACACCGCGGGTGGTCGCGTATTGACACCCGGAGCGCTGGACAGATGCAGTTACTGCCCGCTGGCGACCACAAACGACTTCTTGGCACGGTTCGGTTTGAGCTATGACACACGCTGGAGGGACTTTGGCATCGTATGGGTTTACATCTTGTTCAACATCGCAGCTGCACTAGGGCTTTACTGGGTCGTTCGGGTGCCCAAGAGCAAGCGCTCTAGAGTCAAGATAGGATCAAGTTGATGATATGCTATAGGACTATATGTACTGTAAGGTTCGATTAGAGAGTAAGAGAATTACGGCGTCGACGTATACGCGTTCACCGACGCGGTAACCCAGAGCTGGAGAGTGCAACTGGTTCCGTTACTAAATAAGTGATCCTGTTTGCGGGAATACCAATAAATCCGCGACTCTACTTTTGTGGCATCTGGAACGACTTCTGCCATGTTGCAGGTGTCCATGTTGTCCAAGCTTCCCCTTGTGGCTGAGCCAGCAACTTCTGCATAGAATTGTCTTGCTCAGAGGACGAACACAGAGGTGTGAGTGGCTCGATTTTAGCATTAGCCTCGTCCGCATTCTTATAGCCTTTTGGTCGTGCTTCCACATCATCTCGGCTCTCAAGCTCGTACTCCCACTCAAGGTGTGTGCCCATCGTTGTCTCAGCGCGATTTGAGAGCGTGTTCTGTGTTATGACATCTTTCAAACCACTGAACGGGTGATGTATGGTTCGAAGTAGGTCAAGAGCTGCTTTGTGGAGCTCGGACGAGCCACGATGAAAGAGGAAGAGGCTGTCATCCGACGATGAAGACAAGGGCACCGCGGAAGCCCCGCCGCCGACTAAGGAAGATTCATAGTCCCGAAGCCCACTCATGTGAGCTGCAAGAATATCCCGAAACCTTCCCGCAAGTGTATCTTTGATCGCACAGTACTCGAGAACACTGATGCATTTGCTCAACAACACCAAATCATAAGTAAACGGCTCGGAGTTTAGGGCCTTTTGCGAGGCTTTGTGGGCGATCATGATACCTGCTGTGTAGGAGGTGTAACTAAGATGTGGTGTCAGCTTCTTCCCAACCCATAGCATGCTCCTGACATACATGCAGAGCCAGCAAACTTGTACTATTTTGCCTTCCTGTAACATGAGATTCATAACAGAAGCGTTCGTTTCCGCGGCCTGGTATCCTTCCTCGATAGCTCTTCGTGCTTCTGATGGAAGACTTACTCCGCCAGCCGCGTTGAGCGGGATGTATGCTATCGTAAGCCGCCGTGAGAGCAGCATCATAGCTGACAGGTAGAACAGATGGACGTAGAATATCACCGGACGGAATATGGCCATGAGTTCAGTGTTTTCACCACCTAGCAGTGCCGCAACTGACATCCAATCAGGTAGTCGCGCATGGAATCTCGACAATTGCGCACGGTACTCAAGTATGGTGCTTTCAAGCACAGGTGCGTTTGTCGGCAAGCGACGAAGTAAGCTTGCCTTGATGATGGACACTTTGACGCATTCGCGACGAATCATGTCTTCTGGCGGAACGTCCAATTCATCTTGAGGTGAATGGGCATCGAGAACTAATGATTGCGAATCGTAGTCAAGTGAAGCGCTTAGCCAGCTGGTGTAAGAATCAGCGCTGTAATGAATAGTGTCAAATATGATGTCGGTACTGACCATTGCAAGTGAACAAGAGTCCTATGTGTGCGGCGGATGTCGTCGTAGTAGCCTGGAGACCAGCCCGGTGGACATTGTGCGAGACTGATTTTGTGATTACGAGGAAGACTTAGTCCAAGTTCTGGAAGATAATTAGCGGTAACATTTCTAATGGGGATATTTAGGTTCCGAATCATACCAATGTAAGCTAGAGCAACTGTGGCTTTGACGACGATATTATACATTCCAAGTAACGCGCATACTTTCATCGCTCGGAGCGGACTGTATGATATGGCAGAGTCTAGACCGTGCTTTGCGACTGCATAGAAGTAGTCAGCAAGTTCGGGTGGCGGTGCCGTTGCGGGATCAGCGAGTTGAGAATGTACGACGCCGATGGCTGCCTAAATGTAGATGTCTAAGTCAGTACATGTCTCACATCCAGTCCATACAGGGACATCTCTTACCATGCCTGCAAGCTCTGCGGCGTATGTGCGCAGCTGTGTCCTGCTTCCGTTGTTGAACATGTCTCCAAGCGGTGTGTGGCCATTCCCAGAAGCCTTCAGTGCCGTAATACTTATCTGAACATCGTCCCTGTTCATGATGTAGAAAAGCGCTCCCACGCAGTTGAAGAACATCTCCAGTGGGCCATTTATTTTGTCGACAGATGCGTCTTGTTGGTTTGGAGCAAGCAGAGCGATGCCTGTCACTCCGGCCTGCCCTGTTCGAACGGTCGAGAACTGGGGATGATTCATGATTTCTGGCATAGTGAGCAATGCCGAGGAAGAAGAGTCGTCCATTACAGATGATGAATTGGCCCCGCTGGCATTGGTTTCAGAAGTTGTTGCAGACACAGAAGACTCCAGATAGCTCATTTCGAAGTTCTTGAAGATGACACCCAGATCTTCACCTTGAGCAGCTCGCATGTATCGCAATAGTGCGGTAGCTTTATCGGGAGAGGTCGTCTGTAAATACCACACAACTTCATACAATGAGTTCTTGTCATTCTCCAATTCTTCGATCTTTCTTTTCTGGGCCTGAGCGAGCAATGTACCAGTCGGTGGATCGTATCTACATGATGAGTTTCTCTTCACGCAAGAACGACAAGCTGGTCTACCACCGTCGCACTGTCTGATATCAGCTGTTGATCTAGAAAAATATTGTCGACCTGAGAAATGAATTGGATGAAAGACCTTGGTTCTTCGGGCGCGACATGTGACGCAAGCTGCCGCTACTCTTGACGGGGTACGGTTAGCAACTCCCACTTTACTATTGCCAGCCGCGCCGGAATCTGAGTCTTGTGGACGTGGCGCTAAATCTCTGTAGGAAGACATTACGACGCTTCGAACTAACCACTAGTGCAAAGGCTTAGGTAGCAGTCTGACTTAAAAGCAATGACTTGGCGTTGATAGATCAGTCATGGTGATGTGGAAGGTCAAGCAATGCAAGGTTCGGGGGGGTGCAGCGACATGTTTGGGGCACACCTGAGAGACGAAAACGCCAGGGTTGGCGTGACCACTAGCCACATGACTTCAGCTATTGTGTGCATGCCAGCTTAATGGTTCACATCAACCACAATTCTTATGCGGAGTTATTTGGATCATACATCTATCGAAAGATGCCCCGACAGTCACGTTGTTCTGCAATCCCGTGCGTTTTGCCGAGAGAACGGCCGAAGTTGTGCCTAAGCTGCCGTTGGGGTCATAATCGAGGCCGTCGCACGCAACAAAAGAAACTTCAATAGACGTTTGCAAGCGCGATCCTGGCTGCCTCCGTACCTGTTCTTTGCACTAATGGTTTTTTGTAAACAGCTTTACTCGCACTACAAGCAGGAAGCGGCGCGATGCTGACGATGCGTGTAAGTACACGTGTTATCATGCGACACCTAGCGAATGTTCCACAACCCACGACAGCCGGCACAGCAGCAAAGCTCGACATCCAATGCTTCCCACAAACCCACAAACCACCTTCTGGAGCCATCATTGTTGTGAAACCGCGCAGCTGGAATATTGTCAGTGACTGTTTAAGGGTTGCAGTTTGGTTACCCGAACTACAATAACAATCAGGCATATGAGACATATTACACTCATCACTCTATCCATGCACGCAAGATCACGCAGTGGTCTAAAGCTCGAAGAGGCACATTGTGGGCACGGAATTATATCACCAGTGAGGGATCAACTCTGCCACCTCAAACGTTTTGTACACCCCGGCTGGTACTTCTCTGAGACTCACGAATAACTCCACTATCATATAACCTCTTGCTGCGGAGTACAAAAGCACGATGGGAGCAAGTAGCATGATTTCCCACATCAATGTAGGCTTAGCCTTGCGTTACTCTTGCTCGAAAGCATCTAGGCGATTGATCGTACCCTGGCGCGTGGAACCTTTGACGTTCTCTTCGTCTGCCCGTAACGCTTCTGGAGCTTTGTTGCCTGTAGCTGACACCACGGCCAGGACGCATGTCCCCTTCATAATGTCATGACTGCCCGAACGACAACTCCAACTTTGGAGTCGCAACACATTGAAGCCGCCAACATGGTCAAAGATGCAACACTCTCCCCCGCTTCCACCTCATCGGCTTCTAGCGACTACCCAATACTCCATAACAAGAAGGAGTCCGAACCATATTGGCCTATAATAGGAACAAAAGACGATATCCCAACATGGCTCCAAGATAACGACTTCATCATTGGTGGACATCCTATGCCGACTCATTCATACAAAAGGTCCTTTCGCCTCTGGCGTTGCCTTCATATGGAAACGATGAACATTTGGACTCATCTTCTAGGTCGTGCTGCATTTGTGGGGGCTGGCGTCACGTTGCACAGGTTTGCTATCTCGACCCGGCTCAATCTCACCACTGGCGACAAGTTTGCCTTTGGCATCTCTTTGAGCGCAGCAGCTCTGTGCTTTGGCCTCAGCACGACGTTCCATACACGGCGGAGTCACTCTTACAACGTCCACCATCTCTGGGGTCGTTTCGATATCTTCGGCATATGTCTGCTCGCTCTAGGAGGAGGATCGTCAGCCACCTATTATGCTGCTCGCTGTGATCCCGTGGCCCAGCGCGTATACTGGTGTCTCAATGGGGGTGCTGCTGTCGCTGCTGCTGTTGTATTGTTCGATACTAGCGGTGGCGGAAACAAGATGAGAACGCTTCGTGGAGGTACTTTTAGTGCGCTTGCGCTCACAGCAATGCTTCCGATCTTCCATGGCATCGGCAAGCTTGGATGGAATCGTGCGTGTGTTGAAATCGGCGCTCAGTGGTATCTTACTGAAGGATTGGCTTTACTGTCTGGGGTTTCGTGCTTTGTTGGTAGGCTACCAGAAAGACTCAGCCCCGGCTCGTTCGATATATGGGGCCACTCTCATCAGATACATCATATCTGCGCTGTCTTGGGTCAGGCTTTCCATACAGTCGCCCTTGTAACAGGTTATAAGTTCCGGAATGCGCATCCGACTTGTTGACCGAGAGCAATCGGGTAGACATCTGGGCAGTAATACGGTGGCAAACAGCGATATGGCGTGAATACGATGGTCGTATTGTCGGTGTCAACTATTCTTGATGTCAATGAACTAAGAGACCATCGTCAGAATATCGAGTTCCTCACATGTATATCTGCAAGCGTCCAACCAGCGCCAGCTTCGTATTGTCTTAAACATCCCTAGATTTCTATCTGCTATGCAAAGTGTTAACATGAACCGATATGTGCTTTGGGCACTCTTAAACTAGAGATTGGTAATGAAGTGTAGCCGGGAGAGGACCTTGGGGGTGATGGGCAAGACTAAGCGACGCGTTCCTCGCGACCGTTGCATCACCGATAGCCGCCTACGCAGCAGCTGTCAACCTTCAACCAATCGTCAGCCACCATGTCGGCCTCGACCGAGTCGAGCGCTACTAATGTAGACTCTCATACTGAGGATGCGCCCCGGGTTGAAGCGCTGTTTCTCATCAAATTCGACAAGAAAGTCGGGTACGTCATGCGCGTGCTGTAACGGAGCTATGCGCTGACCAGCTACAGCTACACAATTGCTTGGAAGCGCACGACATCACCAGATATTACCCTAGACAATGCCGTTGAATACAAATCGCTACCCTCGGGTCTACACTCGGTCCAGAATGACCTCGTTTACTTTACCCATGACGGCTATGCTGGGCTCAGCGCGTTCGCAAAGGGTGACGCGAGCGCAGAGGATCGCAACGCCACCTTCGTTTCCGTCGGCATACTAGTGAAGAAAGAAGGCAGATTCGGAAGACTGGGGAGAAGTTGGCTGCTTGCCGGTCGTTTGGAGAAGTTGGCTGCGTCCCTGGCGGACGACCCGGAGGCCGTGACGCCCCTGGACGAGTTCTGGCAGGACCAGGTCTCGAGACATGGCAAAGGAGAGACGTCGGATGACGGCGAGGCAAAGGGCCACAACAGGGCGCGCGCCATATCGACCGTGAGCGCTGTGATCAAAGACGAGGAGCGCCTCCCAGACTACCACCCAGCTCTGTCGATCCAGCGCTTCCTGGATATATTCGGGCCATTGGTCTTCCGGCTGCAGCAGGCCGCCCTGTTGAGAAAACGCATTCTCTTCGTTGGCGTCCCGCCGGTCAGGACTGCTTGCGAGTTCGGTATGTCTTGCAGATCCTCGCTGGACTTCTCTCAACTAACGTGTCAGCCTATAACCTCTCTGTCCTCTCTAGTATATCGCCCCGCGACACCGAACGGCTCGCACCAGAAACCGAAAACCTCCTGCGCCTACCCTCCCTTTTCTCCGTTGGCGTACACGACATCCCTCTTCTCGAAGACCTTTGCAACCCCAAACATGGCGCACACACACCGGGTCTTGAGCCGTCAGAGGGTTGGGTTGCGTGCACGACTGACGAGATCATCGCCACAAAGACCCAGTTATACGACATTATAGTCGAACTGCCACCCACATACGATGCGCCACCGCAAGAGCGACGCTGGCCACGGATACGGACCAGCGATGGCAGCCTGATCAAGGCCAGCCAGCGGGACGTTGCGCGCTACAAACTACTGCATAAGGAGCTCTTCAAACAGCGAAATAGATCGGAAACATCGCCCGAGCCATATACCGACGAAGAAAACGACGACACAGCGCCCCTATTGTCGCGTGACGAAGTTGACACGAAACGTGCCGACGACGACTTCAACGAAGCATACGACGACACGATGGTGGAGCCGACAACATGGTCAAGGCTTGCATACATGGGCTATATGTGGTGGGCTTCAGCTGGCGAGAGAGATGCATACACGACCGCGGAGCGGGAGACGGATCGAGAGCTGATTGGCGACCTCTCCGCGTACTCGCAGTCGTTGGAGACAGCAATAATCGCCTACTTCCATCGGCAATCCTCCCTACTCATACGGTCGCTATCGCAGATTATCGAAGCTGATACACACGGCGAGAGAGAAGAAGACGATAATGACAGCGGTGCAGTCATTGTCGATAGAGACGACCTGTCCCGGATGGGACTAGACACATGGTCAGAGGCCGACCGCGCCTTTGTGCAGGAGTTTGGCAGTCTATACTTTGGGCATACTGTTGGGGTCAAGGGTAGTGAGGTGGAATGTTGCGGTCTGAGGGTCCCTATCTTCTAGTTGAGCTGGAAGCGCTTAGCTAGCCACAAACCGGCTGGCTCCCGGTTATGTGAAGGGCATGAACGGTAAAGACAGACTGTTGTGGTGTACGTCAATGGAAGTTTACTTGTTGCGGACAATCCGCTTCATTGCATTAGTGTGCGTTTCTCTATGGATATGTGCCTGGAATACCCGCTGTCTGTCACACTCACAGGCTGAAAGAAATCGTCTGCAAACAGCATGTTTGCGGTTGTATATACTTCCCTAGTTTTATGCACACCTTGGTCATCATGCTTCGTGTGTCCGTGTAAAGCATCGAACGGTTCGTAAACAATTAATCCGGCTATGATGATTTGTCGGTTTGCAATAGCTCAGGCAGCCCGAAGTCGGACCCCGCAATTGAATGCACAGAGCGTGCGCAAGCGAATTCTGCGCCCCGCATCGTCATATGCAATCCCCAATGGTCGGCTTAGAGGCTTAGTATCACCGACCAAAGTTTTCTTTTGTTGTGAATCATACGATGAATCATACCTCTCGCTCTACTAATAGCCTGCCTCTGCGCTCTCTTCCTTCGTCTTCTCAATACCGAGAGAGTATTGACTCACCATAACACACACCCAGGATATCCTTTTGGCTCTCAACCTCTGTGGAGCGAAAGAACGAGAGACAACTGTCGAAAGTAGAGCCTTAGGGAACTCACTGATTTAATCTCCAACAAAATGCCTATGCTCAAGGAGCCTTGGAAGAAATACCATCCTTTCAAGCCATTGAACCTGCCAGACAGAACATGGCCTAACAAGACAATCGAGAAGCCACCGCGATGGCTGTCAACTGACCTGAGAGACGGCAACCAAAGTTTAGTAGATCCCATGGTAAGTACTATTCTCTTAGCAGAGTTGCTCTAGTACCAGAAGTTGACACGGACCTCAGGATGGCGCGCAAAAATGGGACTACTTCAACATGCTCGTTAAGCTCGGCTACAAGGAAATCGAAGTCTCGTTCCCGTCTGCGTCGCAAACAGACTTCGACTTCACACAACGTCTCATCCAAACACCCGGTATAGTACCAGACGATGTATGGATCCAGGTCCTCTCACCATGTCGCAAAGAGCTCATCCGCCGCACCGTCGATTCCCTCAAGGGCGCGCGCAAGGCCATCCTCCACCTGTACCTCGCGACCAGCCCGTGTTTTCAGCAGATCGTTTTTAACATGAACGATGATGAGACAATCGCCCTCGCGGTCGAATGCACAAAGTACGCGCGATCGATAACCAAGGATGACCCTGCGCAAGCCGGCACAGAGTGGGCATATGAGTTCTCGCCCGAGACCTTCTCAGATTCATCCCCAGAGTTCGTCATCAAGGTCTGCGAGGCTGTCAAGGCGGCCTGGGAACCGAGTGTAGAGAACCCGCTTATCTTCAACCTGCCAGCCACCGTAGAGATGTCCACACCGAACGTCTACGCTGATCAGATCGAGTACTTCTGCAAGAACATTTCCGAGAGGGAGAAGATTTGCGTCTCTCTGCACCCACACAACGACCGAGGATGCGCAGTAGCGGCAGCGGAACTGGCACAGATGGCTGGCGCAGACCGAGTAGAAGGCACGCTGTTTGGCAACGGAGAGCGTACAGGAAACGTCGATCTCGTAACTCTGGGCCTGAACTTGTACACACAGGGCATACACCCAAACATTGATTTCTCCGACCTGAAGTCGATCATCGATATGGTGGAGAGCTGCAACAAGATTCCGATTCACCCGCGCGCACCATACGGAGGTCAGCTTGTTGTGTGCGCCTTCAGTGGCTCACATCAAGACGCGATCAAGAAAGGTTTCCAGATGCGCAAGAAGAACGGCGCGACCAACGAGAGCCGATGGCAGATCCCATACCTGCCCCTCGACCCGCAAGATATCGGCCGCACCTACGAAGCCATCATTCGCGTCAACTCGCAGAGTGGAAAGGGAGGAATCGCCTGGATCATTCAGCGTCAGCTCGAACTCGACCTTCCCCGCGGCCTCCAAATCGCCTTCTCCAAGATCGTGCAAAAGGAAACAGACATGCTCGGCCGCGAGCTCCTACCTACCGAGATTACCAACCTCTTCGAGGAAGCCTATCACCTCAGGCGCAACCCTCGTTTCTCCCTGGTCGACTACGAGATCAAGGCCGATCGTTCAGAGACACCTCTACCTCCACAAGACGGCCGAACAGCGAGCAGCCGCAACCTGCGCCGCATCTTCAATGGTGTCATTGAAATTGATGGTCAGGAACACAAGATCCAGGGATCGGGTACTGGTGCGTTGTCGTCGCTGGCCGATGCACTGAGGAGTCTGGGCATCGACCTGGACGTTGTAGACTACAACGAGCACACCATCGGTACAAGCAAAGATGCAAAGGCCGCAACCTACATCGGTTGCACAGCTGCACAGAGCAGTCAGAAGGTTTGGGGTGTCGGTATTCACCAGGACGTGGTTCAGGCTTCTCTCATCGCCATGCTGAGCGCCGCTTCCTCAGTAAGTCGCACTTATTCTCTCAGTAAAGCTCTTCGGCTAACACACTGCAGTTCCTGTCGTCAAGACCTACGACACCCATTCCCTTCCGTCCCAAGCGGTCGAATACGCTCGAGATCCCCAGCCCTGAGTCGAGTCCTCTCCGAAACGACAAGCAAGAGGGTAGCACAATAGTGGACAAGCTTGAGGCTGCTGTCAATGGCGAACAAGCAGACGTGAAGAGTGCGGGCGTGTGAGCCCCATGAGCCTTCTGCATGTTTCAAAGTTCAAGCTTTACCTTCACGTGTATCGTATATAGCATTTGGGATTCAAAAAGGTCGGGAAATTGGTGTCCAAAAAGTGCTACATAGGTGGAATGACGGATCTGATCAGAATGAGCCATCTTCATGTATTCTAACGGCTTGCGGTATGTGACAAGATATGAGCATTCTACATCTGCGTACAGCTTGCCAACCAGAGGCTTTTGTGGTATATTTCTTGAACCAAGGGCTCCTGGCCTACCACGAGACACGTCCGATATCGGCCCATACCCTTTCTACCACGCTTATCACCGGCTCATGAATACGCACAAGTGGATACCTCTTAGTTCTACTCCGTGAAGGTACCCCGACATGCAAGTGGCATATCGCGGACCGAACTACATCTACAACTCCGATCCGTATCGCCATATCAGTACATACCCGAAAGGGCCCCTTGCTCAGCAGACTGTCTCTTTTCTCAAAGGAAACCCCTCTTATCACCATCATGGCAGCAAACGACCGCACCAACATCCCCCCAGCTCCAGCCTACTTCCCCACCTCTGCGGATTCCCCCCTGCACCCCCCAGCCGCCCTCTACACCTCTCTGCGCAGTCTCACTCCAGATAGAGACCTAGTAAAAACCCAAGACTTTGTCGTCCCACCCCGTAGCGGAAAAGCCTGGACTGTTCCTGCAGGCGCACTATTCCGCCTTTCCACTCCAGAAGGCCCGCAAGTAGGCGACCTGAATGTTTGGAATCAGCATGACCCCCGAGAGCGGTTCTGGGCTAGCAGGACGAGGCAGTTGCAGGGTAGTCATGTGGTGCAGGGGGATAGACTCTGGAGTAATCTCCCGTTTATGAGACCGCTTTGTGGGCTTGTGGAGGATGGGTGTGAGATTAGAGATTCAGATGGGAAGGGGAATGGGAGCGGAAGGGAGAGCAGTAGGGATGAAAGGGGTGGGATTACGAAGTGGGGTGGGAGGTGTAACGATCTTTTGGGGACGAGGTGTGATCCGTATGGTATGTTACTTTTTGAGGCGGGTTGTAAGGGACTGTTTTGCAGTGTATTCTTCAAATTCCATCTGCGCAGGTGCAGATGTGCAAGAGTGATTTCACTAACACTATCTGCAGTTGGAAACGTGCTCACAGGCGCCTCCTACGACTACCATTGCCACTCTAATCTCGTTCGTTCTGTTCTTCCCTATGGCCTGACAGAGTTCGACGTACATGATGTACTCAATGTCTTCCAAGTCACGGGACTAGATTCTCAAGGCCGTTACTTCATGGAAGCCAGTCCTGCGACGAAAGATAGTTTCCTGACATTCTTCGCGGAGCAGGACTTGCTGTGTGCGTTGAGCACATGTCCAGGTGGAGATTTGAGCCGCTGGGGCTGGACTCAGGCGGAGGAGGCAAGTGGGGGTAAAGAGAAGAAAGAGGGAGAGGACGACGAAGGGATGAAGAGCACATGTCGACCCATTAGAGTGGAGGTGTACGAAATCAAGGAAGAGGTCAAGGAGAAGGTGTTGAAAGGGTGGAAGAAGCCGGAGAAGAGTGGGTATAGAGGAATGCATGGGATGGGTATCCCCTCTGGCGAAGCCTAGTCCATCCTACAGCCACTACAACTTGTTACTTCCATGGATCTTTCCACCATCAAGCACAATCGTATCCCCGTTAACATGCCCACCAGCCCTACTACTCAAATACACAACCGCAGCAGCGATATCCTCTGGTTTTCCCACCCGTCCATTGGGATTGCTCTTCCCTAGCGCTTCCTCGCCACCTGCTCTCTCCATCAATACGCCCGCCATCTTACTCATGAAAAATCCGGGCGCGATTCCATTAACGAGAATGTGTTTGGGCCCTAGTTCAACAGCGAGGTTACGTGCAAGATGCAGGACTGCAGCTTTGGAAGCAGCATACGACCAGGCACCTGTTTCGCCGAGAGAACCAGTGCCAATTCCTGCTACACTGCCTGTTACAATGACGCGCGAGGGGTCTTGGATTGATGCGGATTTTGTGAGCAGAGGTGTGAATCTATGTTCCGTCAGCCCCTTCATCCCTTCAGTTCAAGTCTTCCCCCGTGTGTCGAGGTAATGGAGGCAAGGAGAGAACTCACTTCTGTATGGTAAAAAACACGCCCTTGACGTTGAGATCCATAACCCTATCCCACCCATTCTTTTCATCCGTCTCTTCAAACTTGCTGCCCCACGTAGCTCCAGCATTCGCAAAGAGTATGTCCACGTGATCGGTGTGTTTGCTAACTTCTTGCACTAGACGCTCGATTTCAGAGATCTTGGAGCTATCCGCGGGGATGGAATAGGCTTGGGCTCCAGGTTCTTTGTTGGGAAGTGCATTGAGAGCTGCGACGGCAGCGTTGCAGGCGTCGGCTTTGCGCGAAGTGATGAATATTTTGGAACAGCCAGCTTGGAGGAGGCTGGCATGGGGTTAGTGAAGCGAATTCGGGAGATGGTAGATGCAAATAGTTTACCCAGATGCTGCGTGTAGACCAAGACCTCGTGATCCACCGCTCACGACTGCGACTTTGCCTTTCAGGCTGAAGATGTTGGAGAAGTCGTGCAATTGCACATCTTGTTGCGCGGATGCCATGCTTGTGTTAATCGAGCGTTGAGGGCTTGGCGATGGAAGAATGATGCTTGCACCAAGTGTGCTTCTATATGGAGATGCTCGTGGGTTAGAAGATCGATTAGTCGTGGATTAGTATTGTCTTTATCGTGACCTCGGTGCTGACGTTGTCATACGAAGCTGCATCAATGCTTAGGTTATGTACCGAGGCTGTGGCTTGCGCTAACCCTGGTATGAGGGGTAGCGGGTTGTATACACCTGCACGTTGTGGGAAGAACCGATTTCGAGAAAGGAGTTGCTTGACCAATATTTAAAAATGTCATTGTAGATATATGCGCAACAGTATGTGGTCAACCAGAGGTCTACATGTTACCATTTTGTGTTAATTTCTGGTGGAAGGCTTACCCACCCCTTCTACGCTTCGTTGTGGTTTGCAGTGGTTAGGAATCTACAACAAGCTACAATCATGTACAGCTCTACAGCAGGAAGTCCATTTTGCCTGTTACCTGGGGTTTAGTTAAGGTTGCCGGCCCTTAGTATGCAAATTGGGGACGCTGGAGTGAGACATGTCTCGCCTTGCGAAACCACGACATCGCGCTCTAGTGTCAAGCGAATTGAGTGCTGCCGATTTGTTAAGACGCGGCACTTGGGCGAGGATGCCGATGAGTCGTGCCTGCCTCTGCCGGTAGAGGTGAACACCGGCAACGTGGACCGCGGGTGGGATGGAAGGCGCGAAGAACTTGACGCGCTTCCAACATCACCGCCCATCACCAAGAGGGCTGCGGATATTGCAGGAACAACACCGTGAATCCTTCAAATGATCATCCTGTCGAAGGATGCTGTTCTCGCTCTCTTCGCCGACCTGGGATAATTTGCCGTGAGATGGACGCGTTGTCACATCGCCACTTCTACCCCAACGCGACTCCGAATCACGCACATCTCCATCTGGCCGCCAGCGACAAGCTTTTCTCCTACTCTAAGCGCTTGAGAGATTTTCTGCATAAGATCCTACTTGGGACTGACATGTGCTGATCGTTGTGGTTGGAAACCGCCAGGTGAAAGATCGTCGGCGAAATTTCAGCCTACCTCCAACGGCGCCTTATCGGAGGGCCGATCTCATGTCAAACTCGGGTTGCAGAACTCAACTTCGGGTCCGCCAAGACATATTCGGTCCATTTTCGCAGATGACCGGCTTCACAACACGCTACTTACCCTGTCATCCCAGTCGCGTTTCTCGAAATCCCATCGGCTGCCTTCCTTTGACGGAAGCTACCGACCCGCCAGGGGGCCGCGCAATCATAGATGATCAACGAGCGATCACACTTGTAGATCTTTTCACCTCTATCTACTCCCACCAAGTCTTTTCCAACGGCGAAGGCACACGACTATGCAGACAGAGAGGACAGCATCGAATCGATACTTGACAGCAGATTTCGTATGTCATACTCGGCGTTTCCCGCTCCACGCGACATGTGCAACGACGCACAGGTTATAAAAAGATCAAAACTCCGAGTCGCAGGCCCAAATCGTGCATACAGTAGAAGCATTTTGTGGGTCTTCATGTTGGCGTGCACGGCCAGATCGACATACTCAACAGATGTTATAGACCACTAAGATTGGTGCTCGCTCGTGCGGATGCTATGACGTTCCCTGCCGTGCATTAGAAACATGGCAACTTTCTTGAGACGCCCGTCGAAAGCCTCATAAGGCACCGATCCGGGCTTGCTATCCGGCTGTCAGTTTCAGGTGGCGAGGGTCAACGCCGTGGTCTAGACAAGCGGTTCGGCAGTTGGAAGTAAATTTCCACCCGCCTTGACCTGGTTTCTGGTCACCTCGGCTTCGCATAGCTTTTCACCTTGCATTTAACTGGTCGGAACGCTCCCGACGCCAAGCATAGAATAACCAGAAGGACAGTCTAGCGATATGCTGGCCTTGTCTGTGGGGCTTCCGCGACGGGCGCGGACACGCGCTGCAACGTGGGGAACCACGTTTTGCAAGCAGCCGTGCCACACCTGTTGACGGGCGTGGCAAGGTCAGGGATAATATCCGGCGAGACGGGCAGAACAACTCTCGGAACAGTGTCCTGAACAAGGAAGTGTTGCCTCAACGCCTTTATGATCCTGGTACGAATAATCTTGTTCCTCGTGACATCAGTGTAAGAATTACGTAGGTCGAATGTAGGAACAAATCGGAGTCCATACGGCACTTGGTGTGGCTGTGGCTTGCCGTGCACGGTGAATCCACCGCTTAACGTGCTGTGGCTGAGCTGGTCTGGCTACAGTATCCGTGGACCCTACTAGGCCGGTCGGAAGTAATCGCTAGTGAACCACCATCACGGTGTTTCCCATCCGCTTGACGAGCGAAAAAAAAAGAAACATCGTTTTGCGCCTCTTTCGCCTCGTTTTTTCGTAGGCCAGAGCAGTTCAACCGAGTAAGCCTCGCACTGCAGACTCGGAATCCCGTGTGCTTTCGCCATGACTACAGGCGTTAGCGAAGGGCCTTTCTTCGATGCCACATGCAGGTAGACCCCTGTATGAATCTCGCCGAAAAGGTATGCCTTGGACGTTTTGGGTGAAGCCATGTGGACCGTCTGGCATTTAGGCACGAACCGATCATCTTCTGGAACATAAGGCTTCATCAGAGCCGGACAAGCTGTCATGGAAGACTAACCATCCGGATCTACGTCCGAGCCTACTAACGGAGCTAACAACCCGTGTAGGATTCGAACTAGAATTTCGCTTCATCTCATTTCAGTCGAAGCAGCATCTTCAGCTATACGCCGTTTGCGGAGCCATTAGGCACTACTCACGAGACACAAAAGAATAGCGGTGCACGACCTCTATCGGCCCACTGGTTGACGGGAGCCAAACGGCATATCTGGGCATCTGTGGCACTGCCGACCTGCAATAAACTTTGCTCCTTCCGTACACCGGTATGTCAAATGCACGAAAAGCCTTTTCACCGTTGTTGTTGAACAAGCTTTGCTAAATTACCCTACTTTCCCAGGGTACGGCGAAGTCCTGTACAGGGTCTCCGAAGTTCCTTTTCATCACAGCGCATCGCCAAGTCGACACGTGCTTTGAACGAAGTACCTTCGCCAATCCCCTGCGTCGCTCATAGCACTCATCCGAGATCGAAACGTGGCGACTGGACAAGGTCCTTCTACCACTTTACCAGAAGGCCCTGCTAGACGACCATCACTGCAACTGGGCACTGAGCTGATCAGTGCAGCATTACGACTAGCAGACTCGCCCCATACAACAGCCCCGAATTACCCAGCGTTCCCTCCTTCGGATCTTTTCCGAGATTTAATATTGTTCCCTAGATCCTTGCCGTCTCCCGAAGTGTCCCTCATTTCCTCGCAGCGGTGGATCTTCAATCATCACACACCACTTTGCAGTCCATTCCAGTCAGCCTAGTCATTGATTTTGACCTAAAGCTGTGGCATATCGGCCACTCAGCCGAGCGGCTGGCTGACAACACTCATTCAAGCGACACGGAACACCTGACTATCGCACTTCCGGCTTGCATGCCCGAATAACTCAATCTACCCAATCTATCGGTCGCTTGCACGACTTCTCCACTCTGGACGAGGCTCCATTAGTCATCTTGTCCATTCACAAATTCTCGCCTTCCGCAATTTGCATCACGCCAAGGCAGCATGATGTGTTGATGACTGGTTTCCATTGGCTGATCACGTCTACCTGGTGCTACGAGCTGTTCACACGGTTGATCCACTCGCAGTAGTTTGGTGTTCGGCTACTACCGAAACCACCTACTCCTTCCCCACAACCACGTTATCTCGACTGTAGTTCCTTTTCCACGTGGAAAGTTCGACTCTCAACTCGGCCTTCTTCGAGCGCTTTGACTACCTGTCAACATGCGCAAAACCCCACCAGGTTCAAGCGGGCAGTCACCACGGACCATGATACCTCCACCTAGTCCATTCGCGATTGCACATCCGGTTGCTCGCACGACTACTCTAACTGCACCTACCGTCCCGCAGTTTGGCTCCAGGTCTCCGGGATACTCGTCGAACTCCCACAGTCACTCCACTTCACCGAGCACTGCACCTGGAAGCCTACCAGACCAGAGTCACGATGGCGCTGGCGTGAGGATATCTCCTACTCAGATATCGTCCACGAACCTGAATGCGCAGAAACGTGCATATAGGCAACGACGAAAAGACCCCTCATGCGATGCTTGTCGAGAACGCAAAGTCAAGGTAAGAAGATAACACGGAGAGAGTTCATACGTTCATGAGAAGCAAGTTTCGTCCAGCAATTCCTCAGTGATGCAACCGGAAACGATCAAGTGAGACTGTGGAAAAGATGACCAGGTATTGGCCACCTAGACGACTATCTTCCGCTTTAGTCGCTGGAAACAAGCGTGCACTTGACTGCGTCCGAGGTTTGCCGAGACTAAACACTTCCATGAGCGAATTCAGGACAGTAGATTGGGGATCAAGGTAGCATGTAGCTGACGATTACAACAGTGCGATGCAACGGAGACTTCGGCTTGTTCAGAATGTTCGAGCCGTAACCACAGATGTCAATTCACGAAGGAGACCAACCGCCGGATGTCATCAATCAAGTACGTAGTCATGATGGATTACAGCCAGATAAACAATCGCTGACTTGCATAGACAGGTTCAGGATCTTCAGAGTCAAATAGCCGAGTTAACTCATGTGAACTCTCAGCTACGAACAAAGGTGTCGGATAAGGACCCCTTGGATATCGAACGAGCAGATATGAAGCGCAGACTCTCAGAAGCACACACTGGCGCATTACCGGGATCACGCCAGATACCCTTCCCAACCCTGAATAATTTCGACCACGTCCGCAGCAACATCAGAACGAATTCCAAAGGCGTGTTTTCTACGCCACATCAGACACCTAGCAGCGCCGTGGTTTCAAACTGGCGCTTACCTGAAATACCAGTACGCGCAAACTTTGCGTACCTCGTCCGTTCTTACCTCGAGACAACACACGAATGGTATCCCGCAATCCACTGGCCCACGTTTCAGCGTGAGGTGGACGAAGTTTATACATCAAAGACATTCGAAGGCTGTTCTCGTGAATGGATTGGTCTGTTCTTTGCGGTACTGGCTTGTGGTGCTTTGCAGGCTGGAACTGAACACATGAATCCTGTCACCTCAGCGTCAAGAGGACAAACGATGTACGAGACCGCAATTGCTGCTTTGCAACCCTGGCCGCAGGATTCATCAGTCACCTATGCTCAAGCAACACTCTTGTTGAGCATATACGCCACTGAAAGCAACATGCGTTCCGTGGGCTCTATGTGGCTCGCTTCTGCTGCGCGTATGGCTCAAGACCTAGAAATCAGCCCTGAGGTCGATTGCTGGCCCGTCGTCGATGGCGAGATTCGACGTAGGCTTTGGTGGGCCATCTATGTTCGTGATAGGTACGAGGACTTTCTTTCGCGTTTCTCTGATGCCCATAGCTAACATCGATGAAGGATCACCTCTCTTGAAACTAACAAAGCTATGATCATCAATGAGAGCGATTGTGAGATTTCTCTACCATCTTCGCTAGAAGATCGCTACATTCAGCCCAACAGTACGTTCCGCTCAATGGCAAAACCAGCTCACTTTACTGGCTTTGTGGCCAATATACACATCACGCGCCTATACGCGCCATTACACCGGGTCCTAAGATCGAACGTCATCCTACCCCAGACTCTACAAACCTTTGATGAGGAGCTCCGATTAAAGCTGCTACTCCTTCCCGAGGCCTTCCAGCCATATTCTAGTGCATTGTTCGATGCAACGGCACTGCCTACAGTCTTTTGCTTGTTGTCCGCTCGCTTCCATATGTATCGGCGCAACCTCACTCCATTATCGGGCCTAGCCGAGCGTAAAAATGCTTTGAAGCGCTGCATTTCCGTATCTCAAGATACCGCAAAGTACGTATCGAGAGCTTTGCATAATCCTTCGAAACAAGATTCAGGAAGAAGTTGGGAAGAGAGAGTGGCATTAATAGCAAGCAACACATTGTGTTTGCACTTGTGGAGATGTATACTTATGCTTTGCTTCCGTAGCGAGTACGAAGCTGCGTTAGTGTGCTTGCATCTCTCGAGGGCCATCGGTAGTGTGCGGAAGATCAATAAGGCATGTGGAAAGAATATAGTATTCTTTTTGGAAAGAATGTTTGATCGCGTACGCAATGGCCAGACAAGCAGTCATCAACTCGAACAGGATGAGGAAATGATTGCGTACGTCAGTGCGGACGCTCAAAGCAACCTTCAACATTCATGGGTTTGGATTGGCGACAACTTGACCTCTTCGAGCTCGACGCAAGAGCCGACTCCAAGCACCGTACGATCACCAGGCGGCGACGAACCGATGCGAGACGCACCACCCTTACGAACATCATCTGTTTCACCGATGAACGGTACCGCAGAACCAGACGACTGGGCTCAGGCAGAACGAATGATGAGACAGTTGATGGACGAGCACCTCCACCGATCTACGCAGCCACCAGCCTATTATCCTCCGCCGCATAATCCCGTCAAGCGCGTACAATTAGCAACCGATGCACTTTCACCGCCGAAATCCACACCGAACCCAAACCCTACACCGTCAGGCACAAGTCGCATCAGCATTGCGAATATTATATAAAGCAGGAAGAGATGTCGTAGAACATTTACGATGCATAATAGGTCCTATGTGAACGCTCATGGAGGCAAAGGATTTCATCACGACAGGAGAAGATCTGAGGCGTCGGCCTGAGGCGTCGACCTCATGCATCGGACACTATGCGGCCACCGTATATCCTCAAAGTACGGCAACACGGTCGCCAAGTCTCAAGCGTGGTGCATCCGTTCTAGCCATCCAAGCCCTCGGGTCGCTGCCTTGTCAGCACGCTCGGCATAAGCAACAATGCTTTGACAGCTAGCATTTCAGTTCTACTCGAGCAAACTACGCTGCCAATTCTCAGACGAGCGGAATTGTGAACACGCCGCTATGATTTGACGCATGTGCCTACACTCCAGCTATGGTTCATTGACAAACTTGAGCGCTCTGCATTTCTATGGAGTTTAAACACATTGGCGAATCAGTAATACCGAAAGGCGTAATACTTTTATTCTGAAGGGATCTACGTGTATGCGATCATGCAAGCTATCTCATGAAATACTTATGCTTTCCGTTACATGGCACTCTATGCAGTCAACAATGCCATCACACAGCATACTCACTTGGCTCAGCACTAGTGATAATAGTTACCTATGGAAATCTTGGGGATCTCACTTCGGCGCACCTAGGTTCGCGCCGCGGCTTACCCGCAGCCTTAACTTTGAGCTGCGGATAATACACATCCGAATAATGTCCAGCAAGAAAACTTGGTTGTTACCAGCACCGAAGTTGTGTGCGTAGATGTAGATATAACTTGCGCTGACACTGTGCGTGCTACACGAACGCCCTGCTGCATAGGACTTCTCGTCAATTAGGAATACACCGCAATGGCTTAGTTGATACCCGTGATATTCAGCGCACATCTTTTCAGCTCCAACAGTCGTGAAATGTTACAGCGGGGCGAACATCCAGACACGCCCGGGCAGATCGTACCTGGCAATACCCAGTCTAGACCCCCGCTGTTAGCTCCCTCGAGAAAGCGTTAACCCATCTCCCAGACCAGGATAGTAAGCCCAAAGCGGTAAAGAAACTATTGGCTGCTAGTTAGACAAGCTTCGCTGGTCAAATGCTTAGCGAAACGCGTTGTACCCCGCTATGACATATGTCTCTCGAATGAGCACCTTGGACGCGCAACCGTGCTCATCTTCACTTGTCTTACGCCCAGGTCAAACGGCTCATGCAGAGCAAATTGTGGAAGGATTGGATCAGGCGATCAGGATTATGAGTGATTGACGTAAGCGTCGTGGAGCGTTAGCTTGCAGGAGGGGAAGTCGGACGTGCGTCGTATGCAGCATGTGCCATGGTGGGGTGGCATGATGAGTTGGAACGCGGGCGGCGTGTTTACGCTGCATGCTAGGCGCAGCAAGAGCTCGTGAGTGATATAAGCTTGCTGATTCCGCGGCGTACTTCGTGTTAGGTTTCTTGCTCGCAGCTTCCTCCGTCCTCTCTTCCTCAACCTTCTCTCGTACCCCAAAGACCACACTTCACAACCGTCCAATATGGTACACATCAACCGAGTAGCAACTCATAAGGAGATTTCCGAGGAGCAAAGTCAATTCGAAGCCATTGATGCCACTACCTCCATCAGCCTGACGCCGGACGATAAGGCGGACGACTTCACTGCTACGGTGTATGGTAGCAAGTATGCTGCTGAAGACTTGCCGAGATACGAGATGCCGGTGAGTCCGCCAATGTATGCGTATCTGTACCGCAAGCTAAGCAGAACCAGGATCAGGAAATGCCGCCACATGTGTAAGTATAATGCTGCTTGGAGTTTCATACTTTGAGAGCGATACAGTATTCGTGATGTGTTGATGGCGACACTATTACTGACTACATACCAGTGCCTACCGCATGATCAAAGACGACCTTACGCTCGACGGTACTCCCACGCTGAACTTGGCTTCATTCGTAACAACCTACATGGTATGATCCCTCGGTTTTACGCCTGTATGACAAGCACTAACATGTATACAGGAAGAAGAAGCCGAGAAGCTCATGGTGTATGTCCAATCGAGTAGCGTCCTCTGACCATCCGAATAACCGTATCTTCCAGCGACGCCTTCTCGAAGAACTTCATCGATTACGAAGAGTACCCTGTCAGCGCCGATATTCAGAACCGTGCGTATGCAATATAAGTTGGAAGCATTGGACATGTTCGCTGAATAACGGACAGGATGTGTTTCGATGATCGCGAGACTATTCAACGCACCCAACCATGAAGATGCGAACACGATCGGTACATCTACCATTGGATCTTCCGAGGCCATTATGGTCAGTGCACACAGTGGCATAATTTTGGATGTTCTCAAACTGACAGGGCATAGTTGGGAGTATTGGCCCAGAAGAAGCTTTGGCAAAACAAGCGCAAGGCTGCGGGCAAGCCCTACGACAAGCCCAACATGATCATGAACTCGGCCGTACAAGTTTGCTGGGAGGTACGTATTCCATCGTCTTGCTTTGTCAGGCACGTCAAAAAACACGAGGGTACTGACTGTATGCAGAAAGCATGCCGATACTTCGACGTCGAGGAGAGATACGTGTACTGCACAACTGACCGCTATGTGATCGACCCTAAGGAATGTGTGGACCTCATCGATGAGAACACCATCGGCATTTGTAGTGCTCCCAACATCCACAACGCCACAGCATGCTAATCTCAACAGGCGCCATCCTAGGAACGACCTACACCGGCGAATACGAAGATATCAAAGCCATCAACGACCTTCTCGTAGAACGCGACATCGACGTAGACATCCACGTCGACGCCGCATCTGGCGGATTCGTCGCTCCCTTTGTTAACCCTGGTTTACTCTGGGACTTCCGTCTTCCCAGAGTTACCTCCATCAACGTCTCTGGCCACAAGTACGGACTCGTGTACCCCGGTGTCGGCTGGGTCGTATGGCGCGACCCCAAGTATCTGCCTCAAGAACTCGTCTTCAACATCAACTACCTCGGTGCTGATCAGGCGTCTTTCACTCTTAACTTCTCCCGCGGAGCATCGCAGATCATTGGACAGTACTACCAGCTTATTCGTCTGGGTAAGCGCGGATACAGGAAGATCATGCTGAACTTGACACGTACTGCCGACTACCTGGCTGCGAACCTCGAGGCCATGGGATTTGTTATCATGAGTCAAAGGAGTGGTGCTGGACTTCCTCTTGTTGCTTGCCGGATCGACGAGGATCTCGGCAAGCATTACGATGAGTTCGCTATGTGAGTTTGCTCGAAGTTTTCCGCAAGGAGTCGACTAATGTGTGCAGTGCTCATCAACTCCGCGAGCGTGGATGGGTCGTCCCCGCCTACACAATGGCGCCTCACTCTGAGAAGATGAAGATGTTGCGTATCGTCGTGCGCGAGGATTTCACCAAGTCTCGTTGCGACGCACTGCTCGCCGACTTCAAGCTTGCGCTGGAGACGCTGGACAAGCTCGATGCGAAGAAAATTGAGGAACAAAGGCAGCATTCGTTCGCCATGCGTCGTCGCTCAACCATCGTCAGCCCTATCTACAAGAAGAGGGCCACGGACCACTTCAACGAGGACCACAGTCTCCAGGCGAAGAGTGGAAAGACTCATGCTGTCTGCTAAGCGTGGGGGGTATATTTACTCACGAGTCTTTGAAGAGGGGAGAGAGAATATGAGGTTTCGCAATACATAGATCCCACGAATGAACAAATCATGACCATGATCTGAGAAGATGTACCGTTCCATACATGTCGAGCAGCCTTGAATCGCTCATTTCCACCATTTTGATCTCCTCGGCAAGCGTGATAAGCCAACTTGATACCCCTCATTTCCTCAACAATAACTCAATGCTTGTATCAGACTTTCTTCCTATGCAAGCTCGGTTTCTATGCTCGAAAGTGCTTCCCGCGTTGTTACACGTCGTCTTTCAGTAAGCGCATACTCGAATGCGATTCAGAATCATGCTGTGACTGGCTGCTCTAATCTGGGCGAGATGAAAGTGTCGTCTTCGCAGCCGAGCTTAGAGGGTGAGATCACTGTACGAGGTAGCATCCTGGGGAACACCCGCTTGGTGCAGCCACTTTCTTTATTTGATTATTCTCCACGTACGTAGCACTTCTGATAGCTTTTCAATATCTTGCGTCTCGCCAGGAAAGAGTGCACCATTCAACCTTTGCCACTCCTCTTTGACTCGCTCAATCTCCGACTCAAAATCGTTTCGGCGCTTAAAAGGCAACAAGGCCCATACGACCAGGTCAGGATCACGAACTTTCTTCGTGTCTGTGATTTCCAGAGTCGTAATGAGCTGGTTGAATACTCGACGTGTAGTGACCGAAGCCTGTATTGACCAACGTGGCGTGGTATCTCTCGCATTAGGAAGACGGTCCAAAACTTGTTTGAGCCGTGCAGCCCAATTCTCTTCACTCTTGTCCCCCACGAATACTAGTAACCGGCTCTTAAATGCACCTTTGCTATCGAACAGCTGTACATCTGGTAATATCGGTAGCTGGAGGGCAAAATTGATCTGAGACCCGGCGCGGTATTCGAAACTCAATAAAGTTTGTTCTTTTATCTCTGTCATGAGTCCCGGATGTGCTGCACAGCGGCCTAAGTTAGGAATACTTGGAAGTTGTAGTACCATGTTGCTCGGTGACCATGTAGAATCCTTGTGATCTGCACTTAAAAAGTGCCAATCGTCCTGATCAGTTTTAATTCGAATCCTGATACTCCTGTAGTCTTCGATGTTCTTGTCCTTCAGGGATTTTTGATGGAGGGATAACCAGTGCGACCTGTCGACCCAAAGCTGCTTGACATGCGCGTCGCTTATAGTATTGAAGCTGACAAGAAACGTAAATACGCATTTGCCAGGACCGATACGTTGGTATCGACTGCCACCATTCCAGGATTGAAGCAAGATAGCTAACAAATGGTATGGTCGATCAGCGTAGAAACATGGAAGGAGTCCGATCTGATATGTTGCAGAGTGTACCTTCAAATGTACAAGTGGCATGTTCATGCGCCACGCGCCGTTGAGTTTGATCAGATCGCTCCCAAGACCATGTTTACTGTGGAAGATAATTCTTCCACAATAACGGAAAGAATCAGGGTCTTTCACAAACAAGCCATCATGAGAGACCTCTATGCAGCTTTCATCTAGATGAAAGCCGTGATCCTGGTCCATTTGGTCCATCTGGGATTTTCGACTCTCGCTTTTCTTCGAAGTTTCAGATGAAAATTCCAACGAAGCGCTTGATTGAGGACTGTCGTCAACATCTGCCGAACTACGTTTAGTCTGTTCACAGATCTCTGAGAGCGTCCTTGGTACGCAGTGCCATGCGAACAACGTCTGGTCATTGTTGTCTTGCAAAATTGCCTCTTGCAAACGCATGAACGCGCCAGAGCCCTCTCCATACTGCATTGCCATATATGCGCCCATGATTCCAAGTAAACTGTAAGCTCGATCTTCAGTTCTTCTGGCTTCACGGCCTGCCGCCCAGGATAAGCGTTGTGCAATACTTTTGTCGAACATCCTCGCAGGGCAGTGTAGCGTTTCTTCGTCTACACCAGTAACACGTGTAATGATTGAGATCAAATCGCTTTTCGGCCCGATGTGTTGCCAGTGGACGTCGTAAAACTGGACATGCGTTGGTGCAAGGAGTTCTTGTAGAGTCCACGCTCGAGTCCACCATTTACTACTCATAAGGTTCTCTTCCTTTTGCTTTGAAACGTCCTTCAGGTAGACATAGCAGACGCGTGACTCAGAGTACTATCGGAACATTGAGTTGATAGCCTCGGAAAGCTCCGTACTGTTCGTTTTGTCTATGCAACACGTGTCTATCCAGACATGATCAAGGCTGTCCTTGATTGCCTGTTGACACGCATATCTGATCTTTTGAAACCCCAGCATATTGCGGCAATTCCCCGGGTCCTGTATTTGCGCATGAGTGACCTCATCCTTATCCCGAAGCCATGTGTGTGACAAGATCGCATACGGAGGGACTTCATCACCATAGAAGGTTCGGAGTTTCAGCGTTCGAACATCGAGTAGTCGCATTGTCGCATCTGCATCGATTAGTTGTTGAAATGACGGGTGGATCGTCTTTTGACATGATAGCGCGGATGGCTGAACAAGATGCTGTGGCATTGCAGCTGTGCCGCACATGTTACCCCGCTCGGGCACCTGACTTACGAAAAAGGTCATATTATGTGGGTTATATTTAATGTGTAAAACTGATCCTCGGGGTATCCATCAGGCTTTACGTTATGTTTCTAGCCATTTAGAACACAGCAAATACCTTTGATGTGTATGATAGGTAGGACTCGGAAAATGCGAGCTTCTTCGCATGCAACTTGGGAAGGACTTGGGGTAGCAGAAGGCTGCGTCAATGGCATACAAAGTCTATCCAGTTAGGCAACGCTGCTGGAAGAACGTCCACGGTTCATCGCAACGCCACTAGCGCGTCGTACAAATCACATACAATCAATGCACGAATGTAACAGATGCCTAACAAAAGACACGTGTGGCATCAAAAGCGCATGTCGAGCTGGGCTGAGAAGACGCTGAACATTGAAAATGGGATGAAAATGGAGTATGAACGACAGGCAAAAGTCACGTCACATCGCGTTTCGCTAGCCTAGTCTTCCGCACGATTCCAGCCCCACTATGTTTAGCAGAAAGGAGAGAGGAAACAATCTAATCAGTAGCTGCTGCATACCAGGCCCCTAAGATTGTACGACTGTGCATAGTAGCACTTTGGCGGGCATGCAGATGCTTGATATGGTGGAATGCTGAATTCCTAGGGACGGTGTAGATCAAACATCACGATGAAAGAGCACAACCTTGAGGAATATCATACCATGTACGTATGCAATTAAAGCGAGCCATAATGGCCATTACCCATCCATCATACCTATTCCTAAATTTCTCCCATCAAATCGTTCAATATATACGACCAGGCCTAAGCCTTGACCTCAGCATTCTCAACCCTGACAGGGCTGTGCTCAAGACCAGCAGCCTTCTCGTTGTCAATCTCGCCACGCTCAGCACGACGAGTGTTGCTGTATTCGACCTTGGTCTTCCATGCTGGGATACCAGTCATGAACATCTCCTCAACATCCTCGAGCGTCTTTCCAGCTGTCTCAGGGAAAAGGAAGAAAGTGTGGATAGCCATGGCGAAGCAGAAGACACCGAAGATGAGGTAGACGCGCCATTGGATGTTAACGAAGGCGGGTGGGACGAAGTAAGAGAGAGCGAAGTTGAAGATCCTGAAGTAAGGTTAGCATTACGTCCAGTGCATACTCAATCAGTGGGGGCTTACCAGTTGGATGAGGTGGCGACGGCGACAGCCTTTCCACGGATGCGGAGAGGGAAGATCTCAGGGGGGTAGACCCATGAGGCAGGTCCCCATGTAGGCGCGTAAGAGGCGACGAACAAGTATGTGCAAGCAATGACAGCCCTTGCAGGTGCACCGCCAATCTCCCAAGATTGCTCGGCAATGTTACCGAGACCACCTGGAGGAGCGGGCTTACCGTAGGAAGCCATGAGACCAGCGTTGGCGAACATCCATGTCATCATGAGAATGGCACCGATGACGAACATAGGACGGCGACCCCAGCGGTCCATGAAGAGAAGAGCAGGGACGGTCATCAAGACGTTGATGACGTACTGGATGGAACTGGCGACGAGGTTGATGTTACCAGTAAGACCTGCCATTCCAAAAACATACGTAATGTAGTACATCATCACGTTCATTCCCGTCAGTTGAGACCAGACCTGGGTAAAGACACCGATGTGAAGACGGTTCAACATCTTAGGCTTGAAGAGTTCCATGAAGGAGACATCAGCGTTCTGGCGCTCGAACTCAATCATCTGGCGAATTTCGTCCAACTCAAGCTTGACAAAGGGACTGTTAGGGTCACCCTTGCCGTGGACCAGAGTAAGAACAGCCTGGGTCTCTTCCCAGCGGTCGTGGCGGGCGAGCCAACGAGGAGATTCCGGCAGGAACAAAAGACCGATACCGAGAATGACAGCGGGGATCATCTGCAGACCCCATGGAACACGGAAGGCCTTTTCACCGTCCAAGAAGCTGCAGCCGTAGGAGATGTAGTACATGATGAGGATACCCCATGTGATGGCCCATTGTTGTGATCCTACGACACGGCCACGGCGGGAAGGAGGAGCGAGTTCGGAGACGTAGACAGGAACTTGAGCGGAGCAGATACCGACAGAGAGACCGTTGATGAAACGACCAGCGATGAGCATGCCGATGTTTTGTGCGGCGCAAGAGATGATGGAACCGATGATCCAGATAACACAACCGATTTGAATAGCCCTCCGACGACCAAGCTTGTCAGTAAGGTAACCAGAGACGAGAGCACCGACGAAAGAGCCACCAGGCATGCTACACAAGGTCAATTGTTGAACTGATGTACCATATGTAGAGCTAACTTACGCAGCAGTGATTCCTCCCTGCACATCGGCGGTAGGACCAGAGCAGTCTTCTTCAGGACCAGTGAATGGTGGGCCCAGAGGTCCCTGGTTGAAGTAGCAGCGGTATTGTTGAGTTGGCAGACTGTAAACGTTAGCTTCAGTCTTGAATGATAATGGAAAGAGTCGACATACATGGCACTCATAGAACTGATATCGAATCCAAACAGTCCGCCGCCAATGACCGCAATGGCGGTGATACCATAGATGTTGCCGATCTGGTAAACCATGGTGGTGTCTTATCGTGCCAATCACCCTACAGATGGTTATATTGAAGGGACCCGGAGGCTGAACAGGCGTTGTTAAAGGAAAGCAACCACAACGTCGGGGCGCGGAAAGGGTTTATATGCCATGTTTCTCTCGGTGTGATACCAGGCGCACAGCTCGGGTCAGGAGAACAACGTGGGAGCCCCGCCGCGGACCTTTCGCTCTCCCAGGTAACGTCCATCCTCGTTCGACTTTCGGAAAACATTCTGATGTGCTTCCCACCTTGGTATAGTCTCCGAAGACAAATATGCTGATTGGCGGGAGGATAGCATGGAGTTTTGGGGCTGAGTGAAGAAATGACAAGCCTGACACGATGGGGCGGCTTAGTGCTTGTGTTTGCGAGTCGAGTCGGGCGCGATTGGGGGACAATTGATGCCGAGACAACGGGAACGGGTTGGCAACAGGGCAAAGGAAGCAGTTTATTGCGCCACGGAAAGACTATGCTGCGATCATCATGATGAGCTGCCTCTCGCGGTTTGGTCGTACCACAACCAATGCTGATGGCTGACCACCATCTCAGATCTCATCGAACCTGAGGCGTGACACTCCGCACTCCGCACAACAGCTCGCTCCATTTTTCCTCCAGACTCCAGACACCCACACTTTTGCCCCCAATTTCGCACCCCAAGGGCACCCCATGAAGAAGAAATTTTCTCATTTGGTGGGCCCCTTTGCACTGTGCAATTCGCGCTCAGATGAGCACAATGTGAGGTTTCCACTGTTGACGTCACGCACCGTGCTTGGGAACACGCACGCAGCCACTCATCTTTCAAGCCGCTGACGTCGGCCCGCTTTTCTCAATGCAACTTGCTGACGCTAGTATAAACGAGGTTTGCGCCTCCCGTCGAGTAAAAAGCTTAAGCTGGATGCCGAGTGCCGAGCAAGCCTGCCGCCATTAAGCTTCAATAAGTCGTCTAAGAGGGCATGGCATACTGGACCGTGGTAAGGCGTCCTTCAGCTGATCTAAAGTTTGGTACGCGATTGGCATATCAACATGCTGTCGTATTTCCCATTCAAACAAATTGAGGCTCTAGGTGGGGCGTGACCATCGCTACGGGGCGATTAGACCGATGCACTTTTATCGTGGTGTGTCCAGCGTTGCATGTGCCGAAGCTCTAGCGTGACATGTTGGACCAAAAAAAAAAGATGCGACACGGCTCTGCTGATACGGAAAACAAGGCCTAACGTCGTTAACGTCTAGTCGCGCTGAAGAGTGGGGTCGTTGCGTATATTGAAGAAAGGCGGGAGTGAGGAGAAGCTGAACGTGGAGAAGATGTCGAGGCGATACCAGTTAGCGGGGTCGCAGCTTTCCTAGCTACGTTGCTCACGATACAACTTCCTCAAAGGCCCCTCAATAGCGATTTGGAGTCTTTAGTACTTGATGCTTTTTCTCGAGGTTGACGCGCAACACAACTCGAGCAAAGCGGATACATTTCCCGATGCAGCCTTCACACGCTTGCCAACTAGTCATAAGCCACCCGCACCGTCCCCACACGCACCTGAGTTACCGGATTTCGGAAGCGCCGTGGATCCGCCGTGTTGGATACAAGGCTCTTCTGCTCTTCATGTGACTACACGAGGACGTCGGGAAGTGGAGATGTACCTGGCGTGATAGTCTAGTCAATACATCGCGAGTCAGGAAACCGTTTTTGTACAATTTGGTGTATCAAGACAGCAGAGTGTTCGAGAAGAGCGCGAACAGGACATTAAACGAAGGAACGATAGCCTGATATAACTACAGTAATGGCACGGACTGCTCTGCCAAACAAGTATGTACTGTGCGCCGAATAGAGTACAGTGAAGAACGACATGACACGACCGCAATCTTCTACGGCTTAACCCCAAACAAGCTTCTTCAAGGAATACTCGAACTGCTCCAGGTAGCCCGTAGTCTTCTTCGCGTCCGCAAGGCTGATGATATCCTTTTCCTCTACCTCCAGTGTTCTGTCTTCGTCTCTTCCTCCTTTCTTCATCTCGTTGGCGATCCTCACGATTTCATCGCAGACTGACTTCACTACCTCGCCCTCATTCTCTGGAGTGTCGCCAGGAGATGACGGAACACTGCTTCTCGGTGGCAACGCCTTGAACGCTAAGAAGCGGCCCGCGGCATCCTGCTTCTGGTCCTTCTTAGCGTCGTCTTTTCGCTGCTCGTCGTTGGCGGCTCCTGAATCTAGAGCCCTTGTATTTCGCCGTACTAGCTCGCCTTGGGTGTCGGCTCGGTACCGTATGATGAGACCAACGTTCTTGTCCATGTCTGTGTGTCGTTGTGCTAGTGTAGACGTAATGTAAACGCCGCGCATGAGGCCCTGCACGTTCTCAAGCGGAATGCGTTCAAACTCGCGTACCTTTTCTGTGCCCCAGTCGAGACGGCAGAAGTACAAGGCTTTCTCCGTTAGTAGGAGAATGGCTTCTTCAAACGTGGCAGTCTTGACTTGGTTGACAGCGGTGGGTACGCTCAGGGTCCATCCGTGTACCAGATCTTCGTCACGGTCCTCAATCACGATACTAGCAGAACGCTCGATGGCCTGTTGTCGTACTTTGCGCACGTCAATAAAATAATCCGAGCTCTTCATGTCAGCTTCGAACTCTGCAAAGATGGTATCAGTGGCGCGGCCGAGGAGGTAGTCAATGACAGCTTGAGCGAAATAGTCATTTACGATATTGTTGTAATATCTCGTAAGTGTCAGTCCAAAATCGGTAAGCGCACCGGTTATCTGTCGTTTTCGGGTGCGCGTAAAGTCACCTTTTAACGCGGCGGTGCCAGCATACTGTCGAGATATTGCGTCACCGTTGTCAGCCCAGAGAGTGTTGAACCACGAAGTGCTAGGGTCGTTCTGGAGGTCGATCTTGTAACTGCCCGTTGACAACTGGGCCTCGAGAGCGGTTCTAGCGCACGCAGATTGGACGACGTTGGTGCGGTCCAGGCAGTCCATACAATTCGTGCGCAAGACACCAGACTGCTTCCGCTGCACTTGATCTTCCGAGATTTCCACCCAGCCGGAAGACGTCATAAAGGGTTCGATGGAGTCCATCAGTTTTGAGACGTTTTCAAATCGCATACCACGGCACACGTTGTGGAAGTCGAACCATTCAAAGCCCAGTTGCTTGCCCTTTCCATCAATCCCCCCGTTCTCATTGAGTGCCTTGGCATGCTGTTCGTAAAGTTCGCCAATCTTTGCCTCCGTACCGTGTTTGTCGATGAGCGAATCACAGTAGATGTCACCGTAGCGCGAAGATAGATCGAGGAAATGCTTCTTGAAAGCTCGAGCGTTGGTGTCAAACGATCCCCAAGTAGAGACCTGGGGCTTCAGGCTATAAGGCGATTGGGAGAAGAACAAAGGTATGGAGCCACGGATTTGCGTAAAGGAGAAGATCTTGTCTTGCGTCGTGTTGAAAGTTGGTGTTGATAGTATTTGTTCTGTTTCCACGCTGTTCGCAGTGCATCCCTCGTCATCAGTTCCTCGTCGCAGATAGCGAAGACCAGCCCGCTTGGTAGATCGTCGCGAGATGAGAGTTAACAGAAAGTCTTTACCCTCTGCAAGAGAAGCATCCGGAGTTGGCGCTTCGCTACTTGCTTCTGTAGGAAGTTGTGACTCTTCCTTTTGCTTCTCATGCCAGGACTGCAGCTGAATGTCGTCTGGGGTAGCACTCGGATCAACTACGAGACTGCTCGATTGGCCATCCGCGGTCTTGATAGTGAAGGGTCTTTGGCCGACAAAGCCTTGAATTACAGGGAGCACGAAAGAATGTTGACCAGCATCGATGAACGGCGAAATGATGTGCTGATTCCAGAAGAACTAAACGTTGGTGAGTAGAAGTCCTTCACTGTGGGTAATCAGACTAACCAAAGGATCGAATTGCTTGAATAACGGCACACTAGAACTGGGTTGCTGCTGGCCAATGCCGTGTGAGATGTCATAGTCGTAAGAGAAGAAGAAGTTGCCCGATGAGAAGTACATTTTGGTGGTCTGTAGGATCTTTGGTAAGAGAGCTACAGTTGCTGCGTCCTTCTCGCCGCTCAAAGCCTTGGGTATCGCTTCTGGACTGACTGGTTCCGAGATGTCCTTGTCACCTGTGGGTATCGTATCCGGCTTCGACTCGCTCTTGGGGTGTTCCTCCTCTTTGGGCACTCCTGAATCAACGTTCTGCGACACATTCTTCGCAGCCAGATTCTCTTCGGAGCTTAGCCCTTGTAGACGCCTGTTGTCAGCGCTCCAGCCCTTGCGCGAAAACCACTTGTCGGCGAATCTACCATATACACCCTTCCGTTGTATGACATCTTCGGCCACGCTAGTCTTCTGGGACGCACTGCCTTTTTGCCCGGTGACCGTGTCCTTGACTTCGCTCGGTGCAGACGAAGAGTCTTCTATAATTGAGTCCGTCAGACTTGGCGCGCCATCTTCGCTATCGCTGTCGGTGTCCTCGTCTCCCAACCCTGGTGCCCGACTGCGGCGCTTCAAGTGGTCCCGCGTGGCCGCAATGGCCTTGTCGGCATCGGCCTGTGAGGAGAGCGGAATAAGGGCAACATCGGTGATCTTATAGATAGGCTTGCCACGTATTAGCGCCACTTGTTCGCGGTCGGATATCGATATTAGAAAGTAAGAAGTAGCGACTTTGAGCAGTCCTAATGGTAGAGTCAGTGGTGCATTAGACGTCGCAATGCGCAGACGAGCGCGCGCATACCAATGATGCCATGCGCTTCCACAGACACGGGCGCAGTATCCTCTTCTCGTCTATCCTTCAATAAGGGCATGACATTGCCCTTGTAGTCGACCTTGATGGCCTGCTGCGTCGCCGGCGGGTGGTTGCGGGGCGGGGACGGCTGGAGGATCAGCCCGTCGACGGCAGCGAAGATGAGCAACTTCCGGACAAGGGACGGCATCTTATCGGCGGCGCAATGCGCTTCAAGGATTGATTGACTAGAGGAAGGACGACATCGAGTTCTCTGTAGGCACGTTGAGACGCTTGGTGGGCTGGGCCGGCATGACGTCGTGTCGCGCCGCGCTAATGTCAAGGTTTCCCACCCCACGCGTCTTCATACCGATCATCGTGACTTCTGCCATCACCACCTGTTCAAGCCATATCGCTATCATGGGTCCAAACCTGCCACGAAACTACGCGAATTGCTGTAGCAAAGAAACTAAGCATAAATCTAGATGATATCACGTCAAGCTCCGTCAGTTCAGCTCACACGTGGCCAAGTGACTGATGTAACACATCCGCTCCAACCAACCGTCTCAACTTGACTGAAAGGTACAAAAATCTGTTTCAATAGTCCAAAAAGTTACCCACGTTGAATTGTTCCTGCCAATACTTGAACGAACTGCTAAACAAAATGCTGTGAGACTCTTCCCCTTGACGAATGGGCCACTTGCGGAACATTATCAGAGATCGGGATATGCTAACAACCCTTACAACGCCATTAACCATTTGGCCAAATGTAATTACACTCGAACATTGTCACATTATCGCAATGAAAAAAGACAATGTGATCGTGGTGTTTTACCAACAAGATATACAACTCCCACAGGATACTTATGACACATATGACATATGTATGTAACAAGAAGAGGACTGTAGATCAACCTAAAGACATCAGAGAGGGGTACTACCATGAACCCTTGAAGGTTGCTGTTTGTAACATGCAGATTGTCGTCGCGGAAAGTGCCTAGGTCTCCAAACTACGGAAGTAGATCAGTATATGAGCACATACGACTATGCAGTCCTGGCGATGGGAGAGAATGATCATATGTCTTTTGCGTTGCCCCACGATGTCTCTTTGTTCCGAGGCTAATTTCTCAATACCACGATTCCTAACCCAGCATAAACCCGTTCGCGCTCGGTGTTCAGAATTGTAAGCGCATCTCGGACTTACGCGACGATGTTATCGCCTATTTGCACCATCCTCGCACATACACTCAACGCCCAAGTCTGGTCACACAACGCCACATCAAAGATTTGTAAGAACACATATACGAGGCGACCAGTAAATTTCGGACATACTGCCTTGGCACGCCCATTTGCATGACTTCATGAGGGCCAATAAAATCGGAGTTAGCTGACTAACTCCGAATATAGCTGCAGCCTCCCTGGCAATGTACGGCGTTACTCCTCTTGCAGTTCCGCATTTGCTCGTCACCAACCTCTCCACTATACTCAATCCATCCATAACTTTGCTGGCTGGTCGCCTGAGAAGCCTGCTAATCTGGTGTGACTGTGCCGGCAAGAAATATATTCGCCTTTGTTCCAGGTCGACTTGAGCATCGCCAGAACCCATCTGATCCACTTTGGTTGATATTGCACATCTTGATACCCATCTTACCAACACTCCTTTAGCAGCAATCGAACATGGCATCCAACTCAGACAAGGAGGTCGTCCTCGTCACAGGTGACCGATTCCTCAATATATCCATCAAGCTCGTCATCCTAACTATCTGTGTAGGCGCAACGAATGGCATAGGCCTGGACACCGTGATTTACATTGCATCTGCTTCGCCAAAATATCATGTCATCATCGGTGCACGCAACCTTTCGAAGGGTGAGGCAGTCTTGAAAGACGTGCAAGCCAAACCAGGCATCCAAGGCACCCTCTCGTTAGTACAACTCGATGCCAACGACGATACTTCTATCGAAGCTGCGGCCAAGAAAATTGAGCAAGATTTCAACCAGCTCAACGTTCTTATCAACAACGCTGGTGTATGCCCGGAGAGGGACGATCCGTGGACCAACCGAGAGCTGATGCGTACGATATTCGAGACCAACGTGTTTGGCGCAACACTTGTCACCCAAGCTCTTATTCCCCTGATGAAGCGCTCATCCAACCCGCGCATTATCAACGTATCCTCTAGTCTCGGCAGCATCAGCGCAATCTCCGACCATAGCGCCCCTTACTCTGGTGTACCATACCCTGGATATCGCATGAGCAAAGCTGCACTGAACATGTTGACGGCATATCAGTACTACCAGCTCAAGCCGCATGGGTTCAAAGTCTGGACCTACTGTCCTGGCTTTGTGGTGACGGATCTGGGTGGCGACAGAGAACAGCGGAAGGAGAATGGCATCGACAGCTCAGAGACAAGTGCAAAAGGATTGTTGGAGATTGTGCAGGGTGAGAGGGATGCTGATGAAGGTGAGTTCGTTACCAGGTACGGACAAAAATATGATTGGTAGTGGTAGTCAATCTCTGCTGTTGCGACCAACCTTGGAATCCAAAACAGAAACACAAGTTTCCAACTACTAGTATTACCTTCCTTCTACTGCTTTGCGAAGATTTTCTTTGATGTTGTTGACGATCAAACATATGTACTGGCTCATCTCTTATTGGGGCGGTACCCCGCTTTTCCTTTGACAGCTCCTGTCACCGTCATCGCTTCCACCATGATACCTTCATTTACACCTCGTCCTCCATCAAGAACGCGTACAATGATGAAGCGACGCACGTGCTACGCTACTATGCGTCAGAATCTGCACCTTCTATGTTGAGAAACTCCGAAGCTTATACACTCATCCTACGTGGCGCAATTAACCAATCGCGAGCTATCCTGAGCGCACGCGACAGGCTAGCGCGAACCAGATGCATGGCGGAGACGACTTCAACATCTGAGCTCTAGTGTGAGGAATTGCGGGCTGGATAGCATGGGTAAGATGGCGTATAAAGGCCGGGCCTTGTTGCTCACAGGCTTGTTGTTTGTCTTGAGTGTCTCCATTCTGAACGCAGACTTTATATTCGAAGGAACGAGCAATATGTTGGGCCGATTGGTATAATCTCCGAACCTAGGACATGAATTGAGTAACTACTGATGACGACAGGCTTCCGCGAGCGTAATTCTCTTTGCTCGTATGCTTATCGTTCATCATAAACCATCAATACTAATGACATCTAGAAAGCGCATTGGCATCAAAGTCCGATATCCGCTTCAACCACATTCAAGTTATCGGAACGCACAACTCCTACCATCGTGAGGTCTCGCTTGCTGAGAGACCCGTGTTCGAGAAGTACATCCCGTCCCCAGAGGACTACTACTACTCGCACGCTGAGCTCGACAATCAACTGGAGCACCAGTCTGTACGCTCTTTTGAGCTCGACTTGCACTCGGATGAAAAGGGTGGCCTGTACTATCCTCCTGTGATCTGGACGTTGTCGAACTTGACCAACGCGACCACCCCCTACAATGGCGACATCCTGAAAAAGCCGGGTATCAAGGTGTTCCACGTCACAGACTTTGACCCTGACTCTGTCTGCCACACTTTCATCGACTGCCTCAAGCAGTTGAAGAGCTGGTCAGACGCAAACCCAAGACACGTACCCATCACCGTAGACTTAGAGCTGAAGACCGATGCGCCAGCATGTCAGCTTGGTGGTGCCTGCCCTGGTGAAGCGACCAACTGGACGCTTCCTCGCCTCTTGAACGTTGACGCCGAGATTCTCTCCGTTTTCCCCAAGAAACAACTCATCCGGCCTGACGACGTGCGTAAGAGTGGCCTCACTCTCGAACAGTCCATCCTGCAGCACGGCTGGCCAAAGCTGAAGGACGTCCGTGGCCGTCTTATGTTCTTCTTCGACAACGACCCGAAACCCACTGATCCCAACTCGCCTCGCGAGCTCTATCTTACCGGCGCACCATCGTTACAAAACCGTACTGTTTTCACCAACGCGCTCGAAGACTCTCCCGATGCTGCTTTCATCAAGCACAACGAGCCGCGCGGGAATGACACCGCTGAGATCCAGCGTCTTGTCAAAAAGGGTTACCTGATCCGAACACGTGCCGACGTGCCTCTCGACACCATCCTGAACCGCACCATGGAGATGCGCGAGAGCGCTTTTGAGAGCGGTGCGCAGATAGTCAGTACCGATTTTCCAGCTTGGGGCATGAGCAGTCGATGGGGTTGGGACTACGTCGCCAAACTTCCTGGAGGATTGGCTGCAAGATGTAATCCTGTTATTGCGCCAGAGGGATGCAAGGATAAGGACCTAGAATAGGCGAAGCAAGCGAGGTGGTGCTTGGAAAGTCTAGAGTAAACCAGCGAATTGATCTCAGCTGAATGTCCAAATTCGTGGTGAAAGTATCTTGCTCCTCCCTGGCACGCTTCTGTTTACACCAAGCTGATTACTGTGACGATTAGTAGTTTGGTGAGAGAAAGAACGGGTGGTTTTCAGGCGTCACGCGATTTCCAGTGAATATGATTTCTATATCAGGGGCGAAACAGAGTCAGGCAGTAGTCTAAACTTACAGCACATACTCTTCTTCGTCGTAAATGAAGGTGATCTCAGGTGAAGGAGAACATAATGCCCGCCTCTACGATTTCACAGCGCCGAGCGAGCATTTGGCCTGTGCATCCGGGCCGCCAGCACCCTCCCAAAGTCAAGTACCCTCCAAAGCGTCGCCTACCAAGTCCTTTCCATCGTTGCCAAGGGCCGTAGAGGGCTCGAACACCTCTCCATAACGGTGCGAGACTTCGTCGGCCTTGCCGGCAAGCACACAGACTTTGTGGCAGTACACCGGCAGGTGAACCGGGACGATGTGACGAGGTCGAAACTCTTTGGGGTAAAGGGGCTAGGCGTCAATATGGAGTTGTATGGAGATGTGACAGGGTGCACGTATGAGGGGTTAGTGGGGACGAGGGCGGCGTAGTGAGTGCGGCCGAAGTATCAGTCGACTATGTAGGCGTCGGGAAGTCGTATGTAATGATAGCAGAGACGCCGTAGTCGACGTATATTTGTCAACCAGATCTAGTCACTTCACACTTAAAATTACCACGACAGTTCAACGATACTTGTTTCCATTAATCTATCCACCTCATTCCGCCCACCGCGGCGTTAATCTTATGCACCGACCAAACTCAGAAAGACCAAGAATCGCAAACATACACACCTGGTATCAAACGCAAAAGACACATGTATATTCCCCAAAGACAACAAAACACTCCATCCATATGCATGAGAAGACCAGTATTGACAAGAAAAGTAACGAACATGAAGCAGTATTACAAAGCGAAAGTTGTATAGGGAATTTGGTATCGCAGAAAGCCTCTTGAAATACCCCCCCGGTTGTAAATCGTGAAAGAACGCCACGCTTGCTCGCAGTACAAAAGCACGAAATCCATAGTAGTGACGAGGTAGCGGATGTATGTTGTGGGATGCTACGTTTTGGTGGTGCAATCCCTTGTTTGTCCTCGTGTGTGTGGCTTAATACCTCAGCTTACCCAGAAGACTGAAGCAGTATGCGCACTCCCTCTCGCTTTTCATTTGCACCATGAAGACCCTCGCTCTTGCTCCCAAGACGCCACCAGTCTTGCCTACTCCGCCAACCTGACCATCTTCGTTCAGGTGGTCCTCCCATACGCTGACAGCGATACCACTGCGTGCGACACGCTCGAAGCATGTCTCGGACAATGTGACGTCAAGCAGTATCTCGCCATGTTTCTTGCCAGTGAGTAGAATGCGTCGCTCCTGTGTGTGATCTCTTGTACCGGGCGCGCGCTGTCGTGGATTGATAGGTGAGGATGGCTCGCTCGGGTTGGGTGAGGGCAGCATGATTGTTAGCCGTGCGCTACCCATATCGCGCCATTTCTTAAGTGACTCTCGTTCGTAAAGCCTGCACTTGGTGTTTGTAATTCCAGCTGGTGCACCAGGCGCTCGTGCCCCATCGCCGGTGGGTGTAGTTGCGCCAGAGCCAGGTCGGGAGTTAGAGCCATTATCGAACGAGGAACCAGTACTACGAGATCCGAGTGTCGAGTTGCGGATGCTAAAGACACCGCTCTTGCCGAATGAAAAGCGACCCAATGCCGAGCGGAGGGCGGAGTTCATAGTGCCAACAGAGGATTCAGTCGCTGCGGAGATAGAAGCAGCGCGTGTGCTTGACTTGCGGTAGCTGCTTCTCCTGCCTAGTGTGCCACCAAGCCAACCGGAAGACTCAGTACTTGTTCTAGCTGCATTCTGGCGGTCCATCGCCTCGGCCCAACTCGATTGTCCGTAAGGGCCGCGAGCGTTTTGAAGAGCGATGTAGGTGGGGTTGTTTATGCGGGATTGGTTGATCATGGCGTATAATTGCGCGCACTCTGCTGCATTGCGACTTCTCAACATAATATTGTTGCCAGCTTTGATGCGCGACTCCGCGGTAGGTGGGGACCGAATGGAGATATCAATGGCCGTTGATTTGCGCAACGGCACCAGAGGGGTAAGCTCAACCGCAATAAGGGGAGCACCTCCTCCGGGGGTGATGATCTCGTCACCGTCGGCCAGGAAAGGCTTGGAGTGGTTGATTGAGAGCTCGAAGACCTCGATCTTGCCTGGCGTGACGACGATACTACATTCGTCTGGATGCAGACTGTCCCATCGGCCAGCATCAGACCAAGCGAAGATGGATGCGATGGTCTTTGAAGCTTTGCCGGAACCCTGCGGAACAGCTCTGTATGGTGTGTTCGACGCGGATTGTGATGGGGTGATAGTGCCGTTGGGGAGAGTATATATTGATGCGGGAGGTGAGACTTTGGGGAACTTTCTAGTCTCATCCTCTACCTTCTCGGCCTTCTCTACTTTCTCTACTGGGGTAGGACGGCTGGCTTCTCTGCCAGTGGTGTAAGTACGGCCAGGGTACCCGCGTGGCCCAAGGTATCCGATTGGCATGAGTGGCATGGGGACGTCGTCATCAAGTTCATCTTCTGATGACTCCGAAGTGAGGCTCTCTTCGTCTTCTTCGTCCACCTCATCTTCAGAGGGGGATTCTTCCTCGCTCTCGCTAGACTCCTCCGTGCAGGTAGAAGGTTCATACTCGTGCTTCAAGGGTGACGATGATCGCCGTTTGTTCTTAAAACCGGGTAGCGTCGGGATGAAAACAGGCGTTTTGGTTCCCTTGAGGGTCACAGGGGTTGCTGGACTAGAGGATCGATGCGGCGGTGTTGGCGGTGGCTCCTCAACCTCTGCTTTGGGTTCCACAATATCTTGGACAATTATATCGTGGCTCTTTCCGTGTAGCTTCGGTGGCGCAGAGGCTGAGGTTTCTCGAATATGGTCATCTTCATCCTCTGGATCCTGTGTTGGTGTTGAAGGTCGGCTTGACTTCCTTTGTCTTGGGATGCTCGGTAATTCCAGTGAGGGAACGGAGGAGACTCGCCTGTGTGCTTGTGGACGCTGTGGAGAGGGAGGCGAGCCAGGTGGTGAAATTTCGGAGTCCACGATAGTATTCCTGTCTTCTTCAGAACTGTAAGATTCCTCAGACTCGTCGGAATCGTCTACTTGAGAGGATGGCATCCAGACACTGTAGCTCTTTTGAGGGCGCTTCTTAGTAGATTTTCGGCGTGGCTTAGCCTCTTGTGCTGGCGACTTAGTCTTCTCTGGCTCAGCCGGATCCTCGAGCGTAATCTGGCGGGACGGCCGTGCTGAGTGTGGGGAAAGAGTAGGGTTCTTGGATAGCCTCTTAGCCCTCGTTCGCTTCAAGCTTGAAGGTGAACCGGTGCCTTCCGCACGCACCGCCTCATCAAGACCGCGAGGCGTCCGGTCGGGATCATTGAGGAGTTGATAGGCCGTATGCATGGCTTCAACGGGTGTGTGGGGCTCTGAGTCATGTGCCCTGCTGTTCAAAGAGCCATCACCACTGGGTGGGGTTATAGGCGAGATGGTACGGGACTGGTTGCGCCTATCGGGGGTGTCGTAGTGCCATACTTTTGATACTTCAGTATGTTGCTCGCCGATAGGAATGTCAATCTCGTGTGGGCTTGGTGTCCTGCTTTTCTGTGGAAGTGTAGATTGAGTCATGGCTGAAAGCAAAGAAGAGGATCCATGGCTGCTGGTCGGCCTCTGTGTGTTGTTGGATGTAGTCTGATTCTTCCTGACTTCATCGATTTGGGGTGGGATGGGGTTGAGACCAAGCATTTGTACCCATTCGAAGCCAGCCTGTTCATCGTCGGATATCAAGGACATGACTTCACTCCATTCTGATCCATCAGTTTGTTTCCCACGGATCATGACGATTATTTCGCCTTGCAGATCGCCATTCCGTGCAGATGCGTTACCAAGCTGAACAGGTGGGAGGAGCAACCACCGTCCTGTAGAGTCGACTTCACAGAACAGCAGATCGCCTCCGACACCCGTACCTGGTGCGTTGTCGCGGAGTAAGATCTCAACGCGACAACTCATCTCTTGACCACTCGAATGGAAGAGATGTAGGTCGAAATGGTCTCTGGCTCGGACGCAGCGTGTAGGATCAACCCGGACGCCCGCAAGAGGGGCGAGGCTTCGGGGATCGCGGGCGCGAGTGGGATCAACGCTAGCCGCAGCCTCGTCTTCGAGGCGGGCTTGTTCGTCGTTCGACCGCTTGCGTGCTGTCGTAACTAAATCTTGAAAAATCTTCGAGATTTGCTCTACGCGCTCAGACGGTTTCAAGTGGTTGATGCCCTTGGTCAATGTCAGTACTTGCGGCAGCATAAACAGATTACTTTAACATACCTTCAAACTCTTCGACAGATACTTCAGTCGCACGAGTGGGCGCTTAAGCATATAGGCGACGTCGACACGCTCGCCATCGCTGTTGACTACATATCCTTCAGCGTTCCGCGGCATGCCTTCGTCCCATGGCGCGCCGTCGTCTGGCCCGTTGACTACCTTTGCGGGCTTGAAGGGATCGTCGTCTGCTGGCGCAAGGCTAATTACAACGTCTTGGAAGCCGAGGCGCCATGCGGCGATGTAGTCAGAGTACACCCGTTGTGCACTCTGAGCCCATGAAATAAGCGCATCGGAGTCTTCCTTGGGGACGCGCTTGTGCAGGTTCTTAAGTCGCTCTAAACAGACGCCCATGTCGACGATCGGCTTGGTCACTTCACTTGGGTCTGATTTGGAGGAGCGAGAGAACAGACCAGCAGCGATAGCGGACTCGGACTTGGAAAGGACGCAGCTGAGAAGCACAGGAATAACACCATCGACCAGGGTGCGGAGCTCACGCATATATTTTTCTTCATCGGAGGAGAGCTCCTTCATGATGTCGTCGATGGTGGCAGTGGCCAAGCGACTTCTATTGGTACGGATACTCCGGGCAGAAACGATGCTCTTCGACTTCGAGCTTGCCTTGGGCATGGAAAGCACTGATATGAGATCCGCATGGCTGGCAAGCTTCCTCCGCCGGGTGCTCTGGCGACTAATGATGGTCGAGGTTTCCGGGTTCAAGTACGAGCCTACATCTGATGTAGGTGCTCCAGGGACGGTGCTTGCTTCTTCAGAAATGGTCGTGATGGTATCAGAAGCTGGCACTTGCGATGAGTGGGCTGACCGCGACGAAGCGATAGTTGAAAGGCGCTTGCCAGTGGAAGGGAACATACGCGGCCCCAGAATGTTTCGTGGTCGCAAAGGCATGGGCATGGCATCAGGTACTGGTGCATCGACAGATGAAGAAGGCGCAGAGGAAGCAGCGTCTAGGTCAGTGACATCCTCCTTGGGTATGTCATCAATCGACGTAGACTCGCGGAGAGGGGAGGACATAGAGCGGCCCTTGGTAGGAGAATATTGGCCGCGCTTTGCGCCACGGCGTTTGAGTGAGGGTGTTGGGGTGACAGATACCTCACTTTCCTGGTCCTGGGTCGTTGTCTCGGTCGTGGTATCTGAGACGACGGTAGACGGGGCCTCATCGAGATTCTGGGTGTTGATGGTCATCTCCCGGCTCGATCGTCTCCTTCGCCTTCTGCTACCGCTACCACTGCTGCGACGGCGGAGCTTCTCGACGGGCTCATCCCGCGTCGTTTCGGTGGATGCACTGACGTCTGATTGCTCGGCCTTGTAAGGTATGTCGAGAGATGTGCCCGATTCTTTTGACTGTCGCCTTCGTGGTGACGTTTTGGTAGGCTCGTCTTGTGTTGTCCTGGTGGAGGTAGTGACCTCTGATGCCTCGACCGTAGCGGGTAGGTCAAGAGAAGATACGGACTCCTTGGACTTCCGTCTGCGGCGCGAGCGCGTCTTCTTGACTGGGATTTCTTGTGTTACGTCGGTGGACGCTGTGACCTCTGATCTGCTGGCCTTGGAAGCGGATTCTGGACTTGACACAGACTCTTTGGACTTGCGTCTGCGTCGTGGCTTGGACCCTGCCAGGGGATCGGGCGTGCTGCTGAGCCAGGCTTCTAAGCGGCTTCCTGATGGCTTCGTGGGAGTGGTCGTCTCTTGGGCTGCTGGGACGATCAATGGTGTAGCAGCCTCTTCTTGGGTCCTCGGATATGACCTGCGACTCTTCTTCCGTGAGGGCTTTGGTATGGGTTTGGTGCTCTCGTCTTCTGTGCGAGCGCCATTGCTTCTCGGTCGACGCCGGCGCCGCCTCTCTCGCAGTTCATCGTCTCGTGGCGAAGTGATTCGACTCTCGCTGATGGACGGGGCTGAGCTCTCTGCGTATTCGACTGTGACAACATTGCGGGGATCATCGCTTTGCACTGAGCCGGATCTCCGTCCTGTCCCTCGTGTCCACGGTGTGAAGGGCATGAGATCCTCTGCCGACAAAGATGCCCGTGGTGATGTTCGCGCGCGCCGTCTGCTACGTCTCACTCTCACCATCTCTGTCTTCTCCTTCTCGGCTTGTGGCGAGATGGAACCTGAGGGCGCCCCGTCACTCTTCGCGTCCTTCCCACTTCCTGCCCCGCTACTTGCCGGGCGCTGATCGTTCTCTGAGCTCGACGGTTTCGACGGTCTGCGGAGCTTCGGTGGGGCTTTCTTCTGTCCTGTGCTCTTGCCTATATATTCAGCAAAGGGCAAAAGAGGATTCGACTGGGGCGTGACGGGAGCCAATGGCTTAAGCTCAGGGCTTGGAGGCTTCTTGGGAATGATGCGTGAGGGGCGCACCCAGGCATTCGGGATCGTCTTTGGCAGTGGGCGACCAGCGGCATCTTTTGGTGGTGACTGTTTGGCACGCCAGTGTGAATCGCTGATGACGCGCTTCTTAGGCGCTGTTGCTGTGAGCAAATCCTCGTCCAGTTCATTGTGCGGGACTGGTGTTTTCTTTGCGCTGCTTGGACGCTCTGGACTGGCGCCGACCGACTTTCCTCGCTCGTGTACGGGTTTCCAATTGGGCTTGTCGTCGAGGGGTTTTGACTTGGGCGTGATGGACGGCTTGGGCGAGGCGGCAAGCTTGGTGGAGGTCTCTGGAGCGGATGCGCCGGCGTCTTCTTTGCTCGCAACTTCGGGGTCGACCTCCTGCTGCCAGCGCTTTATCTTGTCGCGCACGTTGGCAGGCTTGTTGATGCCAATGGCCTTGGCAAAGTCCTTGCCGTCCATGGCAGCTTGTTTGTCCGTCGCGCCCATCTTCTTGCCCGGCGTGCCATTTCTCTTCTGTCCAGCCGTATTCTCAGGGTCACTAGGCCGGGGGGATGCGGGCATCGAGTCCCAGTGTCATTGGAGCTGCGGGCAGGCGTCGCGGGGACGAAGTGGCTGTAGATGCGCGAATCCGTGTGTGTTGGTGTTTTGGTGTTCTGCGTGGCTGTGGCTGACGGGCCGTTTCCAGAGCTACGCCGAAGCTGCCTCTGCGTGCGTAGATACAGTGACAGAGGGGCGGAACAATGCAAATAGCGAGTGTATAAGTGAGTGGTGGTGAAAGCTGTCACCCCATCAGAGGGGAACGTGGAATGTAGCGCAGGGCGAGCGAACTGCTAGAGGGACGGTGTGATGTTTGATGACCCAATAATGGATGCGGGCCGCCAGTAAAACCGGGCTGGCCAAGTGTGCAGCACGTTCCAGTGGGCGGGCGACAAGCAACGCGATAAGCCGATGGTGCTTGTGTGCGATCAGCATAAACTTCCTATGCAGTGTTTTGGTCTATACGACGTCAAATCCGCCTCTCTCCAGCCTCTTGTTTACATGATGGCTGAGACATTACTCTCTTGCAGCCCAGTCAGGTTGGGCTATCCGCGGGAACATCCATGACGGCCGTGCTCGCCTAAGCAACAGTGCACCACGTTGACCCACGATTCGATCAACAACCCCATGCTGGACATCTTCTGTCATTACAACCACATCCAAGATCCGCACAATCAACACGATGTGGACTGGCTTGCGAACCAACCCCGCCATTTTCCTAGTCAAAGACCCCTGGCAATACAACGCAGAAAGAACAACAACAGGTTTTGTGTTGTTATGCCCTCGCACATGTACACAGAATACCAAGGATTGGTCAAATTACCGAAGACATTATTCGCGGAGATTTTACGACAAGGCGATCTCGTAGTTTATTTTAGTCTCCTATAACTGCTTTTTACGTCCTCGATAAACGCCAAGACACGATGTCCTCATGGTCGTTATCCTCTCTTCATCCACCACGGCGCTAAATGCTGCATCTCTCAACCTCCAAACTTGCCCGCACAAATGCCGCCGATCCCAGAACACTGTTGTAAACAATCGGCTGCCCCACATAGTACTATGACACCTCATTAGTATCCACTTAGACTTCTGCACCTCAACCTCACTTACCTCATAGCTAGCCGTAGAGTTCAAACTACACACCCCAACCGTGCCGTTCCATCCCAAGGTTCCGTTGTTATTGTGTACAACAAAGGTATCAGCAATGTATCCATACGCCCTCTTGGCCACATCCACAAATGCACTCTGCCCGGCATTGTAGGACACAGTACCATTCGACACGGCGTGCGTAGGCAGTAGCCCCATCCTCACCCCTTTGAGCAAAGCGTACACAAACATGCTGCTCGCACTACTCTCCAAGTAATTTCCCTCTTGACCAGGCCGATCCATGACCTGCCACCAGGCCCCAGTCTTTGCATCTGCCGCTGCTACGACGGCAGGCATGAGTTGCTGGAACCGCGTTTCAACGTACCGTCGTGTCTCACGGGCAGTTGGGGGCAGCAGTTCAAGTGTATCGACGAGTGCCATACAATACCATCCTAGACTGCGTCCCCATACATGCGGACTCGCGCCTGTGATGTTGTTGGCCCATACTGCGGTACGAGAAGCGTCGTAGCCGTGGACTAGTAAGCCGGTTTCGTCGGAGTAGCAGTGCTGCCATAGGAGGTCAAGTTGGAGGACTACATCCTCCAGGACACTCTCGTTTGCAGAGTGGTTGTTGAGATCATTGGTGTATGCAGTGAGGAAAGGTGTCAGACTGAACATGCCATCCAGATAGCTCCAGTATGGATAGACGTAATACCATAACCCGCCTTGAGTATTTCTTGGCTGCAAGTCCACGCTCTTCCTCAATGCTTCAACTGCTGTTTTGTACTTTTCTTCTCCGGTTTCCCGCCATAGCCGCAGTAAGCCGTTTCCGCTACTTAAACGATCTAATGGATAGGTCGTGTCGCGTGTTGCATTGGAGACGACAGGAACTATGGAGTCGACGCTTTTAATTATGTAAGTGTTGAGCGTTGGTACTAGAGTGGTGTTTGCATAGGTGGAGAGGATTTGGCGGAACGTCTTTTGAATGAATCCGGCTTGCAGAAGGGCCGACGAATCGGTTTGGCTTTCCAGGATACCCTGGTTCCGAGAGATGATCGATTCAGCCATCTGGACGGAAAGAGGATGGGAGGCATGGCTACCGGTATTAGGGAGGGCTGTGGCTGAGAAGCTGAGGAGGCACAGGTGTGCAAGGATAGTAATTGACAGGTACATGACCGCAAGTATCAAGGCTTCGTCCCCAGATCTAGCGTGTCCAGGAAATGGGAAACTTTGGCAATGGCTTATGTATGTACGGGTTGTACGTGATGGACGGCAAGGATCGAGCTTGCGGCACGAAAAATGTCAATATTAGGTTCAGCACTAACTCAAGTGATCGGCACTTTCGGGGTTATATGCGGAGATTCAAAGAGCAGAACAGTAGTTCTCCTTTTTCGGGTCTCGTTGCCATACTCTTCTATTAGCATTATTCAAGCCTATCAATTAAGCACGATCTAACCAAGATGCGCGTTCAAATCTAGGGTATCAAAATACCGCCCCTGTATCCAGAATGATTTTGCAACCCATCCCAACAATGAATCCAGAGTAACAATGTCTTCAGTCCCATCACGCCTACACTCCAACAGTAAAAACCCTCTCTCCACAGAAACTGTGTCTATACGTCTAATGCACGGAGCATCCTTCTAGTTGCGCTTCTTTCCCATCTTCTCAACGAGCCTTGCCGCATCGTTGACAGCCGCAAACGCGCTCCATGTAGCCATGACGCTCTGGTACATGAGATATCCAGGGATGACGATCCAGAAAGCGTTCATCAGGACGAAGTAGCCCCAGTAGTAGAACTGCTCAGGGCGCGAGTATGAGAGGTTGAGGATGTAGTGGTCGAACAACGATGTAGCGTAGTATAGAACGTCACCGTAGAACTGACCGAGCGAGACGATGAGTTGGGCCGAGTAACGGAGAGGGTGATCAATGGAGATGAGGTAGGCGCAAAGGAAGGAACCAGGGCCCCAGAAAACCTATGAGGATGTGTTAGTCGCTGTGCTTGTTCCTGGGGCAACGAGAGGAGCGGTATATACGTACAGCAGTGACAGTCTCCATGCACAGAACGAAGGCATCCTGGGTCAAGTAACGTGAGTCGCTCAGCGCATACTCCTTCCACAGCTGTCCAAAGAGGTCGTTCAATCCGCCCATATTCCTAAAGTTGTAGGCGAAGTAGCCCTCGAAGAACGAGTGTATGCAGCCGCATAGCACAAACCACATGATGGTGGAAAGGTCGCCGGTGCTGGCATTGGGGCGCAGACGCTTCACCATCACGTACGTGACGCTGAAGATGGCAACGCATCCAGCAGCGAACATGAGCAGCAGGTCGAGCGTGCCCCATTTGTTGGCCAGATAGCCTACAATCTCCTTCTCAATGGGGTAGTAAGGGTGTTGGCCCGGAGGCAGCGAAAAGTTACCGGCGGCCATGGCGAAAGATGCGAAGATGCAATTAGACACAAAGGTAACAAAGTGATGGAGAGTAAAGAAGAAAAAGGAGTACAATAGCGAGTGCGACGTGTCTCAATGAGTGGGCTGCTAGCAATGGGGGCACGGCGTGCGTCGCGGTGCCAGCCAGGGCCAAGTGGGAAAATATTCCGGGGCAGGAGACGGGATGCCACTAGATTGGCGCTTGTGGCGTGCCCTCTCTTGACGGCAACAGGGATTACAGACGCGATCGCGACTCCCGCCATCTCAGATGTCAGCAAACTAAGATCCATGCGAAGCACGTAGACATGTGACCGTTCCGCGCGAAGGATGGTGTGAGCGGCAGTAATGGCTCCAGGGTCATTGTCTGAGATTCTTCGTCGTCGCTATCCTTATCTCATCCTGCCAACATTCTTTTGGCACGCTTCATTTCCCTAGCGCAAGGAGTCCTGCCGTTTTCGGGTAGGCATTCCAGCCTGCACCTTTACGCAATCAAGTTTTTGGTATCGAATAGCATTCGTTCTCGGTTCAGAGCCTCGTGTATGAGAGTGGTGCAGATGGTGAGCGTGATTGGAAGGAAGCCATGTCGAGGCCAATGCCCAAGTGCGCGTATGCTTCAAGGCTCGCAATCTGCAGAGCAGGAAGGAAATATAGTAAAGCAAATTGCGAAAGACGCTGCTTTAGCGTCAAGTTATCTACTTGCACGCCTCCAGTCGACGAGGCCCTGAAAGTCAGCAATCAACGTTCCCTACCCCTCAGGGCGCTAGTCCGCTTGTGGTATACCTCGGCTTCTACCCCAACATCCACCATCTCTGCGACAGCACAACGTTACTCTTCAACACACGCAAATATCGCAATGTCACAAAAGGATTCATCATCAGAGGCCAGTTGGCAGTCCGTGGCAAAGCGGAAGAAGGAAGAACAAGCTCAACGGATACCGAATGAGTGGAAGTTGAATAGCTTCCCAGGAGCCCATGTCAAGAGCTACACTGACATACCACGCAAGTCTGGACTTTTGACGAAGAAAGAGTTGGACATCACCGAACGTTATGATGCCGTGGCGCTGGCTGAAGCCATCAAGACAAACAAACTAACGTGCATCGATGTAACGAGAGCCTTCTGTAAAGTATGTCCCTTAAAACCACATCTGCGATTCTCACAGCAGATCAATATCTGACGTTGGAGCAGAGAGCGGCAATCGCCCACCAACTCACCAACTGCCTTACGGAGATTTTCTTTGACGACGCGTTGAAGAGAGCTTCAGAGCTTGACGCCCATCTGGCTTCGGGAAAAGCACCCCTTGGACCTCTCCATGGCGTGCCTGTCTCACTGAAGGACACTTTTAGGTTGCGTGGCTACGATGCTTCAATTGGTCTTGCGGCCCTCTGTTTTAAGCCAGCAGAAGAAAACTCGGTTCTAGTTGATTGCTTACTGAGCGCTGGAGCAGTCTTGTATTGCAAGACCAACATACCCCAAACGCTCATGGCTCTGGATTCCCACAACAACATCTTTGGACGCACTACAAACCCACTCAATACCGCTGTGACCGCTGGTGGAAGTTCAGGTGGAGAGGGAGCATTGATCGCAATGCGCGGCTCAGTGCTAGGCGTGGGCACAGACGTCGGCGGCAGTATCAGGATACCTGCCATGTGCGATGGAACGTTTGGTATCAAGCCAAGCTGGGAACGCATACCATACGCTGGGCAAGAGGGCGGTATGCTACCTGGAGCGACAAAAGTTGGTATTCCAGCCAGTGCAGGACCGCTCGCCCACACTATGCGCGACATTGAACTCTTCTTCTCCGCGGTATCAACTCAACAACCATGGGACATGGACCCGGATGTTGTACCGTCACCATGGTCTTCCCTGTCAACAACACGAAGGAAGCTAAGAATTGGTATCGTCAGAAGAGATGGGGTCATTGAACCACATCCTCCAATCCTAAACATCCTAGACGAAGTCAAAGATAAGTTGCAGAAATCTGAGATTGAGGTCGTTGAAATGGACATCACATCACTTTTCTCCCAATGTCAATCCCTCGCCAATGCACTTTTCGGTGTTGAGGGTGGAAACGCCATGTTCGATATTCTAGAATCCTTCAACGAACCCCTTTCGCCATGGCTCTCTACGAGGCTGAAGCGTAAGAAGCCCATGGATCTCCCAAAGGTGCAGCAACTGCACGGAAAGCGTGAACAACTACGAAAAGAGTTCTTGCAGATCTGGAAAGATAAGCATGGCGAAATCGATGCCTTTATCTGTCCTGTTGCGCCTCATCCTGTGCCGCCCATTGACCGGTACAACGGCGTGAGCTATACAAGTTCGTTCGTGCTGTTAGATTACCCAGCGGGTGTTGTGCCAGTCAGATCCTTTGAGAAGGCGGATATGGAGGGGGAGATGACGAGCACGAAGCCGATTGGGAGTTGGGATAAAGCGAATAGGGAACTTTGTAAGTACTGCCACTTCAATAGAGGGCGCTGAGGATACATGAAGTCACTGCATTGCTAATACCCATTATAGGGGCGGACTTCGATCGCTCGGTTTACCTAGGAACACCGCTTTGCGTACAGGTTGTTGCACCAAGGTTGCGAGAGGAGAAACTTGTACAAGCTATGTTCACTATCGACGAGGCGCTGAAGGGCTCAACCCGATCGAACGCGAAACTGTAGATCGATGATCAGCATATCTGTATGGCGCGCCCTTGATCATGTATCTCTCCTAAAAATCATCCTTTGAGCCGATCTTCCGGGAAGCGGCAGCTCAAACCATGTTCTGTTCTTCGCTACCAACTGCTTGCGGAACCCCAAAAAGGGGTACCATCGTCTTTAGCTCTCGTGATCACTCTTTACTATAAGTCTGCGCATGTCAGTAAGCGAGCGAGACATTGAGTGCAGATGGAAAAGCAGATGACTGCGCACTTGTCACATGATTGGAAAGACTGCCGAAAAATAAAGGTCTCCTTCCAAAGCTCACAGTCTCGTCGTCACATACTTTGTTTACTCTCAGCCGCTACTACCCTTACCTTGCATAAGTAGCGAGAGGCTGAGGATTTGCGAATCCGAAGAACATCGGCCGGGAATGCGTCGTCTATCTTCGCCTACCCCTGGCTAGCACTACTCCTAATGTAGTGTCATCTAGCGAGTCCCAACGTGACTGATTGGCGGGTATGCTTCCACAAGCTACCCACTATTCGTTTCCAGAAACAGGGGTGAGCGAGGAGGAGCATTTGTGTATGCGGTGGATACGCATGTGCTGGCAAGGGTAGACGATTCATGACATGTATGGCATTTGGAAGTTCGCATGTGCTGTCAGCATACATAAATGGACCAGGGCGAAGGACGGCACAGTAATCAGACCCACTCCGTAATTTAGTACTTGTGGGTATTATGGAAAAGCGTTACATTCTCCATGTGTCTATGCATGTTTTTGAGACGAACTGGTTTCTAAAACCGCGATTTTGCTCCAAATTGCAACGTTCGCCTACCCTGGTTGCTGTACCGTCGCGTCATTAGGCGAAGTTGTAATATCCACGACAACGTCAAGACGGTATCTGCATCCACTCTCTCAATGCTCCTGTTATCAACTCAAGCTACTAGCGTTTCCGGATGACCGAAGATCTACGTAGTCGACTGATATTATGGTTGTATTGCAGAGCCCATACTGTGAAGAGGATGTATAGACATAACGTAAGCTTACAAAAGGCTCAATCTTATGCTGTGGAACTCAGCTCCGTACGCCCCTTCGTATCCGATCCAAGCGTTTAGTACTAGCATAGTAACACTGTTACACCGCTCGTTACACCTAGCCGCAAAGATTCAATCGATGGTAATAGTTGCAGCGACTACCCTCATGACTATGCCTAATCGTCCATAGCACAAGCGAGACATGCCTCCCGCCTTGACGCCCAAACTCCTTTCAGAGAGAACACATAGTTCCCATCTATCCAAAACGCTGTTCCTGTAACACCATGTATGTTTGTTCGGCACCTGACTAGCTCGCTGCAAAAGCACCGTGGGAAATCTTATGCGAGTCCAGGCCCCCCTTGCTACCACCTTCTAGATAGCCGCTAGGTCGTTGAGTGCATAGCTCAACTCACGCCTCGCACCAAGCTCATCAATGCCGTCATGCGGCCGGTAGTGGCGTGTGACGATCCGTACAGTGGCCCTGTAGATTTCGTACCTATCACAGTCAGCATCGCAACTTCCTAATTACCCGCGCCCACCACTCACATGAGCATTCTAGTCCTCGCACCGCTAGTGTCCACGGGATAGTCTCCTAAGCCCGCGAAGAACGCTTCGTTGCCGTCCGCAATGCCCCCGCTCATCAGTGGATCGCCCCAGATAACGTTTGAGAACCCGACCAGACCAGCGACTTGCTTAGTACGCTCGTCGATGAGCACATTTTCCGGGTCGCATACGTTGAGGGCTACAAGACGCGGCTCGGTGACTTCCTCCAGGCAGTACGCGTGTTTGCCAACCCAGTAACGTATGCTTTCCGAGTGTGCATTGACTAGCATGTCTTCTGCGTCACGTAATGCGGCTTCCAGGAGAGCAAGGAAGGCCTCACGCCAGGAGTTGTTCCCATTTTTGGCAAAGACCCGATGTGTCATACCAAACTGAGTTGCAGATAGTGTGGTAAGAGCGCGGACATGAGTACCCAGTGTACGGTCGATAGAACTTCTTTCGCCGGCTGTAAGGTATGGCGCAAGTTCCGAGAGCTTGCGACCGGGTATGTGGCTCATCATGAGAAATGGTGTGCCGAGCGGTCCGCCATGAGTATCGTGCTTGATGAGTTGAGGAACAGGTATTTGCGTGTATTCGTGTAGTGTCTCAAGCGTCTTCCGTTCTGTTTCCAGAAAGTGCTTCTCATGCCGGAGGAGTCGGACATTGTAAGCTGGTGGGCATTTGAGCATTAAGCGACTGCCATCTACTAGTCTTGTGAGATAGACTTGGTGGAGACATCCTTGCAAAACTTCAACTTGCTGCACAGTGATCTTCGAGGAACGGAAGACTGATCTGATCACTCTTTGTATGCTGGGAAAGTCGAGTGTAGCGATGGCAGTTCGTGAAGATGTTGATGAAGATGACGATGATGAAGAAGTGGTGGAAGAGGGTCGAGCGGGCTTTAGAGCATACGTTCCACGGCTCATACTGGTGAAGGGGTAGATTGCGACATCTAGCGGGGGAAGATGCATTATAAAGGGTTGGGTAGCGATGTACTAGATTCGAGCAGGAGGCTTGGCGTGATGCGAAAGTGGAGGAGGCCCGGAACTTGCTGGCTGCTGCATGTCAAGGACTCTCCGGGCATTAAGAAAGACCCGGTGCTATATGGACAACTTCAAATCGTGTTCCATTTCTATCATACCAACGAAGCTCGATCCGATTATGACGAATGTTCCGATGAATGTCGGGAAGCAAAAGCATAGTAACGCCAGTCCGAGCAAGACCGAGTATTCTGAATTCCAATTGATGAAGCCATTTCTTTCGTTCGGCCACAACGATTCGCATAACAGTCAACACATAGTAGCACGCCTAGAGGTTCCAATCAGTCAACAAGCCACATCGACTACCCTCTCGCCTATCCCCTGCTTAGCCGAAAAGCAAAAGTCATTTACATGTGTACGGTGTACGGAGCTGGTAAGTAAGCGCTCTCGCTCTTAGCGAATAGGACTAGTGAAGGCGGGTACGGAGGCGGAGAAGGACGCGAGAGGCGTCAAGGTTGGCGTTCTCAGCGTTCGCCAAGGATACCCACAAGCGGCTAGGCGTCCGTTGAAGATGTCGCGTATCACGAATCATGATTGGCTATGCAGACGAACGGATGAAGAATGCATCAATGATCAACGTCCTTCCATAGCACATGCTGATGGAACCTGAAAGACGGTAAGTGACCACGTGAACATGAATGTGGTGGTAGAGAGTGAGATGTTGTGATCAGCGCGATGTCAGGCCAGTATGGGCCCTCCGTTGGCCCTGCGCAATCTGTTACCAGGACCTGGCCAGCCAACTACTTCCACACCATCGCCGCCCTTTCGTCATCATGGTGGCGGCCCGTGCAAGCCCTAGAATATGCACCCGACAGATTGGAGACGGGTCGCAGCAAAACACTGGGTCTCATATCAGCATCTGGATAGCTGCTCCAATGTTTCACCAGACGGCTGCTCCATCTCAAGCGTAACCATATACGCAAGCCACGGTGGTCCCGATCGGAGGTTTGTTCGATTTGTGGAAATTGTTGCGCTGGGCGTTCTAGCCACGAGACTGCTATCCCATGCACCAGATCCGCTCATCTCCTTCTCAAGCACTGTTGTTTTCATTTGTCTTGCCTGACTGACCGTCGACTTCTGATTTGACAGAAGACAGTGGCTGACGAAGCTCTTCGATGTTGAAACGTTTGAGCTTCTCAAAGTCGGGACCAACCACGCTCATACCCAAGACGTTCTGTCGGATGTAAGCAACTGCCCGAATCTCATCACACCATGCGGGTGAGACGCGTGAGTACGACGTGGGGGTATGACCGTACCTTGTAAATTTCCACAAGAATAAGAAGATCATAGTTTTTCAGGTCGACTTTGTGCCCAGGACCAACCACGGCTGCGATTGTGTTGATGACGCCGTCTCTCAAAAACTCCTTGTTGTTACGTATCGATGGGCGTATCGCAAACTTGGGTCAGCGCGCATTAGCGAAGATCTTTGTACGACGAGGCTGCATCAACTGATAGAATAAATTTGTACTCACCTTCTTCCCTGCTTGATCTGCGCCATGGAAGTGGGGTGCAAGGACCTCTCTCGCGACAGCTTCAAGACCCTGAGGGGTGGCTTTATCGGTTGCAGTAATGGGTGTTAGTCGTTTAACGTAGCGTAGATTCTTTGGCTGAGCGCCATTTGAAATGTCCTGACAGATCTTGTGAACAAAGGAGACAGGTTCGATAGGTGAGCGTGTCCTGAAGAACATCACTTGTATGGGTCAGCATGAACCACCAGAAGCATGATCGGCTATCCTTACAGCATTGGGTATCGAGCTTGAGGGATGTGAACAATGGCTTCGTAGTCGGCTTACGAATATCGGCGAGCTCTTTTTTGATCTCAGCTTCAATGTCGCCCCCTTCGGAGTCAGAGCTGTCTTCTGCAGCCGTTCCGTTGGACTCAGCCGTCCCATACAGCGTAGTAGCGTACTATGACTAATCAGCATCACCAGTAGTATCACTCACTCGTAGTGCAGTGTCAAGGTCCTGCTTACCTCTTGGAACAAATCTCGTAGGTCAGAGACTGATTTTGCTTCCTTCTTCATAGCGCATGTTGCCCAGATGCCCGCATCGCCGGGCTTGATAGCCCGAGATTGTATCCCACCCCTACGGGGCATATCCCAGGTTCTTTTGCCCTAAAGTCTCATATCAGCATGATGAAGCTCACTGCAGCTGCTGCATGACGAGAATGGAACTGCAAGGACGGGCGGAGTTTTGACAGTCGCACGAAGAAAAGAACTTACCTTAGCTCTTTTGTCGCCGCCATCTTGCCGTTCGCGGGGCTCGGCTTTCCGCTTCCTCGGATTATTATCTGTTCCGGACATTTTCAATTATTCTAGGTGAAGCGGTAGAATGGGAGTAATGTGATGATGGTAGTTGGAAAGTCGGGTCGAAGCCATTGAACGGCAGGGAAAAAGAGGCTAGACTTATTTCATCCACTAGCCCGGCTCCTCCCGCCTGGGCTATATCTCCACGTTCCGCATTTCCACCAGCGCACGCAGCTTCGCTCGATCTACCGACCAATACCGCCGAGATACGCTCATTCAGTGGCGTCAATGCCTCATTTGAATCCTTACATTCCGAGATGGGCGCTGCCGCCAAACATCCTGCAGCTCTTGTGTCGGATGAAAGCCAGATCGTCTCCACTTAAATCGTGGACGTTGTCAGATGCAAGCCTGTTGATTGTGTAGTACACGAGGCCGAAGGCGTTCGGCGACGGCTTTCGCCGAACATTTGGTTTGTTTTTCATCTATCAATAGCTATGAGGAGTATGCATTCGCAATAACTGCCGCAGTGTGGGGGTTTGCCAAATCCAAAGCTTCCCGGATTCAAAAACCTGCATGTGAGAAGTTGCGATTCACATTACATGACAAGCGCGGCTCCTTGAAAGGACGGTAGCCTAACTGTGCCGCTTTGCTAAGAAGCCTCCTAGAATGTTGGAGAAGATACGCTTGCATTCAATCTGCATCTTTCAGTCTGTATAAATGAAATTGGTACCAGATTCCCAAGACCCGAACGTAAGAAGATTCACTTCATCACTTTAGCACCGCTCGAGGCAGGCTCGTCTAGGGTAGCGACATCACAAGGCGTATGCCCCACTGAAGCACCCCAGAGCACCCTCGACCACTCTTGTGGTTGCGGCTTCTCTCCCTTAATAGCGATTATCTATCCTGAGTGTCGCTCGGACCGCGGGAGTTGCGAGTGGCTCATCAACTATCCGTTACTGCAAAACTACGGTATTGCATTGCGAATCGTAGGCTGTCTTGACACTAATAACGGCCACACTTAGGAAATCACGCGTAACTGTCTTCTTAGCGGATGCTTCAATCGACGCTTTCGAGTGTGGTACTGTATTGTTGCTATTAAGTCTACTAACTTATTAGCTGGCTGTTGCTCTAGCCAAGACGGAACTTTGTCAATACTTGTTTATTCTCAAGTTAACTTCCGCTTTGTTCACCCTGGTAATGCGGAAAGCAACCATGGACCCAGCCGATGTGGAGGCTTACTGCTCATGCGAAGCCCACCCAATAATCGTATGTCCCGAATGCTTGTTCTTGAAATAACGACTATGATCACTATCCGGTTCCTTGAACGGCCAATTCTTGTACGCTTTCACAAGCTCAATGATCATCTCTTTCGTCAGCATCCGGACCCTGAGATGTTCCATTTGCAACCGACCACCTTTCTTCGGATCTTTCAAGCTGGGGCACTCGTTTATGATATCGCTAAGTCCGTGCTGCATTTTGTCAAGGCAATGGTTGACACCATCTTGGGGATGCGTATAGAGTCCGAAGATGAAGTCTGTCACCCATTCGTGGAAGTCTGAGGATTCGCCAACGGGTCTGGGTATGGGTTCGGCAGAGATGAGGGACAGACGGTTCCGGGGCCAGACCTCATCTTTGCGCATCACGAGGGGCTCAAAAGGACGGGCGTCCCATTGAAGAAGGGGAGAAGGCAGCGAGCGTATGGCGAGGCGGTCATCGATTTCCGCTGCGGATGCCTTTGTGTAGTTTGAGTTTTGACTTTCAATGCTATGATTCCACTTCTGGTCCAGTTCGGCTAACTTGGTCATTGCCGAGTCCCTTTTAGGGCCATCTTGCATGCCGAGAATCTTGCATTCGAGCTTGTACATTTCTTCCCCTATATCTGCAACAGTTGATACCAGCGATTTGTTTTTTAGTGTCAGGGCAGTAGAGGCGATTTCCTTGTAAAACTTGCTTATTTGGGCCTTGTAAGGGTGATCAGCAGGTGGCTTTTTTCTTTTCGTTCTCTTCCCCGCGATCTCTACTGGGTTAAGATCGATCTCAGGATAATTCTCTGTAATGCCTTTCATCTCTTCGTAATGTTCAATAAGGCCTTGGGGAAGTAGGCCAACGGTGCTCTTGCCCGCTAGTTGTTGCTCGCGGAGGTAATCCTGCATTTCATTATGACTGATTATACCTGTGCCATTGGAGATTTGCTCGACATCTGCAGCAAAATCATGAATGTTATCGCGCCGGTGTAGTGGAAGCTCTATGCCGAGCTCTCTCCCTCTCCTCAGAGCGTGGACGGTAGTTTCTATCTCATATTGCGGGTCACGACCTGAAGAGCCTCTGCCCTTACTGCGTGGGGCGCGCTCTGGAGCCACGAAGACGTTCGTGCTCTGTGACATCTCCATGAGACGGTTCGTCTTCTGCAAGCTACTTACAGAGTCGGCGATCATAGGGCTGAAGTCATCGTGCTGCACCCAGAGTAATGTACGCACTAGTCCGAAGGCGTGGAACAGATCGTTTGTCCACGCGGCGGAGGCGAAATGGTAGGCGAGCTGCTTCGCCATTGAGTCGAAACCGAGACCGGGGAGTCTCAGATCCCAAACGAGGGAGCCTGTGACTAACAGTGTATTATTTGGCTCCTGTGCTCGGGGGTCGTCGGGATCCAGCACAGTCTGATGTGGGAAGACGCCGTTTGTAACCAAGTCTCGGTATGTCTGCAACGCGAGTGGATCTTCGTTCACGAGCGAGTACTTGGAGTCGGGTGCTGTAAGGAGAGGATCAAGAAAGTCCTTGAACTTCTCATGTCGTTGTTCGAGGAGCACATGGCTTCGCGGTTGGAGGTATTCGTGCAGCTTCTGCGACCAGAGCCCAGCGCCAGGATTGATGTCGAGGATGTCGCAACCTTTGTGCTTGTCTAACGTATGACTGACATATTTGAGCACGTCATCTAGTAGTAGCTCGTGTCAGTCGCGCTCTATGAAGATAAATTCGGGACATGACGTACCGCATAGGTCGGGACTTACAATCTGTGTTCTAACGTGAACGCCTCCCTGTACTACCGGTTTGCTTTCATTCCGCGTTTTCTTCCTCTTCGGCTTCACTTCTTTGTCTTTGTAGGGGTGTATGATATCCGCGACAGCCACACTCAAAGGATATTTGTGGTTTATGGATAATTTCTCGTCATTCCAGTAATGGTCCTTGCTTCTAGGGCGTCCAGGCTTACGGCTGGGAGTCGTGGCAGTGGATCGCGACTGGTTCCATTGTCTGGCGGATGAGTTCGCTCGCCAGGCATTGCGCAGTATGATGGGACGTATGCGGATCATCAAGGCGTGCGGGATTGTGGCTCTGTCCTGAGAGTGACCTCGGGGAAGTTTCGCCGCGGGGATCCCAGCCGCTTTGAGATAGCGTGCCTATCTTCACGTGCTCACGCGTCTCCCTCCAGCTTGGCAAAAGCATCATTACGAATCTTGTCTGGGTGCAATTGCAACATGAGCGTTGCGTGAGCTCTTCATCATCAGCCAATACCTTTGCCGCCAAACGATGACGCATGGCTCTCGAAATGGAAGGTGGCGCCACCAAGAATGCGCACAATGAGGCCTCCAAGCCAGCTAATATACACCACCTCACATTTTCATCATGTCGCAGACGAGTAGCAATATCCTTATCATCGGCGCTGGAACATGGGGCTGCTCCATTGCCCTCGAGCTCGCTCGTCGCGGTCACACTTCAATCAGAGTCCTCGATGGCAACCCATTCCCCTCTCCCATTTCTGCTGGCAATGACCTCAACAAGATCGCGGAAGAGAGCAACGAGCCGTCCGACTCCGACTCCGATGAAGAGTTCTTCTGGAATACGCTGACTCAACTTGCAATGCATGCTTGGAAAATGGATCCCCTCTTCTCAACCTTCTACCACGACACGGGTTTCATCATGGCCGCTGTCGGTGATGAAGCATATGAGCGCTGCAAAGAGTATGCCAAAGGCGAGAAGATACTACCCGCATCCTTGAATACAAAGCATGATTTCCAACGGACGATGCCAGAAGGGGTGCTGCAAGGCGACTTTCCAGGCTGGAGGGGCTTTTGGAAGGAGGAAGGTGCAGGCTGGGTGTTCGCTAGTGGGGCTCTGAGGGCTATCCATCAAGAGGCTGTGAAGTTGGGTGTGCAGTTTTTGACTGGTAGTATGGAGGGTAAGGTTGACAAGCTACTGTATAGTCCAGACAAGAGCGCAGTGTTGGGAGCGAAGACTGCAGATGGCATAGAGCACACAGCTCAGCAAACCATCTTATCAGCTGGTGCGAACAGCGACCTGCTCTTAGACTTCAAGCAACAACTTCGACCCACAGCGTGGACACTCGCACATCTCCCCCTCTCCGCCGAAGAAGCAGAGCAGTGCCGGAACTTACCTGTCCTATACGGTGTAGATCGCGGCTTCTTCATCGAGCCGGATGTCGAAAGACATGAAATAAAGCTTTGCGATGAACATCCAGGGTATATCAACCCCATCACAAACGACAATGGAGAGATGCGCTCCCTCCCATTCTCACGTCAGCAGATTCCCATGGAAGCAGCATCACGTATGCGTCTTCTTCTCTCCGAAACGATGCCGCAATTCGCAGACCGAGACTTCAGCTTCGCCCGTATTTGTTGGGACACAGATACTGTTGATCGTATTTTTCTCATCGACAAACACCCCGATGTGCAACGCTTGCTTGTAGCGGTCGGAGGATCTGGAAACGGCTTCATGGCATGCCCTGCAGTCGGTACTCTGGTCGCTGATCTACTTGAGGATAAGAGCGAGGAGAGAATGAAAAAGATGATGAGATGGCGACCAGAGATGAGTGTTAAGAGAGACTGGTGGGATGCCCAGGGGAGGTATGGTGCCGATGGGAAGGTTATGGATATTCGACAAGTGGAAGAGTGGACGACGATAGGAAGGTAGTATGCCTAGATTCAGATCAACTCATGGAGACATTTCTTCCAAAGACGTAGCTTATCCGTTGTGAGCACGGAGAAGCTGTACGTATCAACGAAGACAGCAGCCGAGTACTCTGTCGTGGCGGACTTGCTTTGAGACAGCAAAGTCTTGCTAGCCTTGGATTAAGCTGTTCTCAAGATATCTGATGTCTATCAGGATGTTTCGTGAATCATCGACTCCCAAAAATAGACTCGCCGATTCAACATACACGATCCACTTTGTCCGCCTCGCATGTGGTCCATATCTCTTGAATGTTGGACAGTTGATTTAACTTAGTCCTGAAAAAAGGCATGAACACAGCCTCTGAGTAGATTTCTGTGCAGTTTAATTGCAGACCCAAGGCTGTGTTTTCAGGCACCCCGCGATATGACCTAGCAATTCGGACCTTAGGCATCCCGCATCATCGGTGGTTATCCTGGCATGTTCACGGAGATGACATAGCTTCGACATCTAATCAGGAGTCCATCTCTCCACGTGGAAAATGTTCCTAGCGTTGTAGTCAGCGTGGAGATTGATGCCAGGGAATTCGTGGGTCGGCGTTTGGCGGTCCGCTGGTCGGCGATTGCAGATCCATAGGTCGGTGATTTGAGGCTGTGTAGGACATACACTGCCACGTTTTACCTCGACATTCCTTCTGATTCATGACGCCCTTCCAAATGGCATCTCCAGCGACGTTGCGGTACCTAATTTTAGATTCGCTTGGAGTGAAAGGAATTTGTCGAAATGAATGAGGCAACATGATCCGTTAGCTGGATTATATCAAAAAGACAACGATGACGGCACAACAGGTTATGTCTCTTATTCCGGCTAATGATAGACTGGGAAAATATGTGAGTCTAGAGCTATGGTGTTGTGGCTGCATCGGCTCCCGTGTGTGCCTTCGGGTATTGCCGTTGTTGAGTACTCGTCGCATGTCATCTATGCGGGACGTTGAGGCTCGATGCCTAACGTACGAGGATACTCGGCATTTTTGGGGTCGCCTAAGCCGACCATGCCGATACAGGACCGTTGTATACCCCTTGTTTACCATCCAATCGTATCGCATCCTAAAAGAGGTTAGGCTCTGTTCATGATCGGCTTCGGACCGATATTACACTACTCGAACATGGGTTCTGGAAACATTTGATATTACTCACGCATGATTCTGAAAAGAAAGTAATGATAGGGAGCCTGAGAATGGGTCGAATCCTTGATTTACATGTATGTAAATCATCGCCTCTTGCATCAATCATAGTGACTATCATTATTGGGCCGGTCATGGCATCTAGTGACTGCCTAAACCAGATTCCCTGAACTAGAAGATGGAGTACGTCGCAGTCAGATGCCAGGAGTCTTTTCAACGCTGTAGACGCTCTTTTCGGCCTAGGATTTGACTCCAATGACATTTCTCTCTTGAACTAGTGTGTGATGGCATCCATTCGCACAGTCAGTTACAGCATGGCGTGAGTGGATGAACAAGAATCATTACTGTGATGCACTGTTTATGCTCAGATTTAGACGTAGTGCATTGGTGGGGGCTATCCATTCCTGAGCGCCTGCGAATCAGCTGAGGTGCGAGCCGTTGGTGTTGGTCCATACTGGGTGACAGGCAGTGCGGGCGGGCGGCCATAGGTGGCAATGTCTCTTGCGTTGTCATGTCACTAGGCAACAAAGCGATGGAAGTGACGTGGAAGCTCAGCAAAGACTGGTAAGAGTTAGGCATGTAGCGTAACGCAAACTCTTGACTTTGACTGTCAGTCAATTGGCAGGAGGTGGGCCCAAGGATGGAAAGTATCAGTCGAGTACGTCGACAAATTCATCTGTCACATTTGTTTTGCGACGCATCCCGCTCGAAACCCCCTGCAATTGCTGAGGAAGCGAAGCTGATTGTCAGCCGTTCAGAGCTTCTCCAGTACTCAAAGAAGGCAGTGTATGGAAGCACGCAGCTTCCGTGTTGCCGCTCTGGACACCCAACTATGTGTTAATTGAGGATACAGACCACCTGGTACGATGTTGCCGAAGCGCCGGGCAACGCATGCTGACTGCTGTTCACGATGCAACCTAGGTACTGCCTGGATATCCTATTATTGCACGGGCGTTATCCGTGTCGAGATGGGGCCATCTGACTATTGACAGTCGGAACCCTTTCACCATTAGGGAAAAAGTTCTCCGAGTTTGCTATCCCACAATTTGCTCCGAAGTGTATACGTAGATCTCGGGCCAAATGGCGTATGTCCGACGGTCCGAAGCCAACGCAGTGTACTTCATGTCACCAAAAATCTCGATCAAGTACAACAATGTACTAGTCTTACCAGAGCAAGTTTAACCGCTTTGGAACAACGGGCGCTTCGAAGACTGTCGTTGGCTTTGGCCAGTATGTGGATCCGTCTATCCATCCCTCGCGCTCGTTGGTCATGTTTCGTCCTTCGCACTTTAGCCATGTCGAAAACAACAGGCTCACTGCATGCTACGCAGCTGAGCTAGTTGACCAGGACGAGTCGTGATTCGAAATGTAATCAAACCGTTGTTGTCAGGAGCTGGCTTGGCAAACACGGGTCGCTCGTCAGAAGTGCGACATTGTTACTGGAGGGACAAAAGCCGGTGAATAGCAAGTAGGATCATTTGACAGACCGCTTGAAACGTCGCTTACTCAGACCTTGCCTTAAGATTTCTTGATTGTATGTTGCTCGCGGGGCTCAAAACTGCAGGGGTTAAAAATATCTTACGGCTCCCGGCCCAAGAGTAGCGCGGGGCGTATCCCCCATGCGCTACGCCCAATTTTTTGCCGGCGTAAGCGACTCATTTTCGTCGCTTTCCTACCATGCTGCGATCGGCAGACCATCATCTCCAAAGCCATGGAGAGCGCGCCTTTGCCCCTCATCTGTTACCGCCTCTGATGTTGGTCCACAGTCCGTAGGACTAGGCGTAGTCCAAAGTGTGGCCTTCGTTGTGGTCGTGCTCTGCACTCATCGCCATGTCGTTCTCAAGGTGCCATATTGACCCAAGCCTAAACATCAGACGATTTGGTGAAATGCTGGTAACCGAAGCGCTGTTAGCCGTTGGCAAGGTATCGCATTAATTCCTCGAAGGATCGTTGACAAGCGAGAGCGAGATGGTTGAAGCTTTCCCAATAGACTAACCCTAGTAGGCCACTCCTCAGACCAGCGCTAGAGCGGTGCGGTCACCATGTTGGCGGTACCTTCACCAACAAGGATTAGCTAGCCGGCCCGCGAGGCTCACTCGCTCTCCACCGCAATTGTGAAGGGATTATGCACCTGGTCTGAACTGGGACCATGAACTATGTGACGGTATCTCATTGGGACGAGCGCGACAAGCGTTAGCCAAATTACCCACGTCCCATCATGACAAACAGCAGCTACTACTCCTTCATTGGATATCTGACCCGGCACAGCTATGTATCCTTCAGCAGAGCATTACAAGCTTCGTCTGCGCCCCGGATCTACGTTGAGTATATGCCACATGTTCAGCCGCTCAGCATTTCGCAACTTCTAAGTTGGTACATTTAAGGCCGTCCTCCAGGGCCCAGTGGAGTTTCAGGCACTGCAAGACATCATAACACCGCCACTGCCCGCTACGCTTTTTCGACGAATCTCACGCCCCAGCCTTACCGTTGTGGAGTGGTCCCTAGTGCGCTCCCGGGCTAATCCTGTACACCCCGGACTAGCAGCCTTACCATACCCTAATCCCTAGAGTTTGGGTCTGTGCCTTAAGACTGGTTATCCTCACCCATCTGTTGGACTTCCCGCTTAGACGCACTGGCCTACTCTTTGCATGATATACAACCTGCGTTGGTTTCGATTTGCGGCCATTTAACGACCGCCAGATATCCCTTCTTGATACACTTCCACAATACTGCGAACCACTCTTGACCACTACACCACCCCGCGCTATACATGATGAGCTTCTTTTCTTCCGAAGCAGAACTAGCGCTCATGGCGCCAGACGACGGCATGGGTCACTTGTACCCCTCTAGCACATGTCAATCACCTCCGAGCATCATGTACTCACCACCGTTACACCATATGGCCCACCGACCATCAACGACGATGCCAGGACACCCGGCAATGTACACACCACCACAAGACTACAGGCCGGTTATGGACTCCCCATACCCACCTCACGGACTCTGGTCGACACAACCCTCGACGATACCGTTACCTCAAGTAACGTCGTATTCTTACCCGTCATTCTCTGGAATGGCATCTCCTCCGATGCTCGCGCATGACTCGACGTTACTCTCACAGTCTTTTGGCGCACCTCGACCATCAAGGTCGCACTCTACATCGTCATCCACAGGTCATGGCATTCCCTCCAACGTCCCCTCCGAGAGATCACCACCTGCCCTCTCACGATCGCTTTCTCCTTCATCGCCAGACCTTCGATCTTATGGCATTCCAAACAAGAACGGTACATGGAGTTGCGCTTTTCCTGGATGTACCTCAAGAGCAGTTTTTACTCGCGGCTGTGATCTCAGGAAGCATTACAAGCGGCATACAAAGTCCTTCTTCTGCAGGCATGGCGACTGTCCACAATCAACAGGAGGAGGTTTCTCGAGTAAGAAGGATCTTGCAAGACATGAGGCAAAGCACAACCCGGGTGTCCTATGTGACTGGGATGGGTGCGACAGGGTCTTCAGTCGCGTGGACAACATGGTAAATATTGACTCTATTCCATGGGAGAATGAACTTCGCTAACAATTTCCACAGAGAGATCATGTCAAGAGGATCCACCTTAAAGCATCTAGAAAATCATCAACGACCTCCGCCTAACCGTCGTACTTTTGATACACTTGCCAACTGTCACGTCTCTGAAAGGATCGTTTCAGCGTTTACGGCGTCTGTATCCCTTGCCCTGGTTCGAGTCATCGCCGTAAACCTTCGTTAGCAGCGCAGACAGCGGAAAAATTGGAGACCTGCCGGCAGCGAAAAGCCACAGGCTACCAGGACTACAACCCCTTCACTTTCGTTCATGATACCCTGTTTATTTTTGCATTCGCATTCTTGTTCATCTACGAACGCAGCATTTTCTGCGTCGTTGCATTGCTATGGCGTTTCACCAAACTAGAGCATACCTAGGTATTGAGTAGGGTCATTTGGTTCATTCAAAAAGGACACAACACGGTTAGAACGCTTGTTGGGAATTGGTGTGGATAGATGCATATGGCGTCGCTGTTGCCTACACTAGCTTGGTACGAGTGACGTTCAGCAGCGACAACAATTTCAATCCCAACTCTCGACCAGTACGATGCTCCGCATTTCCTCATCATCTTGATTATTTTAACGAACACTACGTCATCCGGGAGCCTAAAACCTACTTTCCAACAACGTTGCAGGCACGATTCCAGTCTTACCACGGGTTGTCACGCCAGAATATCGACATGGTCGGGGGTTAATCGTATGCGACTCCGGCTCGTTAGTGGGAGGCCTTACTGCCTTAACAAGGCTGACTTGCGGTGCCATCCACTCATGTGGGCCGGGACCCTGTGACAGGGTGGCTGTATCGTCTTCGCGAATCATCTCTGTGCTCACCGCACAGGGATTATTGGCTGGCGTTCTGCTCCGTCTGGCAGATGATCGGATTGCAAATATGGCATGTTCAGCGATCGAGAGCGATGGTCGCCCCACCGCGGACCAAACGAAGACATGCCGCAACTCTTTTTGTTTCGAGACGAGCTCCGACAAACATGTCATCCGACGACATGGCGGTGCTACGCGGCGGGACACTGTATCCGCGATGGTGGCTATCGCCATGGTTCAGCAATAAGCCAAGCCGTTTCAAGAATTTGGGACATGCATAGCTTCCAGTCAGACCTGCATGTCGATGGATGAATAGGACGCATTACGTTAGATGAGGGCTGTTACTACGACTTCCAATCACATTCCATCACATGCACTGGAAAGCAGGGCGCCCAAGCGGCTCCATCCCGCGAGCTTACATATGGTAGAGGAATGCATGCACGATGAGGTCGACCCTATCGCGGACTCCGAGAATCCGAGTATCCATCGATCAAAAATACTCATGGTGGTTGCTCGTGACGAAGGTGCGTCACGCTTCGCTGCTGTTTGTGCCACGCTAGTGCACGAGTAACATCATAAAGCGGCTACGTCCAATAGTTTCTGAAGTTACCGTACGGCTACATAGCCTGTTACAATCTGAACAGGTGTGAGCTTACGGCATATGTTCCGGGCGGCAATCCAGCGGCCCTGACAACCCGCCGTTCGATGCAGCCGGCAAGCAGCCAAACACGCGATTTTCATGGCCGCGGCATCGCGACGGCATGGAAGACAAGGATCGAAGTCACACAGCACAAGGTAACCTTCGGATGGATTATAAGCCGTGATTTTGATTCGCTTGGCCATGGTCTTCGGGGGGTTGACTGTGCCGCCACGAGGTGGATGCCTATTGTGGTTGGTGTGCTTTGCGACTTGTCAAGGTATCAAACTCATGCAGGACATCTAAGGCGATTCATCCCCCTGTTCCACCGGTGAAAATAATGGGAATGGCCATGCACCGATGGGGATTTAGCGCACTCCACTCTTCTCCAGTAGCTTATTTATCTGCTGGGAAGGGTCGATCTGGGTCGCGCTACAACGAACCCTCATTTCTTCAGTCTGCGCTTCTTTGTGCCCTTACATGGCCCCCACAATCAGTTCTAATATCGTCGCTAAGCGCATATAGCCCTGACCCTTTGCTTTTTAGTGCGCGTTTCATCGGGAGTACTGTTGCGAGGCGCACACGGAATGCTTGAGGAGCTCGTGTGCTCTCAGATGTGCAATCCCGATACCTAGGTATGACCTGGACAGCCCGTTGAAGGCCTGATCATTCCCAGTCAAGAGGTTATTGTCCGAATACTCTCATCCTTCTTGGCCTATCTGCATATCGAATTGTCTGGCCAAGTTGCCAACCGTGCATGAATATGGGGATCCCAGCATGCATCTTTCGGACCCTGGCGGTGATCGACGGCTTTGGGAAGGCAATGCGATAGTCGCACCGTGCGGACTTCCAACACTGGATGAACGCGTCGATGTCACTGCTTCCGAGCAACACACCATATCATGCTGAATGACGCATTCGCTTGCCTTTGTTTCCTATCCACCGAATATCGGAACTCCAGAGGAAGAACAGAGGCTCCATCGTTACTGCTGATACCCACCAGAGTCCACATTTTCCAGTCTGACACATGCCTTTCAAATCACAGTGCACCTATTACCATCGGATATAATGACAGCGAGTCAGCGTAGCCTGCCCGCTTGATCGAACGACCCGGTTGACTCGCGGACGGCTCCAAATATCGCAATTCCGCCCTTCGCCAGCTAGCAAGCCTTAGTGAAGTTGTGGCGCTGGTCTGAGGCGGAAAAGGCCGGCATACGCACATAAACGCGGAATAGCCGCACTCGTTCCTGAATGCTAACCTCGAACGACTTCTGCGCCTGCAGACATGCGAGCTAACGCTTTGATGATGCACGATGGCACAGACATCTGCATCTTGTCTACAAAGGAAGGTGCAAGAGGAGAAATTTGTGATCTGGAACACCAACTCCGCCCCGCAGCATATGCCTCGAAGAGTGCATATTGCGCTGTCATTACAACCCAACATCGCCGACGTAAGGGCGCTACATGGAGTCCTCTGAATGGTCTCACCGAGCATGCATGCAGCCGGGCCTCAGCCCTGTGTACCAGTCGGACCGACCCGATCATGAACCTCCAACCTCGCACGGCGAAAATTTGCCGTGCATCTTCCGATCATCGATCAGAGAGGCATCAGCATGTGAATCTGTGTTGATATCGATGACAAAAAACGCGAAGACGACTGCCTGGTTGTAAATATTGCCCTGGCCAATCACGCAATGACATCTTATCAATGTCCCCAGCCGAAATCGGCGTGCATTCGCAACACTTAATGGAAGCCGCGTCACTCTCGACACGAAACGCTATTATGATATTTCGAACGCGTATGTTGCTGATAAACTCATATCCGTCGGAATTTACGACGTTTGCTCAAGAGTGTGTTATGTGAGAATTCCCAATAAGCAACTGGCTCCATTATAGCTTCAAGGTAGGACTTGAAAGTCTCTCTACTTCGAAATGGGTCTTCAAAATATGACTATTCTTCTACTCGCCATTTTCGTTCTTCCTATAGCGCATGCTACTATCGAAAATCCAGAAGTGCCTAATGCAAACCATGTCTTCAACGCCATTCATTCATCCATGAGACAATGGGGTTCGTCACTTAATCACAATGGAATGTCGTTCTTCCTCGCCACAGTGCCAGCTGGAACTCAGCTCTACCATGGAACTTCGAAGCTAGAAGCAGTTACCGGGACAGAGTGGTTGGCGTTTGAACCCGAGCATGCACTCATCTTTGCACGCCCTCGTCGAGGACCGCCGCCGAGAGAAGGGCATGGCCCGCCCAACGACCAACCTCATCATGGAACAGACACATCGGATAGGCGATCTCATGGAGAATCACTCCCAACGACGGACGATGGTAGGAAAAACTACTCAGACGCTGAGCGTTTTGCTGATACAAAAACTCTAGGAGCGAGGCCGGCAACACCTCCTCACAGACAGCCACCGCCTCATGAGCGACCAGGAACGCCTGTCTTAACGTATGATGTTGAGCATTATGAACGATTTGATCGCAAACCTCCCACGCACCATGAAGAAAGAAACTACCCACAGCAGCCACTGAGCTCAACCGATTCGAAAGAAAGCACAAAATACGGTTACTTACACACTTACACACCAAAGCACAATCTTCGCCTACTATATCTTGATGGTCTCTCCGCTGGCAAGACTCCCAATGGCACACTTGACACGCAAGACATGCTGCTCCTTAACCTCACCGACTCGGATAGTCCTATGGGGGGCGAATACAAGCGTGCGGAAGGTCTTTGCAATCTAACGGCTACTCTTTGGGAAGATAAGATCAATGGCGTCCTGCGCATGGAGGCTGGCTTCGAGATCATACTTTGTGACTTTGCGAAGCATTTAAAAAGGACAGATGTCGTTGCGGTAGCTCCACACGAGCATCGGGGTGCATTTGGAAGAGGACCGGATGGTTGGCAGTACCTTAAAGCTCTCACCTCGCGCTACCAAGGTATCGGTGGGGACAGAGTGAAGTTAGATCTCGAAAACTTCGCTAGCGTCTTTGCATATCCCGATATAGAAGGGCTGTTTAACAACGACGTACAGTCGGACTACGCCATGCCTCGATTACAGAACGTCAAAGAGTCTGATCGTCTACGTGTCAAAGACGATGTCACGGCGATGATCCTACGGAAAAATTGGAATGCAGACGAACAACCGCGTGATTGGCAAGCAGTAGCCGATATGATAGTGCAGCGGTACAGTAAGCCCCTTCATCATCTTCACACTGACGAAGAGATCCGAGGAGACAAAGACGCACTTGCTCTTTACCTGGCCATTCAACTCCGTCCCTTCATCTCTTCCGTTCGCAACGCAACACTCGAGACACAGCGCTGCTTGTCCCAGTTCATCCCCACACTGCCTTCACCACCACAGCCAGCCGCATCGCTGGCCCATCTCGCTCTATACGCTGTGACGCATCGGATTTGCGACACACTCTTGACTGCCTTATCCATCGCTTCGTCACCTACTTCTCACTTGTCATTTACGTCTGTGTATGCCTCACATGCTGTTGAGCTTATCGACGGATTGGTTGAATTTCTACACTGGACAACGTGGAAGGACTGTGGAGCGTGTGCGGACGAAGAAGTCTGCTTCATACCTATTTGGCCGATGGGCTCGCATGAGGATCATGCACACCCACAATGTAAGCGCAGAGAGGATGTGGAAGATGGCGGTGGGTATTGGGGATCCAGAGAGAGACCGCATGGAAAGAGAAGGATGAACAATGATGGCAAGTACGAGTTCTCACGTCACAGGAGACAGAGCAAAGGAGTTGAAGTTGCGAACTAGAGTGTCCTTCACGTTCGCGAGTATCGCTTTCCTACCACCGCAGCAAGCCTTTTCGATTCTTCTCCAAGTTAGAATTGCTTTAATATCATCTTGTACGTCAGCGGTTCGGTCTCCATCTCTAGAGTGATGGAGAGCACTGAAAGCTTTCATCATCCACACACACACACACCATTGCCGCAGCGTTATGTCGTTCGGCCCCTACCTACCCATTCTCCTGGGCTAGCATCAACCTCCTTCACAACACATGGTCAAACACAAAGGCACCTACTATAATGTACACATCCCAGTCGACTCTACCGTGCACAAAGTCGCCTACGCCTGCCACAGCATACCCACAAGCAACACACGCTACGGTTAAAACCCAACGGGCGGGATCCCGGATCTCGCACCGAACTAGCGGTTAGCGTAGTGCAGCGTGGGGTCCAAAAGCCGCGCCAGCACATGCCCCACGTCTCTTCCTTCAAGCTTTGCTGCTTGTGAAAAGCACGAAAAACTATGTCAACGGGCTAACCCCTGCCTGTCGTGCCATGGCCGCGAAGATTGCCGCAACAGGTATGATGCTGCGAGCCAGGTGCACATGTGGGTACTCCGACGAGCAAGACTAGACTCGTGTGGATCATTGCCTGTCTTCTCAAAGTGGAGCTGGGATTGGGCGCAGGGGTAAGGAACGCGCCGGCGAAACAGACAACCACAGATTCTGATTCGGGTGTGTGTTGCCGCCTTGGATCGTCTTTGTTCGGGATGGATTGGAACCTGGATTGGGACCGGAGTTGGTGCTGGGCGAGGCGAGATGAGTCTGATGCATGTGGGACGGGATTTTTGTTCTTTCGGGGAAAGACACCTGGAGCGTCGTCGGGTCGCTTGTCGCATATCGGGAGACCTAGGAGCGAACTTGGCGTCGCTTTGACTATGTACATACGGTGCTCTCTCCGTCAGCATGTGATTCCCATCATTGGTGTAGTTGTTGATTTCACACTTTCGCGAGCGATGCATTTTGTTGTGATGGCTGCTCAAAGCATGGCGACACGGTAATATGTAATTTCGCAGTTTGATTCTTCACGTATCTGTGAGTGTCCCTTTTTCGTTTTCAGAACAGACGTATCTCGTCACTTGAACCTAGTCGCATCTTCAACACCCCACAGCCAAGTAAATTTCCTGACGACGAATTGATTTCCAGATGGAGACACGATCGAAGATCCACAGCTTCAATTCGAAAGACACTAGAAAACTAAAACTAAAACACTGTGCATGTTCTGCACTACACGAGTCGTCGAGATGGTGTTCTTCTTCCGCCCATCCCGTTGATAATAGCACTTGCGATACCAACACCAACGCCAGTGAGCCCCAGTGTTACACCAGCAGAAACTCCACAAGGCGGGCCGACACTCGCCACAGCTACCTCCTTAGCCACACACTCCATTATTATTTCCACGAGTAAGTCATTAGTTTTGAGATCGTTAGTTCGTGCTCGGGTGGCTAGAACTCACCCGCACTTGCCCGCTACGTACGTATTAAGAACGTCAATGCTAGATTTAAGTTCAAGTCACAGTACTTTAGCATAATATGATGCTTGAGCAAAAAGTCGGAATACCGGTACACTGGTACCGTATAGTAAAATTTATAGACGGCGCAGAGCCGGTGCAAAAGAGCCATGATCGCTGAATCAGGGAATCGATAGTGCATTGATATGGCTATATGTGGATAGCATGTCTTAGGTTGCATAATCGAGCTGTCTTGATACAACGTGCGTGGTATTGGAAGTGAGGATTGAAAGGTAGGTTTGACGGGTCGATGCCTATGACCGGATCAAAGAGTGTAGTCTCAAAGGGGTATTCAAGGCTAACATGTATACATATAGAGCTTCAGGTGTTAACTGTTGCCACTTGGAGGTACGTAGACCACGGATACCTTTCTAGATAGCCTTGGGAGGGTAGTAGAGATTTTGTTTCTCCAACATAGCCCACTCTGACTCTGCTGTCTCTATAATGAGCTGATTCGTCTTGTTCGGTGTCCTGGTCTGATTCTCGTGTCGAGACCGGTTGAATGAAGAACAATGCTGATACGTGTACCATTAATGATCGTAATATAATGGAATGAACAGTCTTGTAGAATTCCGGTAAAACATTCATGGCATGGAGCCGCATGGATTTACCAAAGAGAAACCATCTCAAGAGAACAGGCCTCGAGATAGCATCTTTCTCCTCCATGGACCGCGTAAGGAAAGTGGTCCTGAACCGCGAAGGCACCATTCCTTCAATAAACAGCTGGGGTGTCTTGACCTACGCTGTGGCATTGCTGAGCCAATGTATCTTTGAAATCGTTGCAGTGATTTGTCGTTTCCTTTCTCGGATAATTGTGTCCATGACGTAAAACTATTGCCCAACATAAGGAGCGTAGGTGTGACCTAAGCTCAATCGCGTGTGGGCCGGAAGTCTGTCGTGTTCGTAGAATATGGGCTTGTGAGGTAGCTCATTTGATGGTGTCGTTGATATCCTGACATTGTCCATCTGTATGGCTTCAAGTGCCTGACGGTCTGAACCCTCCCTTTCCTGGCCACTCGGAAGGATCATCAGCAGTATGGATGAATTCCCAAAACCCGTATATAAGGCATAGGAACAGGAATACGACCAGAGCCTGCCCAAACCATTCAGGGAGTGCGCGACGGGTAGACTCGACTTCGCTGCTCGCTATCGAGGAATCATCGCTGTACGGTCGGAAGGTGCCATAGCTTGGAGGGGCTCCAGCCAGCCCAACGGCGTCATGGTAAGAGGGTGGGGGTTCGTCGTACGGGATATGCTCATGAGGCGGCGCATATACGGGCGGGTCATGGTGGTGGTGGTAGTGGTGGTGATGGTGATGGTGAGGATGATCAGGTTGGGAGGTATCCGCTGGTGGGGCAGATGGTGGATCGTGTGAGGCCTGCTACAGTCAGTCATGGCCAAGGTATGACGAGGACGAAGTAGTTACCGGGGCTGCGTCGTGCATATTGCCTTAACCCTGGTGATTTCTAGGGCGACTATCTAGGCTTCATGGTGTTGTAGCTGATGTCGCGTGCGGTGCGCGTCAATGATGGGCATGTGAAAAGGCACGGACCCTTGCCCGCGGAAGTGCTGCGTGTCGCAATGCGGCCTTGGTAAATACGCAGGCAGCAGATTATACGCTCAACACCACCACCACCACCACCAACAAGAGCAGCATGTCCAGCACTCGGTCATTGATATACGGACACATCAAAATCTGCCAGATACAGCATGTCCGCTGATCCCACTGCTAATCTGCAGGTCTTCTCACCACCGGGCTCTGGCCGCTCAAGTCCAGTACCGCGGTCGGCGCGTCATGCAGTAGAAGAGCGTATGTTCGCTTTCTATACATGGAATGCCGACAAGCTAATTGGGGCGACGCAGCTTTGTACAAGAAAGACAAGAACTTCCGACGATATGCGGCTGGTGTTGAACGTGCTCTCGCCCTTTGGGACACGGCACAGCAGGAATGGGCAGACTACATCTCGTTTTTGGGACGACTGCTGAAGGTCAATACCGCCATGCTACTGCCAAGATGAGACAAAACGCTTATACAACCCACCCTCCAGGCCCTGCAAGCGCATCCTCCAGAGATACCCGTCATACCACATAGCGATACTGTCGCACTGCGATTAGCGCAGTGCTTGAATCCAACATTGCCCTCGGGCGTTCACCAGAAAGCGCTCGACGTCTATGACTACGTCTTCTCTACCATCGGTGTATGCCTACCTCCCAAGCCAGCCCAGCGGAAGCTGACCCATGCCCAGAAAGATGCCCTCGCTCGTGACCTCAACCTCTACTTCCCCGGCCTTGCTTCAGTGCTTTCCTTCGCCTCGCTCTCGGTCCGCCCACTCTATCTCTCGGTTTTCGAGAAGCATATACTCAAGCTTGAGGGAGCCGCACTTCGCCCAGCTTTGAAGGCAATCATACTGTCACTCCTGCCCGGTCTAGAAGATGAGACCAGCGAGGACTTTGAGCGCATGGTCTCTGCCACCGAAAAGTTACGGAGCGCGGTGCAGGACAACTCAGATGAGACAGTCAATGCGAAGACTGCCAGTGGCTCGTCCCACTTCTGGCAGTGCCTCTTCCTGGCAACCATCACAAACGCATCTAGGAGGCAAGGTGCACTCGCTTTCCTCGTACGTCGCTTGCCCAAGTTTGGACGACCAGAGCGGCGCAACTTTCCCTCTGATGGTCCCACGTCCTCAGGAACTCTGTCTGCTGAGGCTGAGGCAGCTACATCTCCAGAACCTGGTCTCCTTATCCGTTGCTTCGAATCAGGCTTGTCAGACCCTCAAATTCTCATCCAGCGAGGGTTCCTCGATCTGTTGGTCAGCCATCTGCCTCTCGACTCACCCATCTTGCAGGAGCGCGTTGGCAAAGGAGATCTGGAGCGACTTGTAGCTGCGGCTGCCGGTGTCGTGTCACGCAGAGACATGAGCTTGAACCGACGGCTCTGGGCATGGTTTTTGGGTCCAGAGCCCACTGCGTCCGAGGCCAATGATGGTGTCACGTCTCCAACAACCGACAAGCACAACACGACAGTAGACCCTTCAGCACATCAAGCCGCCTTCTTTTCGCGATACGGTCTTGAGGCGCTGACAAACAGTGTCCTCAAGATGATCAATCGTCGTAGCGCATCACCTTCCGAGCGCGCGCGTCCTTTCCGAGTCTGCTTGTCTCTCATGGACCGTTGGGAAGTAGGTGGGCTGATCGTACCCGAGATCTTCCTGCCGGCGTTACGAAGCGTTTATTCGTACAGCGAGACTGCATCCAAGGACCAAGTCGATGAAGTCATGAGAAGTGCTAGCGCCTTCTTCGATGGTGTCGATAGCGGCCTCATTTGGGGCAAGTTGATTCACCTCATAACATCCTCTTTGCAGACTGATGTGGCAGCTAACGACGAAGCCTTGCAGAAGATGAAGCTGGCCAAGTTTGTTCTAACCCGCTTCAATCTCAAGGAGGAAGATATGTTGCTGCATCACATGCCCCTAATGGTGTTGTCGTTACTCGTTTCCTTGAACGAGAGCCCTGGAAAGACCAGCAGATTAGCAGCGGGCGCAGAAGTCATGAGTCTTGCCCTTGAGATTGCAGACTCACTTGTGCAGATAGTACCAGATCGGTCATTTCGAGCCGATCAAGCAACGGACCAGCAGCTATCTGCAGCCCTCAAGATATCACGAGCCACTGTGACCCAGCAAATCCGATCATTCTACGAAGAGTCTCAAGGCAGTCTTGATGCAGCTGACCCTCCTTTCAAGCCACCACTGCTTGGTCAGATCGTGCTTCGTGAGGCTTCTTATATGTTCACAGCATCTATGCAGTCGACGGACTCTAAGACCTCTGTGGATATGCCTTCCAAGATCCTTTCCAATCTCATATTCAAAACACAATGTTTGAAGGCCATCGAAGACATTGATCTCATCACCATGCTTACGAACATCCTGCAAACCTCGGACGAGCCCAACACAGATCTTTCTTTTTCACACTCGAGCGCCATAACGACTGTTTTGCTGGCACTCCAGACATCACTCCCATCGAGACCTCATATCGACTCTAGTCAGTTACCTGAGCTCATTCATCCCCTAGTCCAGTACTTTTGGCAGTATCTGTCGCCAACATTACCCAAGTACCACGTCGAAACCGCACGTTCATTGTTACTGTTGCATTCCATTGCGCCTGCAAGCCGGATGGTCGAAAGTGCCCTTGCTTCTATCATTGTGGAGCAAACCGGCCGCGATTCTACTTCAAACACCTCATCCGACTGTGCCCGGCGGTTTGCGACACTCTGGACCCATATCATGCATGAACTGAATTTGCAATCAGAAAAGCGGGTTAGCATTACGCGTCGACCGAGTGGTAACGTCCCACAAGCCCCGACGCCCGCGGGTGATTTTCACTCTGTCTTGACACGACCGCTACTTTTGCTTCTTGATACTCTGGCAGAAGAAGGGTCCGAAACTTCCACGTTTATGCAAAATTGGTTGCCAGATTTGTCAAGCCTAAACAGAGTCTTCGAAGTCCTCGCACTTCACATTCAGTCGCTCAACTGTCTGGTAGCTTCAAGCAATTTGGCGCCCAACACGGGGTCGCAGGAACGGCAACCACGATCTAGAAGAGATGACACAAAAGAATGCCTTTACTACCTTAGGCATGTCTTCAACGTCATCAAACGACCATCACACTTCACTTGGGTAACTCTTGCTGAAGTAACTCTCACGTGGCCGGAACCATCATCATCGCGGATTTCCATCCAGGAATGGCTCGTACGTACCTGTTTGACGACGTTGTCGCTTCAAGTTGGCACTTCTGAAACGAATCTTGAGCCCCATACACAAGAACTACATCGACTATCAGTCTCCATCATGTCGCAAATCTATCAAAGTCCATTCGCTGCTCCACTGCGCGACTTGGAGCTTGAAGTACCCTTGATGGCGAGACTGCGATCAGCAAGCCCATCTTTACAGAGTCTCTTGCTAGGTGCAGAGTTGGCCGCATTGAAACTCCGTCTTACCCGTCCGCTAGAGCCCGCACCAGAACCGAAGCCTTCAAATCACCCAGCGAACCGGTCACGTCTGTCACTAGCAATAAACAGAGATTCGGAAGATCACACACCAGCACCCATCCCTCCACCTCCGCAGCTGGTTGAGTGCTTGAAATTTGGATTTTCTTCCCCAACTAGTCGCTTGGTCCTTGACGACTGGATCCAATTCCTCGTTGAAGTTCTACCAATGTTCCCTGACGCGATATTCCAAAACCTCCTCCCGCTTGTAGAATGTCTTTGCAAGCAAATCAACCTTACATTTGAGCAGCTTAAGTCGACGTTCGCAAAGATGCAAATCGTGCCGACCGTATCTCCGGAGTCGACTTTAATATCGCTCATGAACGGTTTGGAGCAGATTTTAGCAAAGGCACATGAGCGTTTGACAACTCAAGAGACAAGAGTGTCTGCCAGCAAGTCTCCGGAACAACCCCAGGGCTTCTTTAGCAACGTAGTGTCCGGCCTAATCTCGACTGATACGAACCAGACTCGCACGCCAACTGCGAACAGCAGACTCTCAGTCCTGCTTTGCTTCCAAGACACTGTTCGTATATGCTTTGCGATATGGTCATGGGGACATATTCTAGAAGTACAAGATCATACGTCAGCGTCATCGTTTTCTTACACTTCTTTACGCATGCGCAATCGAGCTCGCCGCACATTGGAACACCTCTTTGCTGCGGAAGCGTTGGAATGTCTAGAGACGTTGGTAGTCCTATGGGCACATGCGACGCTTGACGATACGCAAGGACCAGCCATTACAGGGCTTCTGAACGTCCTCAATGGGTCAAAACCAAAGCATACAATCCCAGCAATTTTTAACGCAGTGTACAGCCGGACCGATCCTGGGGCTTTGGATACTAATCGATTATCAACACTCACGTCCGATCTTACCGACGCCGAGCTAGTTACCTTCCTCGTTGAATATACAATCTCTTTAGAAGACGATGCCATGGACGAGATATGGCAAGATTGCACTCTATTCTTACGAGACGTGCTTGCAAATCCTCTCCCTCATCGACAAATTTTGCCCACATTGTTGGAATTCACCGCTGTCATAGGTCAGAAGGTTGATAACACCAACTTTGGAGAGCAACGAAAGATGCGGAGGGAGCTTGCAGTAAGTGCAGATGCGCGTTGGATAGGTATATACTAATCACTCGAACAGGACATCTTTGCTAGGATATTGACTGCAATTTTCACAACACGTTCAATGGGCTATCTTCAAGACTCAAATCAGGCTGCAAACGAAAAGACGACTGCGATGACCAACGGCGTCCGCGCACAGAAGCGAGCAAATGATGTTGTCTCTATTCTTACCATCATCGTACCAAAGCTACCGATCATTTTGGTAGAGAATGACCGTGTTGCAAAGGTCGTCTCTGACATTTCAGCATCTGTCATCGGTCCGACCTTCCGCGCGAAAGCGTTTCCAGAGAACGTGTCAAGGAACACACTGGATTTGCTTCAAGGTCTTACCAAGATTGCGCAAGGCAACAAGTTCCTCAAGAAAGATATATATGATGCTTTCAACGACCCTAAATTCTTCAACACGCCACTTCCTCTGTTGAGAGAAGCTTGGCTACCTATCCTCGCACAGTGGACGCAGTCTGACAAGGAGCGTCTGCCAGAACTACTAGCACGACTTTCTGCGCCAACAACCGCTGGCATCATGTTTGGTGTGGGTGCGACATCTGCTCGGCAGGAAGCTGACCGCAAGACACAGCTTACACTACGCCGAATTGCGCTTCTAATTTTGGGTAGTCCCGAGGATGCCTTTACGCCGAATATACCCCAGGTTCTGGAGAAGGTCGTCGAACTGCTTACCGCAACGCCAGCGTCCTCCCCTTCATCGGTAACTCGTACAGATATCATCGTACTGTTACGTGCTATCATCTTGAAAACCTCTCCCATTCATCTCGCGTCACTGTGGCCGGTTGTGAATGGCGAGCTAACATCTGGGTTATCCGCGCTCCTACCAGATGCACCGAACAAGGAACATTACAATAATGCTGGTATGATTCAGACATGCAAGTTGTTGGACGAACTAGTCGTACTAGACCCAGATGACTTCCAACTCATGGAGTGGCTCTTCATCTCTGACACCATCGACGCTGTATACAAGCCTGTCACGTCGCCAACCCTAATTTCTCTTACGGATGAGATCAATGAGGTTCTTACTAGATCCTCGACAGCACCTGCAGCACCTGTAACAGCGCTGAATGGGTCGTATACCGATGAGCCGAAGAGGACATTGTTCCTAGATCCGCTCATCGAAGCTCTCGAGAAGGAAGAGGGTGCTGCGGTATTGGAGATGACTAGAGGAGAGCTTGTGAATCGTTTAGTCAGGCCTTTCTTGGGCAATCTGGCAATGAATGCTTTCGAGGCGAGATACGGGGGTGGGGAGGCGGATTGGCAGGGTATCTGGGAGAGTGTGGTCAAGGATGCGGGGAGCTAAGCGCGATAGAAGGAAGGGTGCAAGACAAAGACTTTTTTGAATCCATACTAGTTGATGACATGGGATAGATGGGTTTTATAGCAGCGGAATCTTCCGCTTCTTCTCGGAACATGCGGAACTATATGTGCGGAGAAAGGATACGAACATGTCAACCCCGCTCGGCATTTGACACCTCAAATGTCTATCAAAACCTTGTCATGTAGATGGCACCAAATGCTACCATCATGCAGTCCACTACTGACGTCTCACATTCCCACTACTCAATATGCTCGAACAACTCAACCTCACCCTCTCACTAACCCATTCAGTCATTCTAACATGCATCCCTATCCTTCTCCTTCTCCTGCATCTCCTCTCAAACCACTACACCGCATCTCTCTACAAAATCCCCGGCCCTTTCCTCGCCTCAATAACCGACCTCTGGCGCCTCTTCCACGTCCGAACCGGACACTTCCACCTCACTCAAATCCATGTCCACAAACGCTACGGCCCTATAGTTAGACTCGGACCAAACACAGTCTCTATTTCTGATCCCCAAGCCATCAAAACGATATACGCACACAAATCGGGGTTTCTCAAATCAGAATTTTACCCCGTCCAACAACAGATTGCTAATGGAGCGCGCTTGGAAACTCTATTCACGACGACGGATCCGGTATTTCATGGGAGATTGAGGCGGGCGGTGGGGAATGCCTACGCGCTTAGTAGTTTGTTGACGTTTGAACCGTTGGTTGATAGCACGATTTTGGCTTTTTTGGGGGAGCTTGAAGGGAGGTTTGTGAGGGGTCTGGCGGGGGATGACAGAGAGGAAAGGGGAGAGAAAGGGATATGTGATTTTGGGACTTGGTTGCAGTATTTTGCGTTTGATGTTATTGGGGAATTGACCTTTTCGAAAAGATTGGGGTTTTTGGATAGGGGAGAGGATGTAGATGGGATTATTGGGAGTGTGGAGAGGAATCTGAATTACTTTGCTGTTGTAAGTTATATGTATAGGATGGGCTTTGAGTAACTGGGGAGCTGACTTTTTTTGAGCGTAGGCTGGCCAGATGCCTATCTTGGATAGGCTGATTGTGAAGAACCCGTTACGGCTATGGTTGAGCAAATGGGGCTGGGGACGGGCAACAACGCCTGTGGCTGTCTTTGCGCGGGAACGTATGGCGGAGCGCAACAATGAGCAGGTTGATTGGAAAGAAGAAAAAATGTCAAAGGGATCTCGTGACTTCTTGTCCCGCTTCCAAGAAGCTCATACCAAGGATTCAGAATTCATGTCACAGCAGCGCGTCCTCGCCGTCACCGTAGCCAACATGTTCGCCGGCTCAGACACAACAGCCATCACCCTCCGCGCCATCTTCTACCATCTCCTTTGTAATCCAGAAACCATGAAGCGGCTTCGGCAAGAACTAGATCGTGACGCTGTCTTCGACGAAGACGGTCTGGCTACCTGGAGCAACGTCCACGAACTACCATATCTTAGTGCCGTCATCAAAGAAGGTCTTCGCTGTCATCCTGCCGCTGGCTTGAGCCTCGAACGCGTTGTACCGTCGACTGGCCTCACCATAGGCTCCTACTCCATCCCGCCAGGTACCATAGTTGGCTGCAATGCTTGGGTAATTCATCAATCAGAAAGCGTGTTCGGCGACCATACCGAACTCTTCCGGCCTGAACGCTGGCTCGAAGCGGACGAGGCCCAGCGTAACGGAATGAACAACATGCTCTTCTCTTTCGGCGCAGGGACGCGCTCGTGCATCGGTAAGAATATCAGCTTGTTGGAGATGTATAAACTCGTTCCTGCGCTGTTGCACCGATTTGAGGTAAGTTTAGATTGATGAAGTACCCTCTGATTCTATTGGCAGAAATCTTTGCTGATGTAGAGTTTAGATATCTTTCGCGAAGCCGCAGGCGGAGTGGAAGTTGTGTAATGCGTGGTTCGTAAGACAGAGTGGGTTTTATGTGAGGTTGAGGGATAGGCAGTAAACGGATGAGGGTACGTATGTTACGTCGTAAGGCTCCGACGGAGTCGCCCCAGTTTGACCCGAGATGATCAAGGCCTCATACAAGCAACGTGGGAGCGCTTCTTTTGTGCAGTTCGTGGTTTCCTTATCCTCTTTCCGGACTTCCTTTTCGCTACTTGCCCACGCTTCACAACGTGGCAAGCATGTAGTCTGTATCCTAGGACACCGGTACAGAGCTAGCCGACCAGCCATATGAGCAGGAAAACGGAGTGCGGTTAGGAAGAAGCTAGATTTTGCATGGCTCCCATCCAGTTTCACTCTGAATCGTCTTCATCTTCGTCTTCCTCCTGCATAATGGCTTCGCACTGCTCCTTGAGCTCTTGTACGCCAGTGACACCCTTCCACTTGTCCAGAACTCTGCTAACCTCCTGCCACTCCTTCTCAGCCTGCTCGTCTTGGTCTTGATCTATCATGACCTGCAGCCGTCGTGGAGTATCCAGAACCCATCTGACAGTGTCCTGTTGTCTCCGCTTCTTCTCCACCTCTACTTTGTTCTTCTCGTCTTGCTCGACACGTATGCTTATACCCAATCCTTCTTCTTTTGACTGGTGGCTATCCTGCAACGATGATGACAAGGAAGCAGCTGTCTCGGCGATGTGCGAAATGGCAGGGCCGAGGGTATGGGTAGTTGGTGCGAGAGGATCCATGTTGCCGCGCATACGTCGGATAGTGCTCGTTGCGGAGAGGAGTTTGGAGTAATTGTCGTAGACAAGGGACTTGCGGTCGCTATCCAAATTTCTAACCTCTATACCAGCATTAGCGCCCCATATGTTCTGTATTGTGTGTAGAGTGATAGCATACGAGATATCAAGTCTGCCTCGACCTTTAATACGCCCTTCAGTCCCTCTTTCGCAAGTAAGCCCTCTACAAAGGCTTCTGCATTGAAATCCGCGGCATCGAGCTCCGTCAGCGTCTCGTCTTCTTCTGGTCCTAGCTGTGTTCCAGAAGATTCTTCAGATATTCGCGCGTCTGGTGTGGCATCCCTGGGGGCATTCTTTAGGCCATAGAATTCGCGAAGGGCGGCGCGATTTCGGCGTGCGGCTTGTGGTGGGCGATGCGACGAGCTGCTATCGATTGAGGTGCGGGTTAATGAGGGGCTGCGTACCGAAGAGCTGGCGCGGGGCGAAGCAATTGTTGACATGATGTGATATATTCTCTTGCTATATATCGTGAGGTCTGGCGGTTGGAGTGCTGAAACATGAGCTTCATGTGAAGGGCCGAGGCCACCATTAGAGAAAGAGCGCCCCACGTCATTCTACGCGTCGCGTCTCCCACACATCTCAAGCCTTATTCGCGAAGAAGCAAAACCACACAAACTTATCACGATTCTAGTTAATCGTCGACATGGCGGCTAACGTCACAGCTGAGCTAACACAGCACCTAAATGCCCGACATCTTTACCCTACCGCAGCCTGGCTGCAAGGCTTCCTGTCCACAACCCGACCGAACACGCCATTGCCCGCCATCAAGCAGACAGCTCTCTTCCGCCTACTAGCCACCGACATCACAACATCGCTCACTCAGCCTGCAGCCTCAGTGTTTCCCAGCGATGTATTAAAGGGCACAACTAAGTCCCGCCTTGTCCCTGGCCCTGTTGTCTGTCAAGTGCTTGACGTCGAAGACATTGGCCACTCGCGTTGGTCCCAGGTCGAATCTATCGAAGCGCAAGAGCGGGGCGAAATGACAAAAGGAAGGGAGATCGTGCGCGTTGTAGAACAAGAGAACGAGGGCACTGCTGAGGCTGCAGTTCCTGTGCAGAGCAAAGGGCCATTCAAGTTGCTACTGCAGGACGCAAAAGGACTCAAGATCTATGCCATGGATCTGAGAGGGATAGACGGGCTCAACACCAATATGGTTATGGGCGCAAAGCTTGTCCTGAAAAATGTTGACGTAAGGAGAGGTGTCATCATGCTTGAGCCCGGCAGTGTTCAGTATGTTGGTGGGAAGCTCGAGGCACTTGATAAGGCTTGGAAAGAGGGGAGGAAGGAGAGGCTGATGGCAGCGGCTAAGGTGACAGCATAGACGGCGGGGTACTAATGTCTTACGATTGCAGCCTGATCTTTCAGATCCGAACACCAGCATACCAGCCTTTGGGAACATCAGCTTAAGAATGTTTTGTGATGCATGTATCGGCGTCTTGCAGCATCGTCATCAACTTGTCAGTGCGACAAGGCCTGGAGATCCAGAGTATGATATAGACACCGGACCAGAATATACAGTGAGCACACTCCGCGTAGTGACTTGTATATGAACCAAATAGAGACGGCTAACATTCTTCGTAAGTGCATCCATCATTGTACAGCCGATTCCTTCGCTGCATCGGCAAGTCATGGGTGTCCCGTCTGCAAGCCAGCTTGGGATAAATTATCCAACCTTGAGCAGCAATCTTTACGTGCTGCTGATTTGAAGGAGACCAAGGTTTCAACAGCTGGCACCTCACCACTAGCGTACGTCACAGTTGCAATATTGGAGCGCTGGGCAATAATGCCAAATGCATTTCGCCTCATTGTCCGCTACAACCACAGGCTAGTGGATATCTCCAAGCACAATATGTTTGTTCTAGAACCTGATGAAAGTAGGTTTTCCCTTAATAGATCATGCAAATGTGCTTACCTTACAGCAGATTGCACGTCATCTCAGAGTAAAACGACGAGCCACTCACAACTTCAGCAATTCGTAAGTTCCATACGAAAACGATGCTCACGGATGGGGACAATCATAAACATAAGTAACTCATCCCAGAGAACCAACCTACAGAGTGACTTTACTAGCGATCGAACCTCTTCGACTGAATCTATGCAGTTGGCTGCTAAGTGGTTACAAGAGTGTGTCAATTCGCATTTGACCTGCAACACAACTGAGCGCAACAGTACATGGTACCCAACGCGTCTCTTGCACCTGGCCAATTCATGTGGAGCTGAAAGCTACGTCCGACTTATACACACAGCACAAGAACCACCTGTCGGCCCTTACTCTACTTTAAGCCATCGCTGGGGTGATATCATGCCTTCCCAGCTAACTCAAGCAATAGCATCCGAGTCTGACCCTCGGTTCTCGATAGTAGATTTGCCCAAAACATTCCAAGAAGCCATTCAAGTGTCTAAAAAGCTGGGGATCCGGTATCTATGGATCGATTCGTTGTGCATAATTCAGAGTGGAGATCATCGTCAAGATTGGTACCGGGAAGCAAGTTTGATGGACAAAGTGTATACGCATTCCCACTGCAACATCTCCGCAACAGACGCAGAAGATAGCACTAAGGGCCTTTTCCGGTATCACACCCCTCAACGTGTCGGTCGCCCGCGCGTCAAAGTCAATCTGCAAGGCATGCATCCTCATAATGAACACACGGAGTGTCTGCTGTCAGACTATCTCCTCTGGCCACATGCCCTAGACTCCTCGCCTCTCGACAAGCGCGGATGGGTTTTTCAGGAGCGTTATCTTGCACCGCGAGTTCTGCATTTCTGTCGAAATCAATTGTTCTGGGAGTGTCAAGAGCATACCGTGTGCGAAACCTTTCCCCAGGAGCTACCGCTTGTGAGTCTGCATTATACTGCTGCATTCCTCAAATCCAAAAAGAGAAACGAACAACGTATCGCCAAACAACTTAACGCGAACAACATAAACGATATGGACTTGGACTCATGGTTCCAACTAGTCTGGATGTATACATACAAGAACCTGTCGGTTCCAGGCGACAAACTAGTCGCCCTTTCTGGTGTGGCTAAGTATGTGATGTCTCACGTCAGAGACGTCTATGTCGCTGGTATGTGGCGCAGGAATCTAGAGAGAGCGCTGCTATGGACTCAAGATACGCCTGGATCACGTCCGCTCGAATATCGTGCGCCATCCTGGTCCTGGGCGTCTGTGGATGGAGTGATATGTCATTATATTACCATCCGAGCGCAAAGCTTGATACATGTCGAAGACGTCGTACTCAACTACGCAACTGAAGATTATACAGGAGCAGTGACAGGTGGTTGGCTAGACCTTCGTGGCAGTCTCAAGCCCATGAGATTACAGGAAATCGAGCGCAACGGGTCCACAGTTTGGCATATGACTGTTGATAATAGTATTGTGTCTCAGCGTTATGCGAACACTACACATGGGGATATAGGAGTATCCCTCGACATTGGAGCCGAGGAGGTGTCTACTTTCGATTATGACAACGTGGAGGAGCGGCTGTTCTTTATGCCCAGCTTCGATTTAAAAGAGCATTACAGCTTGCAGTGCCTAATGTTCAGGCTTGCGAGCCCCGAAAGCACAGCATTTGAGAGAATTGGGTTGGTCGAGGCCCACACGGAACAGGGAAGAGATATGTTGCTAGCGGAGTTAGACGAGGAAACGAAAGCTCATCTGCCTTGTCTACGCTACGAGAATGGGGTCCATACAATCCGGATCATCTAGAACGTCATCTAGCCCTAGCCAAGCATGCCAAACAACACTTCAAGACTTCTCCTCTTTCCATATAAAGAAATCCAGATCTCAGGGTCCTCTTTTGAGATCCAGACAGCGCGCCTCTGACGAGCACTTGGCCCAAATAGTGCTGATATTCAAGGTTCCAATCAGGGTCTGAGGCGCAACAGCGGGGTGGCCGCGCCTCGGCCAGTCCCAATCATCTGAGCACGCGACAGCCGCGACACGCACAGTCAGCCGGTGACGTAGCGCGATGGAATGTATATGACAGCGCCAAATGCCCCGCGGATACAATTCCGACACGTCAGATTACCATCATCTGAACATCACAACCTGGTCAACCTCTAATCAACTAATCAAAATCGTCATGGCTACTACCAATCATTCGGCGCAATTCCAGGGTACGTTCCTCCAGCCTCACACTATCCTCAAACAGCCTTGTTGCCAGTGGTGTAGCAAATGAACAAGCACATGTACGCTAACACAACATAGAGCCTCCTGTCAATGGGCTTCCAGGAGCTACAAGCACAACCCCCTCCCACGTTGATGTTGATGGTCCTTCCCGTGACGACATCGATCTTCAATTCCAAGGTTCGTGCTTTTCTTCTCCTCCAATTATCATTTATGTTCTTTCTACCAACAAAGCTACGCCATTTCGTCCATGTCACTAGTTGAGACACATGCTAATACATCCCTACAGAACCAATCGCTCGAGAAGCCTCTACCTCTACATCTACTTCTGTTTCTCCCAATGACGATGACACTTCGCTCCAGAAGACCACATCTGAGAAACTCAAGGATGCAGTGAAGAAGCCATTCAGCAGTTCAGCCGAAAGCCCCAACTCGCATACGCTAGGCAACAAAGATATCACCAGCCCGGAGATGGCAGCTGCGAATGAGGTCCTTGCAGCCAAGGATCTCAAATCGCCGTAAAAAAGTAAAGAAGGTGAAGTAATGGCAACAAAGAAGAGGAGCATACGAAGTTAATGCCCGAGAACCAGGGAAGCATGAGAAACGGTTCAAGATGTTCTATGGAGTTACGGTATTTAGGAGCGTGCTTGCGATAATTACTTCATGGCAAATCCATTTCTTATCTCAACCCTTGCCTAACAACACAATGCCATTTCTAGCAAGACATGCACAAGAGTATATCGAGAGGATATTGTTCAGTATGCATAAAGTCCACAATGGACAAGCATGACATGTTCAGATCAAGACGTGTAAGATGAGTAGTGTATTCGGAACAACAACGGGCACATATTATCTACAAAGAACCCAATCTGCGAAACAATCCCGTATTGCTCTTCCTCTCTGACCACCATCTTTCAATTAATCTTCATAACTCTCGACCCATGGAACCGAAAACAAAGTCTCGATTAAACTCCTGATGCAGAAACGAAATACCCACAGTCTCCTATGCAGCAGGTGTATGCAACGCCGTCTGGTTCAAATACAGATCACACTCGTGCGGATGCTGAAGACAATACTTGGGCATCAGCGGACTAGCCTGCACACCCACAGCGACAAGGTACTCCCTAAAGTTGAGAATACGCTGCGTCAGCTCCGTCGTCCTCTTGTTGCCATTCTCATCCCTGTTTCCACTCCAGACGAGTTCCGCAAGCGCAGCAGCACGCGGCCACATTTTCTGAGACACGACTACAGAGTCGACTTGCTCGGACCAGAGAGGTGCAATGGCGCCCTGTACAAGCGCCTTCTGGCTGTCGGTCAGGTTAAGCGTGAAGTCGTAGTCGTAGATGCGCTGCCAGGTCTTGTAGGGTGCGCACCAGGAACCGCCGCCGCCGCCCCAGTTGAAGTTTAGGGAACCGTCTGTTGCATTAGGGTTGACCATGACGTTGTATCTAGGATCGTTGCCAACCCAGCCTCCAAATCCACAGTCGAGGTACATGAAGTCGGAGCTGGAGACGATGACGCGGTAGCCCTGTGCAGTGAGGTTGCTGATGTGGTCGAGGCCATTGTTCCAAGCTTGTAGCACAACGTCTTTGGGGACGGTGCCAGTGGCAGCTACATCAGCAGAGAGTTTGACATCTTCCCACATGACGAAAGTCCTGTTGGCTTGCGCGCGGAAATTAGGAAGGGCTCGATCGACCCAGACTTGGTAGAGGTCGCCCATTGACTTTCCGCTGTTGAAGAAGGCGAGAGCAGCAGAGGAGAAGTTGTTGCAATTTGCAAAGAGCTCGTCGCCGCCAATGTGGAACCAGTTGTCTGGGAAGACTTGTGTCATTTCCTTGTATACCTTAGCTGTTACTTCGTAAGTTTTGTTGTTGAGGATATCGAGTTGGCCTGGATTGGGTTCTACGGCGGTGTGGAGTGCCCAGTTGTCGTTGGACCACCAACTGTGTTGGCAGGTTAGTATGGATTCGTCGACTTGCGCCCAGCCAGAGCTGGCGTGGCCTGGCATGTCGATTTCAGGGATGATTCGTACGCCCCGTGCGGCGGCGTAGGCGACGACCTCCTTTAGCATGTCTTGAGTGAAGACCTCGTTGGCGGAGTAGGCGTCTTCAGTCATTTGGGGGAAGGCGTTAATCTCCACGGGCCAGGACTGAGAATCAATAAGATGCCAGTGGAGGACATTGAGCTTGGAAAGAGACATTCCGTTGATCTGTTCAAAGATCTTGGCCTTGGTGATGAAGTTACGACCAGTGTCAATCATGATTCCGCGGACGGGGTAGAGTGGCGCGTCCTTGATGGCGACGGGTTCTTCGATGACCATGTTGCCCGAACCATCGTTGATGACGATTTGCTGGAGTGTCGTCAGGGCATGGAGGGCGCCGTAGGCGGTTCCTGCAGTGATATCTACGGTATCCGAGCCGGCTACGAGGTCGAGTGTGTAGGACTCATCAACGCCATGTTGGAGCTGAGCATGTGCATCGGCAATATCAACCTTGACCTTGGTGATCGTACCAGTGCAGTTCCCTCCCGGTGGCGCATTATACTGCCTCCTGCTCTTTCGTGACACACCGGTCGGGGTTGGAAAAGGCTGAAACGAGGTGACTGGGGCTTCAGTGGCTGCGGGAATCCATTTCAGCTCCGCGATAGTCTTCGTAACGCGATCGAAGGCGGCGGAAAGCACCTCATGGTCCTGTGCGTCGAGTTCTACGGATCCAAAAGAAAAGCAGCCAGAGTTGCCCCAGGTAATGCTCGTGGGCTTGGGAAGAGGGTTGGCGGCGACGGCTTCAGCTTGTCCAGCGAACAAGGCTGAGGCCGTGACCACAGAGGCCAGTATGAAGTCGCGCATTGCTGTTTTCGTAGTTGTTCTGCTCGGATTCGTACCAAGAGGGTAGGCAAAGGTCGCAAGGAAAGACTGGGAATGTTTGTGGTTATAAATACCGAACAACCATAAGTCTCAGGCACTGTGAGTGGAGAAACCAATTGCAGCGTCAACACACAACGTGGGGAAGGAAAAAGGATATACACCCAGTTCCGCATTGACGAGTCCAGCTTTCCTACCCCAGTTAGTCTATTCACTTCGCAGGCCCACAGATCACCAAACGCATGATGCGCTACCGGGAAGCGCCCCCTTTGGTGAGATATTAGGTTGAGCCAGCCAGTCAGTTCCGCAGTCTTGCTGCATGTCCGCTCTCCAGAGCCTCTTTCCGCTCTAACACCGTCCCACGCTCACCTGTCCGTGCCGCCCACGGCTTCGCACCCGTACCGCATTCCTTGTGGCTGCTGTCGCGCTGTAACCTACCCCTCCTCCTTTACTCATCCTTGCGACCCTATACGAAGTGCCTGCTGCTAGCTGCGATACCACGCTCTTGTGTCTGCATCTCGGGACAGAACCATGGTAACCTTGCGCGCTGATGACCTGCACCCCAAGTACGAGCTAGAGTGAATGTGGGCGATGATCCCCACCACCCGGCCGTAGATGGGTCCACTGCGCTAAAACAAACGGCTGTCACCCCAGCATGCATGTCTTGTGTTACCTCACATACTGTTTCTCTTATGACAAATTTGGCTTGACATTCTGGGGTAGGTGTGCATCTTGAGCTCTTGTATGATAGTCGCAACGTGGAGAGTGACGGTGGATGTAGTGAAGAACTGAAGGGGATGTTCTTCGGAAATTTTGGTGGATCTGCGAATGGTGGCGCCGCCATTGATCCTTCCGAGCAGCGAGCATGCGGGCTGGTGCGTTGTGAGGCACAGCAAGGACTCGGCTTCCAACATGTCTCATCAAACAACTTGCGTTGTCGCTGCATGGTGGAAAGCTGCCACTTGTCTAAGATTATCGTCGCGAGCCGTCAGAATGTACCAATTAGGGCCTGTATATTTGTAGCAATCAAATAAGCTTCAGCTTGCTTCGTGATGCGACAGCCACTGCCAGCGGCAGTGCTACAGTCTCCTCCAAGATGACGTTACCGTGTCCTTGCATAACCGTGCTGTCTTCACACCCTTTGCTCATCAGTTTCAGGTTGTCGTCAGCGTCGGTTAGCAGACTTTACAGTCGGGCTGCGGGTTCAAGCATCCAAGTAGAAATACGTAAACGATATTCAAGAATTGGGCAGGATGCAGGTACACGTTTTTGCTGATATTTACGTCTAGCTAGTTTCCAAGTAGAGATTCGCTAGAAGCAGCAGCAGAAGCAGAAGCAGAAGCAGAAGCAGAAGGAGCAGTAGCAGCCTCATCTAAAGGCGCATCAACAACGGCTTCCGTCGCAGTCTCGTGGTGGAACTCCTGCTTAATCTGGTTCCAGTCTGGCGCAGGCTGGCTCAGCAGCTTACAGACATCCCTCCGCCGCTTCCTGAAATCATCGTACAAACCCTTCCATATTCGTCTCTCAGCGCATGTTCCCTCATGGCTACCTCCACAATCCGGCTGCATGTCCGCCAATGCTTCATCCGACCACATGACCATTGGGGAAGGCAGCGGTCGGTCGCTGAACTGAATAATCTTGCCCTCTTTGTAGACCTTCTCGGCGTCCCATGTTTCATTTGCACCGCCCAGATAGTCCGAATGATCATGACGCCTGAATTCTGCCGTGCGAAGAGCGTACGGTCGGTGTGGAAGCACTAATGCGCTCTCCTCGAAGCGTTCATTGATGATTTCCATGTCAAATCTATGCATTTCGACCAACGTACTGTCCCCACCTCCCTCCAGGCGCCTCTTGAACTTCTCCAACTCATCAAGGCTAGGCTTGATAACCATGAGCGTTGTCGATAATGGCCAGGGTTTGCTGTCTGTCCAGTATGCCCGTGGCGCCGCTATCGGGGTGTGAGGGAGGAGGAAGAGCTCATCGAGGGAGTCAAGGAGTGTGATCTCCGATTCTAGGGTTATTACGCGGTCGTAGTACTCGAGGCCGAAAGCCATGAACTTGGTGACGGACTCGTCCCATGTCCATCCATCTGCAGGGCCGTCAGTCATATGCTTGTGGCGTCTTGTCGTATGGGTAGGTGACTGTGTAATACGTACTCTCACTACGCCCTGCCGCCTCGAGTAGCTTCACAGGATGAAGCTTCGCCTTGTATGTATCGCGCGCCAAAGTGAGCAGTTGACTGTCTCGATCTTGAGAACTATCTATTTTTGTGTCCCAATGGTCGGGGTAGAAGAGGACGCGATCTGCTTTGCTACCAAGTCGAGCGAGCGCTTCAAGGACCATCACGGCATGACAGAGTTCCGCGCGGTCGGTCGCGTACACACTGTATGCATAGTTTGACCAATTGACCCTTATTGCATCTCCGATCTCAGGTGTTGTCTTGCGCGATGGATACAGGATCCAGCAAACGAAGAGGAAGCCAACAAGGTAGTATGCGTGGCGGCGGCGCAAGCGGAACGATGGGAATTCAGCCTCGTTTGCGAACTGAGGAAGCTCGTCTGACCGGCGTCGACGCATTGTACGGTTGACGTGTGCGTGTTGTTGACATTTTGGAGCGACTGCTTTGGTTGTTCAGGTGTCAGGCACCGACTGGTGACGCGAAGTCGCGGAATTACCATGCGAATCTCCGAGCTTGCGACGCTTTACGCGCTCGCTGCATCGACTTCACTGTCCCCATCTACATCCTTTTGGTCTTCACGCTCGAGCCATGGTGGACCTGTCGCCGTAACGTTGTTGGGTCACACTGAGTAGTTTGTATATTTGGTGACGGTAATCCGGGCCTCTGCACCAAATAGCATTACAGAGAAACCAAGGGGAAATGGTATGTACGGTAGATATACTAATATTGCTCACAGAGATCAAATCACAACGAATTCAAGAGACGGCTTTTGGGTTGACAAAATGCATTGTATCATTGTCGTATGCCAGGGTCACTTTTGTAGTATGGTATCAAAAATCCCAAACGCCGCAGCTGTGCAAGCTCCACCGGTTCCTGAAGAGGTAACTCTGGTGGGAGACATGATCCTCATTCAGCTATGTAGCACCCTCTATGGCATATATCGTTCCATCGTAATCGTCGAGCACATCTTGGTGCAAACGCTTACTCCTCAGGAATCTCGATCTCGCCGGCCTTGATGTCGTCCGAGATGTCCTTGGGGCTGCGGCCATCGACCTTGCAGCCAGTGGAGAAAGCAGTTCCGAGGATCTCAAGAACGGTACCCTTCAGGTCCTTGGCCATGGACTTGAAGCGCATGGTGCGGGCAATAGCGATGATCTCATCGAGAGGAACGCTCTTGGTGTGCTTGATGTTCTTCTCCTTCTTGCGGTCACGGGGAGGCTCCTTGAGGGCCTTGATGACGAGGGAGGAAGCGGAGGGAACGACGGAGACGGCGGCTTGACGGTTTTGGATGGTCAACTTGACAGTGACACGGAGACCCTTCCAGTCGCCAGTGGCCTTGGCGATATCTTCACCGACCTCTGCGGAACGGATTAGTATTTTTGTTCAGCTGCGTTCCTCGAGGGGATTGTCGCATACTCTTGGGCGAGAGACCGAGAGGACCGATCTTGGGGGCGAGCGCGGATGAGGCACCGACTTCACCACCGGTCGCACGGAGGTGAATGACCTTCACCTCGGAGGGATCGAACTTGGGAGCTTTGTGGATGTAAGCGCATGGCGTTTTATAGGTAAGCCTGGCTATTGAAGAAGTCGAATTTTCTGAGGGTTAGGAAACACCCGCGACTGGGTGTCCTAGCCACTCAAAAAGTCCGCGCATCTTCGCAAGAGCCGACCAGAAGGATGATACTCACGCATGGCTAGTGCTTGAGGTAGTCAATTGCTTCTGGGTGTAAAGAGTGACTGCCGTTATTTTGTCGTTCGAAAGTTCGTGAGAGACGCAATCTCGTGGTGGGGAGCAATATTGGTCGACCTGTGAGAGAAGCGAGCCTTGGCAGCACCTTCCCTATTAGGCGATAGCATCTTTGCCTTCCCGGTGGATACCGACCAACGCTCCACATCACTCGCCTCGTCACTCCAGAGCAGCCTTCAATATGAACGGACAAGAATTCAGAGTTTGATACCTTGTTCCCATGTCACATATCAATCAAAAGAACTAAAACAGTTATATGTTGCCTGTCCATCACTGCGCGAACGAAGACACATATGACAGTGCAGAAAAGAGTAAAGATATATCGAATTACAGCGTCTCCATACAGATTGACCTTCATTCCATCTCTAAATCTTCCATATCCCAAACAACGTACATGCCTGTATATCCTGCATATCCGCCAGCACCACGCCAGCGCAAACACGATGAACTTCACCACTCTGACAATCAGCATGCCCAACTACAAGAACTTGATCTTCTTATTCTCACAAAACCCATGATACTACCTCTTGAAACTCATAGCATCTCCTGCTCAAAATCTCTAACAAACCAGTCCTCCAAACAACTGCTGCACCCAGACTGAACAGACATTACAACACACAACATAGCAAACTATGGTACTACAGCCTCGGCCCAAACACACGCACAGACGCTGTGAAAAGGCGGTCCGCTCCAGAGATCAATCCAACACTCCTGTAAGCATTAGTAGAATGCCTTTATAATTCCTGGTTCCCTAACAATGAATATGCGCAGCCCCAAAGTGAACAGAGAAAAGATACATTGAAGAAAAACGACAAAGGAACAACAGCGCCTGCACAGGCTCAAGATGTGTCGAAAACAAATCTTACCAATGCTTTGCCACCTATTGAATCGACAGAGGTTGAGGCAGTACAACTTCAATGGCCCCTCCCTCCATCTTCAATACATGATGGTTTGTTGTTTTGGAAAGTAGGATGATGTGACTTAAGAATTGACTATTAGCAGATCGATTTAGCTTTATTTAACTCTTTTACTTTGATTCTCGCATTTGCTAACACATGACTATCGTAGGCTCATGGTGATGCCGATTAACATGAATGCCGTACAGAAGTTGTTGGCATATATATATACTCTATAATCACCCAAAGTGGCAACTCGCTGGTAACGCCTATCAATACCGTAGAGCCGAAAGATGTGACTCAAGTGTCTCAACAGAAACCCCCCCCCTAGAGACCGATTCTCTGCTCAACCAAAACTATGAGCCCCGTCCTCTGGAGATACCTAGTCCCTGGGCTGTTGGAGCATTCTCTTCCCTCTTGCTTACGCTGCTCCTTCGTCCTGCTATAGCCGACACGCTCTCGCTCCTTGAGCTGTCCATGCTCTGCCTCATGCTACTGGAGCTCGACCTGCGCCTAGCACGCCGCGCTTCATCAGGGTCATGGGGATTTAGCCCGCTTGCTCTTGCGAACAGATTGAGGATATCTGTAAGACTGATGACGCCGCTAAGTCTACCGGAGAGGCTGGCCCCTGGCATAGTAGACATTGCGGATGCAGAGATAGCTGGTGCAACGGCTCCAGTGCTAGCAAGATGGGTTGGGGCGGTCGAACTGACGGGTATGGGGCCGGCCATTCCAGGTAGTGGTGTGATTGGTGAGGGAGGGACGACAACTGCAGGTGTTGTTGCTGGAGTCGACGGTCCTGATGATGCAGGAGAAGGTGCATCGACAACCCACATGCGGTGCGAGCGGGTTGCGACCAGCTTAGCCACAGTGTGTGCGAGAGTGCTGAATGGGTTGACGTGGAACACAGGGAAAGAGTCTTTGCCATCGTTGACTCCCCGCTCGGATAGGATGACAGATATGAAGTGAATACACGATGAGCGGAGTAGTGGTAGGGATGTGGATTTTGTCAAGAGCTAGAAAACAACTTGTTAGTTGCTGAGCATGCAATGGGGGCAGAGGATGCTTACCCGAACATCCACATGTGATATGTTGCCGATAACGTTGTTTTGCGCGTCTAGGACCGGTAAAGACGACACGCCTTCGTTGTTCATGAGCTCGAGAGCCGCCGCAAGAGGCTTGTCCCCACTAAACATCTAGTTAGTCTTTTGTCTTCAGTCAACCGAATCAAACTCACTTGATGGCTAGAACAGTCTTAGATCCAAGGTTCAAGTCTTTGATCAGCTGCGAGTATAGCTGGTTCACGCCTGGAAAGCTGGATCGGTTCTCCCAGAAGAACTGCACCAGTCTCAACTGCGTAAGGATGCCCTTGACGTTCGAGGTGCCTTCTTCTGCGACCAAGACCCTATGTACGCCGCTTCCAAAGACTTCTATAGCCTTGGACAGATCCGTTGTCTCGTCGAGGGTAATCAATGGCTCTTTCATGCCGCCAACCTCTTTCACATCTTTGAGCGGTATGGGCTTCCCTTCCCTTCCCTTCTTTGCAAGCTCGTCGAAGGATGCGATATCGCCTTCCTCGGGGTGTGCGAGGCCGACTACGAGGAGGAGATAGGCGTTCAGGTCGCTGTAATCGAAGGTTCCGGTTGCATGTCGTGTGTTCGGGTCTTCGCGCAGGAGGACGACATTGGGAGCACCATGTTTGACTAGTATCTGTGCAAATTAGTTCCACGCACACAACGATAGCTCAGGCAACTCACACTTGTCGCATCCTCGACGCTGGTGTCGTACTCGACAAACCTCACCAGATCAGGATCAACAATCTCCCCAAGTCTGACAGACTTCCAATCGCGTCCCGGAAATTTTGCATCACCACCCTTGGTCGGTGGGTTGTTCAAGAGGTCTTGTAGAGCTTGTTGTGTGAGGGAGGGCTGCCGTGACGCGCGTGGTGAAGTGGGCGTTCCTCGCATGTGTTCCGCGAAGCTCGAGCGGTGTGAAGAGGCCGGACTGGGACTGGAGCCCAGCTTGAGCGCGGTTGGAGGTGTGCGGCCTATAGAAGACACAGAGCTGTTCAGGGAAGGTTCTTTCACGTCAATAGCTTGTTCGTTGTTGGGGTCTGCCATGGCGACGACGGCTATGTTTTGGGGAATGCGGGGCTCCGCAGAAGTGTTTACTGGAGTGCGCAGATGGACATGAACTTGTACGCGGCAGATATCAACGTGTTCTTGGCGGTGTGCTCGAAGAAGTAACAAGCAGTCGCGCAGTAATCAGCTATGAGTTGGCTGGACTGCTCGCGACATGTGAAGTGGAATGAGGTGGGGGAGGGCTTGTCTGCAGGTGCAAAGCCCGGAACATCGTCTTCTACCTGCCCAGAGCACTTGGGCCGCAAGCTGCAGCCAGAGTGCGGGGTGTGATTCGCTGCGGGCCATGACCATGAACAGCATCGGCCATGATGGCGCAAAGACAGACACAGCCTGGCGGGGTTACAAAAGCACCATCTGAGCGCGTTGGCGACGGAGGGTCGCTCCAAGCCATTCAATGGCGCGCTCAACGTCATACTGAAGAAGCATGGACATGGAGGGCTGGGGAAACACGCCAATCGCTTAAGGGTCCGTAACTTCAAGCGGGGATAACAATCATACAGCATTGCATTCGTAACTACCTTCATACGCAGCTCTCAGGCCACTTGGTTTCCGCTCATACTAGTTTCGTGAACAATGGTCAAGAACAGACATGCCCGAATTTAACAGTTTTGCCCAACGCCCGCCTCAAAGCATGATTCGAGTGAAACAAAAAGCATTTCCCTAAGCATCCTTTTGCTGCTCATAGTCCATGCCAGCGTCCTGATCGGCTTGACGCTGTGCCATGCGCTCACGAATGGCGTCTCCTGAAGTTGAGTCTCCGTCGCGGCCACTGGCAGCAGGCGCATGGCTAGTCGTGTCGACGACGTTGTCATCATAGGTCATGCCGTTCATCATGCGTGCCTCCTTCTTCTGTTGCTCGGTGCTGGACATGGTCTGTGTCGATCCTGAACTGACAGGTACGCTGACACCTGACATGGGACTGGTCGGGGTTTGTTCTCGCAAGTAACCCGGCAGAGCACTTGCCTTTCCAACAGCAGGGCTGCCAAGCTGGCTATGCTGTCGAGCTGGCGTTCGCGCACCCTCACCGAAACCAACTAGAGAAGCAGCTTCGTCACTAAAGCCTCCCATGCTTGATGTGTCCATGTCCTGATCCTCGCTCATGTGGTCCGGCTCGTAGACATCGCTGCCGCTTGCCCAGGTTGTGCGACCACCAACGGAACCAGTCGCGCTGGCACTACCAACAGTGCTGCGCTCACGGAAGAGTTGCGGCTGGTTGTTCGCATCGAAGTAACCTGGCGGAGGGTTGGCTGCACTGCCTGGGTTGAGTCCTTGAGGATTGCGACCCGAAACTGCAACGCGCTCCAGACCCGCTAGGCGCGAGATGCGGTCGGCACGCTCAGCTTCAGCGGGATTTCGGTGGTGGGGGAAGTGACCACGATGTCCATCCTTGATTGCAACTGTGGAGAGCTCAGACATGGTCGTCGTGACCGAGTTCGGGGTGCCTCTATGTGTACAGCGTCAGTCCAACTATCTGAATGAGCCCCACCAAGTGCATGTGCCTTACGGAGCATCGCCAGGCGTGTCTTCGCCAGACGGCGGAGGTGGCAGGTTGATCAAGGTAGGCGCATTGGTTGCCATTGTGAGTGTATGGTCTGAATTGGACCTTGGGATATTTTGTGAGGGGTGTATCGTTCAGGAGAGTTTAATGTTTTAGGCAGTCCGATTACAAGGAGCCCGGCCCTCGTGACGAATGACGTAGCCGAATACCTGGGTAGCGCTTCGAACAAAGCACGAGTCAAAAGAAGCTAATTGAGTTTTCTTATGATAAAGCAGGCGTCTTCATATGATCCGGAGCCTGGGCTCATAGTCGTTGTCTAATTAAGATCGTCTCGCCGCCTCATTCTTGGGCGTTCTTGGGCGCTCTGGCCGTTGGCTACCCAGGTAGGCGTTCTGGACGCAGGGTCTTGCCCTAAAGCTAAGCGTGCCGGTGATTCGCTACCAGGACAATGGTTGCTTCACCCTTACATCTTCGACTGCCTCTCGGACGGATCATCGCAAAGGGCACTGCCGTCCTGGGCTGCGTTGCCAATTCAATACGGACTATTCCACAGCTGCACTATCTACTTGTATCAGAACCCCACAGCTAACCTTACAGACTCTTGCATACCAGCAGCTCACATAACCGTACAGTTGGTTGCAGGCTCATCCGTATACTTGTACTTGTAATGACTCTTATGCCTCCTTTTCTTGCGCCTGTTGTCGTAGTATCCATCATGGTCGCTGATATAGCCATCGTTATATCCGCCAAAACCATTGTCGCACATAATCGGTTCGTTCATAACCATTGCCGAGCTGCCCATCATCGGTCCACCCGTGATCATCGGAGCATGCGACATCATGCTTTGAGGCCCATAAGGACCAGTAAGGCGGTGATCGTAAGTGAAGCCCTGATTCCTGTAGTTCATAGGAATCAGAGTACCAGATATAGCTCCTGAAGTAATCGCTGGACCTCCGCATCCACCAGACATGAACGGCGCACTTCCCCACTGACCGGAGATCGCATGGTTTCCGCCAGCATGATTTCGTAGCATCTGGTTGCAACCCCAAGGCCCCTGTACCATTTCAATTGTCTCTCGATCTGCAAATCCGCCGTTGCACATGGGACAGGTGTAGGGCGGTGCGATCAACGTCTGGTAGGTCTGACGATATGGACAGCTAAGGAGGTCGGAGAGGAAGCTGCAAGGTTGACTCATGGAGATCCAGGAGTGACCACATGTTGGAGAATCATACAGGGTGCAGCCGCACATTTCCGGTAGGCAAAGACTCTGCAAAGGATGTAGGCCTTCGATGACTGTAAGGTAAGATTTCAGTATTGATAGCGTGATATCCTCGGCAATATTATGTAGCTTTCCAAGACCAGTATTGATTGGCGACGATTGTGATGCGTCTGAGAAGGGCTTCAGCTTGTGAAGCAGACCCTTAGATGAACAGCGAGCATAGAGTGACGGAAGAGGTGGGCGGAAGAGGGTGTTGGAGACTGATCTAGTATTGTTGATATATAGTACATCCTGGAGTGCCATGTGCAGCGTCCAAGCTCGTCGTGTTTACGCATTCATCGTTGAATGTGAAGCCTGCCACGTTTGCATTTGAACGTTGTTGAATGAAGATTGTGATTCATACATTTTGCGATCACTGTTCAGTCGACGGCTTCTTGTCAAGTAATTCTGTCACACGCTTCTCTTCGGCATCGGCATCCTCCTGAGCTTGGTTCTTGATCTGTTGCATGAGCTCATAGAGCTGACCAATTTGTTGATCTGTGATACAGTCAGTAGAAATCTTCGTATTGTTGATCGAACCTACCGCTCATCTTGTCAATCTTCGCTTTGTCCATCTTAGCTTCCTTCCACGAGTCTCCCTCGAGCATTTGGCAGTATGTTTGCCATTCTGAGAGAAACCCAATCTGTGAAGGTTAGAAACCGTGACATTTTAAAACGCTTGCACTATAACAAGCATGACTTACTATTTGCACGGGATTTTCGACGTCCCTGTGTGCCCTAAACTCGGCCTTGACATACATGTCACCAAGTAGCCGCTCTTCTACGCCTAGCCTTTTCCTATGTGAGCGTAGCAGGCGTCGATAAAGAGGTATTGGCGGCAACAAGGCAGCGGGCGCCGGCTTGAAGGGCCTCGATGCGCCCGCATCTGTTGCTGTAGCTAGTAATCGTGCGCAGGCTCTCATATTGGCAAAAAAAAAAATGGTTGAAGTTTCAAATGATTGTGGCAGAGAAACTGTGATGCATTTGAGAAGTGATGACCTCAGCCTCGGCTCGACTCTAGACTAGGGTGCTCCTTCAATTCCAATTGGCTCACACCAACACCTCCGATCTCGAAACAAAATCACAACCATGCTACCAACCCCATCCACATCCCACGTATGTTTTGATCGCGTGTACGAACCAGCCGAAGACTCGTACCTGCTGCTCGACACGCTCTCCTCTGCGTCGGAGACTACATATTTGAAAGAACGGTTTGGAGATGCATCTACAACCCCGCCATTGGTGCTCGAAGTGGGCGTAGGATCAGGTGTCGTGCTGGCTTTCGTTGCTGCAAATGCGCGCACCATATTCAACCGCCACGATGTACTGACGCTCGGCGTTGATATAAACAGCTTCGCCTGCAAAGCTGCTTCCCAGACGGTTCGCGATGCTATCAAAGAACGGGAAGATGGGCGCTCCGTCTTCATCGACGTCGTGAACGGCGACTTAGCGAGTGCTATCCGGTCACATTCCGTCGACGTCTTCATATTCAATCCGCCATATGTGCCAGCCGAGCTACCCGATCTTGAGAGCCACGAGAAGTATAACTCCGTGCCAGAGGGGAAGAAAGCGACATCCTTCGAACAAGACTCGTATTTGCTGGAGCTGTCTTACGCTGGAGGTGAGGATGGTATGGTGGTTACGAACAGGATGTTGGAACAGGTACCAGAAATACTTAGTACGGGTCGAGGCGTAGCATACGTGCTTTTGTGTGCACAGAACAAGCCGGAAGTGGTCAAACAGCGGATAAGAGATTGGGGTTCAGGCTGGATGGCGGAAACGGTAGGGTCAAGTGGAAAGAAGGCGGGCTGGGAGAAGTTGGTGATCGTGAGGATATGGCGGGACATGGTCTGAGAATGGAATGGCACCTGGCAAATCAAAAAAAGCGTGAAGCCGAAATATTCTTTGGGTCTATGCGTCGACACCCAACTTTGCGTCCATATCGACCAAAGCTGATTTTCCACCAATTTTCTTGAGCATACCCATGGTCTCCAAACTCATGCCGTACATCAATCGTTCCGTCGTACGTCACCGACTTGAAGCGCGGCTCAGACTCTGCATTATCCAGCCGTTCAGCTCGTCGCTGTACTGATGATATTCCGGACCTATGCCCTGGGCGCGCTTCTCTTCTGTAGATAGACTTAGGCCTCGCTGGTGCAGCTGATCTTTGCTGAGGTTGATTGGGATGGCTCGTCGAGGATCATGAGCATCGTAGTAGCGGTTTTGGTAGTCGTAGACCTGAGCGGGAGCTGGATGCTGGTTGTTGTTGTCGCGGTATCGCCTCGCAGTATAGGCATCGCCGTTCTCGATAGGCGCCTTTCCGGTCGCCAGAAAGCGCATGCAGGCACCCAACGCCCAAACATCTGCTGCTCGGGTGTTGGTCCCTTGCGCAGGGTTCTTCGGTGGCTGCCACTGAAAGGTACCGCAGCGAGGTGGTCGATGACCAGAATGTTCTTGGGCTTGATGTCCCGATGTATCATACAACCACGCTCGTCCCGATTCAGATCAATATTGCCTTGAATAAACGCCAGGGCCTGACTGAATTGCAAGAAGCACCGCCAGATGGAGCTTTCTGCTACTGGCTTCTAGTTCTTGCTATCGAACTGTTGTCTCTTCCACTGCTGAATATCGCCCAGCAAGTAGTGCTGGAAAAGAGCGGTACTATGATCCGGATCGGGGTCTGCGTGGTTGTAGGAAATCGGCTTGACCACTCTGTTGCAGTCGGGCAGTCGGGTAAGGGTGGCAATCTCAGGTGGTTGCTCATTTTCTTCTTCGTCTTCCGGGTCCAGGTCATGAAGTTTCTTGACCAGCAGCGCCTTTGCGTTCGTACGGCTGACCAGCAGCAATATATTGGTGGTGATGAAGCGTTTGACCTTCCATGTGTTTGGCTTCCAAAGCAAGGATTGGGTTTTGGAGCGCTTAGTACGGTGACCAGCGCCGACTGCTGTGGTTGCTTTGCGCTTGGGCATTGGTGCGTTGGAAGTGTTGGTATGTGAAGATAATCCAGGCCAGCTGTAGAAGATCAATGGGATAGATTTGAAGAAGAGGTTAAGAAGGGGGTGCAAGACTACACGCATTGAGTTGGAAATCGAGCTCCCATCCTCCACTATTGTTTCAATCGTAGAGAAGAACTACAGTTGTCTTAGAAGTTTACAATAGCCATCCCAAGTAGTGTTGTTCATCTTGTAGCACAATCGCAGCAGCCACGTTGGAGTGAAGGTGAAGGTAAAACAACGTGGTAGCTGCCCGGCTGCGTCAACACTCGAGTGACTCAACGCTGCTACCATTACAAAGACCTCTTGAAGGTATTACTGCGCGGCAGATAGAAAAAGCTTGATGTTGCGAGGAGGTATTCAAATGGCTCATACCACATAATTCATGTCGCATCAGGGCGCATATAGTACATATTGTTATACACACTGTACATAACATCGTCTTTCTCAAGCCCTCCTCCTTACCACATACTACCAAAACTTGACATTCTTCTGGTACCAATAACTCCAACTCTTTCTCCTCTCTTCCTCTGCTCTACGCTCTGCCTCTAGTCGATCCTGCTCTTCCCTCGCTCTCCGCCGTGCCTCCTTCTTCGCCTCGATAGTCGCGCGCTTTTTCTCCATCAATTCTTGTGCTTGTTTTATACCAGCCTTCTCTTTGGACCGGTAGTACTGGCATACTTGGTAGGAGACGACGGAGACACCGCACCAGGTTGCTACGGCCCAGTTGGAGGCTGTGATGACCGGCTCTGTAGAAGAGTTAGTATATTGCTCTGCAGTCTTATTTAGGGAGCGATTAGTACATACTCCCTATAATAGCGGCTAAGCTTCCTCCGGCAAATCCAGCTGCCAGTCCTTGCAATTGACTGTCTCGTACACATGGTCGCTTGTGGAAGTTCAAGTAGTATTCTGGTCCGAGACTTCGTACTGCATCGATGTATGTGATGCCACCGTCCGAAGTCTTGTCTCCTCCTGCTGTATGCGCTGTGCCACCGGGCATTGTGTTGGCAGGTGCGCGGGGCTTTGGTGGAAGCGCATTCAAATCGACGGTATTCCGCGTATCGTCGGCCATGGTGGTGTGACGGGTGGGTTACTGGGCGACGGTAAGGAGAACGTATTCGAGCGATCTGTTGCTATGAGACAGTCAAGAGATGTCCTTGTATTCGGGGTTGCTGTCCTTTCGAACGTTGTACAGTGAGTCGCGGTTTGTTCACTTTCTGAGGATGCGGAATAGGCCCGAAAATATCCAGCATGTATGATCCCACGAGATCGGAAGTGTGGCTGACGGGAGGAGCACAGCCACACCAAAATCAATTTGCTGAGAAGGGGAAGGCGCAAAACACGTTCCAGCGCGTCGCGTCCAACATTTGCCGATCCACCCTTCAGGCCTGCGAGTCCCTCCACACTACACTCCCACCCTCAATTGTCGATACCCCGTCTTTTCGCTCTTTCGCTGCTCCAATGATACCCTGACCTAAATATTTAGCATTTAATACTCTTTTACCTTACACCACCACCACACATCATGGCGCCACGACGCGCAGGCCAGCCCTTCCGCCGGGTGGGCAAATTGGGCAACACATCCTACGGCCCACGGAAACCGAATACGGTCGATGCCTCGTCACTACGCAGTGGTGAGGGTACGTCACAAAACGAGAAACTCGAATCCACCCGCTTGGCGAACCGCATTGATGAGACCATGGGCTTTGCACGCTTCGATTCTGGGAAGAAGAAAGTCGGATGGCTCGTCAACATGCATTCGACAACGATAGAGGACGAGGACGTGCCAGGCGGCAAAGCAGGTGTGGACTTTTACTTCATTGGCGAAGAAGGCGACACGTTCAAGGCGACGCTAGAGTACGACCCCTACTTTCTGCTGGCCATCAAGAAGGGCAGAGAACAAGACGTGGAAGAGTACTGCAAAAAAGCATTTGAGGGCTTGATCAAATCGATCAAGATAGTAGAGAAGGAGGACCTGAGCATGCCAAATCATCTCACAGGATACCGGAGGAAGTTCTTACAACTTACGTTCGCAAACGTCAATGATCTGTTGGCTGTACGAAAGGCTGTCAATCCAATCGTGGAGAAGAACAAGAAGAATGTCAACGCGATGGACACATATGCAGAAGTTGCAAAGTGAGTTTGGCTGGTTTCCTATGCATAGACTCTGGCTAACATTTGCATAGTGGCAACGGCGACTTCGACTTCTTTGATAACGACGAGCACGAATACGAGAAACGATTTATGACCACCGTTGACGCAAGCGATTTCATTTTAGATATCCGGGAATACGACGTTCCCTACCACGTGCGAGTAGCTATCGACAAGGACGTTCGAATTGGAAATTGGTATACTGTCGAGGCCAAGCATGGTGTAATAAGCATCAAGTGCATAGAGGACCGCCTCACACCAGCGGATCCTGTCGTAATGGCATACGATATCGAAACGACAAAACTACCGCTGAAGTTCCCAGACGCTGCCATTGATCAGATTATGATGATATCGTACATGATTGATGGCCAGGGATTCCTCATCACTAATCGCGAGATCGTATCAGAAGACATTGCAGACTTTGAGTACACGCCAAAACCGGAGTACCAAGGACCCTTCATGATCTTCAACGAACCGGACGAGAAGGCGTTGTTGGAACGCTTCTTCGAACATATCAAGATAGCTAAGCCGACAGTCATGGTGACATACAACGGAGACTTCTTCGATTGGCCATTCGTCGAAGCAAGATCTAGTGTACAGGGTATCGACATGTATCAAGAGATTGGATTCAGGAAGAACAGCGAGGACATCTACCAGTCAGATTATTGTGCGCATATGGATGCCTTTGCCTGGGTTAGTCGAGACAGTTACCTGCCTCAAGGAAGTCGTGGTCTAAAGGCCGTGACGATGGCTAAGCTCGGATACGACCCTGACGAGCTCGACCCGGAACTCATGACGCCTTACGCAGCCGAACGACCACAGACGCTTGCAGAGTACTCCGTCTCCGATGCTGTTGCCACTTACTACTTGTACATGAAATATGTACATCCATTCATTTTCGCTTTGTGCAAGATTCTTCCACTCGGACCGGACGATGCGTTGCGCAAGGGTACAGGTACCCTCTGCGAGATGCTTTTGATGGTGCAGGCATACCAGAAGGGCATCGTGCTACCAAACAAGCACAATCCGCCAAAGGAAGCTTTTTGGGAAGGTCATCTTCTCGAGTCAGAAACCTATGTTGGAGGTCACGTCGAAGCGCTGGAAGCTGGCGTGTTCCGAAGCGATATCGCCTACAACTTCGCTGTCGACCCCACGGCCATTGACGAACTGCTCAACGATCTTGATGCAGCACTGAAGTTCAGTATCGAAGTTGAGGAGAAAAAAAAGATGGAAGACGTAACCAATTACGACGAGATCAAAGCTGAGATCGTTGAAAAGCTCATGCAGCTCAAGAACACACCAAACCGTAACGAACGGCCTCTCATCTATCACTTGGATGTCGCATCTATGTATCCCAACATTATGACAACAAATCGACTACAGCCTGATTCTATGATTAACGAATCAAATTGCGCGGCTTGCGACTTCAACCGCCCAGGAAAAACATGCGATCGGCGAATGCCATGGGCCTGGAGAGGTGAATACCTACCAGCCAAGCGCGACGAATACAACATGGTTCGGAACGCTTTAGAAAACGAGCAGTTTCCTGGAAGGTTCCCGAACTCGCCAAAGCGAACATTTCAAGAACTCTCGGAAGAAGAACAGGCTACGCTGGTCAGAAAACGTCTGACAGACTACTCCAAAAAGATCTACCACAAGGTCCACGATGCTACGACGATCGAGCGCGAGGCCATCATTTGCCAGCGTGAGAACCCGTTCTATGTCGACACCGTCAGTGGCTTCCGTGATCGACGTTACGACTTCAAGGGCAAGCAGAAGGTCTGGAAGGGCAAGACGGAAGCACTCAAAGCAGCTGGCGCCCCCGCCACGGAGATCGAGGACGCAAAGAAGATGATTGTTCTTTTCGACTCTATGCAGTTGGCTCACAAGGTCATTCTCAACTCCTTCTACGGTTATGTCATGCGAAAGGGATCTCGTTGGTACTCTCTTGAAATGGCTGGTGTTACTTGCTTGACTGGTGCTCGTATCATTCAGTTGGCCCGCTCGCTTGTAGAGCGCATTGGACGACCCTTGGAATTGGATACCGACGGTATCTGGGCAATTTTGCCCGCGACGTTCCCTGAAAACTTCGCGTTCAAACTCAGCAACGGCAAGAAGCTGACCATCTCATACCCTTGTACGATGTTGAACCATTTGGTTCACGCACAGTACACCAATCACCAGTATGAGACATTGGTAGATCCGGAGACGTTCCGGTACGAGAAGCATAGCGACAACTCCATCTTCTTCGAAGTCGACGGGCCGTACAAAGCTATGATCCTGCCAACTTCAAAAGAGGAGGATAAGAACTTGAAGAAGCGTTATGCAGTGTTCAACCACGACGGTAGCTTGGCGGAATTGAAGGGTTTCGAGGTGAAGCGTCGTGGTGAGCTGAAGCTCATCAAGAACTTCCAAGCTCAGATTTTCAAGTTCTTTCTGGAAGGTACAACGCTTGAGGAGACGTATGGAGCTGTCGCCAAGGTCGCCAACCGATGGCTTGATATTCTGGACACTCGCGGTGCAACACTGGCAGACGAAGAGCTCATCGATCTCATTGTCGAGAACAAGAGTATGACAAAGACATTGGAGGAGTACGGAGCGCAAAAATCAACTGCCATCACGACTGCCAAACGTCTTGCTGAGTTCTTGGGCGAACAGATGGTGAAGGACAAGGGTTTGAACTGCAAGTACATCATCTCAAAGACACCTAGGAATGCTCCCGTCACCGAGCGCGCCGTACCCTTGGCAATCTTTTCGGCTGAAGAGTCTGTCAGAAGGTATTTCTTGCGGAAGTGGTTGCGAGACGACCCAGGAGAGATGGACATCCGAACAATTCTTGACTGGGATTACTACCGTGAACGTCTGGCGTCTGTCATCCAAAAGCTCATCACCATCCCCGCAGCGTACCAGAAAGTCCGAAACCCCGTTCCTAGGGTGCCGCATCCGGACTGGCTCGACCGCAGGATCCGTCAGAAGGAGGACAAGTTTCAACAGACAAAGATGACAGACATGTTCAGTAAGAAGGTCGTGACGAACGGTGACGCCAACGTTGCGAACAACAAGCTGTCTGGAGACTTTGAGGATTTCGGCTCCGCAAAGTTGACCCAGAACCAATCCCAAATGAAGAAAGGAATAGTCACCAAGATGGTGGCGAAGCGCAAGGAGCCTGAGCCTGCAGTGCCTATTGTCGACCCGTATGCTGCATTACCCAAAGTCATGCCGAGCATCGATCATGACTATTCCGGATGGTTGGCGTATCAGAAACAGAAGTGGAGGATCCAGCGAGAAGCACGGAAGCGCAGACGACAGCTATTCGGAGAGAAGGCTGTTGATGCTTCTGACGCGATCGGTAGCTTTTTCAGGAACCAAGCTCAGTCTTTGTATATCAGCACGTGGCAGCTTGTCCAGTTACGACCAACAGAAACACCGGGCGAGGTCAGGGCTTTCGTCCTGATCGACAAGAAGATTCATGCTCTCAAGATCATCGTACCTCGGACGCTGTACCTGAATCTGAGAAGTGAAGACCTTCCGGATGTCTCGATCAGTGGGTGCTCTGTGGAAAAGGTTGTCAACCACTCTCTGCCGAACGGACACCCTTCTATCCATCTGTTCAAGCTCCAGATGTCGGAAGAGACGTACGTCCAGGAAGCAAACAGCATCTCTGCACTGTTCAACCACACTAGTGTTGAAGGCGTATACGAGAAGCAGGTACCGCTGAATATCCGAGCCATCCTCGAGCTCGGAAGTACCTGCACATTCGACGAGTCACAGAAGGGTGTGCTCGGAAAGGGTCTGGAACAAGGCTTCGGTTTGTCGGCGCTGCGAAAGGTAAAGACTAAAGAGCCATACCTGGCTGAGGCGCCTTTCAACTATCTATACCTGTACCATGTCAGGAGTGGTGACCGCAACATCTATGCCATCTTCTCGACGTCGAAGAGCGAGGCGCACATCGTCATCCAAAACAAGACCAAGGATTCTCAGATGCCAAATGTAGACCGCATCTACAGAGATGCCCTGCAAAGACGAGTGGAAGACAGCAACGGCGAGCCGTGGCAGACCATGATCGAGTACCAGGAAGACATACACTTCAAGACGACGATGGTAACCACAAAGCGAAAAGCTCTTCTTGAGATTGGGGATGCTATCAAGAAGATGAAGGCAGACGAAAGTGGACCTATCATCACGGTCATACAATCACCAAACCAGGCTCTTCTCTCGCATGACATCCCTGTTCTCAAGGAACTGCCAATTTTACCACTTCACGCCGATGAGTCCGACAAGCAACTACCACCCCTCGGCTGGCAAGCGTTCATCGCCAGGCGAGTAGTAGGCCATTATCTCGATCTCGGATCCTGGGTCGCTCATCTGCTAGAGCTTGCTCGTTATGGAGATATTCCGCTCTGCAACCTTGAGAGCAACGACCCACGCTTCCTGATCGACATTGCATACGCGCGACGCTTGCAGAAGGAACGGGTGATACTCTGGTGGTCTGGCCAGGCGAAGCCTGATCATGCTGGCTATGAGAAAGACGATATCCTCGCACCCCTGGAGACGGTGGACATGCCATCGATCAACAACCCAGGGACATACTCGTCAGTGTGCATTGATATCAATCTTCGCAACCTCGCTATCAACACGATCTTATCATCCTCATTGATCAACGAACTTGAGGGCTCTGACTCTGTTTCCTTCAATCCTGCGGCCCCGTCTTACGACTCCACGAACGATGGCTCCAATATCATCTACTCAGACAACGCTTTCGCAAGCGCTGGTATCACAGTCCTCCGAGAGATGGTCAAAGCATGGTGGGTAGAGGCTGTCAATGCTGGTCGCGGCTTTAGCATGGCCGATGTCATGGTTCAGCATCTCGTCCGCTGGGTTAGTAGTCCGGGGTCCTTCCTCTACGATCGCTCCCTACACTACTACGTTCAGATGATGTCAAAGAAGACGCTACAGCAACTAATGACGGACTTCAAGCGCGTCGGTTCACATATCGTATTCGCTAGTCCGAACCGTCTACTTCTCCAGACAACCAAAGCCGAAGTGGGGAACGCTTACGCATACAGTCAATACATCATCAAGACCATCAAGTCGAAACCTCTATTCCAGTTCATGGAGCTTGAAATCAAGGAATACTGGGACTACCTGGTGTGGTATGACGAGTTCAACTATGGCGGCAAGGGCTGCAGTGAGGTGACTGAGGATGAGACGCAACCAGTTGAGAACATCATGTGTTGGCAGCTCGCACAATTCTTGCCACCAAAGTTCCAGCCTACATTCAACGACTGGATCGTCGAATTCATCGAGCTCATGCACGCACGAAAACGCCCTGCTATCACGGAGGATGGCTCGACACCTAGAGTTACACAGATCCCGCTCCGACCATTAACTGTTGATCCGAATGAACAAACACAGCTTCTCCCCAAGCAGTTCACCAGGCCTCTCTCTAAACAGATGAATGTCTTCGCCAAGAAGCAGCATGCAGAGGTCTTGGATCCTCTCTTCGCACCTGATTATGTCTTTCCCGAGCTTCCGGGCTCGCACCTCAAGCTCACAAATCCTGTCTTACAACTCGTCAAGAGCATCATGCAAGTCTTGAGTCTGGACCGTGCCATATCTCTCGAAGCGCGTGCACTGCGAAAGGAGTTGCTGAACCTCTTCGACATCCGCGAGTTCAGCGCAGAAGCAACGTTCGTCAATCCCAGCGCCGCCCTCGTCGTCCGAGGCCTCATCTGCGAAGACTGTACATCCTCACGCGATCTGGATCTCTGTCGCGACTCTTCTCTCCTCCCAGCCATCCTACCCGACAGCGACGCCGCTCCCGTCCTCCCCAAATGGAAATGCGACAACTGCGACTCAACCTACGACAAACGGCGCATCGAAGAGCAACTTGTTAGCGAAGTGCAAAAGATGGTACTTGAATGGTGTACGCAAGATCTCAAATGCGGCAAGTGCAAGAGGCTACGTAGTAATGAGTTTATGGAACATTGTGCTTGTGCAGGCGAATGGGTAGCTACGAAGAACAAGCAAGAGATGAAGAAGAAGATGAGCGTGTATGGCAATGTTGCAAGATTCTATACACTAGGTATGTTAGAAGCTGTTGTTGAGGAATGTTTGGAGAGCTTTTGAAGATCTTGTATGTTTGCTGTACAGCAGCGATCGATCGGTACGGCGTGGTGGTCTTGCATACAAGTGCGGAATTGGGGCGCGTGGCGTCCACGGTCTTTCTCCGCATAGGTATGGGTTTTTACATTGAGATTCGGGCTTTTCTTGCCCTGTAGCATTTAGAGGCGTCTGCAGCGACTAAGTGGGGTAGAAGGCGTCCGTTCGTCTACTTTGCGTCTTGTTTATCCCGACGTCCTTCTATCGACCAAGTACACGTAACAATCTTATCAGCTTGCAAAACATTTACCCTTGCCCGTCTTGATCAACAGTAACGAGCAGCGATCTGGACGTAAAAGCCAAGGAAATGATTACGTCTTGGACCAGGAAGGCAGGAGCGGGGCTTGCGTCAGCTTGATCCTAGGATGCCGTGCGAGCACGCCATTTCGGGCTAAATATCGCAAACAACAACATGGATTGAGATATGATGCGATAACTTCAGAATGAGGAAGTGAGGGGTTGGAGGGGCAGACGAGGTCTTGGAGGAACAGGGATTTACTGAATATACGTATATATATAGATAAATCGGCATTGCTTTTACGCGTTTTCAACGGCTATTGTGTAACTGTCTCTACGACGCCCCGTCTGCAGAATCGAGGAGATACGCATACTCATCTGCTTTCTAATTGTCCTTTAATCTTTTAGTACAAGCCTCTCTTGATCAATTGGCTTGATTCCGTTGCGAAAATGGCGCCAGCACTCACATCTTCCACACCTGCTGCGCCGCATACCCTCTCCTCCCCAGGCGCCACCACAACAATCAAAGCACCAAAGTCCATCTTCCCAGACGGAATTAAGACCTCAGGCCAACATGAGCCCGTCTACTCCCTGCTACGCCCCTACTCCGATTTCCCCAAGGAAATCACTGGCTCAACAGCATGGGACAAAACAGACTACGAGTCCAACCCCGAACGTTGGACGCACGTCTTCTCACCCGATGAGGTGCGCGAGATAAGCGAAGCAGCAGACTCGTTCATCGCCTCCGGAACACCTTTGACAGGTATCACAAAGAATCTTTTCCCACTACCCAACTTCTCAAAGTTTCTGGAGCCGCTGAGAAAGGAATTGATCGATGGGAAGGGATTCATTCTCTTCAAGGGTATGCCCGTTGAGCAGTGGGGGAACCAGAAATCCGCGGTTGCGTATATGGGTTTGGGCACGTATTTGGGCTATTTTGTCAGCCAGAATAGTCGGGGCCATGTGCTTGGGCACGTTAAGGATCTAGGTGAAGACGCGACTGCGATTGATAAAGTAAGAATCTACCGGACGAACGCGAGGCAATATTTCCATGCCGATGATTCGGATCTCGTGGGCTTGTTGTGTGTGGCCAAGGCATTGGAGGGGGGAGAATCTGATCTCGTAAGTGCAGTCCAAATTCTTATCTCCTCCAAATAACTAGAGTGGTACGGTTTGCTGACTATTGCGGTGTGTATAGGTTAGTAGCCATTCAGTATGGAACGAACTTCAAAAGCACCACCCAGACGTCGCCGAACTGCTCACCCAGCCAATCTGGTACTTTGACCGCAAAGGCGAGACGAGTATAGGACAAAAAGAATGGATCAAAACCGCCGTATACTACCTCGAGACGGGTGACAACCCGAGAGTCTACAGCAAGTAAGCAAAGCAACTAGATATACCTCAACTCCTGGAAGCCGCAAACTGACACCAAGGAAAATAGATTTGATCCCTACTTCGTCCGCTCCCTAACCCGTTTCTCGGACGCAGGCCATATTCCCCCTCTTTCCGAAGCGCAAGAACGCGCCATCACTATCCTCGAGGAGACGTGCCAAAAGCTTGCGCTGCACATGATTCTGGATGTGGGTGATATCCAGTTCCTATCCAACAACCATGTATTCCATGCGAGGACAGCGTACAAAGACTATGCACCACCGGCTCCCAGGAGGCACTTGATGAGGTTATGGCTGAGTACACCCGAGGGCGAGGGTGGGTGGAAGTTGCCGTTCCACGACAGTAAGGAGAAAAAGAGAGGTGGAATCCAGGTCGATGATACGCCGCCGGTAGCACCTTATGATGCGGAGTAGTCGCTTATTGGAGAAGCTTTGCATGTATCTAGCTTGGTGAGTAGCCTGTGAATGTGTATATAACGAACAAGTCAGAAAGTATGTGAAATCCGCGGGAGGACTGCGTTTCAATGTGGTATCATTCTTCTCTCGAGGCGCAGCTTTTGCACCCATCCTTGTGTCTGACACCGCGTATCCTGGTTATCTTTGCTCGTGTAGCTGATCTGATAGCGATCCTATCGCGCGTCAAACTTTGGTGTCTTGTGTGCGCGGCAACCCATAAACTCAACTTCCCCAATTCCATAGCGCAATCCCAAGTCGTTTTGTGATGTTGTAATGCGCATGTGCGGGTGGTTCTCTCGGCCTTCAATCTCTGTCGTCTTTTTCCGTACCTAGAAGCCCCGTCCGCGTCCCCTGCCGCCACCGCCTCTTCCGCGACCACCTCCACCACGTCCGCGACCGCCTCCGCGGCCACCACCCCTTCCACCACGGTCGGCACCACCAACCTCCTTCCTTGCCTTGTTCTTGGGCTTCGGCGCGTCGTCGATGAGAAGTGTGTCGAGCGGTAATGAGTCGGGGAGGATGATGTAACGAATTGTGGACCCGCGGACGGTCATTGTGTCGAGGGCTACGGTGTCGCGAGACTTAGGCGTGTACTTGACTGCTCGGAGCGCGACGTTCATGAGCGGTGAGACGGAGGTGATTGTGCCGTTTACAATAGTGCCTGACATTATGTTAGACTACACGTCTATAAAGTGATCGAACGCTGATTCGAGGTAAAAACGTGTTTGCGCAACTCAAGGGATGACGCGCTCGCGAATGCGGCTACTGTCGCCCAAAAACATCGCGATTGAGGCCAAAGAGAAGCAGGAAAGAGAGACTCTACTGACCATTCTTGAGCTCGACTGTAACCGTCTCATTCTGGCACTTCATAAGAAACCTACGCGAAGCCGTTAGCTGCAACTCTAACAAAGATTGAGGGCTGGCTCACCTGACGAGCTTCATGATCGTTGTTATCCGGACTGTGCAGTATTGAAGTTTAAAGTGTATACCTCGGTATTCTGCGATTAGCAATCGTAGTCGGTATGGTTGCTGCGGCGCGATGTGTACTCGCGGGGAAGCTCCGACTAGGAAATTGCGATCGAGCTTCAGGCTGCACGGGCCAAGGTTAATCCGTCACCGATATCACGTGCACCTAAACTCACTCTTCCAAGGTCAGCTTCATAATATGGTGTTACACGTTGGCTGATAAAACTAATGTATTATCTACGCGTTCATTCCACGTAGACGCCTGCTTTCATCTATATTGCATACATTGGGTATAGTATACATGTCGACCGTACAATCAGAGCCCATGATTGTGTTACGAATTCCCTCCCTCGATAAAGGAATACGTGCCCCAACGTTCCTCGCCTTGCTTTTTGTTACTCCCATGTTTGACACGGTTGCCCGTCTTGGGCTCAGTTCGCACGATCCTTGGACCTGAGTCTACTCCCATCCGCCGAATTTTCGACGACCCATCTGCCTTACGAGAAGGGGTTTCGCCGCCTTGCGTATGAATCGGTCGCTCGGGTGTACCCTGCTCAAACCAGGCTTCTTCTTGAGAAGTATTCAGAGTTGCCATCATAGCTTGTTGCATCTCGTCACCTGATGATTGAGATGCAGACGCTGCGGGAGTGTACTGTATCGGTTTATGTGTGACGTCAAAGCTGTACGTCTCCTTTAGGTACTTGGCGATGGCCTGGTTCTCTTCCTCGGTGCCACTACCGTAGTAATTCTTCAACTCCTTTGCGACAAGCGTGTCCAGAATAACCCCTCGACCAAGCGGTTGCTCACTCGCCTGCTTAGATGGGTTATTGCTTGGTAGCGTAACAGTAGCATCCCAGTGCAGGCCCATAGCAGCAAGCCTGTCCTTGCCTGACCAAGCCGTAGCCTGCAGCGGAGTGCTCTGGACGAAATGCTTGACGCGCTGCTCAAGATCGTCCCAGCTAACGTTCCAAACAAACCAGGGCCTCAGCATCTCCTCAATGGCGCGAAGAAAGTGTTGGAATGTCCTTGTCGAATGGTACAAATGCTTCATCTTGCCCATCAGAAAATCTACATTCATACCCGTGATAGTAGGATTCACGCCGACTCGACGCAACAATTCTCGCCAGTCCCGTGAAATGTTATTTCGAAAGCCTGTTTGAGAGCTGATTTGTAGGCGGTTGATAAGACGGCACAAGACTACACGAAGTTCTTCTTGTGTCACTTCTCCAGCAATATCTATGGCTGAAGCATCGAATGATGCGGGGTGGCTCTGGGTAAGTAATCGTGCCCGTGCTTTCTTGAAATGTAAGGCCGCCGCTTTTGGTTCGCCGATGGCTGCCATAGCCTCTTCGAATGGTTTCCTCAACGCAACCTCGTACTTCATCATTCGAAGGTGTTCTCGCAGGTGGTACTCAATTTGTTCAACTTTTATGATGTCTTCCGTCCCACTATTCACATGTCCTCGTCGGTGTTCGAAAGGCGGTGCTAGGTTTGCTGCTCGCAGAGACTTCATAATGTCGCTTGGTAGGAAGTCTCTGCTATTGGGATTAACGCCCAAGTTGTGTAAGAAGGCTCGATAAGGCTGGGACAGGAAACGCGCATCCAGTGCGACCAGCTTCTTCGCTCGATCAACAATTTGATCCCTCATCGACGGCGTTAACAACCCATAGAAGTCACTCAAGACCTGCTGACCCTCAACTCCGGACCGTAATTGCTTGGGGAGACCCATCTCTTGCCGGCACTCTGCAACCAGAAGCTCTAGGTTAATCCCGAAGTTTGCAGTGGCATACGGTAAGTTACTGTCGATGTTCCTATAAGTCTCTCTAGATGGGTTCTCGTAATAAGCGGGGTTTCCCTTGATCATAGCCTTGATTTGCTCCATATAATGGAGTCTTTCTTTCTCTCCTGGGAACAAAGGATAGTTCCACACTGACTCAATCTCTTCGCTTGTTGCAGATGATTTAGGTCTTGTAGGGGTCCAGATGTTTTCACCTCTTGGACTACGGTATCCCCCGTTGATGTACATGATTGTCGGGTCCTTGGAAGTCTTCTGCTCTAAGCTATTGACCCTCGCGACCAGAATGACATGATCTGCGACGGGAAATTCATGTGTGACCTTGCATTCCATCGCAGCCCGTACATACTCCCCCAACACCTGCGGGGCGAGAGAAGGCGGATTACTAGGATCTTTTCTATCTCTGGGCTGATGCAGTCTAAGCTCCTTAGATCGCAGATTGTAAGCATCCGGATGGTTTCCTCGGCAAAACAGATCCACAAGCTTCGCGCCGCCTCTGTCGGCAGCGGGAAAATGAACGCGAAAGAGGCCATCAGCTGCCCGTATGGCGTCCAAGGTTTTGGAGGGCTCTCTGATGTTGAAGGAAATAGTAGGCGGATCCAGGGAAACAGTGCTGAGTGAGGAAACGGCGACGCCCATGGGTACGTGTTTCTGGGTATCAGGGTCGATACTCGCAACGGTGAGAACTGCGACCGAGCTCGGAACATGACGCATCAGTCCACGTACTGAATTCTTAAGTTGTTCTTGCTGCAACTCCGACTCGGAGAGTTCGAAGGAGGCATCCTGCTCTTCTATGGTTTCCTGCGCGTCCGCTATCTCCTCCCGTATGCTCTCTGCTGGCCGAAGTATTCGTTCTCCTCCCCTTCCTGACAAATACGAAGCATGATCACCAAGCTCTGTTGCGTCTTCTTCACGCGATTGTGGTGGGGATTGACTTTGTTGTTGTTGTTGCAGCAGACGAGTCGTATTATAGTATCGTGGGGCGCAGATGCCGTTGCGGGGATGTGTCTCGCGGCGAGCGTATTGAGGAACAACAGCGCATGGTCTTGACCGTTCTAACAAAGAATTAGTATGTAAGTATTAATACTTTATAGACGACTAACGAGTATGTTGATTCCATCTGTAGAAGGCCGCGAAAAAGCGCGAAGCCGGGCGCTGCGAAAGCGCCATATTCACAGCAAGATTCTCTGCATTTGTTACATACGCCGAGGACGAAAAGAATAGTGCAGTTCGACAGGACACGACTGTCGGAGAGCAATGTGTTGCGAATGACGAAGTGCGCGCATCGTGGTGGAAATGTTAGATCGGCCAAGGCTAACCTCCGTCTCTTCTCCGCAACTTTCCTCCCGAACTTCAACACCTGCCCAGCACAAACGACTATGGCGTCTCCAATACCCTCAATGAGCGCACTGCGTGCCCTCCGACAATCGTTACAGCCTCAAGTCCAACAAACGACCCAAGTACGACATGCGACACTTCTCCGCCGACCAAAGCGACCCTACACCTTCACACAACTCATAACTCTCTCCGACGGCAGCTCATTCACCGTACGAACCACAAACCCACAGCCAGTATACAAGAGCGCAAAGGATATACGGAATTCGCCGCTATGGAACCCAAGTTCACAGAAGCTGTTGAATGTGGAGGAGGATGAAGCTGGAAGATTGGCCTCTTTCAGAACCAAGTTTGGACGAGGATGGGACGCTGATACTGATGCCGAGAAGGTGAGTTTACGAGAAAGAGCACAAGGAACTGTACAGCGGACATTTTTGCTAACTCCTTCATAGGGCAAGCAGACGGAGGATCATCTTTTAGATCTGATTAGCAGCCAGGGCAAGCCGCCAGGCAAACCAACCGATGCCACCAAATCACCACCTGCGAAAGCGCCTGCATCGGCGCCTGCAAAGCCAGCTGCAAAGAAATAAGGAGTTGGCGTAGAAGGGCACGGGTGTTACATTCTAGGGCGGCGCTATACAGAATGCTGCAACCCATTGTAAAAGGTTTTTGTGGTTCAGCAATAAACACGCCTCTGCGGTTATCCTATCATTTCTGTCCTGTGGTATCTAGTCTGGCTGAGTTGTAAGTTGTGTAACACAACGGGAAGTCTCACGACAAGTCCAATATGCGCCTGTGTCGCTCCACGCTCTTCGCAAAACTCATACTCTCAGCTATCTCCCACGCCCCTCATCAGCAAATCATTAAAGACACACATCGTCATGGCAAGGCGACAAGGTTGCGGAGACTGCGATTTGAGCTGGTGGTTTGTTGGTAGAGTGGAGATTTTCCGGTTGAGAGATGATGGTGAACGTGTGTTGTCAGTTTAACAGTTTCGTGTCTGATGGTTCTGATCTATTCCCTGTTCCCTTTCATACCGCCTAATTAGCTATACGGCCTGGCTTCTCAATCGAGTATTGAACACTCAAAACGACACAGCACTTTATGAATGATTCAGATGAAATAGATTCGATGCCACTCTTGGTCTATATCCTGCCCAAGTATATGTCCATCTTATTCTGACACCCTGTTCCCCCAAAAGAAACGCTAAACAAGAGGTATAAAACACACATGCCAAGACTCAAAAGGCGCAGTGATCATCGGAAATCAAACTACACCCTCCCCAACAACCCTCCGCTCATGCCCAACCCACTCCTCCCCCTCACTCCTTACACTCTCCGTTCTCCCCCGCCCATCATCGTCAATTTCCACTTCTCTCGTGTGAATAGTCTGAACCCTGATGTTGTTCAACTCAACCTCATCTCCAAACTCTTCTCGTGTAGGCGTGCGGTACAGACCGCGGCTTGGAGCGCGAAATCTGCTCGGCGAAGATGAAGATTTACATTCCGTTGTGACGCCAGAAATGACTAAGCGGGGCGAGGTTTGAGGGCGGTGATGTGGGTTGTTGGACATGGCGGTAGGGAAGACGTTGAGACTAGGCCTACGGGAGTTGCTACCGCTGTTGTTGCGGGAGTTGTTGGCGCTGTTTTTGTTTTGTGTATCGTCGTCGGATAGTCCCTTGATGGTGATGATCTCGGTTTCCTTTTCGTCTGTTCCATCGTCGTAGATCATCTTGCGGCTTCGTCTTTGATCTGATCTTGTGACGCTTCTTGAGCCGGTTGTATTGAAACCAGCATCGCTCTGCGGGCTTGTAGACACAGTTTGCTTATCTTTCGATGTGACCCAGTGTAGCACCAGTACGCAGAACAAGATGTCGGCATTGCAGCACATGAGGCAAATCCAGCCTGGTTCGCCTTTCAGTACCATGAGAATGGTCAGGTTGATGACGGATGTGGTAAGAGTAGCGAGGGAGCCAACGAGCGAGCGCTTGGCTATGCGGTGGAGCGTGGGGTTTGCATTGCGCTTGTAAGAATAAAGATCGCGAATGGGAATGACAAAGAGGGCGGTCAGGTAGACCTGAAGTTGGATTAGTTTTGTATGCCGAAATGAGCTGGCCGCGGAGAAGGGAATACGTACGTTTACAATGACCTCGAAAATGATCAAGGGCAGCATGGCGATCTTTTGCATACCAATGATGCATATGCCCGAGTCATTGATATAGGTGATTCGGAAGATGAAATTCATGATAACAAAGATGGTGTACGGTAGAAGCATGAACAGGCAGTTGAAGAGCCATAGCTTCGTCTTCATGCGAGGCTTCATACCCCCTCGAACGACATACTTCATCTCGTCAATTGATACTCGTGTATAAGAATGGAAAGCCTCAAACTCACAGCTTTCTCGACGAGGAAATAGTATATCAGAATCTTTGTGGTCATGTAGCATATCAGACCTGTAAAACAGTCAGTCTTCATTCTGAACACTCTCGCATATCCAATCTTGTAAACTTACATAATAAGATTCCTCCCTCGCACACTTGCGGTGAGGAATTGATGCCGAAGCCATGAACCACAATCGCCGTCGCAAAGACGAATAGTGCCGAGTCACAGTAGATGATGAGGATTACTGATTCATGCTGTCAGTATCGGGTGTTTCGCCAAGATGCTCAGAGAGCATGTATCATGTTGCACTTACACCACATAGCCAGAGGCAATGCAGCCCACTTCTGGATAAATTGTGTTCGTCGCACTGTCACACATTAGTATTTTCCTCCCTTTCAAGCAGCTTTGAAACCTCATGAACTCACTTGTACAAACGGAAAGTACACCAAATGTGCTGATTTGCAACGTGATGCTGATGATCTCTCCTACCCGCGGTACCAGCGCAGGTACATGGTTTTGTGTCATCATAATCTCGGTATGTTTTCGTATCTTCACCTCACAGTCGATCAATGTATGTGCAAGTTAAAGTACTCCGATATGGCGGAAGCAAGCAAGAAATCGTATAATAACGAAACTGGAAAGGAAGCACACGAGCCAGTTCTCAACCTCGGCCCAGGGTACAACAGGGAGAAGTAGAAAAGCCCATGTGCAATTGACCCTTTAACGGAATCGCACCAAAGCACGACAAAGCTGGAATGTGCGCCATTGAATCTTGTACATTAACAGCCCTGGCTAGCCACGCTTCCCCTTCTGTTAGGGTTGGAGGAGCGGTGATTAGCGTTGATTCGGAAGTTTAATGTCTGTGACGGAAGGACGTCCGGGGAATGGTCGTTGGTTTTAATGGGGAAGAACCCAAGGCCCTATCCGAATGCCACACAGGCCACACAACCAGTTCAGCGGATGGCTGGTTGGCTTCGTTCATGCATGTTTGTCACGATCGTGATGAAAGTTTGTTCTTGTAGCGTATGGCTAATTAGTGAGCTCGTAAACGTCATGAGGTAAGAATGGAGGGGGGTAGACATCGACGTAAATTGTGACAATCAGCTCGACAGGCAGCCATAAGATATCCTACAAACGTTCGTACGAAGGGAAGAATACACCATCAAGGTCAACACCTGACTAGTCCCCATTTGATGCTAAGGGAAAACGTCGGATCGTCGGCAATCTCGCGTGGCTGTCGTAGAATATCCGACCGCCTAGCGCCCCAGATTTCTTGCAGCGGTACTCGAGCCGACTGGACTGAGATGATCGATAGAATAGCCAACAGTGTCAAAAAAGGCACCAAGACATGTTGAACATGACTAGACAGAAGAGCAGCCTCGCCGGATTTAGAGCAAGTACCCAATGTCGCGTATCCGAAGAGCTGGCTGGACACGCAGTAGGCCTGAAACATGGCGTCTGTGCTGCTACCTCGCCGAAGTGACTACTCTATGAATAATGTTACCAGTTCTGGCATAGCAGTTTTCATGCACTTCTTTAAGGTTTTAAAACATCGTGGCTTGCGTTGGCGTTGGTAAGGCACGACTCTCATAGCTCTTGTTGATACTGCCCTTCGCCGGTCACATCTTTCCGAGCTCTAGAATAACTATCATCGAGTTCTTGAGCAGCCCACTCGTCTTTGATCAATCTAGCGACATTTTTCCCGCTCAATGCACTCGTCTCCATAGTACTGATGAAGCTCTCGATTCCACTAGTATACCATAAGCCGTCATCGAGCTTGATTTCCTCAAACGTCACGCGCGGATATTCTCGTGGGTATGAATACCAAATCTTGTGATGTATCCAGCTCACAGTTCCGTTGGCGTTACCATGTTCGGCTTCTTCGTTGGAGACATCTTGGCCAAGGATGTGGGAGAGGAATGTGGCGTTCACACGAGCGGGTGAGAAGATCTTGTAGATGTATTCGAACCGAACTGGGGACGACTCTGGGTTGAGGCCGGCATCAGATATCGATACGCTGTAGAAGTTGGGAGAACCGACACCGTCCACTGGAATCTCGGACGGCGGTAGCGTAGTAAGGACGTATTGTGGCACAGGTGTCTTGGTGTCAAGGTTGAAAGCTTTCTGATCCAGTCTGAAGGGTGACGCAAACAGAGTGGTGTACAGCTTCGTATAAGGTATCTCGTCGGGGATGTGGTGCGGCGAAGGATGGATAACAAGGTCTGAGTACTGAAGAGGTGCTGCAAGGATGACTTCGTCAAACACCGAGGTGTGATCGGTACTTGTGGTGACTTGGTAGCTGCCGTCCTGTTGCTTCGAAATTCGAGTGACAGAGGTGTTGAGATGAACATTGGCTCGAGAAGCCTTCAACATGTGTGCGAAGATCTGCCAGTTGCCTCCCTCAACCTGCATTGCTCCGTTTGTCGCCATGCAAACCATCGTCTCCAAGCCGTGAATATAAGGCAAGTTCGAAGCGTAGTTGACACGGGTGCTGGCTTGAATGATCTCTTTCGAGAACGTCTCCCCGATGCCGTTTGCTTTGAGATACTGCTCTCCCGTCACTCCAGTGACTTCCAGCAACCCTACTCGTTCGATGGCGTCGCCCAAGTTCTCCCATGGAAACACCGGCTCATCATACATCTGAAAGAATTTGCCCACTGCACTCTTCATCAGCTTGTTTGTCCAAAGTGGCGCAGCACCGTATCTCCACAGCAGCTTCGCCTTGTCCCACCAGGTATCCCCTGCCTTTGTCACGATAACGAATTCGCGTCCGTTCCAGATGCCCAGATCAGGCATATCCATTTGAGCTGCGAGATCGTGCCCAGCAGCCGATAGGTTGAATTCCTCTTTGGCTTTCACCATTATGCGGTTGCTTTGTACGAAGATTGAGCCGCCCAGCTCTACTGAGATTGTTGGGTCGTTCCATGGGTTCACGGTCGTTGTGCGGCCACCGATATAGTTGTTGCGATCGAAGACAGTGATGTTTGTTGGAATGCCTGCTTCGGCGGCATATTGGGCGAGATGGTACGCGGCGGATGAGCCACCTGCACCGGCACCTGCTGGAAATCAATACTAACATAACCAACTTCTGGCAATACGCCCATACCTATGATGGCGACCTGTTTTACGTGATGAGGCGGTTCACTGGCTCTAAGAGCGAGTGCGCAAGGTAGCAGCGAGGCAACGCGCAACCACTGCATCATCATGAGCGCTCTTTTTATCGAACAGTATTGGTTCTTGATGCGTTCTGGCTAGGTATCAAGGACCGTCGGGGCGTTGTTAACTTCAGGTTACTTCGTAGGTCATGGTGGTATAATAGATGGGAGGTCCAATGTAAGCGTGCGGCGATGGTGATGATGATGATGATGAAGTTGGAGCATGGATCAGCCAGCGCCGGCTACGAACAAGCATCCGAATAGAAGGTCGCACTTGTGCAGTATAGCAACGTGAGTAACGCGTTATTCGCGTTCAAATACACGTTGCGAATTCAGTTATCGGTCCTTATTGGGATGCAGGCGATGTATAGGAAGTCATAGTCGCATGCTAGGGCGCGCACTTTCACGTGCTTCAGTTCGGTCCCCGATGCTAAGTCCGCGCAGTATCCGATGGTCCAAGATGAAACCAATTCAGGAAGAAAGACAGCAAGGCATATTTGAGCGTAGATTTCTTTCACTCTAACTATCAGCAGAATGCGCCATGACCATGTATGCTAAACGTATTGTAAATCGATAAACTCCCCTGTACGCCATACTCCAAGAGTGCTGCTAATCCAACATTTACTCGCACTTTGCCCGTATCATAAGTATCATGAGATCGTCATCGTCCATATTGGGGCTTACCCATCTGATTACACTTCTCCGGAAATTACGATTACCTCCTCGACGCTTCATATAGCGAACTTCACCGTCCGCTTCGTGGTCCCGATCTTAGTAACAGGCATGACCTCCCGTTCAACAGTGACTTCCCTTGAAGGCGTGTCTCTAACACCCCTTCTCCGCCTCTCGCTACGTTTTGCTCTCGCTTCGCGAGTTTCCCGTAGCTTCCACTCAGTCAACTGTTGTCGTCGCTTCTGCGACCTAGCATATGCTAGTGCTGGTGTAGGTCTGAAGCCAATCCCATTGAGTCCAGTGCCATCATCATCTGGATCAGTTGACGGGTCGACCAGATGTCCCGTGATCTCACTATCTCGCCACGTGAGAGCTGACATTGGGGGTGACGGAGATCTAGCCTGAGGGCGGGGTTGCGAAGACGATCGATTTTGTGCGCGCGGCTTTTGGTTCGCAGATATAGATGGCTGCAATTTTGTGGTTACGGGCGACGAGACAAAATTGGTGGTTTGCGCAAAAGAAGCGATATCTGGCAACAAGCGGGGTTGCGACGACTGAGGGGTCTCTGGTATCACCCTAGAGACCTCCACCTCAGACGCTACAACGACGGTATCCAGATCGTTCGCGTTTCTATAGTTGTTCCATGTCTCGCTTATGGTATATGTTTCTGATCCAGTTCCGCTGTCTACTCTCATGGCATCGAGCTTCGGCTTCTTGCGTATTACATCGTCGGTGGGTGTGAGCGGGGACATGGGTATTGCCGCAAGTGCAGTAAGGGTCATACCTCGCAGTTGGTCTGCGACTGCATTTCGAGGGCTGTCAGCGCCTGACGAAGGCGCGGGACTACCTCGTGGTGGTGTTGACGCGGGACGCAGGGCGAGGGCCGTGTTGAGCAGAGGAATAGGCGTGGGCTGATCGCGCTTGCGCTTCGGAGATGGGTACGCCAGGTGCGTAGGCATTTCGCCGATGAACAGGTGCCAGTATTACATGAGGAATGCTGGTGAAGTATGTTGGTGAAGGTGAGAAAGGTATTGTTGTGAGTGAGAGGAGCACCCAAATCCCACATGATCGCTGTTGATTACGCGAATGTGGGGCAGCTGCACAGGCCCACTATAGGGCTGAAAGAGACCCTTGCTCGAACCACTGTAAGGCACATCATGTGCGGACCGACTTTTGCTGTCATTGCTACATACACGTGCGTCTGTCACCGTGGAGCATTAATTGACTTAGTGACCGTGGTTCAGACTTTACATGCACGCCGCAACAGGCCTAGTTCATATTGCACCTCCCTTGCCTGCTGCTGCCTGATATGGCTGAATGAGTCTTTGCTTACATCGATTCCTATGCGCCTTCCTCATTCTCTACACATCTTTCACGCCGCATCTCTGGTCGTCACGTTTCCAGTGAACTTCTAACAAGTGTCTAGCTGAAAGTTTTTGATCCCTCGGCGTATACACCATCAGCCAGCTCGGTGCAGATGAACTCGTAACACAAATGGTATCCACTTGCGAGTACCTTTTGTCTCCAATACAAAAGCTCGCTTGATTTGCAGCTTCCTACTTCAACGACATCGAAAGCAGCCCTTACCTGTTATCTTTCACCTTCACCTTCCTGCAATCATGGAGCAAAGGTCGATTCTCGATTTCCTTAAGAAGCCAGATTCAGCACGATCAGCTTCTTCTCGACCACAACAATCTCGTTCAGGACCTTACCGCCGCAACAATATCAACGCTCGCGAACACTACTCATCTAGCAAATATCGAGCACCTGACCGACGCCGCAACATGAGTCTCAGATTAGTCGCTGACGAGACCAAGGAAGTACTTCCAGATATTCGGGCTGGACTTCCATCGGAATTTGATGTCGAGTGGTCATGCCTCGAGAGTCTGGATCATCCAGATTCAGCTCCTCTCCCGGTGGAATGTTGCCCAGCTTTAATGACACCTTGTATCATTCGAGTACTCAACATGGATTCATTCGATGCAGCGATCCAGCTAGACCCCAGCCACACAGTCCGCCAGCATGTTACCAAGAAAAGGTTGAATACGAATAAAGAGAACGGCAAGCCTGCTATTGATCTCAACGTTAAGACCGACACTCCAATGGAAGATGTCGCCACCCCAGAGAAAGTCGAAGAGAAGGGGCAGCAACCCGAGGTCAAGACACAAGAATCCGAAATCAAGAAGCAGCCTAAAGACGCCACAACGTCCGAGAAAGTAACCCCAGTGGCAGTCCTCAACCTCGCTTCCGAACGTTCACCAGGAGGCGGCTGGCAGAAAGGTGCCCTCGCCCAAGAGGAATGTCTCTGCTACCGCTCATCGCTCTACCTCTCACTAGACCGGAAATTCTACCCGATACCCACGCTCTCTGCCATATATTCACCAAACGTGGTCCTAATTCGCGAGTCCATGTCAAACGGCCACAAATTGCTCATTGGAGTTCAATCGCATGACCTCCCCGCGGTCTCCGTCATCAGCGTGGCAGCGCTTCGTCTTCCAGATCTCTCAGATGACGGCAAGACGTTCGGGAATCCTGGCGCAAGGTGTCACACCAAGAAGAATATTCGCCTCATCCTGCGTGTTGCTGCTCGACATGGACACAGGAAACTCGTATTAGGCGCACTGGGCTGTGGTGTATTTGGAAATCCGCCACGGGATGTCGCAAATTGCTTTCTTGAGGTCTTCCGAGAAGCTGAGTTCCAGGGCGGATGGTGGGAGAAGATTGTCTTCGCGGTTTTGGATAACGTAAACGGACCAGATGGTGGCAAGGACGGCAAGGGAAACTTCGGCCAGTTTTATCAGGTGCTCAATGGGCAGGTTGTGTGAGGGGTGATCGGTTGGGTCACTTTCAGAAGGGGGTCGTGAGCGCGATATAGGAGTGTACAGACGGACGTTATTGCTACCTGTATTGGCAGTGCTTTTAAAGATGATGCATTTATATGGAATGCGGAAGAGTGGGTCGTTCATACCAATCACGAGATTGATGGAAAGTATATAGGTAGCAATGAACATGCCCCTACCGGGGCAGCTCTCTTTGAATTGTTATGACACCTCGGGAATTAGGTTGGTATCATGATGCAGGTATATGTACAAGAACGCAAAGACGCAAATCACTACTCCTCCCTTGACCCTCTGAACTTCCACGCTTACGACTTGAACGTCCTGCTCCGTCCCGGCACTTCCTTCTGCGCCCGCGGTAGCCCCTTTGGAGCATCGGACATACCCGAAAACGGTGCGAAGGCTGGGTTCTTCTTCTTCTTGTCTTTCTTCTTCTTTTTACCGTCGCCGTCTTCCGCGTGCAATACTGATTTTGCGTTTGCATAGTCGAAGGCAGGCCCGTCGCCGTAATTAAGACCGGCGGCCTGAGCAGCGGCATCGTCCTTCTTCTTTTGCTTACGTGCGGCCTTCCTAGCGGCTTTCTCGCGTGCGCGTATTGCGTCTGGTGTCTCCTCGGGTGCATCTAGCATGATTTCGTCGTTGGTCATCGGGTCGAGGGCTGGTGTTGTGGCAGGAGACTCTTCTTCTACGGCGTCTCCTCGCTTTCGCTTGCGGCCGCCGAGATGCTTGACAACGAATGTATCGGTTCGTTGGTCTTCAGCAGGCCGCTCCTCTTTTGGTACGAAAGTGTGCTGAGGCTTGTCTGCCTTTGGTGTAGCTTGGGTCGTTCCATTTGCATCAGCAAAAATCTGCGCCGTGAGAGGTGGTAACGGCAGAGCAAGATCGATATCGATGGTAGGGACTTCTCGCGGTTGTGACACCTGACTGGCTTTCCAAAGTTGGCCCCAGAACTCGGAAGATGGAGCTCGGGTAGCCGGGACAGCAACAGTGCTCTGGAGTAAAGAGGGCTCTTCAACAGGTGGAGCAGCAGTCGCCTCTGCTACCTTTATCGCCGCATCCGATTCAGCCCTTTCCGCTCTTTGCATGTCGGCGATCGTCTGAAGCACCTCGTGCAACTCTGGCCCACCAACCCCCTCCTCTTTAGCCTTCGCGATCACAGCTACGAGCTCGTCCGCATGCGCTCGGATAATATGCGATACGTGTTGAATAGCGTTGAACAGAGCAGCCTTGTCCGCAGGTATCGCACGAGCTACAGAGAATACGGCGTGATTGGGCATGATGAAAAGCGGGCTTTCGTCTTCTTTGCGGCTGAGGTCGTCTCTCCACCTGTGCACAGCTCGGAAGACGGAAAACTGCTGAGGTGTAAACTGCACGGGTGTTCGTGAGATGAGCTTGTACCAACCAGCAGTTCCAAGGCCCATCTCGGTATCGTACACAGGGTGCTCGTATCGCTGCAACGCCGTCTCTTTCGACTTTTGCAGTACGTCCTGAACCTTGTTTTTCTCGGGGTTAGAGAAGTCAGATTTCTCGACTAGTTCGTTCCGCATGTTGTCGTATACGTATAGGAGGAAGTGGGTATCGGCGCGTGCGTATTCGAACAGTTCCTTGCCGAGCGGCCTAATGCGCCAATCTGCCAGTTGATACTGTTTTTGGGCCGTGAACTGAACATGCCTGTCAAGCAGGTAAGCTAGACTGGCGCCAGGGTAGCCAAGAGCTCGAGCAGCGTGATATGTGTCAAAGAGACCAACAACATAGAGTCCCAGATCTCGTTGAAGCCAGATAATGTCCATGTATGCACCGTGCAGAACCTTCAGGATGCTGGGATCGGCAAACACCTCGTTCAGGCACTCAAGCTTCCGCCGCCAGGGCTTTAGTGTGTCGACTATCCAGTCCTTGTCGCGGGTACTTATTTGCATTAGCGAGACCATGCCGATGTATGAGCGGTTGTCGTGATGTTCCAGGTCAATAGCGATTTCCTTTGCAGTCTTCAACTCGGAGAGCATAGTAGCTAAGGCCTCAGGGGTGTCGACTAAGGTTGCGGTGGTAGATTCAAAGGGCGGGTATTGCTGCGGCTCCGAGTACTCGTATACGGTCGAGGGATATTCGTAGGCTTCAATCTCGGTCTGGTATGGGTGAGGGTATCTACAAAAGGTAAGCTTGTGGTGCGGATGTAGTGCAAGTGTCATACTGTTCCCGTCCCCGCCTGTCCTGGAAAGTCTTCAAACACTCTTGTAGCGGAATCTTCGCATGCGGCTTGGAAGTAATCAATGGGCGGAAGCCGCCAGTCTCGTCGTTGGTAGGCACATGCTCAAATTTGAGCTGCGGCTTTGCGATGATCTTCTTGTCGGCGATGTTCGGGCGTGGTTTGGCAGTTGTCTGCAAATGTGTTAGAAGATAGGCCTCCCTTTCAGGGTGCGGATTCCCTACCTGCTCGGTCGCGGGACTCAGCCGCTTAACAACACCCGTGTACTCGTCGAGACTGGTGTCAGCCTTCTCAAGCAAGCTGTCGATGACATCAACAACCCCCCTCCAATTGGCGTCTATGGCTTCAACGTCGGGTAGCTTGGGACCTACAGCGTCCGAGCTCGCAGCAGCATTCTCGAGAAGGCGCTGCGCGAGGTGAAGGAGGCGCGCATTCTGGGCGTCCAGCTGTGTGCCAGCATCGGGGTTCAGCGATCGTTGGAACGATATGTCCGCTGCGCCTATTAGGGAGGCAGACTTGGTGGTCGACTTCAGGGCGGCCGAGATTTCTGTCTGGAGCGTCTTGAAGGAATCCATGGCGAGTTTACTGTGCGCTCATCCTCTAAAAAGACGTTCGATGACGCGGTCTACGGTGGCGTCTCGCTTCGAAGTCGTAGGTCGTGTTGGGGTGGAGAGGAAGCGCGTGTCGCAAATGTTTGGAGAAAGAAACCTTCAATGATCTCCGCATTAGCGCGCTTCCCTATCGATAGCCGCGCCGCGCGACCTTCACCCGCCGCCTCCGTCATGCTGATCAGGGCCATTGCTCAATCAACTCTTCACCAACATGTCGGCCTCATTAGCACCCGAATGCAACGAAGTCAAGGAGTGAGCGCGAATGTTCTTGGTACTACTGGTGCAACTAGCTGATGCATCCCAGACGCTACGACAACTGCTTCCTCAAGTGGTACAGCGAGAGTAGGCAATAGTGCACCGCCTAACCATCTACGATTTCTGACAATGTCTAGAGTTTCTGCGAGGCACTGCTACAACCGATGAGTGCAAGCCAATATTTGAGCAGTATGAGAAGTGTCTTTCGGTCAGTCACGCTACATAGACGATACCTGCCCATGAACCCAGCTAATCTGGTGGACAGAGAGCTTTGAACGAGCGAGGCATCGATAAGATGCTGAAGGAAGTACGCGACGATAACAAAGAAAACGATGCTGAGCACATGAAGCCTGTGTGTGTGATGTTTCTCATGCGATGGGACTGAGACTAATTGCATACAGAACCGATGAACTGCGAGGCATATAATTACCCTGTAGAACCACAGACGTGTCTACACTCAATAATTCCATCAAGTGAGTTCCAACATCTTTTCGCTCAATGCAATGGGAAAATGCATAATGACAAAAACTGATTGAATTTACAGAACTTGGCGTTGGCCTCGACATCACGCCATTCGAAGACACGACCGTTGTCACCAGCACTATGTACTTTGAACATGTAAAATATATTCCCGAACGTTCTTGAGGTTTACCCGTTCAACGGCGCACCAAGAATGTTGGTCGGGCCGCTGCATACACCTGCGCTAGACCCCTAGATGACGTCGACGTAGTCCGGGATCCATGTATTTCGGAAATCTATCCCATCCTCTCTCCACCAAGTCCACTTAGAAGGTCCCCACAAGTTTATAAAGTCTCTCCTCCACTTCCTCAATTCGATGGTCAACTACCTCTCCGTTCCTGAATCAAGCATGGCTACCAAAGTTGGTCTCGGCGTTCCAATGCCGCTCCTCGCTCCTGCGACTGCTACCTGGGCTTTCCCCTTTGCGGCATACTACATTTTCCTCCAGAACCGCATTGCTTACCACCGCATCACTTCAAAGACGTAGGAAAATCGTATGCGTCAATCAACAGCAGTTCACTAACACTGACAATAGCTTCATGGGTGACAAGTCGGACAACTCGCAAGGCACCACAGACCCCCTCTACGTAGCTACGCGTGCGCAATTGAACTTTGCCGAGAACGTGCCATTAGTTCTGGGAGTGGCACTCCTCGCTGAGCTCAACGGAGCCAACAGGTAAGTTTGCTAGGCTGAGACAAGATAACGCGTCTAATATGCTGCATCAGAACCTATATCAATTACGCGCTTGGTGCTCTTCTTGCCTTCCGTGTCAGTCACGCCGAACTTGGTTTGATGATCAAGGGATCTACCGGCCCTGGAAGGATTGTTGGCTACTACGGCACTCAGGCTGTGCTTGCAGGTCTTGCTGGATATGCGACGTACCTGATCACAGATTTCTGGATGATTTGAAAAAAGACGTCCATGGTGCAAGATAGCCGGCAGTGAGTTTAGCAAAAGGGTTCCATATAGACAGATGAATAGTTACTGCGAACCAAAATTCACCTACAGTAAACACCCTTGAACCATGCATGTGCGTACACAAGCAGAGGTCGCGTTCCGAAGTTACATGTGAAATGAGGCGCATTACGTAGCAGCTGTGGCGCCAAGGCATACGAAGTAGGTGGACAGCTGCCGCGAACCCCAATCCCCACCAATTCGTAGAACCCACGTTATTCATACAACCAGCTTCGACAAACCCGTTTCTACCCTCCCGGGCCTTGGAATCTCTCACCTCCCCCATTCTAGAGTCTCGATATCCAAATTCTCCGGCGGCGCAATGGAGGCAGCGTCTGCGCGCATGGCCGCCCGGGATCGGTACGGCGCATTCGGGGAGGCACCCAGTTCACCATTGCAGCGCTACATACGTATGCACAACCGCATTCTTCGGTTGCGAACCAGAACTGATACAGTGTAAAACAGTACAAGCTTGCGATCCGCAAAACTTCGAGCCTAACCTGGCCTTGAATCTCGAGATCTCCGACTTGATCAATAGCAAGAAAGGCTCAGCGTACGATCATGCCACTTTTCCGCTATACATAAGAGGCTAACTATGTCTCAGGCCTCGAGAGGCAGCTGTTACCATCGTGCACTATGTCAACCACCGCAATCAGAACGTTGCCCTCCTCGCGCTTAATGTACGCCCATACTGCCCCGCCCTATCCTTCGTATAGCTCACCATCAGACAGCTCCTGGACATCTGCGTCAAGAATTGCGGGTACCCATTCCACCTGCAGATAAGCACAAAGGAGTTCCTTAATGAGCTTGTCCGCCGATTCCCCGAACGCCCGCCTGTACATTCGACGCGTGTGCAAAATAAGATTCTCGAGCTGATAGAAGAATGGCGACAAACGATATGTCAGACATCACGGTACAAGGACGATCTAGGGTTCATAAGGGACATGCACAGGCTGCTAAGTTACAAGGGTTACATCTTTCCCGAAGTACGCAAGGAAGATGCAGCGGTCCTAAACCCCAGCGATGTATGTATATGGTGTTCTGACGGTTGAGGTGTACTGCTGACATGGTGCAGAATCTCCGATCAGCAGAAGAAATGGCCGAAGAGGAGCGAGAGGCACAATCCGCGAAACTCCAGGAGTTGATTCGTCGTGGTGGACCTGCGGACCTGCAAGAAGCGAACAAGCTCATGAAAGTCATGGCCGGATACGATACCAGAAACAAGACCGATTGGCGTGCGAAGGCTGCTGAAGAAGTTGGAAGAATACAGCAAAAGGCAAAGATACTTGAGGAGATGTTGCAGGGCTACAAGCCGGGCGATCAAATCAAAGAGGGCGATGTCTTTGAGGTATGCCAAACGGTGCATCAAGATGGTAGCATCGGCTAATTGGACCCTAGGAACTTGCGAACGCCCTCCAGAGCGCGCAGCCAAAGATCCAGAAAATGTGCGAAGAGGATTCCGAAGATCACGAAGCCGTAGCGAAGCTCTTCGAGATCAACGACAGCATACACCGGACAATAGAGAGATACAAGCTCTTCAAGAAGGGCGACATCGAGGCCGCGAATAACATACCTCAAGGCACGCTTGGTCGTAGCGGTGCCGGTGTGTCACAGGGTCCCAATAACACGTTGAACTTGATCGATTTTGGAGATCCAGAACCAACGACTCAAACAGCAGAGTCGTCACAGGCCCCTCAACAGCCAGCGCCTGCAGGAAATGCTCTCGAAGACGACCTCTTAGGTTTGTCGTTGAGTGGAGACACCTACGGACAGTCAGGCAGCATATCCTTGGGAGGTTCAAATGGCTCAGGTGAGTTGCTTGCCGCCGCAACCAGCATTCATCAACTGACCTTTTTTAGTCTTGGGCATGTCTGGAATGGCAGTGCCACAGTCGCAGAAGGCATCCAACCAGGCCATCACCGATCTTTTCACAGCAGGGCCGAAGTCGACACAACCCCAAATCACGTCACCTACTCCGTCTACCTTTTCACCACCTCCAACACAGCCAGCTCGCACACCCGATCCTTTCGCTGCTCTCACATCCACACCGCGACAAGGCTCGCCTTTCCAATACCAACAGTCAGTCAAGCCAGCACCAGCCGCATCTGGTGCCGTCGATCTGCTGGGTGGCGGTATGCCCGCACCGACAACCAACTTGACACAAAGTAGCGCTGCTGATGATGACGACGAATGGAACTTTGCCTCAGCTGTGCCAGATACTTCCAAGGAGATAACTGTCACTAATACTAGCGTCAACGTTCTTTTCAATATCTCGAGAGAATCGGACACCACCCTGCTGATTCAATCCCGAGTATCAAACAATACACCACTGCCAATCTCCGGTCTAACATTGCAGGTGGCTGCATCGAAAGTAAGCATTCTGAAGTAATGGTTTCGATGTCATTATCTAACAACCACCAGGGCGCACAACTGCAATTGGAACCACAGTCCGGTGTTAATCTCGGACCAAACCAGAAGTTCGGCATTACCCAGAACATCCGCGTAAATAATGTACAAAGGGGGTCAGGGAACAGTGTCAAGATGAGGTGGAAGGCTACATACTCTCTTGGTGGACAGCAGAAAAACGAGATGGGTGAGATTCCGAGCCTCGGTGTTTCATAGCCTTCGCAACACGAAAGCCAGGGTCATCGACTTGTAAAGAAGACTTTTCAAGCATTCTCCGCACCCTAAAAGATGAATCGCTCTCGCAAATGCTTGTTTGTTCAGCCACGCACTGTTTGACGCGACTCGCCATTCGGTCATAGTAGAAAGCGCAACGTCATCGGACTAGCGTGCCTTATCGATTACGAAGTTCAAATGTTATTCCACAATCTTGCCCCTCCCTCTGCGACTCACTCACAACTCAGGACCAGCAAATCACCTTCTCTCTATACAGAAAAATCATTCGACATGGTTCGCCACAAGAAAGACTTCAAGGGCAATAACAAGTTCAGAAACCCCGCGAAAGCACGCGCTCCTCCCCGCCCCCGCCGCGCATCGGACGCAGATGAGGAGAACGATGGCGCCATCTCAAGACCTGCGAAGCCGGAATTCAAAGCTGCATGCTGGGACCTTGGACACTGCGACGCCAAGCGCTGCTCTGGAAAGAGACTCATGCGCCTGGGCATGATGCGCGAGCTTCATGTCGGACAGAAGTTTGCAGGCGTCGTGGTTAGCCCGAAGGCGAAGAAGATACTAAGCCGCGAAGACAAAGATTTGATGGAACAATATGGCGCCGCAGTCGTGGAAGCCAGCTGGAAAAGAATAGACGAAGTTCCATTCGGCAGAATAGGTGGCAAGTGCGAACGCCTACTTCCGTACCTTGTCGCCGCAAACCCAACGAATTACGGTCGACCGTGGCGATTAAACTGCGTCGAAGCTCTTGCAGCATGTTACTATATTACCGGACATCCTGAGTGGGCCGAGTCGATTCTGTCGACCTTCTCTTATGGTCAGGCGTTCTTGGACATCAACGCCGCGCTGCTCAAGCGTTACATGGCGTGCGAGAATGAGGAGCAAATCAAGAAGGCCGAGGAAGTATGGCTGGAGAAGATAGAGCGCGAATATAACACGAGCCGAGAAGAGAAAGAGGATGGCGTTGAGGAGGATGTGTGGGCTGGTGGAAACATGAACCGCAGGGTCATCGATGAATCAGACGACGATGATGATGAGGACGAGGGTGATGAGGAAGACGGGGAGGAAGATGAGATTGACCCGCGAAACCCCTACAATATCCCGGAATCTTCAGACGATGAAGAGGAGATGGCAGAGTTAAGGCGTCGCGTCCTGGCATCGAAACCCTTCACCAACCCTACACCAAAAGATGAAGAAAATGACGACGACGAAAACGAGAAGAAGACACCCGAACGTATACCCCGAACTGAACCTGCGCCAGAAAATGCTAAGGCGGACCAGGAGGACGACAGCGAGCCTGCAGAAGGTGATGCAGATGATGATGAGTTCGACAGCTTCATGGCGGCACAACCCACAACCGATCGGACGGGGATAGGAAGCAAGCAGAGATCCAAGGCGATGGACGGCAAGTACAAGGCGACTTTTTCGAGTGGCAGTGTAAAGGCACCAAGCGGGCGAGGCTATCAGTGATCATTTTCATAGCTTTCGTAGCAATGAGAAAGCTTGTTCACATTCTGGAAACTTCTATTAGATTGACTGAACCTATTGCATCTGCCTGAGCAACCCAGGTGTCGACCAAGGATCATGAATCTGTCCGTTTTGAGGCTAGTGTGAGCTAAGTAGCCGAAGGCGATCGGGTTCGTGCGACAAACTGCATTCGCGAAACACCACTCTAAACATCGTCGTTTGACTATGCAAAGCGCGACCGATAGACTTTGAGGGGCAAACATTCATATCGTTGCCGCTATCTTACAGATGAGCTTCTACTGCTGATCTCGACATGTCAACTAATAACAATGGTGAGGCAATTACATGTACGGCTGCAGGTTGCACTCCGAAAGGAAGTCAGAAACAACAGGTCTTTGACTAACGCGAAGCTCTCCGTACGAATCAGACATCTTATGATTCCCACAGGTTGTTCCATAAATACAAACGTTCGAAATAGTCAGACTATCCGGCCATTTACAGAGCAGTCTCGCCATGCGTCGGTGTGTCTCGTAGGTCACTAGGGCTAAGCTTTCCGGCAAATCCGTCCCAGATGCACAAACCAAACGTTCTGCCTGACGTTTGAAACCGAATTCGCAAAGAAGCATCACCGTCACTCAAGCAATGTCTTGGCCGACACCATACCTGTAAGGACAACGGTCTCGTCAGGTGGTACCAACGAATCAAGGAAGCTATAGTAGGATTTATGTGGGCCTCTTAAATCGGAAGGGGTCGAGTATGCCTGAATGCTATGGAACTCTGCGCTCCGGAATATCTCGCCATCAAGTCCTGGAGCACGACTCGAAACCCATGGACCGGATCAGGACTCGCCGGGCCAGAAATCGAAGTCATGGTACGAGACCAAGAGTCTTCATATTAAGCCACTGTGCCACGATTTGTTGTTCGAGTACCTCTCTGCCGCAGCAAGTCTGGTCAGTTGCTCCGCCGTTCTCTCGCTCTTCCTTTAGTAATTTCTCCTTCTCTTCTTCTTACTTAATACTTGTTCAGAGCCCAGGCGGCTTTTTTATTAGTGCAAATATGACGTCTGGTACTGTCTCCTCGCTTGTTCTCCTGCTTTTGAGCTGTACACAGGTGTTCGCTCAAAATGCAAACACACAACAGGTGTCATTCAACCAAGTTCTTAATGTCAATGGCGATGTAAGTAAACTCAAATATGCAGATAGTTTCCTCAACACCACACTAACGGATGTAGATGCAACTCAACTCTTTCCAATTCCCCGACCGTTCAAAAGTCGAGACGTTCTCCCAGAAACAACAGCAAATAATCGTTAATCAACAAACACCTTCCATCCCCGCAAACCAGGTTACGGGAACGACTGGTCAGCCCTTTGTCGCTGTCTCGCCGCAATCAATGATCATTAGCACAAATGGTGCTACGGATCTAGTTGGTGGCCAGATCGAGATGGCTATGACGATGCAGAACTTGCAGGGCGTTGCGGTGCAACCGGATAACACATACGTGGCTATGCTGTCGCCTGACCGTCAATCCTGGATGATTCAGGAAACTATGAGGAGTGTCAACACCACTGATATGACGGTCCGCATGGTTAAGCGCACCCAGATGGACGGCGAGTACATGGTTGTTGGTCGTCAGACTGTCGAGACCAACACTCTAGTTACTCCTTTCGGCAGTGATGGCAGCACATCCGTCGCTATCCAGGGTACCGGTCTGCAAGAGAACGAGTTCCAGGATGGCTTCAGAATGTCTACCCGCGCTACCCAGCCCATGACCATGAACGTCGATGTCAAGGATGGTATCGATTCAAGCATGTTGGCCGCTCTCCAGGGCCAGGCCCCAGTCAACGACTACCGCTACTCGGTCGTCACCAACCTGGCTGCTGTCACCCCTAATCTAAACCAGCAAGTCACCGTTGTCCAGATGCCCAGTATGTCACTTGTCTATTCACTCCAATACAAAGCTAACAGCCATTCAGTCAACGCTATCCGTATCCAGAAGATGATGCAGGCCATGGGTGTTCCCCCTACCGGCCAAGTCGCTATCGCCGTTGCTCAGCGCGGTGTTCTCCAAAACCCCGGAGGCGCAACAGGAAACCTTGGTGGAGCCGCCACCCAGCGTCGTGGTCTCAGCCGTGGCGAGTTCAGACGCCAGATCCAGCAGGGCCAACAGCAGGGCACACCCACCAACGGCAACAACCCCGTTGCGGCTCAGCTCCTTCTTGCACCTACCTTCACCCCCGTTCAGGCTAATGCCGTTCTCGACCAGGCCAACATGCGCATCGCTGTTCCCATCCGCCAGATTGATGGAGAATACATCCTCACTATGCAGGTCATGGGCGGCGCGCAACCTGCACAAGCCGCTCAACCCGCTCAACCTGCTCAACCTGCCGCTGGAGAGGGACAGACACCCACTGCTGCCGAGCCCGCTACCCAATCCAGCTTGACACCCGCCGCAGAAGCTCCCGCATCCAGCGCCAGCGCAGCTGAGGGTGAGAAGAAGAAGCCTACCATGGAAGGCTCCACCGCCAACAGCACCGAGCCCGCCAAACCCGAGCGCCGTCAGGAGAACAAGGACTCTGGCAAGGACAAGTACGGCCTCGACAAGGCACCTCAAGGTGCTGTCATCATGACCATGAAGGAGATTGACACCATGGTCAACGCCGTTACATGGGGTGGCCAGGTTGCCATTACCAAGATGATGAGCGAGTATGTCAAGGAGCAGACTGGCAAGGACATGGCACCTATCAACAACGGCACTGAGACCGCGGAGGCTGGTACTAAGATTGTTGTCTAAGGTTGGTGGATAGATAGGTGGTAATGTGCATAGTGATGGGTCGTGTGCGTTTACATATATGGAAGAAAAAGTGGCTGTTAATAGGACTGTTAGACAGGGCTTGATGCCTTTTCTTTCGCATCTCTGAGTACGTTTATCAGTTGTATATAAAATTGATTGGTGAGGACTATACCTCGTCTTTATGCAACTCTCTAGCTTGTTTTTTGTGGTCGCTCTCCATCTCATGCGCCTCATGTGGTATCTGCTGTTCTAGGTCATAGCTCGTATCTCTTGACCTTCTCCGCAGTATCGCATTGTTTGTGTAAGCCTTCAAAGTGCTGCGTCGTCTTGGTGATGAACTGTCCACCATCATATATAGCGAATATCAGTTGTTGACATAGTGATTGCGAACTTATTTGAAGCCAGTTCAGTGTTCGTGGACGTTCTCATTATCGTCATTGCCATATGATTTTGGCTTTTGTATCTTGCCTCGCGTGCCGATCAGTTACGTGGGCCATCTTTCTCTGCCAAAAGGAGATAGTTGTCCTGACCCTTGTTTATCCGAAGAAGTTCACTTCTTTTGCTCTATCGCCTCCCCTCCTTCCCTCTCCTTCCTCCGTTGTGCGACGTCCCAGTTATAAACCCGTGCGAAAGCGACTTCGAGTGTCTGTGGCCTTGTCAGTCATACACCTTACCCCACAGTTTGGAGTATACGTACCGTGATCTGCTCACGCAGGAAGTCCAAATCCTCCTCGCATGTACCTAGACTTTGTTTCGCAGTTGACAGCTTCGATTGCAGCAGTTCCTCGGCTTCGGGTATGGGGTATGCGAGCATTACGTTGGCGCCGAGCCAGAGGTAGACTTCATTGGTGGGAGGAACTTCAGCTTTGGCATAGAGGGTATCGTTCAGTTCGAAGGTCGTTTCGAGGGGCTCTGCGTCATCTTTCCGCGACTTGAGGAACCGCACTGTCTCCAATGTCTTTTGGATGTCAGGGATCTTATCCCTAAGACCTGCTGCTCGCCGTTGGGTGTTTTGCTGCATGAATTGGTACTTGCTGAGAAGGCACGTTAGATGCTGAGTTTCTTATGAGTGTGCTTGAGTGGATAGCGCATACGAGATCATCTCTTTGAAGTTGTTGATGGTCTTCTCGACATCTGCCCGGTCGGTGACATAGTCTTCTACCTGTTGACATTAGTTGTGATCTTCAAAGCTGACTAAAGGACTTCGAACCCGATCTATAAAGGGCGCAACGGGTATACCGCGAGGATTCGCTGGAACAATGTCAGAGATATGTCTGGACTCTGATTGTGTTGGGGCATGTACTCTCGGGACCGCTGTCGCAATGTTAGTTTTGTTCGTGAGAATGGTTACAATACGCACCTCCCGCCTTTGGCTACTTCAGCCATTGTGATTAGACTTGTGTGTTCCGACGTCGTTCGCGTTGTTCGCGTTCGTCCAAGGTTTCGCGTCTCGGAGAAAATGCCCCGCAATGTCCGTTCTTGGCAGAGCAGCACCATCATCCCGCATCCTCCACCCCTCAAGACTTTCAACCTCCCCCGCCCCACCCCAGCCTTCACTGTCCTCCGCTCTGCCGCCCGGCCCAGCTAGCTCGCTTATACAAACAAACCAACAGGAATGGCTGCCGTACCCGTTTTGGCCGAGATAGCAGCCGATCTAGCTAATAATATATGATCTCACCACCCAGCATCTTGCATGCCATGACCCTGCTGTATACCTGGTACACTACTGAACGCTACGCGGGAAGTACCTCAATATCATCAGCATCAGGATTACGAAAGGACTCCGTTCTGCTGGGATTCGATGGGATGACACGGATCCCCCGACCCGCTAGCTAGCCGACACGATAATGAGGCTGTTGTACATTTAACACGGCAGCTCGGATTGCCTCCAGTTCATTCAAAATCAAAGTAACTGCCACATCTGTGGCTGGACCCATGTGGTACGTACTCCGACCACTGGCAAACCCTGCATATATCGCATATACGGACAGCGAAAAGCCTAGCACAACGGTCGGCGGCCATGCTTTCCGCCCTATGGTGACGGCAATCTGCAGCCCTGGTCTTCCCATCGAGAACTATCGAAAACTACTGCGAGGCTAACATAAGGTAAGATGCAGGCGCCCATGGCTGTGAATAGCTCAGCCAGGCAAGAACCGAACCAATCATTCCCCGGACCGCCAACTACACGTCGGGCTATCAGCCCACTGTATCGATACAAGCCACAAACTTAATCATCGTAAAGAAAATATGAGCCGTATCATGCTCGAGGCTGCAATCAGCGGTTGCAGCCGCCACTGTTGAGTGCGCTTCAGGCATAGCTGCTTGCGGCTTTGCAGGATGCACGTTCGGGCCTCCTCACTATTCTCCGAGCATATCATCTTGGAGTATCCTCGCCGACCAAGCCTTCCTGCCAGCGCACTGGACTTCGCACTCGTACTCGGAGGGTCAAAACCGTGTTCCTCCGAGTTGGGTCCATTGCCTCAACGAACACTGGCAGACCTTTAGTTGTTCATATTCCAACTTGAACACGAACGGAGGAATGCGGATCATACTAGCATCAATTTCGTATATGGTTCACAGCCTAGTAATCTTTGGGGCTTCGCAACATGACATCTAGTCTCGTCTCGTTAAGGCCGAGGATTGCACTTATGCTTCATGCATCAGGATCACATCCCAGAAGTGATTATGGATCGGCAGACATGGTTCGATCGTCCGTTTCTGGAAAGCTACTCTGCATAAAAGAAGGAAAATTGATATTGATCAACGTGATGATCGTCATGCTTCAGCGTACAGCGCACAGCGTATACGGCGACGTAGCTGTCGGACCGGTTCTTGGGACTCCTGCAGGTCGAATTGGGATTGATCGGCGCAATCCTTCTCTGGGCGTTTCTTGACTTCCAAGCTTCCATTCCTGTCTTTGGTACCGGTGGAAATAGCATCTGCAGTGAGATGGCTGAGTAACTGGTGAGCGAGGCGCCCTGCAAAGCACAATGATGGCATGACGTGGCGGGCGCTCGCTTGCTAGCTGAGGATTGCAGGAGCGATGTGACAGCCAAATTTCCACATGAACCTTGACTCAGTGACAACGCTCAGGCAGCCCCGTGGTGGGTGGTATGTAATGTAACCCGTCATTGACATCTGCCGCGTCGCGATAACGACTTTGAGCGCTTCCGGGGTTTTGGCTGGGCTGCCTGGGGATCTGCGAGTTGCAGGCGCCCGGCAACTTCGCTGCAAACCATGTTTCCGGAAATGCGCAGTGGGCGCAGTGGATGCAGTGCGACGCCTGAGATCAGTATGTATGACTGCATAGATTAACATACGATAAGGACGTCGCAGTCACGTGAACATACACAGCAAGTGCTTGGCCTTTAGATGGATCCGTAAACAGGAAGAAGGGTCCAGTGGATCGAGGAGGATTTATGAACACCTCTTGGCTGCTGTTAGGCTGAAAGATTTTGGAGATTCGTGTGAAGATTCTACAAGCTGATTGTCTATCGCTTGCGGTTCCAGTGCTGCGCAACAGTCTCGGGAATGCTGAGCACACACACATGTTTTGCTCAGGCTGAAGTATCGAGTCTTCACAGCAGAACTTCAACCGAAAACGGGTGGACATGCTGTGCCCATTGGGAATGATGCATTGGCCACCATCTGCGAAGCACAGATGTACTCAATGAAATCCATTTTGCACCGCGGAGGTACAGAGAAGAGTGCCAATTTGATGGATTCTCGATCCGAGATGTGTTATCGCTGAGCGCTATAGTGCTTTTCAAAGTATAGAACTATGGTTTGCCAACGTCCAGACTTTCTGATTTTGGTTCCGTGTCGAAACAACACTGAACAACAACCACGGCACCATCAAGTTCAGCATCTTTTGCGAACCCAAATTGCATCGCACTTTATGTGGGACGCCACGTACCAGACTTCTAGTATACTCTCATCAACCAGAACCACCGACTGGCCATGCAGACCATGAACACGTCGGTCCCGAACTTCTTCATATCCAGCCTACCATGAGTAAAAGCACTATAACAACGCCCGCTATACGATGGGTGACCTTCCGGGGACGGAAGGGCATGTTTGCGACCGTGCAACGACGTTCCCGTCGGACCGCAGTTGCATAGCGCATGGAAGAAGACCCTCCACTGCGGACCCGGACCATCTGGATCGTGCGATACAAAGCTTAATTTATCTTGCATGAGCAATTGTGCCGGCGACGGGACAACGGGTATCGTATCGAGATGAGTTACACGGGGTTTGATCATGCAGGCATTTATCCGTGAGTCGGGTGGTTCGTTGTACCTGCAGCCATGGGGTCGCGATAGGGGCGTCTGGGTAAATAGACAACACCCCTTCGTTATCAACGGAGAGAGATGCCAAAGGTGTGGCAAAACATGAATTCTTGATCCCGTATACATGGATATGCACTGGGTATTGTTACCAGCCATTCAAACTGATCAGTGCACAACCCGTCACTCCATCTCCGGCTCCACGACCCGACAACCCCAAGAGCCTCACGTCGAGGCCTACAGACTCTGCATTTGTTGGGATGTTCCAAAGAGATCCCCCACGCATTCATATATGTAATCAACATGTCATTACTCGGAGCACTTGCTTGCATGATAGCGCCATCGGCGTACATGCCCTGTGCGTGATCGTGGAGCAAGCAGGCATGATACCTACCTAGCTTCCATGGGCGTGGCACTGAGGAGACATGGAAGACGAGGAAACGAGAAGACGGCGTCGGCAACAAGGCTGCATAGGGTCGGTATGGCAAAACTGGCATCTGGCTGGAGTAGGGTTAGAATGTAGCTGAAGCTAGATGCGCAAAGTCACGATTCAATGAAGACCAATTGTTGTGAACAAACCCTTGCCATTTTGGGTAAACCAAGCATTAAGTACAGTATAAATCATAACGTGCGTGAACATGAGAAAAAGGTGCATCGAGTGCGTGAAAGACAAATGAAGCCACGGAAGATAAAACCCCAACGCCAACAAGCCATGACGCCTTCGCCATCGCCAAAGTACATGTATGCTGAAGACCAATAAGCGAGAGCCCAACGCCAACATCTCGTTATTCAACACTTGAAGAAAGGAGATGCATGCAACTTGCAGTGAGTGTAAAGTCTATGGATGAAGAAGAGTCGAAGCCTATAGCTTGAGACCTTGCTGGATGAGCTTGCCTAGTGTGGCACCCTGAGAGAATGTTAGTGTCTTGTTGTGATAATGCTGGAGGAAGTGGAGTGACTTACGTGTTCGCCCTTCATCATAGTGAAGTGATTGCCGCCCATGACCGCGTACTGGAAGTTCTCCTTGGGGAGGAGCTGTGCCCAACCGTTGTCCGAGAAGTCGGTACGATTGTTGAGCAGCCACTTCATAGGAGCTGGGTCCTCTCCCTCACCTGGTGGGGGACGGGGGTCCTCAGGGTTGGGGCAAACACCATCTGTACACCAGATGGCAAGAACAGGAGGCGCAATCTTGGGGTCCATGGGCTTCGGGTCGTAGTCCTTGAGGTTTTGGATGGCGGACGCGAAGTGAGGCAGGAGCCACGAAGGAGTACCACCGGGCTTACCGGTACCGAGAAGACCTATCTGATCGAAAAAGATGTGGAGACGAGCGGGAAGTGGGTCAAGAGCAACAGGGCAGGGAGCATCGATGAGGACGAGGTTCTCAACCTTCTCGCCAGAGTTGACCAGTTGCTGAGCTACCTCGTAGGCCATGACACCACCAGCGGACCACCCGCCGACGAGGTATGGGCCCTGAGGCTGACGGCGCTTGATCTCTGAGAGGTAGAGGCGGGAGACACCCTCAACACCACAACTCCACTTCTCAGGGCACTTCATGAACGGGCAATTAAGTCCGTACACAGCCATGTCAGGAGAGATGTTGGGGATGGAGATGTAGCTGGTCGCACTACCAGACCCATCAGGAACCAGGAAGAATTTCTTGGTGGCGACCTTTGGGTTGCCCTGGAGGAGGACAGAAGTGGCAGGAGGAAGGTGGGAGACGTCGGGCAGCGATGAGAGCTTCTTGTTCACCTCAGCGAGCTGTGGGGACTGGGTCGAAACCTTAGCAGCGGGCTTCGCAGTCTTCGTCTGCTGCTGGGGCTTGGGGCGCATATCAAGAGCAGTCTCGATGTCTTTGATAGTGACATTGACGGTGAGAAAATCAGCGGGGAGATCGCGACCGGTAGCCTCGCGCATAGAGCCGAGGATGGTAAGACTCATCAAGGAGTCCATGCCGATATCAGTAAGGTCGAGGTCGTCAGTGATCTCGGAAACATCGACACCCATCTCCTCAGCGACGAGCTTGCGAGCAAGGCTGGCGCCACCCTCAGCAAGGATAGCGGACGGCTTGATCTCTTCCTCGTCAGCATCGCTGCCAGTGGAGCTAGCCGGAGTGTCATCGTTCTCGTCGGTGGCATCCTCAAAGGGAGTAGAGGAATCATCGGAAGATTCGGACGCGTCATCCTCGACAACGACGGCGCCGTCATACTGCGAGAAGTGCTGCTTCAACTCCCCAACGGTGGAGCAGTCAGTGAAGAGGGTAGAAGGAATGTCCATGTCAAGGTCCTCACGGAACCTGGCAGAGATGGTCAGGGACAGAAGGGAGTCGACGCCGAGGTTCTCGAAAGCAGCCTGATCGACAAGCTCAGACATGTCAACGTCAATCTCCTCGGCGATAATCTTCATGACCTTGGAAGTGACGCCAGCAGGAGCAGCGACCTTGGGGGCCTTCACAGCCTTGACAGGCTTAGCCACCGGCTTGGCAGCGGCGGGCTTGGTCTTGACAGGTGCGGCAGCAGGGGATGCCTTCGGGGTAGGCTTAGCGACAGCCTTACTAGCGGGAGCAGCGACAGCCTTGCCAGAAGGGGGCATCATGATGTTGAGAGCGCGACGAGGAATGTTCTGGAACTTGAGACCCATGACCATACCAATGATCTCAGCGCCATCCATGATGTAAACGTCACCGACAGAAACGTTGCCAGGAGCGGGCTGCATGCGAACATAGGAGCGGTACTTCTTCTCGGGTGAGAGCTTTCCGGCGATCTTGATGGATCCCCAGCCGTGGGAGATGTAGACAGAGTTCTCGGAGTCGAGGTGATCAGAAGCGTTCACGATGAAACCGGAAAGATGGGCAAGCGAGTCGATCCAGTAAGGTGAGCACAAGAACTCTCCATCGGCAGCGGTAGTCTGGAACTGAACTTGAGCGGTGGCCTCAGTCTCCTTACCGTCAAGGATGACTTCCTCCATACCGCGGTAGTTGTCAGCGTACGTGACAAGAGCCTTGAAGAGCTTGTAAGCCATGCCGCGAAGGACCTTGTGGGCTGCACCAGTTTGGAGCTTCTGCTCAAGGCTGTTGATCTGAGCCTGCACCATGTACTGAATGCGACCCCACTCCTCCTTCCAAGAGTTGATGTCTTCATACTTGACAATACCGACAGCGTGCTCAGCGAGAACGTTGGCGCCATCAGCAGAGACAGTGCGGAAAGTGATCTTGACTTCATCAGTCTCGAGATCCGCGTTACCCTCGATCTGCAAGTGCTGACCACTGGCTGGAGGAGGATACTGTGGAATGAGAGTCTTGGTGACCTCCATAGCGCAGACGTTCAGTCCAGGAGTGGTCATACCAGGACGAAGCTGCTGGTAGAGGTAGTCAGCGACAGTCATGGCCTGGTCGGCATACAGGGACGAGGGCGTAAGAGGAGTGCCGTTGACCTGGTGACCAGTGATGGTGGCCTTCAGCTTGGGATCAGAGAGATCCGATTGTACGACGACAGTACCAGAGTTGGCTTGAAGATCTTCGCGCACGATCCTGTGGCAAGATGTGGTGGACAACTTGGATGGAGCCTCCATAGCTGGCGCAGCTTCAATGGCCTTGACAGGAGCAGGGGCCTCAAGAACCTCGCCCTTGGTAAGGGTCCAGTTGTTGTGGTAGTCGAGCCAGTACTTCTTGGAGTCGAAAGCGTAAGTGGGAAGGGTGTACATCTCATGGGCATCGTTGAACATCCTGTGGTACTCGTTGAAGTCGAAGTAGACACCAGCAAGGTAGAGAGTAGTGATGCTGTTGGACAGTGTCTTCCATGGATCCTCGTTGCGACGGAGAGATCCTGCAGCGACAGGAGATCCACCGAGCGAAGACTTGACCATACCACTGCAAACAGGATGGGCGCCAACTTCGAGCCAAGCAGTCTTAGCGTCGAAGAGCTTGCTATCCTGACCAGTAGTGAGAGCAGTGCAGAAGTTGACTGTCTCGCGGGCATGGCGAGCAAGGTAGTCGGGGCCGATGATGCCAGCCTCGCGGATGATCTCACCGGTAAGAGGCGACATGACTGGAATGACGGGCGCGTTGAAGGTTACAGATGCGGCCGCCGCCTTGAAGCTCTCAAGGATAGGCTCCACCTGGGCAGAGTGAAATGCGAACGGCACATTCAACTTCGTGGCCTTGAAGCCCTTGGACGCGAGAGCTTCGTTCGTGGAGTCAACAACGGCAACAGTGCCGCAAAGAACAGTCTCTTCGGGGCCGTTGATGCAGGCGATCTCGGTCATCTCGTCGCCAAGGGCAGCCTTGATGGCATCAACGCTGCCCTTGACGGCGAGCATACCGTGGGTGTAGGCGGTGCACTCTTTCTCGAGGATCTGAGCACGACGGCCGACCATGAGAACCATGTCGCTGGCGGAGATGACACCAGCAACGTGAAGGGCCGCATATTCACCAAGGCTGTGACCGATGACAGCCACAGGCTTGACGCCCCATGAGGCCCACATGCGGGCAAGGGCAACCTGGATGCAGGCCATGCCAAGTTGAACGACGACTGGGGAGAGTGTCGCGACATCTGCACCTGTCAAGATGGGCAGGATAGAAGGCAGATCGTGCAGGCGCGCGAGCTTGTCAAGCTGGTCGATGTCGATCCTGAAGGTCTCGAGGTCTTCGTACAGCTTCTGTCCGAGGCCTGTGTACTGCGAGCCTTGACCGGTGAAGGTGAAGGCCGTCTTGGTTGGGACCATGGGCAGAGGGCTGTAGGTGTCCTTGATCTGAGCCTGGAGACCGTCCTTGACCTTGGAGATATCGGACACACAGAATGCGACGCGGTAGTTGTGCTGAATGCGGCGAGCTGTCGTGGTGTAGGCCAAGCTAGGGAGAGTAACATCCGGGGTGTCATCAAGGAACTGCATCAAGTTGTTGATGTTCTTTTTGAGCGAGGAGATAGACCTAGCGCTCACTGTCACCATGTGCATGGTGCGCGGGTCAACACCCTTAGGTGCCTCCGGAAGAGGAGCATCCTCAAGGATGACGGCCGTATTACCACCGGCAGCGGAGAAGTTGTTCAGGAAGATCTTGCGCTTCTCAGCACCGTTGCGAGGCCATGGAACCTGGGTGGTTGAGATGTGAACGTTTCGCTGGCCGAGATCCTTAGGGAACGTCTTGTTCATAACGCCCTTGATACCAACATTGGCAGGGATAGCGTTCTTCTTCATCATCATCAAGACCTTGACCAAGGAGTTGATACCTGAAGCAGCTTCTCCGTGACCAATGTTGGCCTTGATAGCACCCAGGTGAAGGGTCTGTTCAGGACGACGCTGGCGGTGGCGAGGGGCAAAGGCATTGGTGACAGAGGTCATCTCGATACCGTCACCAGCCTGAGTACCAGTTCCGTGCATCTCAACGTAGCTGATGTCATGGGCATCTACACCGGCGTTGGAGAGAACCTTGTTGTAGAGGTATTCTTGGGCTCCAGCGTGCGGGTGAGTGATAGAGACAGCTTCGGCACTGTGGTTGGTAGCGGCTCCCAGAATGCACCCAAGGATGTTGTCCTTGTCCGCAATGGCGTCCTCGTAACGCTTGAGAACGACTGAACCACAACCATCACCACGGCAGTAACCATCTGCATCGTTGTCGTACGTCTTGCAGCTACCAGTCTTTGACAAGAATTGACCTTTGCTAAGACCGGAGAAAATGTCGGGGTTGGTAAGAACATTCAATCCACCGGCACAAGCAGTGTCGCAGTCACCAGCCCATAGGGAAGTGCAGGCCAGCTGAATAGCGGCGAGCGAAGACGAGCAAGCAGTGTCGATGCTGTAGGATGGACCGGAGAACTTGAAGTAGTAGTTAATGCGACCTGGCGCAAAGGCTCGTACACCACCAGTGATGAAGTAGGTGTCAATGTTCTCAGCGGCGTTGATCTCACGCCAGTCATCGGAAGTTTGACCGTAGAAGGTACCGATGCGCTCAAGCTTGGTCGAAGGAGTGCGGTTAGGCACGTATCCAGACATCTCCAACGCCTCGTATGCGGTGGTCAAGGCAAGACGACCCATGGGATCAGTCTGAGCAGCCTCACGAGGAGACATGTTGAAGAAGCGAGGGTCGAATAGACCAGGCTCATCGATGAAGCAGCCAAACGGTGTGTGACTCTTGTTCTTGCCCTTTCCAGTGGGGTCGCAGTGGGCCTTTGCGTCGAAGCGGTCGGCAGGCACCTCACGGTGAACGTCCAAGCCCTTCTCGAGAAGGTCCCAGAGGGCGTCAGGGTTGGCGGCTCCAGGGAAACGGCCCGACATGCCGACAATGGCAATCTTGTCATTCTGAGTACGGCCACGGCTATCATGCTCAGCAGCCACCCAGGTAGTGTGATCGCGAGCTGTGATCGAAGACTGTCCACCGTTCCTCAGCGCAGAAACGAGGCTGTTGGTGATTGTGGTGACGCCGATAGCAGACACCGAGCAGTCTTGGCTAGACGTAGCAGTAACCTGAGAGACAACCTCTGTAAGCAAATTGTCCCAACGAACCGGCTCTACAAGGATTTCGGTCAGAGCGGTACGAATAAGGTCCAATGTGCTGGTAGCAGTATGGCACTTTCCGGTGGAAGCAGAGTGTACCAATGACAGCGGGCGGAATTGTTGCAAATGCCTGATGGCATCTTTGTCGAGAATTTGGTCGATGTCGGCCTCGGCGTAGAGATGCGCAGCGTGGTAAGGAGCGTAGACGGGAATTGCTACACGGGCGCAGCCCTTGAATGCGTCACCCTGGAGTAGACGCTTGGTGGTGGCTGGCGGACCGCTGATGGTTAGAGCCATGGTGCTAACGGCGCTAATGTAGGCTTGCGCCAAGACCGGTGTTCGCTGCTCCTCGTGGAACGCGGCGATAGCATCCTTGGCGGCCTTCTCAGTCATGTTGGTCACGATGGTGGACCAGGCCTCCTTGGTGGCAGAAGCTTGCTCCAATGCTTCCTTTGCAGCGCTGACAACGGTGCCGGTACGGAAAGCAATGCGGACAGCCTCAGTGGCGAGCGGCAGAAGCTCGCTCAGCGATCTTGCGGACGCGACGACTGAACCAGCGAGCAGACCAGTGCAAAGACCGACCACGCGTGTGTTCGCGGCATTTTGCAAGTCTGATGGGTTCTCGGCGTAGTATCCAATGTAATGCGCCAATTGCGCAATGGTGACCATACAGCTCTCAAGCTGGGTGACCTTGAGTCCCTTCGCATAGTATGCTTCGATAAGGTCCCATGTTGTCAGAAAGTTGGGAATTTGGTCTCGCTGAGTTCGTGGCAGCTTCTGTACCTCTTCACGAACAACTTGGCTGACTCTGTCGAGGAAAGTGGTCAGGGTGGAGTTGTTCTTCCAGGTGCAAGCTTTCCGCAGGAGCGGGTACTGGTCGGCGGTTTGGTCTCCGAAGATGAGGACGTTCATGATGGCAAGGGTATAAAAGAATTAATATAAAATTGGAAAGATGTAGAAAGTCGATGCCGTCTAGGGCAGAGGATCCTCACTGAGGATATAGGTGGTAGTGAGATGGGTAGGCTTCGAAGTTGAAGCAAGGCAAGGGTAGTCGAGTAGGAACGAAAGTCTGATCCAGTATGGTAGTATGGTACTTGGCGGCTGAGTAGTGGCCCAAGAAACTGGAGGAGGATGGATGAGATGAGAAGACTCTTGGGTTTCGAGCTGCTCCTATATGTATGTGACTAGGAGGCAATGATAGGCGTAAGATATCAAGATGGTGGTCAGGGCGTGGATCGCGCGATGACAAGCACCGCCCGGATCTGTTACAACCCATGTATTGCGGAACGATGTACTGCAGAAACATATTGACGTGAGAGCGAGAGTGGGTCCCGGACCACTTCCTGTCCTGGATAGTCCAGCCATGATTCCGAGGATTAATGGCGTGCAGGTGCCGGCTATGTCGCCGAGTGCTCCCATACCTATTGATAGATGGCGCATACTAGGCGTGGAGACCAGCGGCTGAGGTATCGAGCCAATGCGTTACGGATGTTAGCAAACATGAGACGTGGGGACCTGGATGGTAAGGGCGCTGTCTCAAATTCGGGCTTAGTGTGTCGGATCCCCTCTCATAAGCCGGGGTCGATAGACATCGCGTCCGTGTGTTTTGCGATCAATTACAGCATCTTCCAAGCGAGTTCAGGCTTAGATCTATGCAGTCAGGATGAATTGATGATGGTCAAATCGATATGTCGAAGCTGTTCGCAGTAAACCCTGTCGATGGCCACGCTTAGTACTACAGGCACCATGCCATTGTTGGGCTTGAAATCCGACCAGGTTTCTCGTGGTATATCCGAACCTTGACCTCGTGGCTAAAGTAATCTTCGGTTCAACCATATGTCGTACCGAAGTATCTTAAGCGATACTCTGGGTCTAGACATAGGGTTGATAAGCCAGGAGTCAAGATGATACGGCTGCGGATTACAGCTGCCGAGCCTCAGTCAGCATTCCCTCGACCATGTACCAAGTAAAGTGGTGGCACAGCGTTGCAGGCGTCAATCAAGCTTCTGGAGACCCCGCTCGGACTCTTAACTACGTAAAGGTGCTTGCTGGTAAGAGCTAGCACGAAGCATAGCCTACGTCTCGAAATCTAGGACTCGCATAATCTCTCAATGATCGTCAGAGCGCCAACTCATCGGGTCGACCGTTTTAGGTTACTCTTCGAATAGACACAGAAAAAAACCATTCTTTGGGAGAAAGATCGATGTTTGACCATGGTGGGGTCCAGGCTTGCAAGCCACAAGCCACAACAAGAGCGCCGTTGACGAACTGCTCGTTGTATCTGTGAGTCGCTCTCCCAGTACGGAATCAGATCGCTAAAGGCTGAAGGATCACCACCCTGCGTGTACCACAGTCAGCTTGCACATATTCCGGCGTCTCCATTGCCGACGCCACAGGCGGTACTCCGAGCGTGTAAGAAGAGTATCCAGTCCAAACGTTGCTAGGGTATCTTTGAGCACATCCTGCGGTAGATCCGGGCGGTCCTCGCTTGTTTCCGCGCAACTCCTGGCATTGAGTCGCGGTTGAAACGAACGGACTACAAGCTCGGACGGACGTCGTAGGAGCATCGTGTAAGGCCTGACGGTCCTTGTAGCCTCGATTTATGACCGTGTAGGTACTGTTGATGGATTCGTGGCGCGAATGGGATACAGCGGAAGTGTTAATTGGGCGTGCTAACGATGAGCGTGTTCGTGATTACGAGGTGACGTTCATTACGGAGAGCGGAGAACCGAATAAGCAAATATGTCAACGATCGACAACGTGTTTCTGCCACTGGTCACCGCCCAACACACGTGTCATCAGCTACCAGCCACACCTGGCTAACGGTCTACCACGCCTTGTCGTCACTGACAGCAGCCAAATCCATACCGCCATGATAAACTTCATGTTTGAGGCTGAGAATAGAAACTCGTTGTGTGGGCTGTGTTTTGCTACTCTACGAAACACCCAAACAGCGAGTGGGGTAGTCGCGTCGCGAATCGCGTAGCCAGCGAGGCGTAAAGTTTAAACGCCCTGCACGCGTCGTGAAAGCCCTGAGATGGTTCGTCTCGACTCACCTTTCATTCTCTATTCTGGAGTCTCCCAAAAAAGCTCTACCATCTCGTTTGGCACTATGTCGCAGACTACTACATCGGGTGACTGCAGGCGCACAGGTCAATTTTCCTTTTACACAAAAGACATTTTCCCTTTTGAGCGCCTACCCACCTCATCCCCCACTGCTTTCTTCATTGGTATTTCTTTTCATCTTCCGCACTGATAGCGGCAGCCAGGAACGGAAGATTACTGCGTGTTCCATTCCAACAAAACTGAGATAGGGGTACGAGGCAAAGTATGCAGCCCCGTCTACCATGGTCTACCACCATGTGTTGAACAGAGATATCCATTGCACTAACGCGCACGTCAGTTCAATATCATCTCCATTACTGGTGGTTGCACATTCGCCAGCGGTAACTAGCACGATAATTGACTTGGCGGACAGCTCTCTCAACACTTTGCACGCGAGCATGTGTCGACGCCCGTGAGTCTTCAAACTACCTGCCAGCTGGCTCCAGGCATTAGTACACTCGACAGATGCACCACACTTGCTGCAGATATAGCGCCGGCCCCACATCGACCAAAGTTCTTGTCCGGATACATGTAGCGGTACGTTGTTGGGACAGAGACATCTCGATCTTACATGTCATCCTCCGCAGTAAAACTAGTTTCGACCGATAAGTGCTCTGCCGCGATTACTTCGGCATGCATAATGCATACAACAGCCGTCAGATGCTCGGTCCACTGTGCATAGTGATCTCAGCATCTGGCTTAACCCTACCACCAGCTGCCTCCACTCTTCAGCATGCGGGCGCTTGCTTGACAGGCATTGCCAAGGGGTATGGGGTCGACTCAGTACTGGAGATGTCTACGCTCTTTCCGCTCACTGAATCGACTCACGCAATGGCATCTCCATTCATTGCAACTAGCTTGGAGATCTATGATCGAATGTTGGTGGAACTGTCCGGGACGTTGTGTTAGCGTAACGGCAAATGTGCAGGGCACCGTCTGGCATCACGTCAAGCTCAACAAGTCCCGAACTATTCTTGATGCACACGGGAGATAACGACCGCGGATCGGTATCAGCCTTTGGAAAGGGGGGATATATGAGCTCGCAAAACAAAAGACCATGGCTTAGGCATTGAACAGTGCCAGAGTCATCTTCATTTCGGAGGTAACCGTGCCAAGCTCGGCTCACCCAGTGGCTCAGGCAGAGTGTAGATTGAGTCACCTGTGTACCTACTGCCTATTCCAGGTAGTTTGAGAGCTTGCTAGACTGTAGCTAGAGGTCGCATATTTGCCTCAGCCAGCTCACCCTACGATCTTTGGTTATCTCCGAATATTTAGCCCTTTCCTAATATCTCAACACAATAACTCCTCCAATCGAGGCAACACATCGTCTAGTTCGACTTCTAACGGACCGTAGAGGTGACAAGTGCGGGCCGAAGTCAACGGCAAGATCGATGATGCGAGCATTTTGCATGTGACTTACGCGCTGTTTACTCATGCATCCCAAAGCTATACCGCCTTGAAACTAGAGACTCGCCTACACCAACGCATTGCATTCATCTAACTATAAAGAGCTGCACGAACGTTGAAGGATTTCAGAACCGAGTCTTCAAGATCAGATCTTGAGTTACGATACGTTCCAGGCTCCGGAACTTTCTTCCGCGATCAGCGAACACCCCACGAGAAGACCTTGGGAATGGGCTGCAGCACGCTTAGCAGCCCCTTTGCTCCAAATGTAGAAATTTCAGCGGCTAAAGCGATCGCCCGTGGATCCGCTTGATTTTGGTTGGATCCTGAAACGATAGCGTCGCGGCAAAAGACGATGAGGCCTAGCGTGCGTTCGCGCCGAACCGTCACTCCGATGGTGAAATCGAAATTGCCCATGTGGATATTTTCGCCTCACGAGTACGAGAAATGTTTGAACCATGAGAAACGCTAGACTTTGTCGTTGCTCGCAGCTCAATGCTCAGGATGTCGGATATTAAAGGTTTCCGGAAGTAGTATTGTTGGTAGACTTTTACGCGGGAACAGCATATGGGCATTTAGTGGAGCTAGAATCATCAGTTGGAGATGGCGATGCAAGCACAATTAGATATGGAGGCTGCGATAATGGTGCTCTCTAACCTGGCAGGGATTGTTCATAGAAGACGCCAACGTTCTGATGTCATTCCATCGCTATGTGGATATGCACATAATTTTGTGTTTGCGTGCTGAGTTCAGGTCTACATGAGCCGTATGTTCGAGACAATTTGTCGGACAACATGACATTGGGCTCTTGCGGGGAGTGTAAGGTCTCTGACTCGAATACCGGTTTTCTGCCGCGGAGATTGAGAATGTCATGGTGAGAACATTTGTCCATCTATGACGCCTTTAATTTCGATCCACTACACACTGAAGTAATCCTGGAAACGAGAGGAGCAGACGTACAACGATACTTCCGAGTTTAATGGACCACTACCAGCCGTAGCAGCCTCAAGATACGGACAACGTAGTTGGGACATGATAGAGATATTACTGGGGTAGCATTACGATATAAGTGGGTCGTCATGCCATGTGCCGAAAATTGAGGCTGTCAGTAACTGCAAAGGTATACTCGGTGACGACACAGACCATTAAAATGGTACAAGACAGAGTCATGAGTCACATTTAGCATTACACCAACAAACGGATAGGATTTTGCATGAGCTTAACACCCGTAGCCCTGGTAGACATATGCCCAACTCGTATCACGAGTATTCGATACTATCTCCAAACTGTCTCAAGCGCAGTTACTCGAAGTCCTGAGCTCAGGAGTCAATGAACATCAATATCCCTACTCTCGGGATCATAATCCTGTTTCTCCTAATCTTATCAGTATGTCATCTAAACTT